CATGGAAATTTGTTAAGTACCAGGAGTTCATGGAAATTTGTTAACTACCAGGAGTTGATGGAAATTTGTCAAGTGGTACAAAGATGAGTGTTAACTACCAGGAGTTGATGGAACTTTGTTAAGTACCAGGAGTTGGTGGAACTTTGTTAAGTACCAGGAGTTCATGGAAATTTGTTAAGTACCAGGAGTTCATGGAAATATGTTAAGTACCAGGAGCGCGGTAAAAAGATGGCTGTTAACTACCAGGAGTTCATGGGACTTTGTTACTTGTTCATTTATACATAATTCATTCCAATATTTCATTGGTTCTTTGGGATTTACGTAAATGAAGTCCACTAGCTTTGAGCTCTTTCTCTAGAGCAGATTTGTCCTTTTTAAATAATTTTAAAACACGGTCAGCATATGATTTGTACAAAAATTTTGGTCTGAATATTATTCTTTTGAATCCCAATTTTGAAGATAAAATTTTCAAATCATCATGTACAATCATTCCACAACTTTGAAGAATAAATATAGAAAACTCCGCAGCTATACCTTCTATTTTACTTTTTTGATTTGAATGACTAACATCAAACATTACATGAATTCTGAAAATTGATCCCATTGGTTTAATTAATGTCTTGATACAATGGTCTGTTAATGCTTCACGTCTTTTAGTTAATATCAAGAATTTTTTGAAAAATTCAACATTTGAATCTAATTGTTTATAAATATTCCATAATTCTGTTTTAGTGAATGTATCAGTTAAGCAAAGTCCATTGAATTTCATATACTCATTATCATCATCACAATCATAACCATCAATATAAGGATTATCATAATCATCAAAATCTGGTTCTTTGGTTTTATAATCTTTTAAAATTTTAACTTGATCATTTGGGAATGTATTCATAATATCATTAATATCACATTTATGATTTGGTTCTTTAATATTCAACGAATATTCATCTTTATAATCTACTAACTTTTCAGCTTCAAATAAACTTTTAAAACACATTGAACATTTATAATCTTTAATAATTTGAATTTTACCATCTGCTTCAGATTGTATAAACTTATCTTGGATATCTTCATCAATTAATGAAATACCTTTTATAATAGTATAATAAATTGTAGATAATTTTTCTAATTTTGGTAAATCAGGGAAAATCAAACCATTCTCAATAACATTTCTAATTGTTTTTTCACCTTCTATATAAATGGAAAAAAGATATTTCTTGTGTAATTTATAGTCTGGAAGGAAAGCATCTTTCCATCTTTGCCATTCTGGATCTGGATGTCCCTTGTATGGATCATAAACAGTTGGTAGTGTATGCCCCCTGAGAATTTCGGTAATTTTTTTGGCAGTATCTTCAAGTAATTTTTGACGTACAGGATCGTTCAATGGATCATCATTATTTGGTGTTTTAGGTTTTGAAATTGAAGCTCCTTGAGTATTTGCCCCATTGGTATTATTCTTGGTGACAGTCATTATTATAATAGAAATACCCTGTATAATTTTATAGATCTAAAATATAGATCCAATATTTTCCATAAATTGAAATCTCGCGTTTATATGTTTATATGCCCGCGCGTTTTCGCGTAGTACTAATAATCATCGCGAATCTATTCTTTAAAGAATTTTTTATATAACCATGAACCATAAATAAGGTCAAAAAAGTCATAAAAACACCAGATCTAAACACAATGGCTAAATCAAGATATGAATATGTTAAAGAATTTGAACAAGATAGAATATTATTACCAAACACATTCATAGTGATTCGTATAGATGGTAAAAGTTTCCATAAATTTTCAAAAGATTATAATTTTATTAAACCAAATGATTTAAGAGCCCTGAAATTAGCAAATGCAGCAGCTATAAATGTCAAAAGATCAATAAAAGATGTTATATTAGCATTTGGAGAAAGTGATGAATATTCATTTATATTAAAACCTGATACACAATTATTTAATAGACGTGAATCAAAATTAATTTCAACATTTGTTAGTATATTTACAGGTAACTATATTGCATTATGGTCAAAATTTTTCCCAGATAGTCCATTAAATTTAAATAATTTACCAAGTTTTGATTGTCGAGCTGTGGCTTACCCTAATTTATCTATATTAAAAGATTATATTCTTTGGAGATTTGTTGATACACATATAAATAATTTATATAATACAACATTTTGGACTTTAGTGGAGAAAGGTGGATTAACAACCCAGGAAGCTGAAACAAGATTAAAGGGAACACTTGCAAGTGATAAAAATGAAATATTATTTAAAGAATTTGGTATAAATTATAATGAAGAACCTGAAATTTTTAAAAAAGGTTCATTAATTTATAAAGATGAAATTTTACATATTGATGTTTTCAAAAAAATTGATGAATTATTAAAAAATTATGAATAGAGAGGTGTTATATGTATTTGCATTAATTAATTAATTTAGCATATTGTTCATGTAATTTTGTAATACTTTTTTTTCAATTGAACGTATATTCAAAATAATACCAAATGGTATTATTTTTGTTATTTATCTTATACTCTATTTCAACTTAATTCAAAATAATACCAAATATCTAACGATATTTTGGTATCATTTTTGTTATTTATCTTATGGATTGATTGATTGCTTTCAATATGATACCTTTCAGGTATCATTTTTGTTATTTACCTTATGGTTTGATTATTTCAATTCAATATGATACCTTTCAGGTATCATTTTTGCTATCTTCCTTTTAGTAATACCAAAATAATACCTAACGGTATTATTTAGTGGTATTATTTCTTTATATTCTCAAAAAACCCTTTAACATCTTCTTCACCCACAATCTTCCCATCTTTAGCAAAAGGTTTCAGGAACTCCTTCAATTTATCTTTAATATTTTGATAAGCTTGAACCCCCTCAATAGCTTTATCTCTTGGTAAGTTATTTATAGCCCTTGCACCCAGGTCATAAATTGAAGAATTATCATCATCTGATTCATCCTGGGGTGGTTCATAAATTGGTTCATCTTTTAATAAATGTGGATGGGTTTGTAGGAATGATTTAATTTCTTGATCTGTTGTTGTGTTGTATAAATATGTAAAATTTTCTTCATGATTATGTTTTAAAAAAATTGAATAATCATAATCAATTTTTCTTTTTTTATGTAATAATGAATTGGTATTTGATTTTATTATTTCATTTCTTTCAATTAATGATTTGGATGTAATTTTATCCACTGTTGTAAGAACAATTTCATTATTTAATTTAATTTTATCAAATATTGGTTTATGATGATTTATACATTTCCAACATATAAAACAATCAAAATCGTCTAAATTTGGGAATCCATTTAATACAGGTTCAGAATCTTGATCATCTGGGTTATCATCTTGTTTTCTTTTATCACCAATTGAATCATTATTTTGTAAATTTTTTTCCAATTGAGTTTGAGCATCTTGTTCAGGTTCACCTAGTGAGTCTAATTTATTAACACTTTTATCATTATCATCATGATTTGTGTCATCCACATCATAATGATCAAGACCCATAATACAATAATCATGATACCAATCTTCATTACATTGATCACCAAATATACATTGTAACATATTTGATTTTTCTTCTAATGGATTATAAGGTTTTGAACAATCACAGAATATACCTTTATAATTTTGATTATAAATATTATCATTACTGGGTAAATCATCTTTTGAATTTGATCTTAGTGAACATGGGAATTGAGTTCTTGTTGTACCACAATCACAATTAAAATTTCGCTTGGTGAATAATTCTATCAAGTTATGATCATGATGACATTGTATAGAACATGAATAACAAACTCCGGATAATTGATTAGTTTTTTCCAAGCATGTCAAACAAGCATATATTTGTTGACGTATTGATCCCATTGAATAAGTACAAGTATTTGGATCATATGGCATTAGTTCTCTCGCTTGTTTCTCTAAAGCATTCTGTGAAGAGATGTATTCCTGTGCGGTGATAGAGGACTGTGTGTCTTGACTCATTGTGTGGTTGATGTGTTGTAGAATAGTATAATGAATAGAATTGTTTACTGATGAGTATTAAATATAAATGAGTATACTATGGGTATTGTCACGTGATTATAAAAGTATTACCCTGACGTTCAAAACACATAACCAAAACTACTAGTACTAGTAGTAGTACTACTAATAGAAGTAACCAGTATAATACTACTATTACTATACTACTATTACTCTTACTCTTACTACCACTCTTATATTAATAACACTCCGACATTGTTCCGAACGGAGAGTTATCCCGTTATCCTTTGATCAACTTTATGATTACAAATGAGATCTGACAACTACCAGTAACTGACAACGAGTGACAACGAGTGATAATCAGAGATCAAGTATATAAAAGATAGTATATAATAGAATATATAATACAACAGAATACAAATATATGATATAAGATATAATACAATCTATTCAGTCTGTTCATCGCTTAACTTTCAAGTTTCCACTGATTCCAATCAATTCATTTCACCTTCACCGGCCTTTGCTCAGAAGGAAAAATTATTAGTCAGTTTTTTCATTTTCGTTTTCATTTTCATCAGCAATTAAAAAAACTAGTTCAAGAATAAAACAACTAAACAAGGACTATCAACAACAGAGAGTTATTAGTTATTAGTTTATTGAATCAGTACTAGTCAGTCACACAGTCACACAGTCACATTTATATATCACAAATTATCCAGTCTATCAGTTCCATATCTCGTGGTATCCCATTAATACTCATCATGTCTTACAACAGTTTAGACTATATATCAAAATTAAATTTAGAATCTTTTGATACTCTACAATTCCCATCAGATCAAAATGATTTAGCTTCATTCACTGATTCTTCATTCTTTGATTTTGATCAATTCCCAATCTCTCAAGATCTTAAATTTGAAAATCAACAAGAATTCCAAAATCAAGTTAATCAAATACCTGATGAAAACTTATCTTTTGAATTAAATAAAGATACTTTTAAAGAACCATTACCAATAGAACCAAAACAAACAGAACCAAAACAAATACAACAACAACCAGAAATTAAATCAGAATCAAAAATTTCAATAAATTCTCCATCAATTCCAAATGATGCTTATAATGAATTTGACAAGAAGAAGAGAAATACAGCAGCAAGTGCAAGATTTAGAATTAAAAAAAAATTAAAAGAACAAGAAATGGAAAAAAATTTAAATGAATTAAAAGAAAAAATTAATCAATATAACCTAAAGATTCAAAAATTAGAAATGGAAAATAAATGTTTAAAATCGCTTATTATTGAAAAAAATGAACAAAAATCAAATGATTTATTGAAACAGATTAAAGAAAGATCAATAACAAGAACATAGTACGAAGTACGAAGTACTGAGTACTAATATCATTGGTACGAAGTACCAATTATCAACTAATACGAAGTATTAGTTAATATATTAGTATTTACTATCACACAACAATATTAGTACTTCGTACTAATATTATCACTGTTCAACACAGTCATTACAGGTTTTTGATTTATTCAGTTCTACAAAAAAAGATACCTCATGTTTATATGTAATTTAATAACTTTATGGAGAAAACAATACAATGTAGATTATTTTTTATCTAACCCCAATGCTTCTCTTTGACTCTTGGATTCTGGATCAAATTTAGTTGGTATTGATAAACTTGTAACTCTATGTGCATGTCTAACAGAACCTTCCCATGAATCATTATAATCTGGAATTGCAACATGTTGAGAAATTCTATTATCCCAAAGAACACTAACTGGTTTAATAATACCATCTTCACCCGGGCCTGAACCTTGCCAATTAATTCTAACTTGAATATCCAAGTTCTTTGCAAAAACATCATTCAAGTACTTCAAAATTAAATCTGATTCATCCCTTTCCAAACCAACAATACGAACAACATGTGCAGGATTAACAAATAATGATTTCCAACCAGTAACAGGATGTGTAACAACTAAATCATGTTCTCTTTCCAAATGTTGAGGTCCTGCTAATAAATCATCACGTTTATAATAACGATGTGCAGATTTATGAATTGCCTTTTTACCTTCTAAAAATTTTTGGAAACTTGGACTTAATTTATCAAATGCTGCATAACCTGATATATACCCCGTATCACCTCCAACTGAAGGAATACTATCCAAATGTAAATGAGTTATACCAGCTGGTGAAAATTCATGATCTAAATCTGTATGCCAATAAGAACCTGAAGCCCCCTTTTGGAACTCGATTAATGGACCACCTCTATTAAATTTATCCCATACAACAGTAGAACCAGGTAAAACTTGTGCAGTTAATGGATGAACCTCGACTTCACCATAATAAGAACCAATCTCCAAGTGTTTTTGTGGTGAAAGATCTTGATCTCTGAAAACAACAACAACTCTTTCAGCGATAAGTAAAGCTAATTCATCTAATTGTTTTTCATTCAAATCTTGTAATTGTAATCCAATAATTTCAGTACCAATATACTTGGTCAAATTAACAACTTGTTTAGCACCACTAAATAATGCCTTCTTTTCAGGATCAGCACCAATACCACGTTCAACATATTCAGGATTAACTTGATTTCTAATCTTATAAGCATCATCAAGAAACAATGGAATTTCATTAGGTCTTTTAGGATAACCTTTTGATAAATCAATACCATATTTTTCTAATCTTTTCCTAGTTGTTGATGGTAATTTACCAGAATAATCTTCATATCCTTCTTTAACACCATTTGGATTCTTTAATTCTATTGAAATTGATTGAGATTGAACTTTTGACATATTGTTGAACTGTTGACTTTGATATTATAGAAGTTATAGATATTGGATACTCATAATTCCAGGGATAAATCCATGTTTATATACCACTTCATTGCCCAGTCTTATTATCAATTTGTAATCTAAAGCCACACAACACCATAATAAGCAATACCCCATAACAGTTGTAAGCAATAAGCCATATAAGCCTAGTGTGAATATAGTACAAAGAGTTTTAACTTTTAAGCCATACATTTTATGGAGTTAATTCCGAGTATTATATAAGAACTGTGGATATCAAATATCAGATGATTTAAAGTGATACAAGCGATTAAGTATGATTATTTGTTATTCTATTATACAAGTAAAGATTATATCTATTTAGTTTCAGTTTCAGTGGATTCAGTTTCTTTAGTTTCTGGTTCTTTAACTTCTGGTTCTTCAGTAGTTTCTTTAACTTCTGGTGTTTCTTCAACAGTTTCAGTTGTTTCTTCTTTAGATTCTTCACCAATTGCCTTTCTTGGACCTGTTGGACCTTGTTTATATTCTTGTTGAGCTGAAGTTTCAACATTGAAAACTCTATATAAAACTTCAAATGTTTCCTTTTTGGATAACATTAAATTAACACATTTATTACCAACCCAAACTGGGAAAATTAATTCTTCTAATTCATCATTAACATCTCTCTTTATAGTAATAAATGCACAACCTTGACTTAATTTTGTAATCTTTGATGTAAAATCTAAATCAATTTTTAAATTTTCTAATTCTTCATATTTTGGAAATGCTTCTTTTAATAATTTTTCAAATAATTCCATTGAACATGATAACATTCTAACATCACTTAAATGTTTCTTGATAATTGGTAATGCTTCACTTTGAATTCTCCATTTACAATCTAAATCTGTTCTTTGAGAAACAAATATCTTAACACCTGAATGAATAATTTTTAATTTTTCTTCATTTAATAATAAATATTCTTTTGCAATTGGACTTGATAAATATATTATTCTTGATGGTTCCCCTGTGGCATTTCTAACAAAACAATTTTCTGTAATAACAGTGTTTTCAGGATTTATACCATAAAATTTCCAACATTTAATTAATTCTTCTTGATCCTTAGAAAGGAAATTAAAAGGTTCAACTGCATCATTTGAACTATTTGATAATTTTTCCTTTTTAGTAGTGGTACTTGTAGTTTTAGTTTCAATTTTAGCCTTCTTTTTCAATGGTTCTTCTTCACCATCTTCTTGAATTTTTTCTAAAACTGTAATGAAAAAACCACCAGTATTTTGTTGATGAGGATAAACTCTAATACAATCATCTAAATTATAATCTTCATCTTCACTTGGTGGGAATAATTCATCACCATAATTATCTTCTTGACCTTTTTGTTTTTCTTCATAATCTTTACCAATAACTTTCCAATTTTTTAAACCTTTTGAATAAACCAAACCTGGAATTTCAGTTTTAACAATTCTAACATCTTTATTCTTTCTTAAAGCTTGTAAAATAACAGATTCATTTTCCATTGGATTAAGAGAACATGTTGAATAAACTAATCTACCACCTTTAGCTAATAAATCTAAACCTCTTTGTAAAATTTTATATTGTAATGGATTTAATCCAATACCATCACCAATTGACCATTTATTCCAAATTTGTGCATTTTTACGAATAGTACCATCACCTGAACATGGAACATCACACAAGATTCTATCAAATTTCATAAATTCATCACCTAATTTTGTTTTTGGAAAAAATTGTGCATCATGATTTACAACTAATAAATTTGGTGAATTTAATCTTTTAACTTGATGAATTAACATATGAGCTCTTTTATGATCAGAATCATTAGCAACAACAAATCCAGTTGGATCATCAACTGAATGTAATGATTCAATTAATTGTGCAGTCTTGGAACCTGGTGCTGCACACATATCCAAGACTTTATGATGTGGTTCAACTTTTAATAAAATTGGTGGAATCATTGAAACTGCTTCTTGTCTACTTATATTACCAACTTCAGTTTCAATAACCAAAAATCTTTGAGTTTTAGCAAAATTTTCATTTTTACGAATAACTTGTTTTGGAACATCAATTTGCCATGCTAATTCATTTGGATACCATGATAATGATTGTGGAGCTTTTAATGGTTCACCATCAAATTCTAAATTTGAAAGATATTTTAAATGTCTTTCTTTAAAAATTTTTAAAATTTCATTTGCATGAGATTTTGAACCTGTAATTCTAAAAGTTAATGGTAATTGATTTTGACAAAATTTTTTAAAAATTTGGAAATCTTCATCATTCATTAAATTTTGTGATTTATAATAATTTTCCCATTTTTCATTTTCTCTAACGATTTCATCCCATCCATTTTTTTGTTCTGCTGGATCTCTGGATTGATTTTTACCTTTATAATTTCTACCTCTAAAGTTTCTTTTACCCATTTTGATAATATTAAAGCTTGTAATGAGATCTATGTTGTATATGTTTACATGTTTAAATTAAATTTTTCATAATTTAAAATTTTTATCATATGGGCATCGCATGGTAAGGGAAACACCAGTATAGACTCTTGACATAAAAGACCACAAAAGAGATGGAACTAAAAGGAAACGCTAGTAAATGCAATTAAATGGTTTCAATTATGTGATTCAATATTAATTTTAATCCCAATTATCTACCTAACGGAATTTATCCTGACTTCTTAGCTCAAATAACCATGTAATTACAATGTCTTCTTGTATAACTTAATTTAGATCAGGGGCAGCAGATCACTGGAATTCATGGGTATAAATTATTGCTCTGGGGATTTTAAAATATAATCTTTTTAACTCAAAAGTATATTATATGATCAATTGATTTCAATGACTATTTAAACAATGACAGAAACAACTTACTTCATTACAGGAACAAACCGTGGTATTGGTTTAGAACTAGTTAAACAATTATTACAAGATCCTTCAAATCATGTTATTGCAACTTTACGTCGTATTGATGATTATCCAGAAGTATTTGTTACTAAAAATCCAAATTTAACAATTTTAAGATTAGATTATAATAGTGATAATTATCAATCTAATTATGAATCCTTGGCTAATGAATTGGCAAAATTGGATAAAGGTATTGATGTATTCATTGCAAATGCTGCTAAAAATGATTCAATTACAAATGTATTAGATTCTTCATTAGATGATTATTTACAATTCTTAAGAATTAATACATTAGGTCCAATTGAAACTTTAAAAATATTAAAACCATATTTATTGAAAAAGAAAACAAGAAAAATTATCTTCACATCAAGTATCTTGGGATCAATTGGTGAATTCCCATTTTTTTTAAATAAACAATATCCATGTGCACCATATTGTTTATCAAAAGCTGGTTCAAATTCATTAGGTAAAATCTTAAGTTTTGAATTAGCAAATGAAGGTTTTATTGTTATAAATTATCATCCTGGGTTAATAAATACTAAAAAAAATGAAAATGTATCTGATGATGATTTTGGTGCATTGAAAAAAGAATTTGAACCGGATCAAACTTTATTAGATTATGTTGTCAAAAATACTTTAAGTGTTCAAGAAGGTGTCACTAGAGAATTGAAAATAATAAATTCATTAACTGCTAGTGATAATGGTAAATTCTTAACACATGATGGTAGTGAATTACCATATTGAACATTTGAAAACACACACATGTTTTTTTTTTTGATTATTGTCTCTAATAATATCTATTTATGCTTTCTTTCCTTTCTTAAACTTGTAATCTATTCATCTGTATCCATTCCATTCTCTTTTATAATTTTTCTCTTTTTTCTTGATTTATATTTCCTTCTTTTACCAGGCTCAACATATTCAATATATAACCCATGACCATTATCACCAATGATTTCATCAATCCAATATTCCATAATCATCCCCAGGGCTAATAAAGCAGTTTCATCAAATATTCCTTCATGATTTGGGAACTTATGAGAAATATAATAATGAAGAATATTTAATAATTCAGAATCTGGTAATTCAAATTCATAATCTCTTAATCTAATTGGAACGTTTGATCCTTTTAACGAGGCTAAATATTCATCAGGATTTTGATTTGAACGGAAGAATCCATTACACCTTGAATATAAGTTATAAAATGAAACTTTTTTGGGTGACATTGATTCAAATCACCATAAGCTATTATTATGTTCTGTTATGAGATGAGATGAGTACTAAATAAAAAATTCAAGAAAAACTGCAAAAAAAATGGTTTCACTACCTAATCTGAACAAACCATTTTTTAACCAGAGAAGTGCCATCCTGATCGCCTTTCCACGGGTTGAAGTGCTGTGCTGGATTTCTCCCCTTCAGCTGTTCAACAACCATTGCCAGAATCTGCCTAACCAGATTACTCATGGCGGCTAGAATTCAAATTCCGCAGAAATCGAACCAGGACACTATCATCTGAAATAAAACAGCCTGAAAACAGACAAAAGTGCTAACGATCCCACTAAAATGCCATAACAGCATCGGATGTAAGCAAGAGCAGGTGCTATTATATGTCTGTGCTAAAAGTCACGTGTAGCGGGCCGGAAATTGCTGTTCAGGGTAATTTAGCCTCGAAAATATAGACATTAAAACTATACTTTATTTAATAAATCATCAATTTTAATATGGTTTTGAGATTCTAGTTACTAAATGATAGATTCGGATAGGTTTTGAATTGTAGCTTCTTACACTACCAGGAAAGAGTTTTTCTATTAGAGCCATTTTGGTGCTTATATTTTATTAACGAGGGTGGGTTCTAGAGTTTTTGGCTTAATTTGTTTACAACATTTAGTGCACTTTATGGTCTTTCTAAAGCATTGTATAAGGTTTTAGACTCCATAATATGATTCATTTGGGATCAATATACCTTCTTCTTGACTTTGTGATGAACACTTAATCCATTTATCCTGGTTTATCTAAGGCTAAATTGAATATAATCACTTCTTATCTTCAAATAATCTGTTATTTTATCAATTCCAATTTTATAAATTATCAACTACATCTTCAATTGAACTTTAATCGTACCATTATATCATTAAGCTATTATACATTGGAAATAAAATCAATAAAAATAATATATGTTTTCTTTTAAATTCATCTACCTCCAATTGGTTTACCTGAAGTAGCTAAAGCTTCTATTTTAAATAGATGTTAGTAATTTGGATCCCTTGAGCTAATACTTTATTATACATACCCCTTCTTGCTGCATCCTGTAGTAGATTTGTATCAACATCTGTTTTACTTATATGAACATATCTAACTGTTGAACCTCTTAAAAATATACTCTTAACTGATGAAAGATGTGGAAATTTTAATTCATTACTTGTACTAACATTATCTAATTTTAAATTGAAATATTGATCTGCTGTTTTCAAAGTACCTCTTAATTCAATACCATTTTTAAGCTGTGGTGCTTTATTAGTCTATTATTCTTCTTCTCTTTATATTACTTCTCAACTTACTTCAACGGTAACCTAATTGATTGTTAGTAAAAACGATTCCACCAAAAAGACCAGAGCACAGTCTGGACAGAAAAATACTCACTTCACGATCAACTAATGTTTTGAAAAAAGATAAGAATAACATATTTGACTTGTCTATAGTTTATTCTGTGCTTTGATGGTTTGTAAAGTTGTTGATATTCTTGATTTTCACCAATTTTGGTTTTTCTTTCTACCCGCGAATTTAGTAACTTGGAGAGATATATAGAGAGCATCTTTGTTCTACAAATAAACTGAATAATCTGATTCATTAAAACATTAAATCGTTTACTATTAACATATTTACATGATATATATATATATACTCCTCCTATCTATAAATAATTTTATTCTTTTTTGTTAATTGACCTCTTTATTTTGCCAATTTGGAAGCTTCACTTAAAATTTTTGAACCTTGTTTAGCCTTCTTAATATTTTGAACATGAATACCTGAAGTTAAAACTCTAATTGGAGTTCTTGGTTTTCTTAAATTAGCTGCAAAAATTAAAGCTGAAGTTAATAAAGCTAAAGCACCAGCTTGATGAGCCGAGGCTAATGGAATTGGAACTAAATAAATTAAAGTTGAAATACCTAATGCAGCTTGTAATGTAACAACTCCCATAACTGCATGTAATGATCTATTTGCAGATTTTGGTATAACATACTTAATTCTATTAGCATAAAGATGTGTAGCTAAAATTGAAAAAAATGTAGTCATTGCTAAAATTCTATGATTTAATTGAACAGTTGCAGGATTTTCCAACATATTTCTCCAAAATTTATCAGATTTATCTTCTTTTCCTGCAAATAAATCATCAAATAATTCTCTTCTACTTGGTATTATATCATCACCCATATGTGGGAATGTATTATAAATTAAACCTGCATCTAACCCAGCAACAAGACCACCAGACATTGCAGTTAAAAATGTTAAACCAATTAATGCTAATGAAATATTTCTTAATGGTTTTAAAGCTGGATTATCTAATTTTTGGAAAATTTCAAATGCATTTTTAGGATTTGATGTCCATTTAGATTCTCTTAAAATTTCTAAACCGGTCCAAATCATACCCATATAAAGTAAAAAAGCAGCACCAAGATGTGTAGTTAATCTATATTGTGAAACAGTTGGTTTAGATCTTCTTTCTTTTAATCCTTCTTCATCTAAACCAGATTTAACCATCCACCAACCAATAAACCCTTGTAAACCTAATAATGCAACAAGACCAATCATTCTTCTATTAACTCTTGGTGAAGTTTTTCTCGAGTATGCGAAATATGCAGCTGGTAATAACATAACAACACCAATAGCTCTACCCCATAATCTATGAGCCCATTCCATAAAGAAAATAAATTTAAATTCTTCTAATGTAATATGAGAATTTAATTGTTTAAATTCTGGTGAATCTTTATATTTATTAAATTCTTCCTCCCAATCTTTTTGAGTTAATGGTGGTATAGAACCTGTAACTGGTTTCCATTCTGTAATAGATAAGCCAGATTCAGTTAAACGAGTTAAACCACCAAGAACAACAATACCGAAAACTAAGCCTGAAGTACCAATTAACCAATATCCAACATATTTACTAGTATTTATTAAATTTCTTTTTGGTTTGAAAGTTGATTCTGTTTTAGTTTGATTTGAAGAAATTTGATCAGGATTTGCAAGATTTATAGTAGCATTTGAAGCAGCAGAAATGGTATGTTTTTTGGATGCAGATGTAGTGATTGAACGAGTAAATTTTGAGAATTTATTGGATTGTGATTGTAATGATGATCTTTTAGTTAATGAAGAACCAATAATTTTTTTAGTAGAATGTGTCGATATGTTTGAGCATGAAGGTATAATAAAATTGGAGATGCATGAAGCTCTAGCTGTTTTCAAAACAGCAGAGTTTCGCATGAAGAAAAACTGTGACCTAGCTAACGCAGAAGACATCTTTGATGATCCTTGAGCTTTTCAACAGACACTTTTTACCCTTGTTGATATCTTGTCTTGACTCTTGATCTATAAAAGAGTGTTTACACAGTATAAATTCGTATAAGTTTATTTCGGTTTTTTTTTTTTTTTTTTCCGTAAGGTGATTTTCCAAACTTTCTATTGGGAATTCAAAGAAAAAGGAAAAATTAAAATTAACGGGATTTGGAAAAAATCAAAATAACAGGGAAGTGAATGATAGAGGGTTCGAATGGGGAGGGTACAATTTAAATTTATACTTCATTTTTTCATTATTCATTAAATTACCAAATCTTTTTGGAAAACATTCTATATCTAGTCACTTCATTAAGGTTCCCCTGCGTCTTGGATTCTTTCCGCTGTCTAATCTCATTTAAACTAGGTTGTATGGTTTCATTTGAATCATAAAGTAAAGTTCTTGATTCATCATCAATAGCACCCATCCCACCAGATACCAATCCTGGTACATAATCATCTTCTGTATTTATATTTTTGGATTGTAAGTTCAATTTTTTCAATTTTTGATTTGCCCATTTAATTAAAATCAATTCTATCAATAATTTAAAAAAAACTAATGTAATAAATGTCACAATAAATATAAATAAATTTGTCCAAATAATTTGACCCAATATGGAATCATTCACAGATTTATCTAATAAAAACCAACTTAGAGTATTTTTTGACATGACTATAAATAAAACAAATAAAGCAGGTAATGGTAATCCAATTCTATGTTGTATCTTGTCATCATTATTATTTGAAACTCTAATTTTAAAATTATTAACCATATCATTAGCGAAAACATTTAAAAATTTACTATAAATTTGAGGTCTTATTTTATTAAATTTAGTAACATATGCATGTTTAACCCAATCAACTAATAATTCACTTCCAATAACAATCATTGTTGGACCGAAAATTATCCCTAGGGCTTTATTCCAACTTATAAATGAAGAATTTGGTATTAATCCAATACCATTTGAATCATTACCAATTTGAACAATATTTCTTAAACTAATAATAGTTAACATTGTTAATAGTTGGAACCTTTCAACAACATCTGCACAACTCATTTGAAATAAACCTTCACGATCAATTTTTTTGAAAACAGCACCTTTAATCTCTGCAAATTGATTTGATAATAATAAGGTTAATAAAGAGTTTGAATAAGAATTAGCTGCAACATTCAAAGCAATGGTTTGATAAATCAAGATAACAGTATGTATAGATAGAAAAACAACACTTAATCCATAAAATAAACAAAATAATCCCAGTGAAGTTAAATCTTTTGTTAAAATTGTATTGTAACTAAATAATACATTCATTAAATCTTGATTAACTGTGGCCATTAATTTATCTGCAATTTCCAAAACACCAAACATAACATATAGCTTTATAGAAGATTGAGCTCTTATAGTATGATAAATTCTTGATGTATCAACGTTACTTGAAATCATAGCTAAAAATAAAATTGAAGCTAATAATAAATTCTTGGAATTGATTATACTGAAATGATCTCTTAATGGTACTCTTTCTTGGTTATTCCTTATTATGAATTGATTTCTAAACTTATATATCAGAACAGATATATCAATAATAATCTTTATTGGTAAAATTACCAACATTTTAAGAAATGAATTTAAACATGATAATAAACCAAAAATGATGAAATTTTCAAGATAAAATGGTAATTTGATCATATTCAAGATCTGCTCCAATGATTCAGCAGATGAGATCAATATTGAACCACCAATGTTTCTCTCTGGATCATCATCTTCTCTTGTTTTCAATCTTTGATCTCTAATATCAATTCCGAGTTCTTTGAGTAGTAATTTGTACAAATTATATGAGGTGCTATGAGAATTCCCAGAAACGATGCTTAGTGTACGACTTCTTGGTCTTTTAGACTTGGATGGTGATCTGGGCATAACTAATGGAACACTTTGTCTTCTTTTCTATGGCTTCTGTTCCAAACTGATTCAAGACTGGTGATGTTTTGGTTTGATTACAATGTTTTGATTTCGTTTTCATACCAATTTTTTAAAATGAGAGGAAAAACACAGATTTTAGGAGGCCATAAAACAAATCACTTAAATCACCATCAAACTCACAAAGACTATCAGACAAAGACACCATGCAAATCATCACAATCGACTCCTTCAAGCCTAAACTACTACGCTTCAGCCACCCAGATAACCTATCCCCTTCAGCAGCCAACAAGCTTTCTCTTTCGTTGATTGAAGAGCTTTCCGAAGATGTGTGTGATAAGTTCTTCCTCAAATTCATCTCAAGATTCTTAACACCAAGTTCATATAGTGAAATTTTACAAGAAAGAAACATCAACAAGATTTGTGGATATCCAATGTGCTGTGAATCACCAGGTCGTATCAAAGATCATTATTCCAAGAGTTATCAGAAATCCAAAATGTTGCCATATGCTTATTTAAATCTATATTGTTCCAAGACTCATTATCAATGTTCAGAATTTTACAAGACTCAATTATCAGATGAAGCTGTCTTTGCTCGTAAGGATATTACAGTTTTGCCTTATGGATCTATGAAATATGAAGTTAATATGACTTTATTAGATGAAGTTTATGATAAATATAATAATAGATCAAATCAATCAGATTCAATTATGAATATTATACAGAATTTGGATAGTATGACTTTAAATGATACAAAAGCAAGTAAAGATGAAATGATGGATAATATGAATCAAATGTTACAAGATATTAAAATTGTGGAAAAAGATCCAGAACCTCCAATTATAAATAATATTGAAATTGTTGATGTTGATGTTGATGATAACACTCAATTGAATATTAATAGTGATGATGAAGATGATGTTGAAAATAATGATAAAAGTTATGAATATTTACAAGACCAATCCAAAGCTATAAATGGATACGTCTTACAAGTGTGATTATTATACCATGCTGATATCTGATTACAAGTACCCTATTATAACTCTATGTACATTAGCTCTATAAATTATGATCTTGATGACCTATATATATACATATATATGACTGTTTTTTATGCAATTCTTTATGTTTCTATGTATTTTTATGTTTCAATTTTCTAGTTTCCATACGATATCTTTTAACAATACTTGGTAATGTTTCTTTTGATAATAATTCATCATATGCATTACTTTCTTGAACTTTTTCAACCATTTCTAAATAACGATCTCTAAATTTATAATGTTTCTGATTTGAAATTTCCTGATATTGTTTCATCTTTATTGGTAATACAAAATTTTCAAATTCTTTAAAATATAATCTATTCGATTGAACAATCTTAAATTGATCATTTGCAATTGTTTTCAAAGATTGTTTCCATGGTTTATCATCACCACCATATAATTTTTCCCAATCACCTTCCATTTCATATAATGCTTGTTCCACAGGGTTTGTTGATAAATGTCTCATATCTTGATATGCTTGTTCTGCTCTAACAGCTGATAAAGTTACCTTATGTAAAGAATGACTTTGTTTCCATGGAGTTCTTAAAAATGTAGTATCATTATGCAACGTTTTTCTAATATTATATGGACCTCTAGCAATTTTTTGTTCTGCAATTTTAATATTAAATTCTGCTCTTTTAAATAATGCTAAAGGTTTAATTAATTCTTCTTTCATTATTGGATCAATATCTTTTGGTAATGGTAATTTACCATATTTATGCTTGTATCTAATGAATGATGTGATATAATTTTTAGTTTGTTGCTCTTCAAGTGGTTCAAGATTTCTTATATTTTTATGTAATTTAGGATTTAATTGTTTCTCTCTATTAGTGTTAGAATGTAATCGAAATTTTTCTAAAGATGTTGAAGATTTCAATGGTTCCAAAAGTTCAAGATCCCCAAGCAAACAAAACTTCTTTAGATTATGTTCAAATTTAACAGCATTAATCAAACTTTTTTGAGCTTTTTCAGATGAAAGATAACTTTTACCAATTTTAAATTCATGTCGTACTTTATCAACCATATCTCTCTTCAATGATCTTTCCAAATCCACATTCTTCAACTGAGTTTGGATCCTCTTGTACAACCCTGTTACAAGATTTCTATGAGCCTCTATAAAGCTGAAATGAGCCACCATTATCCTATGGAACAAAACAAAATCCAAGATCAATATGTCTTACCAGTACTAAAATCAGGTATAAACTTTTCATTTCGCGCTTTTTTTCTATCAAAATTTATGAATTTGATAAACTTTACAAAACATCAACAAGATCAACAAAGAAGCAAATATCATCAGATACTCGAGTAAGAAATGGTGAGTTGACTACAATCTATGATGTTTTACTCATTACTAACAATTAATAGTCTAAAGCATCCAAAGAAGTAGCCATCCAATTGAAGAGAAAGAAGCAAACTTTCGTCTTGGTTGTTAAACCAACATCAAATGCCATAATTGTTCAAAAAGAGTTACATCAAATAATACAGGCAATTGGAGGACTTGGTGGTAATGAAGACGATGTGGAATCTGGTGAGAATGGTGATGAGGATATTGATATACCCGTTCCAAGTTTCCAAACTTCTGATTCTGATGATGACGCTGATGATGATGAAAATAAAATGAACGATATCAAGAGTAATGATAATAAAACTATTCCAGATTTAAACAATATAATACTTGGTGAACCAAGGGATAAGAATGATCCTTATGGTTCAGGTTTTAAAGAAGTCAAAGATGTTAAAAAAGGTCTAGATCTTGTTGATAATAGTATATTAGCTTTCAAATTATCAGATGAAGATGAATTTGATGTAACAGAACCAATAGATTTGGAAGAATAGAGAAATATGCGTTTGTTCATACTGTGTTTTACAAATATAAAATGTTGTTTTCCATAAAACCCAAAATACCCGTATCGTTAAAATATAATTTACACATCATTTTTTTTAATAAGCCAATAAAATAATCATTAACTCATTATAATTTTTATTTATACAAAACCCCTAGTAATATAATTTTTAATAAAATAATACCAACAAAAGCAATGAATAAATCTAGTTAACTAAAGCTGAAGCAGTAGCTGATTCGTATTTCCAGTTTGGTGGTAAAACAGCAACAGTTCTGTAGTATCTAGCTAATCTGTGGATTCTTGATTCGATTAAAATTAATCTGAATTTAGAATCTTTATCTTTTCTGTTTCTTTCTAAATGTTTTCTAACTGAAACAGCTTTTTTAATTAAGAAGTATAAATCTTCTGGAATTTCTGGAGCTAAACCATTTGATTTTAAAATTCTTAAAATTTTGTTACCAGTGACAACACGGGTTTGGGAAACACCATGAGAATCTCTTAATAAGACACCGATTTGGGATGGGGTTAAACCTTTTCTGGCGTATTTGATGATTTGTTCAACAACGCTGTCAGATGATAATTTGAACCAAGCTGGAGCGTTTCTTGAGTATGGAAGAGCTGATGATGAAATACCTTTACCCTGTAAGAAAAATTGTTAGTAAATCCAAATTTCTTTAAATTTTTAATAAAAAAAAATAAAGAGGCACTCAATCATATGGAATATTTCACCAATATGAGAGCTTGAAGAAAACTATGGATACATAAATAGAATTGAAATGAGTTGATGAAAAAAAATTTCCAACCCAAATCAAAACATGTATCCATGCTTTAGAAAAACTGGTATCAAACAGCAACGAAATAAAACAATCTTTAAGTGATATTCCCCAAGAAATTAATCTTGTAATTGGTAGATAAGACCAGCAAATTTATAAAAGCTTCCAATCACGGATAAACATTTAATAAACATTAGTGATAAAATAAATCATAAAGATCCAAATTATCCACCAGTCTTCAATCTCCAAAAGAATATCAGATTGTAATACTCAAAACCATTTTGACCCGAATTCATTACGTTTCAACAATAAAGAACATGAACTTTTTAACAAGTCAAGTCTTCTCTCAATCCTTTGATTCATAAATGAATAACCCCTGTGTATCACCACATAAAGGAGGGATCAAATATTTCACTCAGACTGAAGCACCTATCTTGTTTCCACATACTGAACTGTGTAATCTACCCATTTTGACTGATTTTCTTAGATGATGATTCTATTAAAAAAGTTGTAATAAAAGTTGAACTGAAATAAATTTTCATTTTCTTCCATATTCAAAAATTTTTCACGAAATTTGAGATTTTGGAAATTGGGGACACACAAAGGAAAACTAAAAAAGGTGTTTGGATGTTGAGATCTTTCAAAAGTTCCAATTTCCTTTTTGGGATGAGTCGCGAAGCAGTCACAAACTATTTAAGTATGGGAATTAAGCCATGATTATTAAAGAGAAGGTTATTCATGATTCTACAATTATGATCGAGTATTATCTATGATTGAGATGTATTATCATATAGTCATTGTATCATTTCACTTGTTCTGCAATATCTTCGAAATCTTCTTCATCACCAATTTCAATTAATCTATAGTTATGTTAGTACCGTTGTGATCAATATCAAACTTCAAGAGAACAGTATTCTATTACTTACTTTGAAACACCAGCTTTCTCTCTAATTAATTCCACTGCAGCCGCGTATAACATCCGTAGTGATTGAGTTGATGTTGGTGGTAACCAATAAATAAGAACCAATGGAGATGATTTACGTCCATCAGGTAATGTTAATGGATGTGATAAAACAACATATCTTGGACTATTATCAGGTAATTCTTCTATTAACTCTTCTATTGATGTGATTGGACTTTCTGCACTTTCATCTAATTTGATTTCATATGTATTCTTATCAATTTCATCTGGGGTAAATTTGGTTAGTTTTAATGACTTGTATAATTATGTCTTGAGAACATTTCATTTAAGTTCTTGATCTGAAATAGATATTCTTCAAGTCGAATTGAAACAAATAACATCTAGAATATCAATTTGAAACGTTAGTTATCACATACATATTAAAGCTTGAATATCATCACTTCTTGCACTTCCAAATCTAAATTTACGAAGTTTTTGAATAGTCTCCTCTGAGAATGAATATAACCCTGTAGACTGGAATATTTGTTAGTATATTAATCAACAATTTCCTTGCCCGAGATTTTACTCACCATATTATCTGTAAATAATCGATACGTTTAATCTCTATAATATTCAATTGATATGTACTCAGGTTTAAAGTACGTTGTCATTAATAATTGTCGACGTTTGTTATCATTTTGCGTATTTTGATTTTATGCAAAGCGATCGCGAATGCGTCCTGTATTCTTAAATTGTGTCAACTTTTAATATATTTCAGATAAACTTTAACGCTATTTTACTCTAAATTTTTGTTTGTTAATATACTGCTTTTATTATGTATTAATATTTTTAAAAGCTCTAAATATATGTTGAGTATGTCAGATCATGGATTAGAGCCGTTTAAAATTTTTGGAAAAAATAGGTATTGAACAAATCACAGTAAAAGTTTGCAAGTGAAGGTACACTTTTTTAAAAGTTGAAAAAAATCCAAATTTCAAACTCCATTTATGAGCTTATAATTTATATAATGAGATAAGTGAATATCTCAAATGAAAGGACTACAATTTTATTGCAAGAAATAAGTGAAGGGTAATGTTGTTTTGTACGTTTAACTATCTCGAGAGACTTCTCGGCCGAGAAAATTATATAACCGGCAGGTGTTATACCAATTAAAATCTATATAAGTATAATTAATCTGTGGTAAACTAGAGGTTCCTGCTTATAACTATCGCCAAAACAACTATGGAAATTAGCTGCATGGATCTCATACTATTATATACGAGCAGTAGAAGCCACTATATATATATATTGAACTGTGTTCGGCCTCGAGATAGCTTATGAATTAGTTTGCAGGATCGAACAAAAAATTCCGATGCACAGTACTTATATTATCTACAAGGTATCTAGCAATATAATTTTGGGAATCAAGTTAAAACACTATATTTAAGCCATTTAAAATTCCACTTCAGAACCAATATTTTCTTTAATAGCTCTTTCTAAAATTTCATTACCAACTGAATTATCCATGATACTTAATCCAACAATTTTACTTAATGTTAAATTTTGACCATTATTAATTTGAGAATTTTCCACATTATCTAATTCACCAGTCTCTATAACATTTGATGTTGTGACATTATTTTGAATTAATTCACCAGCTTCAGCTAATGTATGTTCATAAGAATCAACAATAATTTTACCATTTGATAATGCCTTTTTAACTAGTTCATTATCAACTTCCGCCATATGTGGTTTATAACTACCAATTAATGAGATGAATGTTTTTTCGGTTTTGTTCAAGTTTGAATATTTGATTTGTGGTTCAGTTGATGGTATACATCCATAAATGACTGATGATTTTGTCAAATCAACTTTGGTTTGATCAATCAGTTGTATATCAATTAATGGATACTCTACAGCTAATTCTTTTTGTAATTCATTAGATTTTTCATTAATTGAACGAACTGCAATTTGAACATTTGTAAATAATCCAGGATATAAATCTAATGTTAATTTAACATGCCAATAAGCTTGTAATCCATTCCCATATACTGTCATACCTTGATTGGATTTATCAGCTTCCACGAATTTCACCAATGGGATAGTGGAAGCCAAGGCAGTTCTAAAAGCTGTTAAAGATCTAGCATTTAATACACCTAATAAATCACCACTATTTGGATCAATGATTGATACAGCTCCACTAAACCCCTTTTTTGAACCACCTAATGTTTTAACACCAACTTTTTTAGAGAATGAAGGCATAAAGAAATGACCAGCTTCTGCATTGTCTCTTTTAATCACAATTCTTTCTGGGATCAGAGTTGGATCTTTGTTGTAATCTGATAATGCTGTTTTGAGTACTTTTTGGAATTCCAAGATTCCTTCTCTTGATTGAGATTTCAATAGATTTTCAATTTGTTTATCCGATATGACTCTCATTTTAACTAATTAATATTGAATGTGCTTTGATTATATCAATTGATTCTTTTTAATACGGTTTAATTGACATTTTTACTTTTATTACTCCAAGATTTCAAGGTGTTGATTTGAAATCGTTCCTGTAACGGTGCTGGAAACAATAAACTCAAATCCGAAAAATCGAGAAACCTTTTATACTCAACCCACAAACGACATCGAATTCAACTTCAATTGTGACTACAAAGTTTGCAGGCAAACACCATAGATCAGTGGAAATGTCAAACACAATTATAAAGCTTGAGAATGCCCTATTCAAGGGACTTTCCACTGCAAAGGGATCTCCATCAGTTTTCCATAACCCAATATCTTTAGAGATCAAGACTAATGAAAGATGGGCTATAATAGGAACTTATAAAGCACAAATGATGAAAGTATTAGCATCTCAATATATGCCAGAACCAGCATTATCTAGGACATACCCTTTTTTAAATAAATCAATTTGGCCTCAATCAGCTATTCAATTTTTAGAATTTAAAGGTGCATTACCAACAGCTCATTTAGCTGCAAGATATGAATTTTTTAAAGATGAATTTGATGAAACTACAAAGAAATTTGTTATTGGTAATGTTAATAATAATTCAAGAATTATAAATGAAGATTTAGTTCATGAAGTTTTCGAAAAATTAAAATTACAAGGTTTAGAGAACAGATGGGTTATGGGATTAAGTAATGGACAAACAAGAAGAGCAAGATTAGCAAGAGCGTTAGTTCGTGAACCAAAATTATTATTAGTTGATGATCCATTCTTAGGGTTAGATCCAACTGCTACAAGTGTTGTTAGTGAAGTTTTAGGTTCATTAGCTCCAAATCCTCATGTTGTTTTGGGGTTACGTTATCAAGATGAAATACCTGATTGGATTACTCATATTGCAGTTGTTGATGAAACTGGTATAATAACCCAAGGTGAAAAATCTCAAATTAAAGATCAATTAGAGGAGTTAAAATCAAAGGATTTACAATTAAAACAAGAACAATTATCATTTAACAAAGAAAAATTAGAGAATATTAAAAAATTATTCCAAAAAGATGGTAAAATAGACTATTCTATCCCATTATTAGAATTTAATGATATTTCAGTTGCATATAGAGGCCAACCAGTTATTGAAAATTTAAATTGGAAAGTTCATCATGGAGAAAGATGGCATGTTAGAGGTGATAACGGTACAGGAAAATCCACATTATTAGCATTAATAACAGCTGAACATCCACAATCATGGAATTCAAAGATAATAATGAATGGTGAACCTCGTGAAACTGGGAGACATAATTTCTTTGATATAAATGAAAACATTGGATTTGCTTCACCTGAATTACACGTTGTTTTCCCTCAGTCATTAACAGCATATGAAGCTATATCAACAGGTTATTTAGTTTCAAGTTTTGTACCACCAAAGAATTTATCACAAGAAAAAATTGATAGAATTAATACATTTTTCAAAGAATTTAATTTAGAATCTATTAAACACAAGGAGTTTAGAGATTTAGGTATAAGTGATCAAAAATTGATATTATTTATCAGATCATTAATTAGAAATCCTGATTTATTAATTCTAGATGAAGCTTTATCAGTTATGGATGATGCTAGGATTGAACAATGTAAAGAATTATTAAGACATTATCCTGGTACAATTTTATCAATTGGTCATTTAGATTCTGAAGTTCCAGATACAGATAGATATATTAGACTTTTAGGACCTGGTAAATATGAAATTGGATTGAAATAGATGATGAATTGTTTCACTAGACATTTGTAATATAATTCTTTATTTGAAGATGGTATCAAAGACTACATTTTCCAAGCAAAATATAATGAAAAAAAGATCATCAATAAAGTTCACCAAGCAGAATACTAACCTTATTCAAGTCCATATATCAATACTTGGCTCTTCATTGGAATTCTTGTGAATTGTAGAAACAGTTATATAGATATATTTGAATTTTATTAATCCATTATATCAATACATGATGTATATGCCTATTATCTCAATGTTATAGCTCATCAATATACTCACCTATAATCATAACAATTATTACTGATCTATTGAATTAATTATATTGACATAAAAAATTCGAGAACTAGAAACATCTGCACGCAATAAAGACTAAGAAATGAACAACCTAAACACAAACTTAACCAACTAGCCTTCCCAAAACTATTAATTAAATTAACAATTTGATTGAGAATGCAATTAACAAAGAAAACCATCAATGTATTCAAAAGGTTATATTATAATACTTATATATTAATATTGTATATTTTAATTTTTTTAATTTCAAATTTAAGTTTGATCAAACATGAAATTTCGTTATATAGCTATATTCTCAAGTCTAGACCACGAAATATAGCAAACACAGCTTTGACCCACACTATATATAATATATATATACCATATATACCAGTGATACTCCACAAGACTATTATCACACTTAGTCAATATACAATCATTAAAAAAGATGATGATGTTGATGGTGTTTTGTGAATTAAAGAGAGTCTCCCTATATTAATATGTCACCTCCGCAATCCTGTTGCACTTTCCTATTTGGAAACACGCGTATAGATTCTCGAGAATTGGTGAATCCATTGAAGACCGATATAAATACTTGTAAATGATCCATTGAATTGTTTCAAAGTTCTTTATATTCAATTCATCAACTACACTTATACACAATGTCAAGTACTTCTACAAAAGATCAAGAATTGATTGATTTCGCATATAATCATTTAAATTTAAACATACCAAAAGGTCATGATGAATATGAAAAAATGATTTCAGGTATCCCATATGAAGCATGGAATCAACAATTACAAGAATCAAGAGAAGAAGCACATCAAAGTGCAAAAGAGTACTCGGCCATTTCATATAGAGGTAAATCCATTGATGAATTTAACAAAGAACGTCATGATAAATTAACTTCAATGTTTGGTAAACTTAAATCAAGTGCCACAATTGAAGCTCCATTATCTATAGATTATGGTATAAATACTTATATTGGTGAAAATTTTTATGCAAATTTTAATTTAACTTTATTAGATTCTTCAATTATAAAAATTGGTGATTTTGTTGAATTTGGTCCAAATGTTGTTCTTTGTTGTGCTACTCATCCTTTAGAATCTGATGAAAGATTAGCTGCTGATGGGGAATGGTCAAGAGCAATCACCGTGGGAAATAGAGTATGGATAGGATCAAATGTCACTGTTTTACCAGGTGTTACTATTGGTGATGGTGCAGTGATTGGTGCAAATTCAGTTGTTACAAGGGATATTCCATCTTTTTCAGTTAGTGTTGGAGCTCCAGCTAAAGTTAAAAAACAGTTGAAAGGGTACACAGGTGAAGTTATTGCTGATATTAAGTATTAGAGATAGATAAATAGAATAGCTAGACAATGAATATGTAAATAACATCAATTCCACTACTTTGTAATATAAATCTAAAAAAATCCCATAGTTAAGAGTTTATACTGATTACATAACAACTGAATAATCTCAGTCTTTCAAATCTTCGCGAATCCCCAAATCGGTCGTCGATTCTCGAAAATTGTGGTGATAAATAAAAGTTACTGACGTGTATCTGAAAAATAACTTGTACCCTTGTTTAATTAAATACACTTCAATTTCAATTCAATTCAACTACCACATTACCACAATGAAGTTCTTTTCTTCCCTTTTGGCATTCTCCCTTGTGGGCCTAGTCTCTGCCCAAGCTCTTTCTGAAGAAGAGCAATTAGCTAAAGTCGCTGCTGCTGATATTTTACATCCAGATGAACGTGAAGGACATTACGTTGATCCAAATGAACAAACTCCATTTTTATTCGATATTGATTATAATATCGTTAATAAACCAAATGCTGCTGTTTTAGAATTCTATAACGGTGAAGAAATCGTTTTGAATTATACTTTCACTAATCATGAAGATTCAGAAGTTACTCTTGTTGGTCTTGGTGGTCAATTTACTAATCCTGCTAATGGTCAAACTGTTGCAAATATTACTGATGCTAAATTAGGTCCTTTAATTGTCCCATCAGGTGAATCTCAAGTTTTCACTCAAAGATTAGGTATTAATTTACCAGAAACTAATTATTTATTAGTTCCAGGTATTTATATTGTCAAAGATAATTCTTTAGCTTTATTATCTGCTAGATCTCAATTAGCTATTGTTACTGAAGCTTCAATTTCAATTTTCAATCCTCAATTATTATTCTTGGAATTCTTATTACTTGCTACTTTAAGTGTTGGTGCTTATTATGTCTATATTAACTATGGTGCTAGTTATTTCAACACTGCTTCTAAAACTGCTACTACTCCACAAGTTGCTGGTAAATCAGGTGAAAGACCAAAAATTGTTACAACTGATAGTGGTAGAAAAGTTGTTGATGAATCTTGGTTACCAGAACATCATGTTAAAAAAGTTAACAAAAAAAACAAAAAAGCTAATTAGATTTTTAGTTTTTTATCAAATTAAATAAAAGAAGAAGATGAAGATGAGGATTATATCTGTATGTTAACGTATATGATATAATTCGTTAAATATATTTAAAAACACCAAAAAATCAGTAATGATGTGGTAATAATAAATGCATTTTAATTATATGACTATGCTTCTAATTGTAAATCTTGTAATAAATCTTCAATTTCATCAAGATCTTTTTGATAAGATTTATAACCTGGTAATGTTTCAACAAATTCATTTTTTTCACCTTCGAATAATCCTTCAAAATCAATTTTCCATCTTTGAAATGTTAGTATAAATTAGATCTCTAATAAGGGTTTCTTAAAACATACTTTTTAGCAAGATAAAATCTTATATCATCAATCAGTTCAATTGTATCAGTTTCTTGACGTTCTTTAATTCTTTGTGAACTCTATAATATAACAGTTAGTAATGATTCACACGAGGCAAATGCCATGTTTTACATACTTCCAAAACAATATTTGCAAATTCAGAATCTTTTAAATAATTTTCCAAATTATTTGCAATTGTTTTAGCAACATAATGTTCTAATCTATCAACTCTAGTTTCCCAACCTGCTCTCAAAATATCATAAAGATCATAACCATCAGGTAATGAATCAGATGTTGTTAATGTAACAGCAGCCATTGTTTTCAATCGTTCATTTAATAATAAATCACCAGCGAAAAGAACATCAATTGCATAATTTAATGGGATTTCTGAATGATCATAATAAAAAAATCGAATTATAATTTCAGCAACTTCTGATGATGACACGGGTAAATGAATTGTAGGAATTGTTGTTGATCTATCAATGATTTGATGAGTGGTGTTTAATTCATAAATTGTTGATTCATGAAATTGTGATGAAAACATAACTTTAAAATAATCATCACGAATTAAGATTGCACGATGTACGGGATAAAATATGTATTTATCATCATTCTCTTCATCATCTTCATCATTCTCTTCATGAACTGATAATATAATATCTGGGAACCCAACAGATTTCTGGAATGTTTCAATTTGATCATCTGTCAATGCTTCTTTATTTGATATAATTTTTTTATTAATAATTTCATCTTCAACTAATTTTTGGAAATCATCTCTTGCACTTTCAAACATTCTAATTTGGAATTCATTCATTAATTTTGCCTTAGCTTTAGAATCATCACCAGCTTTTATAAGATCTTCAATTATTTTAATGAATTCATTTAATTTAATTTTTTTACCATATGATAATAATAAATTATAATCAATCTTGTCAAATTTTGAAGGATTATGATGTAAATATAAATAATCCACCACTATTGAGAAAGCATTAATATCTGAATGATCAGTTAATTTAATTAAATCTTTTGTAGACCATGAATTTATTAATTTTTCACGGAAATATTTACTCCTTGTACTTAATAAAAATCTATGAAGTCTTAACTTGGAATCATCAGATAATTCAAATGCAATATCTTCAGTTAATAACGAGGTACCATTCAACAAGGAACGGAAATGTGAGGCAAATGGTAAATTTGTATCAACTTTTTTAGAAATATCATAAGAAATTAATAAATTTCTAATTTGATCAGTTAATGCCCCATAAACTGCACGAATTGATTCTCTTTTATCAATATCACAAATAGCACCTCTTTGAAGCAACATCCTTACAATTTCCTCATGTCCACAAAGACTAGCCAAGTATAATGGAGTATAATCAAACTTATCAACTTGATTGACCTTTATTTCAATATTAGTTTCTATTGTTCAGATCTAGGATAGGTAGTTAATACTCACATTGACACCGGTGGAAATGAGTTTATCAACACTTTCAATGTCTCCTACTCGACAGGCAAAACACAAATCATTGAAGTCCTTGTCATCACTCATCTTTAACAACTTCACACTATATTCAATCAGTACTCTTTCCAAACTTTTGTAATATTTCAAGTACAAAAGATAAAGATGGCACAAATCTCGGATTTCGCGAGCAGCTTTTACATAATCTTTGGCGAAACATTGGCTATACTGTTTTATACTCAAAGAATGGACAACGAAGAGTTCAATTGACAAGGAGGAAAGGTATATATAGGATTATAGTATTAGGCTGGTGATATTACAAGAGCAAAGAATAGATCAAAACAGAGCACAACAAAGTATCACACAATGAAGATCTTCTTCAATGCTAGACCAAGATCGTTTATACTAGTTTCAAATGATTATGCCTTAACATTACAATACATTTCAACAACTAGACAATGTTTGATCCAATACACTCCAGTGTCAACTACAGATTTTACAAATTATCAAGAAAGTACCAATCTACATTATTATGGTCTTGCTGGTGTGTTGGAGATTAAAGGTTATGTGTTTTTTTGTGTTATAACTGATCAAACACAAATTGGTAGTCCAAGACCATCTGAAGTTATTTACAAGGTTAAAGATGTGGAATTTTACTGTTTAAACTCTTTGGAGTTTGATAATTTGACTTTAAACAGATATAGTTCTGAATCAAATAGAGAACGTTATGAAAATGAACATCCATGTTCCAAAATTAGAAAATTATTAACTTTAGGTTTCTATTATTCAAGAGATTTTGATTTAACAAATAATTTACAAGAAAGAAGTCTGAATCATGATGTTAATCAAATGTTTACAAATTATGATAAGAGATTCCTATGGAATATTTTCATGATTCAAGAATTATTAAATTTTAGAAGTCGTATCCTAAGTTCTGAAAGATATTATTTAGATAGAAGTGAATTCCTTACTTTTTTGGTTAGAGGTTTTGCTAAAACTTTCAATACAGAAGTTGGTGGTGAAAGCTCATTAATAACTGTGATTTCAAGAATATCAAGTGCTAAGACAAGTGGTCCATTTGGTCTGACAGGTTGTGATGAAGATGGATTTGTTTCAAATTATATTGAATCTGAAATCTTGTTATATAACAAGACTTATTTCTTTGCATACACTCAAGTTAGAGGTAATGTCCCCATATTTTTCGAATTAGAAAATGCATTATTATCAAATAAAAGAATAAATTTCCCTAAAAGTGATGAAATGAATGAAGTTGCATTTGATAAACATATGGATTCAGTGTTAATGAAACATAATAATATTTATGTTATTAATGGATTGAAAAGCAAGACAAATGAAGAAGCATTAAGTAGTAGATATAGAGCATTGCTTAGGAAAAAGGGATTCCCAACTTTTAATATTGATCTTTCAAGAGATCAATTGAAAAATTCACCACATAAATTATCATATCAATTAAAAGATGCTATATTAGAAATTGGTGCTTTATGTTATGATGTTAAAAAGAAAGTTTATGTTGGTAAACAATTAGGTATTTTCCGTATAAATACTCTTAATTCAATTGAAAAACCTGGTTTAATGGAAAAAATTATAAGTTTAGATGTTTTAAATTTATCATTAAAAGAAATGGGTATACCATCATCAAATGATTTATTAACTAAACATAATTTAGTTTGGGATGAAAATAATGCAGCATTAATGACAATTTATGAAAAATCTTCAAGAAGACATGGTAAAAAGGCATTTGAAGGTATTTCAAATAATCCAGTTACATTACATGATCCAATTCATGATTATATATCTACAGAATTAACAAGAAGAAGGAAAGAATATTCATCAAGTACCAAGATTTCCATATTTTCAGGGAGTTTTAATGTTAATGCAGAAATGTCTGAACAAGATATTACACAATGGATTTTCCCTAATGATGATACAAATTGTGATATAGTTGTTATTGGTATTGAGGAAATTGTGGAATTAACAACAAGTAAAATGCTGGTGACAGATATAATTAAAAGAACATTTTGGGAAAATAAAATTAAAAAAACTTTAAATACAAGAGATAAATATTCATTAGTTTGGTCATCACAATTAGGTGGTATTGTATTAATATTATTTGTTAAAGATGATAAATTAGGTAATATTAAAGAAATTGATGGAAGTTTTAAAAAAACAGGATTTGGTGGTATGTCTGCAAATAAAGGTGGTATTGCAGTTAGTTTCCTTTATTCATCAACAAGATTTTGTTTCCTTGTTGCACATTTAGCTGCAGGTTTAGAAAATGTTGAACAAAGACATAGTGATTATAAAGCTATAGCTAAAAATATTAGATTTGCTCGTAATAGAAGTATTAAAGATCATGATGCAATAATTTGGGTTGGAGATTTTAATTATAGAATTTTATTAACAAATGAACAAGTTAAACAAGCTATTGAACTTGAGGATTATAATTTCTTGTTTGAACATGATCAATTAAGTAATCAAATGATTGCAGGTGAATCATTCCCATATTTTAATGAAATGGAAATTAAATTCCCACCAACTTATAAATTTGATAAAGGTACTAAGACATATGATACTTCAGAAAAATTAAGAATTCCAGCATGGACAGATCGTGTATTAAGTCGTGGTGCAATATTACAACAATTATCATATGGATCAGCACCAGATGTTACATTTTCAGATCATAGACCAGTATTTGGTATATTTGAGGCAAAAGTTACAATAATTGATGAAATTTTACAACAAAATTTAACTAAAACATTATATGAAAAAAGAAAATTAGAAATTGGTAAACAAGGTGGTATATCACAAATTTTAAATAATGCAGCAACCCAAGCTCAATTATTTCCATCAAATACAATTAATTCAAATAATAATCAAAATAATAATAATCAAGTTAATAATCAAAATAATAATGATTTTAATAATAGTACATCACATGGATTACCACCACCAAGTTCTGATAAAAGTAAATGGTGGATCGAGGGAGGACAATCAGTTAAAGTTGATTTAGATATAAATGATGATGAAGTTGTAATAAATCCTAATCGTCCTTCAAATCCTTTTGAACCAACAAATGAACCAGATTTTATATTGAGATGAATAAATATTTATAGAAGGGGGCTTTTTTTTATTCTTCTTTTGTAGCATTTTCTAAATCTTTTTCCACTTGAGCTAATTCTTTATGGATTTCATTTAATTCTTCAGGAGATTTACCTAAATCCTGGGCTTCTTTTAATAATTGATCCATTTTGGATTCAATATTATCCAGCATTTGTTCTAATTTTGATGCAGTTTTTTCTCCTTCGTTTAGTTTTTTATAAGTATCTGCGAATTCTGCATCACTGAGTCCCTGTTGTTCCTGTGTCATCTTGGTCTTAATCGTTGAATGCTTTGTTAGTGAAAATACCAATAAAATAGTAAATTCACGTTGTTCAAAGAATTCAGATTTCCTTAAATTCGCGGGCTCAAAAGCTCAGAAATTTGGCGTTCGAAAATTGAATACGTGTAAACAGAAACAAAATCACACAGAATTTGAACAAAATTAAACAGATTGAAACCAATTGAACTCTTGTTTTCTCATAGCTATAAGATGTTGTTGCTCAATGGAATCACAGTGCTGTTTATGGCTGTTTTCACAATGGCTGTTTCCGTTTTGGATCCAGCCACTTTGGTGATATATGACCCAAAATTAACTACATTAGATGAAATCTCCCAATATACTGAAAGTTTAAACCAAAGACAATTTCAATTAACTTTTAAAGAAGTTGGTGAAACTATTCAATTATTTAAAAATCAAGAAAAGTTATATTCAAATGTCATTATTTTCCCAACTAAATTAAGAACAATTGGTGAAGAAATTAATGGTGCTAAATTATTAGAATTTTTCAATAAAGGTGGTAATATCTTAACTATAACTAATCCAGATGGATTAAGTGAATCTACTAGAACTTTCTTAAACCAATTAGGTATTTATCCAAGTCCAAGAAACCATGCTTTATTAGATCATTTCCAATATGATCCGAAAAAAGCTAGTGATACTCATGATGTTGTTAAATTAAATTCTTCAAATGTTATTGATAATGGTGCAATCATTCCAAAACAAGACGGGGATTTAGAATTTAATTATAAAGGTTCCACTGCAATTTTGGGTAATGGTAGATTAATTTTCCCAATTTTACAAGCTCCAACAACTTCATATACCAAAGATTTAAAAAATGATGATTTAATCTTGGAAAATAATTGGTCACAAGGTACTCAAGGTTATCTTTCTGTTGGGTTCCAAGGTTTAAATAATGCAAGAGCAGGATGGATTGGTTCAGATGAATGGTTTCAAAACGGAAATGATGATAAATTTGGTGGAATTTTAATTGATTCTTTAACTAAATGGATTTTACATGAAACTAAAGTTATTAAAGTTACACAAGTTGAACATTCTCATTCAGATGGTACCCTGTATGAAAATAGACCATATAAGATTAAAGATGAAATCATTTATAAAATTGCCATTACACAATGGGATCCAGAAACTTCTAAATGGATTCCATTTGAAGCAGCTGATGTTCAATTAGAAATTAAATTATTAGATCCATATCATAGATTAAATTTAATTCCAAGTGGTATTTTGGGAGATTCAACAATTTATTCAGTTAAATTCCAATTACCAGATCATCATGGTGTTTTCACATTTACAACAAATTATAGACGTCCAGGTTTAAGTTATATTGATGAAACAAATACAATGGCAATTCGTCATTTAGCTAATGATGAATATCCAAGAAGTTGGGATATTAGTAATTCATGGGTTTATGTTACTAGTGCTGTTGTTGTTTTCATTGGTTGGTTTATATTTGTTATTTTATTCATTTATTCTGGTGAATCATCAATTGATGGAAAGAAAGAGAAATGAATACATATAGATGAATAAATCACATATTTTGTTAATAAAACATAAAAATCTTATATTGATACCTTTTGTAGTCTATATAATGCACTCCTCTATTGCTTTATAATTTTAATATTTTCATCTTTTTTCCATTTTTCAAATTCATTTATTATCTTGGTTAATTCATTTGTTAAAGAATCAAGTGTCTTGGAAATATTTTGAAATTTTAAATCTAAAACAGGTTTTGTTTCACCAACAGTTTTCTCTATTAAAGCACCACCAATCATTCTAAAACATCTTCTTTCTTCAGAAGTTTTACTTAAAGTTTCTATAACAATTTTATGTTCTTCTTGATCAGATTTTAATTGATTAATTTTGGAAGTTAATTCATTGATTGTTGTTTGATATTGATTATATTTTACTTGTAGATCTGTAGAAGTGTTAGCATAGATACCATAAGCTCATAAGTATAATTGTCATACCTTCTGTGTTTTTTTGTGACATGATGAATTGCGTTTTGATTTGATCTATTTGGTTTCTTTGTTGATGTTCAAATCAATATTTTTCATATTAACTATGAAGAAAATTCTGGATATCGCGATTATTAAGATATAGAACTAAATATATTTATATTGGACCAACTTTGAGATCTCATTGATTTATAAGGTTAATATGTTATCATTTATCCAACTTATATAATTCATGATATTTCCATCTTTTTAACCCTTTTTTCCATGTTTAAATCGAAGTAATATAAGATAATATACAAGTCCGAACTACAACCATACATTCATATTTCACATAATTTCATTAAAACAAGTATAAAAAGATAAACACCAGTAAGCCAATAGGACCAACATGGGGCTCACACATTAATTGATTTCAAATATTGTTGTCTATATTGATTTTCATCAACAGGTCTAGTTAAAGGAATCCATTTTGGTTCATCTTTAAATAATCTAATAGCTTTAATAAAATTTTTTGTTGATAAAGTAAAACGATGATAAATCCCAGGAGGTAATATAATTAAATCATTTGCAAAAACTTTAATTCTAATCCATTCATCTTGAGCAGAACGAATATCGAAAAATCCTTCACCATCAATAACATAACGAATTTCTTCATCTTCATGAATATGTTCAGCATAAAAAGAATCCAATTTGGTTTTAAGGACATCTGGTGGGAATGAATTTGGACTAATTTCTACTTGATCTCTATTCTTATAATCTCTTTCTTGAGCAATGGTATTAACTTCATCTATTGTTTTAATATTATAATATAATAAACCTAATTTAAATAATTGTTCTTCAGAGACTGGTTTCCCAGAATCATGATCTTCTCTATAATCTCTTGTAAGATCGTTATCGTGATAAAAAGCTCTCATTGTGAACACTGTGACAATTGAATATGAATATAAATATGAATAAATAAAAGGAATTGAGTTCAATTAAAATCCATTCAAAAACGTTCTTAATTTCTCAAACTATGGCGTATCAAAGCAAAGGAAAATAATCACGTGCGAATATGAATAAGCATTATGTAATTGATTAGTAATACATATAAGTACAAATAATTTTAAATTAAATGCATAATTTTAATATATTTAAATGAATATAAAATCTATAAAGTGTTTGATGGTGGTTGTAGGTGGTTATGTGCTTAGTTAGGTTTCAAGGGATATGATGGTTCTTTTAATACCCTGGTTAAATATTTAGAAATATATTCAAATGAAACTAAAGTAACTGCACTTGCAGGTACTGTTCTTGTTAAATTTGTTGTAAACCCTTGGTAGAACCCTAATGAACCTTCTTTTTTATAAATATTAATTATTGTATTTATTAATGAATTTGATGATGTGGAATTGAATGATTTTATTTGCATTCTTGTTCTTAGGATTTCATGAGGATAAGTTAATGTACTTGCACACATCTTGGATAATGATGAAGCCATTATTAATCTTAATAAATTTGAATTATGATTTTGATCATCTTGTTTAAGGGATTGAGATTGAAATTTATCAACGTTTAAAATTTTTTTTAATTTTTCATAAACTGGGAAATGTATAGCAACATGAAATAAACCAAATAATGATGGTATTAATCCTGAATAAAAAACTAAAAAACCTTCATTTTTATACATTTTCCTAAAAGCATCAAATGTATTTTTATAATAATTATCATGTTGGAAAGTATTCCCTGTTGTTGTTGTATTTGGATTCGAATTAAAACTTATCTTACCATCACCAGTTTGTAACATTAATCTTGTTTTAACAACCCAAATAGGATTAGTTATAGATGTAGAAACTGAACCAGCAGTAAATGCACTAAGTGAATGTATTAAAAATTCATGAAATTCATTATCTTTATGATTTATTCCATAATGTTTATCAAAAAAATTTGGATAAAAAATTTTTGCCTTTTCATAAACAGAAAAATAAATCATCCATGTTGGGAAATACCCCAAGATTATTGGTGATAATCCTCTATATAGACCTCTTACACCTTCTTCATTGAATATTGTTTTTAATGTGCCCTTTATACCATGATATTTTTTTATTGATGATAAACCTTGAGCTTGTAATCTTGTTTTAGCAACATCAAGAGGACATACAGAAACACCAGCAATAAATCCAGCAAATGCACCACTCAATGCAATGATTTGAGTATTTGACCAATTTGGTGATATTAAATCTTTAACTTTATGATTATGTTGTTGTTGTTGTTGTACTATAGGTTTTGTAATTGGAGCAGATTGCATTGCTTTAAAATTATCATTTTGTAAAAAAGATTCATCATCTGATGGGATTGGATTGGAAGAAGTTATATCATTTGGAGATCCATTTGTTAGACTTGATTGAGAAGTACTCATGGCATCACCTTTTTAAAATAAATATTGGATATGGATTGATGGGTAGTATGGGTATATAGTATAAATATGGATCTTCAGACTTGGATAAACAGAAACAGTATTAGATAATGAGATATGATGGAATGTAATATGAATATGAATATGAATAATCAATGAATAAATAAAAATAATAAAAGATGTTGATCCAAGTAATATTACAAATAAATTGTTTTTATTGATTGTTGATTTTAGATTTTTCAAAGTGTGCGATCTTTTGAACTTTTTTTTTGGAAAATCAAAATTCGAGATTTTTAAAGTAATCACAATTGAAAAGTATTGATTGTAACTCCGTTGATGATGAAGGTGATGAAGTAGTTGGTGTAGTTGATGTCTGTATAGTATTGTAGTGTGATTGTATTCTATCTATTGTGTTTACCTTCTTCCTCCCATTTCATTCCCACTGTTTTCGTTTTTCTCACAAATTCACAATTTTTCATTCGATCATTCATTCAATTCAATATTGTAGGATCCCGAAGATGTGAAGGTTTAAGCGATGAACAGAGAACACAGAGAACAATAAAGATTAGGGTATTGAAGACATAGACTATAAAGACAATGGTATAGACTATCACAGAGTATATATTTGTATATCTTATAAGTTACATCATGTCCATTGTTCAGCCATCTGGGGTATTAAGACAATACCTAAAGACCGATAATACAATATAACTTCAAAAACACCATCCATAATTAAAAAATATAAACAAAAGTATAACTATCTAGCTATAAACAAAAGAGAAAAGGTATAAATAAGAACTGAAGAAAAGAAGAAGAAGAAAAGAAGAAGAAAAGCCAAAAAGAATTGAATTTTAATAAAACAAATAAAAGAACTGAAATATTGAGAGATTAAGAACTATTATTAGGTATTAATAAAGCAAATAATAAGCCATATGAAATAAACCCAATGATTGAATCAATTGTAATCATAAGCAAACAATAAACATTATAATCATTTTGAGCCATTATAATCATTATAAACTTTCGCTACCGCTCAAGTTTATTTGTTTAATGATTCTGACCAAATTGATAACCCACATAACCATTATCATCATACCCAAACCATCTATTCCCCTGGATAACATTATTCCCCTGGACACCACCACTTGTATTCCCACCAACACCACCTGGAATATTATTAAAATTTGTAAAAGGTAAAGAATTCCCAGATTGTAATGATCCAGTATTATTTGATTGTGAGGAGAAAGGTAATGAAGAAACTGGTGTATAAGAACCTTGTGGGATTAATGTTGGTTGTGGACCTTGTCCTTGTTGTCCTTGTTGTTGATTTGGTGGTGGATTGAAATTTGGGAAATTATTACCAGATAATTCAGTTTTAATAATTGGTGAAATATCTGATTTATGTTGTGATGATGGTGATATTGATGATGCTTGAGTTGTATGACGACGTGGTGGAGGAGGAGGATGATGTGGGATTGTTGGTGGTGGTGGTTGTTGTTGTGGTCCATGAGAATTTGATTCATTTAATAAAGGTGGTTGATATTGAATTGATGGTGAATAACGAGGATATTGGTAAAACATTGGTAGGTTATTTAAATCTTGTTGTTGTGGTGGTGGTGGTGGTGGTAAGGAAAGACCTTGTGATGGTATTGTTGTAGGTTGTGGTACTGGTGGTGGTGGATTTGAAGAAGGTTGTTGTTGTGATGTATTTGTTGATGTTGTTGTTGATGATGATGATGGAATTTGTTGGGGTATAGCTTGTTGTTGTTGTTGAATTGATGGTCTATTTTGTTGATATTGAGGTTGTAAATGAATAGCAGGATTAAAACCCAAAGCAATAGCATTTGGATTTGATTGATCCATAAAATAAAAAGCTTCATCTTCTAATGGAATTTTCCCACCAAGTGAACTTTCTTTAACTGCAGTCCATAATTCATTTGATAATTGAATTTTTGACAATGAAGAATTATTATCAACAGGTCTTGTTAATTTACCATTTAAGACATCTTCTGCACTATAATAAGAAATTAAATGAATAGTTTCAGTTAAATGAGTCTGGGTTGATAAATCTAATCTATTAATTGTTACACTCATGGTTTTTTTAATTAAACCATATTCTTTAAAAGCATATGATGTGACTAAAGAACCAACTAATGATCTATTTGCAATTGAATTTGATTGAGACCCATTATTATTTATTGAAGAATCATCAAAACTATTTTTCCTAATTGAACTAGAACTAGATGAACTTATTGATTTTTTTTTATCATTATATTTTGATTTTTCTTTGGAATTTAGAGCTTGACGATCTAATTCTCTATAAACTAAAAATCTACCTAGGATCCTAGAAGGACTCCAAGCAACACCATCAGTCCATCTTTTGATACCACTTCTTTCTTCAATAAATACAAATACATTACCACTTGATATTAATTGAGACCGTTCCCGATCATGAGGTCTTCTTGGGACTGTAAGCAATTGATTATTAAGACAAGCTTGAATGATTAATAGGGCATCTTTTGTTGAACCTATATAACCAATATAAGTTGGATTAATTTTTGTAGTTGATATAGACATTATGATATGATTCTAGACTTGCTTTTACCGTGAAGCCGGTGGGTATGTGAAGCAATGGATGTAGTGACAATAAGCTAATAGGATTGGTGTTGATGATATTGATTGACTATGAATATAATAATATAATATACTATAATATAATATAATATCAGTTGTCTAATCACTAGTAATACAATTATAATCAAAGTTTCCAATTACACTTTTAAATTTTGATCCTTTATTTCAAAGACAATGGATATTAAATTTACGAATAAGTGGGTTGCATTCGGGAGGGTGACCCATGGGCAGACAATTATATTATTATTATTATATATATTGATTATATATTGATTGAATACTTTAGTTAGTAGTTAGACTATATGTGTATCAGTGTATAGTATAGACTAGTGTATTAGTATTCTAGTATATATATCATTGTGTATTGTATAGTTGATATCATTAATGGTATTGTATTGTCTGCTTTGATTAAAATTAAATTGATTGTCTGATTTGATTGACAGCCGCTGATGTAAGTGATTAGTAATCGCATATTATGATTAGGTAATCACTTATATAAGCATTGAATTATTAAATCGCGTGTTATTATATTATATTATATTATATTGATATCTATGGTATATTGTATTATATGGGTATCTATTATATGATTATCTAGGGATCACACAATGCTACTTATATTATTACTACTACCACTGGTCTCATGTCTACCTCCATCACTCACTTCAAAATCATTCATACCAACATTACAACAATCCAATCTATCATTAATTGAATTCTTTAGTCCTTATTGTTCTCATTGTAAAGCTTTTGAACCAATATGGGAATCAACATTAGATCATTTTAACCAAAGTCAATATAACATTGCAATGCATCAAGTAAATTGTGTGGAACAAGGTGATTTATGTAACAAGGAACAAATTAGAGCTTATCCAAGTTTAAAACTTTATGGTCCCCAAGGGTTTATACAAGATTATCCTAAATCATTAAAACGTAAAGAATCTGATTTAATTGAATTTATGCAATCAAAATCAATTGAATTAAACACTGGACTGGATATAAAATCAAAATCAATACATTTAACTACTGAACAAATTATTAAAATAATGGGTGAATCACAATTAAAACCATGGTTAATTTCATTTTGGCCATCTTCTCAATTAGATAACCTAGATGAATTAAATTATAAAGTATTCCAACAATCTGAATATTATGAAGATTGTTTAACATTCCAAAGAATTTGGTCAATTTTATCAAATCAATTAACATCAAATTCAAAAGATTTCCAAATTGGTCATATAAATTGTCATGCAAATTCACAAATATGTAAAGAATTAGGTTTAGCCAATGACTTTATACCTCAAGTTAAATTTATTATACCAGGTTTTGATACTGCTAAAACTATTGATTATCATGGTGAATTAGATACAAAACAAATCTTTAATTTCGCCACCAGAGCAAAACAAATTTCTTCATTAACAAAAATTGATTCAATAAATTTATTAGATCAAACAAAAATTAAGACAAAACTCAAATCAATTGATACCATACCTGAACCTTTGGAAAATTATTTCATTTATTTATTTGATGAAAAATTAACAACAAAAGAAGATCTACAAATCTTACCATATTTATTACCAAAATTAATTGAATCACCAAATACAAAATTTTTCATTTCAAATGATTCAAATTTATTAAAAATTTTAGAAATTCAACAGAAAAATCTTGTTAATTATATATCATCAGATCAACAAAAATATGAATTTAATGAAGATAAATTTCAATTAAATTATCTTTCTTCATTACCTACTCTAATTAATTTTAAAGAATTATCATTATCTTCTTCAATTTATCAAAGTTTTGGTCCAATGGATTCTCGTGATTTAAATAAGTTAAATCAATTTATTGAAACTCATTCCAATCCAATTTTCAAAGAATTAACACCCAAATCACTTGACCTTAAGACTAAAGAATCAATGGTTATATTACCAATTCAACAACCAGGTCAATTAGACCCTTATCTAGCCAAGATTCATGAATATAATGAATTAATATCAAATACATCATATACCCAACTTTTAAACCAAAGATCAACAAAACAATCAAAAGCAAATTATTATAAAAATTTAAATGATTTTAAAAAAATGATTAAATCATTAAGAAAAGAAATTAAACAACCTTTATACCCAGAACCCAAATTTTTTTATATCGATTTATCAAAACATAAAGAATTGGATGGATTGGATTTAATACCTGGTGATTTAACAATAATTTCCCGGGGTTTTCAATATCAATCATATTTAAAAGACCTGAGTAAATCACTATTATCAATAAACAAGATAACAAATGGTTCAGTCCATGGAAGATTGATTAATTCTCCATATCCTGATTCTTTAAGATATTTGGATTATTTACATCAATTTGGAATTTGGGGTTATTTAGGGGTTTTAAGTGTTGTAATTATTGGTATTATTTGGAGAAGGAATAAAAGGGAAAGAGATTATTTACCACTGTTTGAGAAGAAGAATCAAGACTGAGGAACGAAGTCTTGTTGATATACATTCTTTATACATTCTATATACTCTATATACCTTTATCTATTAAATATTTGATACTTTCTGTAATTCTATGTACATCCCACACTTTTATTACCCAATTAGGCAATCAACAAATTTAAAACCGTGTTAATTCCACAATTTTTTTTTTTTTTTTTAAATTTTCTCCCTTTTTAAAATTTCCACCTGCATAAAAAAATCTTGATAAAATCTTGAAATTTAAAAAATCTGTTGAATTTCTAAAGTAACAATAAGTACAAAAGATAAGATTAAGTTTTGGAGGCCTTAATATACTCCAGCTTTTAAGGGATTAGGAAACAATGGTTAATCCAAAATTAAGTGCCATCACACAAATTGCTATTAAAGATTGGCTTCTAATCCTAGGTTTAATCTTTGGTGGATGTTGTTCAAATGTTTTCACATTAGAAAAAATCGTTACAACAAATCCAGATTCTGGTAATATTGTAACATTTGCACAATTTTTATTTATTGCTCTTGAGGGTTATATTCATTTTTTTGATAAGACAAGACCACCTTTTTATATTAAAGAGAATAAAGTTCCATTGAAAAGATGGTCATTAACTATTATTATGTTTTTTTTGATTAGTATTTTAAATAATTCTGTATTTATATTTAAAATTTCTATACCAATTCATATTATTTTTAGAAGTTCTGGAACTGCTGTTGTTATGATTATTGGTTGGTTAATTGCTAAAAAGACATATAATAGAACTCAAATTGCTTCAGCTTTATTATTAACTTTAGGTGCTATTATAACAACTTTATATAAAGATTCAGAATTTTTATCCAAGAGAGATGAAATTGAATCCACTGGTGGATTCTTAGAAACTATATCAAATGATGTATTATTCTTCATTGGTATTGGTGTGCTGTTATTTGCAGCTATCTTAATGGCCCTTTTAGGATTATATAATGAAGAAACTTATAGAAAATATGGTAAACATTGGCAAGAAAATGTTTTTTATTCTCATTTATTTGGTTTACCAATTTTTATATTCATTTTACCAAAAATTATATCAGAATTTAAAGCTTTATTAGAATATCCGGAAACTTTTAATATTTTAGGTTGGGAATTCCCTAAACAAGTTGTTTACCTGGGTTTAAATGTCCTAACTCAATTTTTTTGTGTTCGTGGTGCAAATATGCTTGCAGGTAATACCACAGCATTAACAGTATCAGTTGTATTATTATTAAGAAAATTCACAAGTTTATTATTAAGTATGTGGTTATTTAATAATAGTTTAAGTAAAACAGGTTCATTTGGTGCTTTCCTAGTGTTTTTTGGTGCATTCTTGTATAGTTATGGTTCAACTCAAAATAAATCACCTGTGGTTAAACCTCCTCAAGAACAACAAATGGAAATTAGGGAAGAAATTGAATTTAAAGAATTAAAACCAAATGATAAAGATGATGTGGAAAAAGCCAAATTGGCAGAGTAAAATAAAGATACAATACAATATATTCAAGATTAGAAAGTAGAAGTTGATAAAATAAATGATTTGAAGTTGATTATTTTGTATATACGCGAAACGAAAAAAATATTATACCGATTCCCGTTGAAAAATAAACAAAGCCTTGAAAAATCTTGAAATAGTACAAAATTATAGATATCACCATAAAAATAGATAATACCACCATACAAATACTACTAGAATAACCCAGATCACCATGGAAAATATAAAAGTCCCCACTATAGATCAGTTCTATTTACCAGAATGGTTAACCATGGAACTCATAGCATCAAATATCATTTCATTCACACCATTATTTTCATATGGTACTACAATATTATCAATTCAAAAAAAGAAAACTTCATTGGGGTTTTCCATTGATATTTGTGCAACGATGCTTATAGCTGCCTCTTTAAGAATTTGTTATTATTTTATTATACCATATGAACAAGCCTTGCTTAGACAAAGTATAGTTATGATTTTTATACAATTGTTATTATTAAGAACTTCATTAAAATTTAGACCAAGAGAATATGATTTTGATTTATTAGAACAATATGATGGGAATTTGAAAATGGATTTGGTGAGGGAATATCATGAATGGGATAAGAAACAGGGAAAATTTGGCATGGAATTATTGGTGTTGGTTCAAGGTATACTTAAAAGTGTGCTTAATAGATTTATAAATTTTTTTGATTCTAAATATCAAAGAATTGGTTCATTTTGGCAATGGAATAATGAATTAATGTATTGGAAATTCTTATTTAGATTCACATTAACCATGTCTTTTTTAACATGGGTTTTCAATGATTATTTAAAATTTGGTGAATTTTTAGGTACAATAGGATTATTTGTTGAATCTTTGCTACCATTACCACAAATTTTATTATTGAAAAAATTAAAACATGTCCAGGGGTTTAAATTATTATTACTTGTAAGTTGGTTAGGTGGTGATTTTACCAAGATTGGTTATTTAATATTTGGGGCTAAAAATATAAGTGGGATTTTTCTTTTTTTTGCATTATTTCAAATGTCATTGGATTTTTATATTGGGTATCAATATGTTTATTATAAATATTATTATATTCCAGAACCTCAATCTGTGGAATTATATGAGTTGAGGGTTTAATTTAGCGATCAGCTAAATTAAAATAAAACACCTTCATATAGAATTATCATATAATCTATGGAATTACATTATTGCATTATATAGACTTGCATATGCATAAATCATACATGAATTTTGATGAACTTTAAAATAAGTATCATATTTGTAATTACAATATATACATGATTATATACAAGGGATCTATATCAATCTCTATTCCATATTTTCTTTAAATCATTTTTTTCCTCTTTTGATCTTTTCAATAAACCTTTTTGTCCAAAAGCTCTTAAAATTTTAATGAATATATCAACTTCATCATCATTCTTTATGGTATTTTGTGAAAGCATTTTAATTTTTTCTTCTAAGAATTTTATACCCATTGATTTAATTTCATTTGGATTGTTCATTTTATCAATTTTAATTGAAATTTTTAAATCATCTTCTATGGATTTATATTTTGGATGTCTCATCTTGGTGTTTTGATTATTTAATTCTGTATTAATATAAACTTGGAACCCAATTGGGCTTTTCATAGTTCTTTCATTTAATTCTCTTAATTTTTCAATATGAGAATTCATATGATCTTGTTGTTTTTGTGATTTACCTTGGGGTTCTTCAATATCTTCTAATAAAATTTTATTTGATTTATATCCAGAATTTTGAATTGAATTAATTTCATCATCTGTTATTGGTGATGCTATAACATTCAACACTGATTGGAATGAACCCTTTTCCACGGCTTTAAAAATTAATCTAAATGATTGTAAGGGTAAATAATCTTTTGTAATTATATCCAATAAATCATTCAAGATTTTTATTGATATATTAAATTCATCATTACTCCATTTTGTTGATAATTTTGAATCTAATCCAATTGAATTAATTTCATCTTCTGGATCATTTTTGAAATTTTTTAAATTTATAAAATTTGATTTATCCTGTTTTAAACTTCCAAAATTATTTAAAATTTTATCAATTTTTTCTAATGGTAAATATTCAAATCCAAACATTCTTGAAATATTATGATATGCAACGAAAATACCATCCATATTACCAATCCTTGCTTGTAATGAATATTTTAATAATGTAGATTTAGATAATTCAAATAATTCTCTTTCAAATGATTCATATTCACCATTTAATTTATTAATTTCATAACCTGTTATAGAATCATATTCATTTTTAATCATATCATGTCTTACGGCACATACAGCTCTTGTTTTCAAATCAAATGTTCCATTCCCTGGTAATCTATCATCTTTACAATCTAATTGTGATCTTAAAAGGAAATCCCCCATTTTAGCATAATGATATGAATTTATTTCAGTTGGTGGATCTGTTGAATTGGAATCTAATCTATGTTTTTGGAAATGATCTGGTGTAGAAGTTAATAATTTCTCCAAAACATGACCTAATTGTGATAATAATATTTCTCTATCTGCAGATTTATCACTATCAATTGCATATTTCCCATGTCCCATATTTCTAACAATAACTGAACCTGGTAATTTTGCACTTTTGGTAAAAGTACCAAATTTATATTTTATATTTTTGGAGAAATCATCTAAATAACTTGGTCTAAAATTTGAAATTAAAAAATGTAAATGACTTAATATTCCAGTCATTGATGATGTTGAACTATAATATTTTGTATGGAGTTTGGAAGATAATTCCAACATTATTTTATCTTTTGATGAAGTGATATATCCGGGTATTAAATTCATATTAAATTCATCTAAAGGTATTATTTTCTGTAGGAAAGGATCAAAATTATAAACTTTTGATCTTGGATCTTGTAAAAATTGTGGACCATGTTGAAATAATACTCTTGATAATTGATGTTGTAATGGTGGTACTTCACCTTTTTGTTCCACTGGGATGGGTTCATAAATTGGATTTGTATTATATTGTTTTTGGAAAATTGGTGATTGAACATGATCATAAGCAGATATATGATCATCTGATTGATGCAAGGGGTATATTGCACCTGTAGCTGTTCTAATGCATTTTGAAAGATCTGATAAGTTATAATTTGATGATTTTTTAAATTTGGTATTTACTCCACGTTTACCAAGGTGTTTATGTTCCTTTTTACCCTTTTTAATCTTTTTCAATGATATATTTGAGTTTTTCAATACTTTAAGATCTTCCTTTTGTGAGTTAAACAGTTTGTTATATTTTTCAGATTGAAGTTTCTCAAATACGCTACCAACTTTATCCAAAGATGAACGTTGGGTATAAAACCTTTGTTGTTGGGACCTTATACCTGGACATTTCCTTATATGTATGAGCATGATGGACTTTGAAGCTCCTAGTCTATCACTCTTTGATCCTAACCTCTATCTCTATAATAAACAGCTCTTTTGATCAAGATAGATTTGATATACATAGTAAAAGAATACTAATAGTTTATATTTCCGACCTATTTTAAAAAATTGAGATCCGACCTTCATCAACATTATATAATCACTTACCTAATCACTCATAATTACATAATCCACAGTACAATCATTACATAATCCATACAAGCTTAAATCATTTCTAGCCACTCATAACAGGCTAATTCACAACCGGGGATTTGTTTTAATGGTAAAAGTTTGGTTAATAGGAGGTGGAATACTGGGATATTATTGCATTCTAAGGGTAATATTACTGGTTTCATTATGAATATCAAGTCAAATTACACCATTTCCCACTCCTTCCCTTTGAAATTCCCACTTTTCCCCAATATCTAAGTGTTTTCTTTCGTCTTTTCTAATCTCTTTTCGCGAATTTGTTGTTCCTTGTCGCTGATCAAATTGATAATTTTTTACTTGAAATGCCAATAAACATCAACAGTTTTCAATTCATTTAACACTTTTTAACCAGATTATTTCAGATTTTGAAAGAGTTTTAGAAGTAACAAGTGCTTATTGTTTCAACTGAGAACACTGGAAGATAGAAAGGAGATAGCTCTAGTTCCCATACATCAAGTCTCCAGAATACACACATTAATTGCACATCCAAAGATCAAGAGCTGATTATTACGAGAAATACACCCTTTTTTCCATTATCATCAAATTTTCATTGAAAAGTTTAAACAACCACTACTTTTGACACAGAAATAACTACTCATACTTGGAGAGTATACACTATCATTATCATCACTATCATTTCCAACTGGTTGTATTAAGTCTCCTTTATTTCAATATTTCAAAGCACAATGAGTGCTGCTAATTCGCCTGCTTCAAGTTTAGCACCTTCCCCATTACAAATGAATAATACAAGTGCTTCAACTCCTGCAATCACCCCTAGACCTTCTGGTCAACCTATTGCAAAGATTGTTACTTCAAGAGAATGGGTATTACCTCCAAGACCAAAACCTGGTAGAAAACCAAGTGCTGATACTCCTGCTACAAAGAGGAAAGCTCAAAATAGAGCTGCTCAAAGAGCTTTTAGAGAAAGAAGAGCTACAAGAGTTGCTGAATTAGAAGAAAAATTAAGTGAAGTGGAAAAAGAAAGAGATATAAATGAATTAAATTTGAAAAATATAATTAATAAATTACAAATGGAGAATAAATATTTATTAAAAAATTTAAATGATGTTAAAAATGAATATTCAAATTTTAAACAATCAATAAATCAAAATGGTCAACAAAGTCAACATCAAAGTATAAATAATGGTTCAAATCATTCATCTCCTGCTGTTTACTCCAATGGTACTGTAAATGCTCCATCTCCATTAAATTATTTCAAACCTTCAACTTCTCAAGCAAATACACCTCAAATACCACAACAATATCAAACCCAACAGCATCAACATCAACATCAACAGCATCAACATCCACATCCACATCCTCATCCACATCAAAGATCATCATCTCAAGTCATTTCTCCTGCATATTCAAACTCTCCAAATTCTTCAAGTTCAAATAATAATACCCCATCAACTCATAAAACTTCAGTTTCATCACAAAATAACTCAACTGCTCCACAACAACAACAACAACAACAACAACCTACGGATAATTATGACTGTGGTGTTTGTATTAAAGATGATTGTATTTGTGAATCTGTTGGTCTTAGACCTCCAAGAAATCAACAACAAGTTCAACAACAACGTTTATTACAACAAGAACAATTTCAAAATCCAAAAATTGAAAATATTGATTCTTTCCAACCTATGGCTCCTGTTTCATTAAAAAGAAAACAACCTTCTGAATCAATTGAAATTGATTATACTTCTAAATTTGCCAAATCAAATAATCAATTAAAAGGTAAAAAACCAATGCCAAAATTTAAAAAATTGAAAAAAGAAACTAATACTGATCAAATATCAGATGAAGCTAAAAATTTTACAACAAATGTATTTGATAATTCAAATTCAAATTTTGAATCACCAATGGAACAATGTGGATTCTGTTCAGATGATTCACCATGTGTTTGTCGTGAAGCTGCTAAGGAAGCTGCATCAGCTATAGCAGAATTACAAAACCATGATCATAGAAGAGATTCCACCTTACCACCAATTCGTAATGGATCTATTGTTCAACAATCAAATCAAAAGCAAAATAATCATATTGATTCTAAACCAAATAAATTACCAGTATTACACCCGGGTCCAACAGTGGAAATTAGTGAAATTCATAGATCAAGTATTTCTACACCAAAAGCAACAGATTCAATTGAAGATTCAAAAAAACAATTAGGTGATGTTACTTCTACAGAAACCAAAACAAATAATGGAGGAGGTTGTACAGGTAATCCAGGTACTTGTAATCAATGTCAATTAGATCCAATGTCCACATTATTTTGTACAACAATTGCAAGTAAAGCTGAAGAAGATGAACAAGATAAAGAGGTTAAGGAACCAACCACCAACGGTATGAATAGTATTGAAAGGGCTAAATCTGATTCTTTGAAAAAACCATCACCTGTTAGTCCACCTTTATCAAATGTTTCATCAAAAGTTTCATCACCTTTAACTGTTTCTTTACAAGAGGAGGAATTAAATTCATTACATAAAACTACAACAAATTTAGGTTCCAATTCCAATTCTAATTCTAATGGTAATAATTCAACACCTGGTTCAAGTTCAAATTTAATTCCTGGTTCAATATTAGATCAACAAAAAGGTATTTTCATACCATGTGCAGATGCTTATAAAACTTTAAGTCGTCATAAAGAATTTAATTCAGTTGATTTTAGTACCTTGGTTGGGAAATTAACTACAAGAGGTATGCAAGTTGAAGTTCAAAGTGTTGCTAATGTTTTAAGAGAATTAGATAGAAGATTATACAATTGATTTGTATAGAATATTTGTTCTTTTTTGGTTCTGTTCTGGAGTTTTTTTCTTTGCTTTGTTTAAAAAAGTGATATACCAATTTTATATATTTTCATATGTATTATTCACAAAATTTTGTCATATGTGTGTTTTCTTTTTTGTCTCTTTTTTTGTTTGTGTTTCTTTGATTAGAAATGTTAAATTACAATAGGTTTTATATAGGATATTTTTTAAATATGGATTTTATAATAGTATGGGTACTAAAAATATATTAAAACTACATGTAGATATGATGTATAGATCTAAAACGTATTTATAACAAAATAAGAAACATAAAACAAAACGGAAAGAAGGTGAATAATATAAATATAAAAATTAGTTGTGAACACTGATATTAATGATATTAATTAAAATTAAAATGATTAAGAAAAGTTATCAAATGTTCAAACAGTAATAGCAATAACTGAAGCTAAAACAAAAGTTAATAAACAAATACCACCAAAATTATCTAAGATCAAATAAGCAATATTGAAAACAGTTGGAATAGCTAAATTAGAACCTGAACCTCTTGAAGAACTTGATTCTGATGAACCTGAACCTGATGCAGATGAACCTGAACCTGATGAACTTGATCCTGATGATCCAGAACTTTGTGATCCACCTGTAGTGGCAGATCTTGTTGTTGAATCTGAACTAAATTTAAAATCATCATCATCACCACAAGCCCATTGAGTATCACCTGCATTTGTACCTAATGGTTTACCAGCACCACTTTCAAAGAAAACAGATGCAGCAGATGGCATATCTGGTAATGTATTATTTGCTTCCCATTTACCATCTTCAAAATCTGGACATTCTGAATAATTTGAAGATTGAGAATTAAATCCACCATTACCTTCTGGGTTCTTGGTTTTATTATATTGTTCAGCTAAATTATTGAAATCATCACGTTTTGTAACTGAATCACCATCAATATCAACTAAACCATAATTATTATCTTCTTGAGAATATTCATAAACTAACCCACCAGAGAAAACACCAGACATATCAGTTGAATAAATTGATTCAATCTCTGTGAAAGGTCTTGAGCCTGGAACTTCATTACAACCAAATTCTGAAAGGAAAATTGGAACAGAATATCCAGCATAAAGTGTAACTTTTTCTTTATAACCAGATTGTTGAAATGAAGAATCACCACACCATGAATAATCATTAACACCAAACATATCAATTCTTGCATCTTCATCATCACCACAGTTGAAATATTCAGCAGCTTGTAATCTATTTTCATCAACATCTGCAGCAGAATAACCAACTGGGATTGCTCTAAAACCTCTAGCTTTTAAATATTTCTTCATATCTCTAACAGTAGCTTTAACATAAGTTGCAGTAGCAGTTGATTTATCATCATTAATAACTTCATTACCAGCGAAAAAACCTAGAACATTATCATATTGAGCAAATTCATCAATTGTTGCAAAGACATTTTGTAAATATTTAACATTATATGAACATTTAGCACTTGCTCTTGAAATTGAAGCTTTTGGAGTATTAACATCCAGGATTAAATAAATACCAGCATCATCAAGTGCTTCCATACAAGCATCATGACTTTGTTCATTATCAATAGAATAAACTCTAATGGTATTAATACCTAATTCTTTAAAATATTCAATATCTCTTTTACAAATTGATTCATCACCTAAAGGATCAGTTAAATTTGAAGAACCACCTGGTTGATAATCAACACCTCTTATATAGAAACGATCACCAGTTTCAGTGTTCCAAAAAGCATTACCAGTGACATTGATTGGTGGTAAAGCAGCAGTAACTAATGAAGTTAATGAAGCTAAAGCTGAAATTGTGGAGAACTTCATTATAACTTTGATCTATTTTGTATGTTCAAACGAATGAATAAAAGTTGGAATGAATGAATGAATTGTTGAATTTATTAACGAATGAATGTGAAACCTTGATATGTTTTCAAAATACTCTCATATACTTTATATATAGAAAAGTCAAAAGATAAACAAGAAAAAAATGAAGGCAGTTCTTTAGTCTTAGCGTTCAAATATTCTTGGAGATCAAATTCTTAAGGGATCTGTTAAGCAATGATTGAAGGAGATTTTTTTTTTCAAGAATGGCTTGGAGATTCAAGGAATTCAAATTTAGAGGGTTCTTGGAACTCTTTATACAAATGATTTGTTTTTGTTTCATGATTTTTTTCCTTTTGATTTACAAGACATAAACAAAAATTTCAAAATCAACTGTCAAAACAAAGCGGGTGCATATCCCGAGAACGCTGAATTACCAACGTACAGATTTGGTTCATAGCAAGATAAGCTAATAACAGGTGATTTTTGTTAGAAAAGGTGCAGATATTATTTGAGATATGGAATCTATGGTATTTGTTCACCTAGTTTACCAGCTTAAATGGTATCTTTTACTAACAAAGTCACTCATTTATAACCAACAATTGTATATTCTTCTCGGTTCCTGATGACGCAAGTGCAAAATCCAAATTGATTCTCGAATGAGTCGAATCTCAGCTGAACAAATCAAATCAAATCAGTTGATCAGATGTTCAATGGGAGTCGGGACGTAAACAGAAGTGTGCTATGTACGTAGTTACCTAGTTGAACATCGTGTATATCATGGGAATCATCATTCAATCCAAGGGTTCAAGGGTTCAATTGAAGTGTGTTGATGTCCTGCTGATGGCTACTTTGACCTTAAGCAACACTACGGAGAAATCAAAAGCCGTTTGAAGACACAAGAACACAAGATTTCTCCCAATATAAACACAGCCTTAAAACATAAGTTCTGTCTACCTCTGCCTAGCGTTTAACTCATTCCCTCTAAAAGACCCTCTGTTCATTTCTGCCTAGACAATTCAAAATTCCTTCCTTCAAGCCTACAAGGAGCCGTACTTAGTACTTGTACCAGTTACCTTACCACTGTGTCGTTGGTTGATTCTAGAATTGGATAAGTATAAAGATTTATGGGTATGAAATTTGAATCTATTTTTGGTAAAGGTGTTCAAAATGTTTCTAATCTTCTGTATATAAATCTTCATATTTGAATTCACCACGTTTTCTATATGTGTTGCAATTCTTCATGATCTATTGCTGTTTCGTTGTTCACCTTACGCGTATTATTGTTTACATCTTGGTATCTTGATTCTTGAAATACTTTAATAACCAAATTGATAATCGCGTTAATCAAGATTAATTTATATAATTGAAGGCTCAAATCGGTAAACTATATGTGGGTTAAAGTTTAGTTATCTAACTTCTCGGTGACTTATTATAGTAGTTATACCACACTAAACTTGAAAGGAGTTATAGACCCTTTAAAGTGTACATTGATCAATTAAAGGGTCCATGATTTACACAATTGTACTTAAAATCATACAGTTGTTCTTATATAAAATGCTATATCATACACACATTCAATCATTCTTGAGCATCAACAAATTCTTCATCATCAAGTTTATCTTTCAATTCTTTGACATCACTAGCATCGAAACTAAATTCATCTAAATTTCTACTGTCTTTTGAAACTTCAGTTGAATCTTGAGGATTAACTGTACTTAAAGTCTCAACATCTTCAGACTTTAATGATTTTATTGATGCATCATTAGCTAATTCTGATTTAGATTTTAATGGTTTTAAAGAACTTGTAGTTGATTGAGCTTCTTCTTCTTCATCATCAATTCCTGTTTCATTTGATAATGTAGATTTAACTGATTCACTTTTTATCAATTCAGGTTTAGATTTTATTGGTTTTATAGATTGGAAAGATTCTGTATCATCTGGTGTATCATTATTATCTGATTCATAACCTTTATCTTCTTTAGTAACATCTTTAGAATCTTCTAAATTTATATTCTCTGTTGAATCTTTAAATAATTTTTCTTCAATTGTTTTTGGGGTAGGTTCAGAAATATTAATATAATCTTTATCAGTCTTATCATCGATATCAATATCATCTGTACTTTCCTTTCCAATATCGATATCATCTTGTTTATCAATTTTATCATCTTTATCAACTTTAACATCTTCAATCTTATTATCATATTGAATGCCAGAACTTTTAAACCCACTTGACCAAACATCAACAACTTTAATAACTCTATGATCTGGAATTTCAACTTTTTCAACTTTTGCAGTTCTTTTACCCCTTGGTCCTTTAGCTCTTGATCTTCTAACATTTGGTTTAACTTCTTTTGATTCATCTTCATCATTTTCATTGGTACCAACTGATTCTTCTTGTAAATTTTTTGGAATTGTTGCACCAGGTCTTGTCATACCAGGTAATGCAAATAAACCAGTTAAATTTTGTTTAAATTTTGAACGATCTATGGATTCAGATGAATCTGATTTATTCTGGAATTGAGGTCTTTTAGGTACCTCTGATTCATTATTTTCTCTTTGAGATCTTTCTTGTTCTTGATTTTTTCTTAACATTTCTTGAAATGCTGCAATTTTACTTGATGGTTTTTTAGGAACTGGTGGTGGTGCTTTACCTTTTGTTGGGATTGATTCATTTGAAGAGGTTTCGCTTGTTGGTTTGGGTTTAACTGGTCTTGATGGGATAATTGGTTTTGATTTTGATTCATTATCTTCTAGCGATTCCTTTTGTAAAATTTCTTGTTTGGATAATTTTTTTTCAGTTAATTTTGATTCTAATGCACCTAATTCATAATTATTTTGTAATAAAACATTTTCAGTTGAATCAACTTCATCTTTATTTTGTTCCGGTTTAATATCAGGTTTGACTTCAGCTTTAACTCCTGATTCAACTTCATCATCTTCAATTGATGAACTTGATTCATCAATTTGTGATCTTAATCTAGAAGGTCTTGAAGGACGTTTTGGAATAATAGGAATATTTTTAGAAGATGATGAATCATTTGATGAACTTACTGAATCATCTGAAGATAATTTTTGAAGTTTATTTAAATCAGAAGTAGATTCTTCAATTTGATCAATAACTTGAGCTTCATTTTTAAGATCTCTTGAATTAATTGATGATACACTTGAACCTGGTTCTTTTTCAAGATCTAATGCTTCGTTTTCAGTAGTAATTTCATTTGATTTAACAATTGGTGAATCTGTTGGTTTAGCATCATATATATCTTTTTCTAATTCAACTGGAGATTCTTTTTCTTTATGTTCAACATCTTTATCAGTATCTTTGACCTCGGATGCTTCTGTAACTTCTGGATCTTTTGATTCTTTAGCGATTTCTCCTTCCTCATCATCTTGTTCCTTGACTGTATCTTTAACACTTTGTTCAATCTCATCAGCTCCTAATTCAACATCATCATTAACATTTGATTGTTCAAAATCTTCTGCTGATTTAAATTGATCATCTTTAGCTAATTTTAAAACATCATCATCTGTACCAATAGTTTTTTTGGAAGGACGTTTAGGAATGATTGGAATAGATTGAGATTCCTCAGCTTCTTTAGTTTCTTCAGTTTCTTCAGGTTTCTCAGATTCAATTTCTTTAGTTTCAGATTTTTGAGGACGTGAAGGTATAATTGGTACTTGTTCTTCAGACTTAACATCCTTATCTTCTTCTTCAACCTTATTTTTTCTTTGTGGTCTTTTAGGAATGATTGGAACAGATTGTTGATCTTTATTCTCAACTTCATCCGCTGTGTTTTCATCATCATTATCATCATTTATTAATCCACCAACAACTGGAATTTTTTCAATTGTATGTTTTAAAGAATCTCCAATTGATTCTTCACCTTTTTCCTCATCTAATTGGTTTGAAATTATAGTATCATTATTTGATTGTTTCTTTGGACGAGGTGGAATAATTGGACTTTGTGATCTTTCAATTGATTCACCTTCCTTTTTATCACCACTTGGACGTTTTGGTACTTGTGGGGTTGAATCATTTGAAGAAGCTATACTTGGTTTTGAAGGTCTTTTAGGTATTTGTGGGATTGAATTTGAGCTTGAACTTGTTTGATCTGATTGTTTTGGTCTTGTTGGAATTTTAGGAACATCTGATTCAAAATCATCATTTTCAAATGAATCATTTTCATCATCTGAATCTTGTCTTTTGGAAGCAATGATATCACCTAGACTGGACATATTGAATTTACTGTGATTGTTATTGAATTGAAATGTTGTGTTTGTTGATGTTTTAATATTGCGGTTAATTTTGATCTGTCAAATGTAATTTTATAGAAGAAATCTGAAATTGAGATTCGGAAGTATTTAATTCGCAATATACGCAATAAAAGTGAAATCAAGTATTTTGATAATAAACTACAAAAACAAATAAAATGATCCATTGTTTTCTAATTAAAGACGTTAAATTTATTCAGATTAAAAAATTGAGGTATATAAGTTTTATTAATTAAAAGACACCAATTTCTTTGATTTTAAAATTAAGCACCATAGTTTAATCTAAAAATATCATTATAGACATAATAAGAAGAACCATCTGGAATCAAATGGAAGACTTGAGAATAACGTTGTGGGTTTTGTTCTTCATCAACTAATAATTCACCAGTGACTAAGACTAAAACATCACCATTTGGAGAAGCAGGTTGAGCATCTAAAGTGGTAATTCTATGACCAACTTTTTGGAAAGGTAATGAAACTAATTTTTCAACAATATCTTTGGCACCTTGAACTTGAGAAGTTTCAAAAGTTAACATAGATTGTTCTCTCTAGAGGTTGTTGTTAGTGATTGAAACAATATTATTTTTGATATAATTACTTACATATAAGTTACCTAATTGTGATCTATCAGAATCGAATTGGTTGTAGTAAAATTCAGTGAATTGTTCTATCAATTGTTAGTGATAATGTTCCCATGAATATTCAAAAATCCAATATATTATTATTCACATACGAGCTAAGGTGTTGAAATCGACTATTGGTAAATGTTAGTAAAATATTCATTCAATTAAAGGATAAACTGATGACTGAATTTGGTTCAATTAATGTATCTTTGCCAAAAGAGAACCAATTGAATTCAGCCATATTGACCACCCTCCCCATATCCACAGTTACATACCAGACATTGTGTATAATATTAGTTAATTGATGAGTATATAAACCTAAAAATCCAGTTTATTTACTTTTGAATTCCCAATAACAACAACAAAATTTATTGAATGGCTTAATTCTGGTCGCGAAATTGAGAAATTCGCGGCCGCGACCATAGAGATTACCCTGAAAATACTGAAGATTATATCATGTGACGCGTCAGGTGACTTTTTGAAAATCCGAAATATGCTTACCACAAAAAGAGTGGCTGGCTATTTTTTAACAACTTTTTTATTTTGTATTTATAGAAACGATTCAAACGAACCACAATGTTTTGGTTCACCACTCGGTCACATTTGTAACCGAGAATTAGTTGAGTAATGATCGATACGTCTACTTGTCACTTGCTCTTGAGTTGAGGCCAACTGGCAAACCAATTGCTATGAAATTTGAATCATGATATTTATGACCTCTATAAACTTATCAATGCTTAAACTAGCGCACAATTAACAGCGTAACAAGTACCACGGTCCACCAGCGCACTACCCAGCGTATACTCCTAGCTACCAACCAGCAATGTATTGGAATACTCTCTTCTAATTGGCTCATACACTGGCTCACTGGCTTTAGATGAAGATCTCTAATTAACAAAGATTTACAAACTGTGCATCAAACATCTGAAAATTTTTACTCAAGGCTTTTGAATTTTTAGTTGATACCATGAATTAGTCAGGACTACTATCAGTCTATCACACATTGCATTTCAGACATGATAGGGGTTAATGTAAAGCCATATGGTAATATATCATCGATACTTTAATCATATACGTAGTACTAAAGCTCTTTGATATGTTGATGAATTGTTAAGCTGTGGAACTTGGTATATAGATAATTCCGCTAGATCCAATTTCAAATCAAATCTGGTACCTTAACATACCGTTATTTACATACATTTTTTTTACAACTTTTTACCCAATTGTACCCAAGTTTCAAAGTTACTCTATGCAGTTTATCTCTAGTTTATACTTCATTGACATTGTTCATGTATTAAACACGTTAGGCTAACTTTGTTTGGTATATATCCCTAATTGGAAATTATGGTTGATCAAGATTCAAGAGTAAACTCATGATCTGTTTGATTCAATTCAAGGATCTTTAATCATCATTTCTTCAACGTCAGCTTGATAACTAAGGCTGTTGAAGTAAGGTACACAATTATTAAATTTCCTGTTTGGATAAATTACAATATTGGTGATTTAAGAAGAGAAGCATCGAGATACTTATCAATATTACAAAGACGCCTCAAAAGTCAAAATCAAAGATTTCAAGATAAAAGGGTGAAGATATATCACAAAAAGGTTTATTAAAGAAAAGAAGCTTATTATACATGATAGATCTATATAAATGATTCAAATACTTCAAGGTTCTTCAAAAGAATCCATATTTAAAAGATTTAAAAAACAACAATCTAAACAAGTGTTATTCTTAGGTACAGAACAATCAGGTAAAAAAAGTAAGTTACAAGAAACCATATTATAAAGCATAAGTCATTCATTAACATTTCATTATTAGCTATATTAGAACATATTGATTCATTAAAAGTTCCATTAGATATAATTGCATTATCAAATTCCACACCAATAACAACATATAAGAATTTTCTTTATGATACAAAATGTTTAATTTTAGTGATGGATTCCACTCAAATAACAAATTTAAAATATTTAAATCATGTTAAAAATTTAATTCATTCATTATCTCATACATCAGTATTGGAAAAAATTTTAATATTTATGAATAAACATGATTTATTAAATTTAATGAATACAAGAGTAATGGAGAAAAGATTAGATTTGTCAAGTTTAACCCAGGTTGAATGGTTAATTGTTCCATGTTGTGGTATTGGTCAAGGTTATGGGATTTCTGAAGGTGTGAATTGGTTATTAACATAACTTAATTTGGAATTTATTTCAATTATTTTCTTATAAGATTCATGAAGTGGAATAATTTGAATACATGATGTGTTTGATGATGATTGGGAAACAATACTAAATGGTGGTATTATTGAGTTATCAGGTATGTTAACATTTGAATTAATTATAACACAATCATATATCTTGGTATTGTTCCCAATGGAACAATTAGGACCTATTTGAACTCTTGTCCCAACATTTGATGATTTTATGATTGAATTTGATCCTATTATAGTATAAGATCCAATTTTACTTTGTTTATATAGTTTATCACTGGTGGATTGGTTTGGTTAGTTATGGCGTTTTTTTTGAATTTAATGGTATTTATTTGGTTTATAATAAAACCTGTAGTAGTGAACTCACCCTTTATGAACCAATGGAGGTGTTATATCAACTTTTTGATCTATAAAGCAAAATTTACCAATTTGTAAACTTGATTTTTCATCTTGTTGTAATTTAACATCACCATGAAGTATGACATTGGGACTCACAGTGGTGTTACCTGAGATTAAGATATGATCTGAACCATAGATCTGTGCTTGTTTGGAGATTCTATTACCTGATGAAGTTTCTATCCAATCCATTGAAGAAGATAAAAATCATGGAAATCAAAGGAATTCAATTTGTATTTAAATTAAAATCAAAATATGTAAACATGGAACTTAAATTTCATTATTATGTGGTGTCCGGATTTCCATCTCGTGTTCATTTTTTTTTATTTATATTTTGATTTTCCTCGAGAATTCTTTTTTAAGCCTCGTACCTTTTTGAAGTTCTTTGACAGTTCTTTGAACTAATTTTGGGATATTATTGAGTTATAAGAGAATGAGTGATAAAGTGTTTAGATTGGATTCTGGTATGTGTGGCTATACAGACTGATTTGGTTTTTTGTTTGGTGGTTTTTGATGGTGTTTTGATTATTTTAGTGTATTTTGATTAGATTTATGTCTCGACACGTTGAAAAATATACCAATTATATTCATGAAATTACAAACCACCAGATGGAACCACTAGATATAGGAGGGTTATACTAACACTTTATAAGGTTACCAAAACTACGATTGGGGTAAAATTGGTTCTTCTTCAGCAGTTGCTCAATTTGCTCATCATTCAAATCCAGAAAATGTTACTATTGATGAATCAAAACCATATGCAGAATTATGGATGGGTACACATCCAAAAGTTCCATCAAAAAACTTACAAGGTAAATCATTAAGAGATATTATCCTTTCAAATCCAGAATTTTATTTAGGTGAACCAATTTTAAAAAAATATGGTTCATCAAATGAATTACCATTTTTATTTAAAGTCCTAAGTATTGAAAAAGTTTTATCAATTCAAGCTCATCCTGATAAAGAATTAGGTGCTAAATTACATTTACAAGATCCAAAAAATTATCCAGATGATAATCATAAACCTGAAATGGCAATTGCTGTTACAAATTTTGAAGGTTTTTGTGGGTTTAAACCATTAGAAGAAATTGCTGATGAATTAACTAAAATTCCTGAATTAATTAATATTGTTGGTGAAGAAGAAGCTAAAAAATTCATTGAAGGTATAAAACCAAATGCTATTCCAGAATCAACTGATGATTTGGAAAATAAAAAATTATTACAATTAGTTTTCGGTAAAGTTATGAATTCTACTGAAGAAGAAATTGAAAAACAAGCAAAATCTTTATTAGAAAAAACTGTTTCTCAACCAGAAATTTTTAATAAATCAGATTTACCAGAATTAATTCAAAGATTAAACAAACAATTCCCATTAGATATTGGTTTATTCTGTGGTTGTTTATTATTAAACCATTGTAAATTAGAAGCTGGTGAAGCTATGTTTTTACAAGCTAAAGATCCTCATGCATATATTTCAGGTGATATTATTGAATGTATGGCAGCATCAGATAATGTTGTTAGAGCAGGTTTTACACCAAAATTTAAAGATGTTGAAAATTTAGTTGAAATGTTGACATATAATTATGATGATGTTGAAAAACAAAAAATGTCACCACAAATTTTTGAAAGATCTTCAGGTGATGGTGAATCCAAGTTATATGATCCACCAATTCAAGAATTTTCAGTTTTACAAACAACTTTTAAAAATTCTTTAGGTAAAAGAGTTTTCAAATCTTTTGATGGTCCAAGTATATTAATTATTACAAATGGTGAAGGTAAAATAATTTCTGAAGGTGTTGAATTAAAAGCTGAACCTGGTTATAATTTCTTTATTGCACCAAATACTGAAATTGAATTAATTACTGAAGATCCAAACTTTACTTCATATAGAGCTTATGTTGAAGCATAAGCATAAGTGACCTATATAGACAAATATTCCATTTTTTATCTCTCTGTTATCTCTTTACTTTATATTTATTTTAAATAGAATTGTTAATTAATAAAATTTATTAAATCTAATATACAAATTGTAATGCAATAAAACTCCCAAATATGTTGTTGTTGAACCAATATATGATGATTTCGGTTAATTAATTCCATTTTTTTTCTTCCATTTCAATATTCTTCTTCTTAAATCACCACTACTTTGTTGATAAATATTTAATTTTTTATCCCACATCATTGAAGCATAATCATCACCATGTTTATTATATAATGATTCTAACCAATCTTCTTCTCTTTCACTCTGTACTCTAACATTTTTGGCAACTTTTGATTTAGCATATTCTTCTAATTGTTTAACAACTTCAGTTTTGGATTCTTCTTCTTCTGGTTGATTACTAACTTTCTTTTTACCATAAATAACTTTTAAAACTTCACCATTTTCATCTCTAATAATTTTTGCTTCACCTTCAGGTATTTCATCTTCAGTATCACCAATAGGTTCAGATCTTTTTTTAGCCTTATCAGGATTATTATGTTTTAATCTTGGTTCAAGAGAAGCTTCTTGACCACCAGCTGGGGTACCTAATTTAACTTTTAAACCTAATTTTTTATAATTTTGTGCTAAAGTTAATGAATAATCCCAATTTTTGGCAATAATTGGATTTGATGCAATATTTATAGTTCTTTGTTTATCCTTAGTACGACGTGTAGCTTTTTTACCACGAGCATTAGCAGCTCTTCTTCTAACAGAAACCATGATGTATTAGATATTTATGATGATATAACAATACAGAAATTAATCAAGATCAAATCAATAATACTCAATATCTATAATAGTATATATAAAATAAATTTTTATCAAGCGATGCCCAAAAGGAGGGTAATCTCAGAATATCGGTAAGAGACACATGGTATATAAGCATATGGGCCTTTACCTTTAATTGATAAGAGAGGGTATTACTGTGTGATATAGTAGAGTAGATGTTAAATAGGCATTCACATTGTTTAAATCATCAAAGGTTTACCCTAGATTGATTCTTAGTGATCATATTGCTTCTGTTTTAGCTGTGCAATTCTTGATTTCACTTTAAAATCTTGATTGTGTGGATCTTCAGGGGCCATAAATAAAATTGAAAATGTCGAGAAATAATTTAGTCGTATTTATATAAAACTAGTATAATACAATTTATCATTACTCAATTCAATTTATCCATTGTACTTTAAGCTCAATTAGGTAGGAGGATCATTGTGTTTGTCATTGTGCCATTGATATTTCAAGTTTAAAGGATCATACATAAACAGGTACAAAAGATTAAAAGATCAAGGGGGTTATTAAGGAAAAGATTAATATAATCAATTAAAAAATTCAATTACAAATTCAATCAGAATGAGTTACGAACAACCAGAGATCTTAAAAGAACAACATGCCACAATTGGTCAAGAATTAGCTCAAGATTATGCAGAATATATTGGTGATGATGGTACTCCAATCCCTCAACAATCCCAAGATCAACAAGATCAACAACAAGAACATAAAGGATTCCAATCAAGATCAAATAGATCTCCTGAAGAAATTGAAGCACAAAAAGAAACAGATTCTCGCTCAGTTTATATTGGTAATGTTGATTATAATACAACTCCTGAAGAATTAGAAGAATTTTTCTCCAAGATTGGTACAATAAATAGAGTTACTATATTATTTGATAGATTTACTGGAAGACCAAAAGGTTATGCCTATGTTGAATTTGAATCTCAATCTTCTGTTGATTCAGCAATTGGATTATCTGGTCAAGAATTTAAAGATCGTATCATATCTGTTAATATTAAAAGAACTAATGTCCCTGGTTTTAGAAGAGGTCGTGGCAGAGGTCGTGGTGGTTCTTTTAGAGGTCGTGGTGGTGATAATAATGGCTATAGAGGTAGAGGCGGTGGAAGAGGTGGTTCTTTTAGAGGTCGTGGTGGTTATAATAATGGTTTCAGAGGTCGTGGTGGTTCAAGAGGTGGTTTTAGAGGTGATTCTGATGATTCAAATCAACAAACTGGTGATGTTGGTGCTGAATTGTTAGCTAATTGAAAGCATAAACTAGGATCACAATTAATCAATCTTATCTTCTGATCTTTATTAATCAGCTTCAATTCTTCATATATGACATATACCCGTGTCATATGCTTTTTTTCACTTTCATTATGATTTCTTATTTAATTTTTGATTTTTATTCTTGATTTTTATTCTTGATTTTCAATTTTATGTCTTAACAATGGAACTATAGAAATTAATAGATCCATTAAAATATTTCTCTTTTTATATGATTATATTTGATGTTGTTTAAAATGTATTTACAAATGAAACTTTTCACTAACCATGTATATTAAAATCATATCTAAATCATTCAATTCTGGAGTGTTTTTAGCCATTGAAAAGATAGTAGATACCATGTGTCTTATTCTATCATCATAATCTATATCAATTACACCACAATTATCAATTAACAATCTATTCTTCAAAATTAAATATTTATGCCCCGATAATAACTAAAAGTCAATCACCCGCGAATTTATAATGTTTCCAATTTTCCCACCGGGTATAAAAAAAAATTTCTAAAAATTTATTTCAACAAATTCCAACAACTTTTAAAAAATCATCACCACAATTTCACAAGATCTGATTTGGTATGACCCTAGAACTTATAAGTTCTTAATTATATGGTCAAATATCCCTTCTTTTTGGGGCTCGTTTTGAGTTCCTACTTAGGGCAAGTTGGTTAAATCTTGGAAGAAGAACCTGGTTCTTCTTTAACTTTATTTAAAAGTTTGTGTGGAAGATTGATAAAAAGTGCATCATAGTACATCGAACTTATATCATATTTGATATTCTCACAGTTCGGAGTCTCCAAGCTCACAAACATTCCATAATATTGTATAGTTCTATTATTGATTTGATTCAATATAATCTTGAATATAAATAATTAATTTTCTTCTATCTTTACTTAAATTTGGATAAAATTTTTCCTTTTTAATACAAAATAATGGGATTTGTAAAGAATAAAATTTTTGATGACATTTCTTATTAAAATCTTCTAATTGTTTCATAATATATTTATAAAATTCATTCAATTGATCTTCAGATTTATTTTCTTTCAGATATCTTTTATGAGTAAATTCCCAAACTTTTTCTAATTCTTGTTGAGATTCAATATATTTGGCAACTTCTTGTACTTTATCCACTTGTTTAAAAAATTTCCCATTTAAATAATCAATTGCCTTATTATAATCATTTATATCTGATGGATCAACTTTGGATTGTGAATCATCAAGATCTATACCTTCATGATCTTTTTCTAATTTAATTAAAAATTCTTCTAATGATTTATCTGCAATTTTTTTCTTATTTAATAAGAATTCATAATGAGTTTTCAATTTTGAATCATTATCCAAGATTTTATTAACTTTTGGATTAAGTTCATTAACCATTATAAACACAATTGGTATATATAAACCTCAAATTTGTATTAGAATTAACCCGCGGTGTCTTGATCTCTTGATCTCTTTTCAACAGCTCTCAAAATCCCACTTTTTTCAACGCTAAAACCTGGAAAATAACGACAATTTCTTGAACAACAACCCCGTAACTAACAAATACCACAAATCCAATACCAAACAGCTCCTGAATGATATCAATAAATCTTGTCTTCTTTCAAAACTTTGATCTGTTTACAAATTACAAAACGAAAATAAATTTCGCGATTTCCTTCAATTTTATCACCATTTTTGAAAACTTGACACGAATTTGAGCTTTAATCAAAACAAAACCATCATCAACAATCCACACCAATCTAAGCTCAATATCAAATATCAGTCTCAATGGCCTCTGTGATACATTTCTGTGACATCAAGGGGAAATCACTTCTCTCGAGAGACTACAAGGGAGACATACCTTCAAATGCTGTGGAAAAATTCCCATTTTTATTAGTTGAATCTGAAGATGATCCAGTTTCAGCATCACCAGTTTTACAATTTAATGGTATAAATTATCTTTATATTACACATAATAATTTATATTTGTTAGCATTGACCAAATCAAATAATAATGTTGCACAAATTTTCTTATTTTTACACAAGATTGCAAATGTTCTTACAGATTATTTTAAAGAATTAGAAGAAGAATCAATTAGAGATAATTTTGTTATAATATATGAATTATTAGATGAAATGATGGATTTTGGATTCCCACAAATTACTGAAACTAAGATGTTAAAAGAATATATTACACAAAAATCATTTGCATTAGAAAGAACTAAACAAAGTTTTGGTCCACCAAGTGCATTAACAAATGCTGTATCATGGAGATCTGAAGGTATTATGTATAAGAAAAATGAAGCATTTTTAGATGTTGTGGAAAGTATTAATATGTTAATAAACCCACAAGGGAAAGTGCTTAGATCGGAAATTTTAGGTAAAATTAGAATTAAATCACATTTATCAGGTATGCCAGATTTAAGATTAGGTTTAAATGATAAATTAAATAATAATTCCAAAGGAGTGGAAATGGAAGATGTTAAATTTCATCAATGTGTTAGATTAAGTAAATTTGAAAATGAAAAAATTATTACATTTATCCCACCAGATGGAGAATTTGAATTAATGAGTTATAGATTATCAACACCATTAAAACCATTAATTTGGGTTGATTGTAAAATTTCAAAACATTCAAATAGTCGTATTGAAATTCATGCAAAAGTTAAAGCACAAATTAAAAAAAAATCTACAGCAAATAATGTTGAAATTCATATACCAATACCTGAAGATGCAGATAGTCCAAAATTTAAATATTCAAATGGTTCATTAAAATGGGTCCCTGAAAAATCAATAATTGTTTGGAAAATAAAACAATTCCAAGGTGGTAAAGAATATGCTATGAAGGCAGAATTAGGATTACCTTCAGTTTCTATAGATGATTCAAGTTTTAAAGTTAAAAGACCAATTCAAGTTAAATTTCAAATTCCTTATTTTACAACAAGTGGAATTCAAGTACGTTACTTAAGAATTAATGAACCAAAATTACAATATCAAAGTTACCCTTGGGTTCGTTATATCACACAAAGTGGTGATGATTATACAATTAGATTAAATGAATGATATACATTGATTATTATATACCTTAATAAAAGTTTTGAGAACAGTTTATTATTTGTGCGTATACTCGTATACTATACACCCGCGAATTCTTTTTTATATAACTATGAAAATAACGCCAAAAACAATATGATTCTTGAACCACCTGATCTCTTCTCAAATTAACAATTGGCATCATTTTCACAAAACGTGAGATGATATGGGTGAACATGATGAAGTGGAAAAGTTTCCAGAGATTGTGGAAGGATTAATATCAAAATTGTTTTTACAAAATGAAGATCAAGATCAAGATGAGATTAAAATTGATGATAAGATTTCACTTACTTTGACGTTTATATTCCCTGAAATTTATTTAAAATCATTAGATATATTGGATCAGAAAAGGATTGTTATTCATAAATATAACAAATCTATTGATAATGCTAATCAATTGTTTAATGATTCTTTGGTATTGATTAATCAAGATCTTGAAGATACTCCATATTATATTGAATTGAATCAATGGTTTTGTTCATGTACAAGATTTCAAAATGGCTTTAAACAAATCCAGTGTACTAGTGATACCATCAACACAAATATTGCTTATGGAATTAGATTTTCCAATAATTTACCACAGTTTAAAGATCCAAGTAATATTCCAATATGTGAACATTTATTATCTTGTTATATATTAAACACACACCAGCACCGATTGAAAGATCGGTATAAGCTAGAGACTGTTGATCAAGAGACATGGCTTACATTACACTCTAAACTACTATAACACAAAATTTCTCATCAACATACCAATATATATATTGAATTCATTTTATTAAATTCATTTTATTGATATTAGTATAACGGGTATATATATGTGTTTTTTTTCCCAGCTTATGTCATAAAGTATATTTAATGTATAGTAAATATTTTCATCTGGTCATGGAAATTTGTCAAGTGGTACAAAGCTGAGTGTTAACTACCAGGAGTTCATGGAAATATATTAAGTACCAGGAGTTCATGGAAATTTGTTAACCAGGAGCTCATCGAAGTTTGTCAAGTGGTACAAAGATCGGTATAAACTAGACACTGTTGATCAAGAGACATGGCTTGCACTACTTTCTAAACTACTATAACACAAATAGCTCATCAACTATTCAATATATATATTAAATTTATTCTATTGATATTAGTATAACGGGTAATCTACTTAATATGATTACGTAAACACTTTCGCGAATTTTTTTATTTTGACCAAATTTTTTTGGTTTTTTTTCACTGCGAAAATTAAATTGGATAAGAAAATTGGAAGAAATAAAACTGAATTTAAATTGAATTTGAAATACTTTTATTTAAATCACAGCGCTTAATTTATTGAACAGGTCATTGGGACATTGGACACATAGATCATATTATCCAAGGGGGCCAGCAACCACTACTATCAACTTTTACTAGCATTTTATTTGTCATCCAGCAAGGAAAAAAGAGAATAATTCAAGGCTTTCTTTCCTCCATAGAGCTATATTATATTACCATTTAGAAATCCACTCAAATTATTGAGCAAAAATCAAAGAATTCCCATTTTTAAACAGAGAACAGTGATCATTTCAATATAAATATCATTCTCAATCTTCTCAGAATTACTACAATCAATCAGATCATTTCAGCGTTACAAAGACTATTATTATTATCGTCGACCGCCACTTTGATCAACATCAACATCAACAATTAGAATATCAACGTCATAGAAAAAGTATACAACTCTTATGCCACAATGAGTGATCCAACTACAAGCAGACCTCCATACGCACATTCGCCCTCGATAGCTAATCCATATGCTCCACCTCCACCACCTCCTGCTCCACCACAACAACATCATCAACATCAACAACATCAACAACAAGGTGGATTCATGCCAGTGGCTGCTAATTCTTATTATCAATATCAAAATGGTCCTGCTCCAATGATGGATCCCAATTTCATAGCATTTCAACAACAACAACAGCAACAACAAGCTTATGCTCAACAATTTATGATGCAAAATGCTTTACATCCATCTCAACAAATATATCCACCTTTCCAACAACCACTACCGAATCAATCACCTTTCCCACATCATCAACAGTTATACCCACAACAATTACCACATCAACAACCATTTTATAATCAAAATCAAGCACCTTCTTCTTCATCATCATCTGGAACTCCAAAGAAAAAATTTGAATTCAAAAATAAAACATTCATACCAAATAAAGATCATAGTTCTTATCTAAAACCTAAACCTCAAACTAATGGACATGTAAATAACAAAGATGTAAATAATACAGATAATGTGGATGTTAACAATGATACCCAACAGCAACAGCAACAGCAACAAAAACAAGATCAACAATCTGAATATGATTCCTCAATTTCTACACCAAGTATAGAACAAACTTCACCAGATCATAATAATACAACAACAGTTTCTTCTCCACCTTCAACAACAACTTCAACACCAATAATTTCTGCATCTAATACCATCAATAATCATAATCATAGTCATCATCAGCATAATAATAATCATAATAATAATCAGCATAACAATAGTCATAATAATAATCATAATAATAGCATAAATGAAAATTCATCATCTTCAAATGAAGTTTTTAGATTTCAAATTCAACCAATAAATTATGAAGTTGGCAAACCTTTATTTTTTGGTACTACTGAAGCAAAATTAAATAGTCAAAAGAAAAAATTTAAAGATATTGATGAAGCTAAAAAAGCTAAAGAAGAACAAGAAGAAGCTGAAAAGATTAAAGATTTGAAAAAATCTGAAATTGAAGTTGAACCTAAAAATCAAACTACTATTGTTGAACCAAAAGAAGAATTTAAAACTCCATCACCTGAACCACCAAAACCAACTGTTGCTAAATGGTCATTTATCGCTGAAAAAGCTGCAAAGAAACAATCACCAAAAACCACATCTTTATCAACATCAAATACATCAAGTCCAATTGCTAAAAAAGAAGAAAGTACAACTACAACAACTACTACAACACCAAGATTTGTTCCATCAATTTCAAATGTATTAGAACCATTAGGTGTTGTTTTATTAAGATCAATGTTTGATAAAAATTTCCAAAAAATTTATATAAATTCACAAAAATTACCTTCAATTATTCCAAGAGGTTTAGTTAATACTGGTAATATTTGTTTTATGAGTTCAATTTTACAATTATTATTATATTGTCAACCATTTTATAAGATTTTAAATGTTATTTCTATAAGGACTATACATTCAATTAATGGAACAAGTTCAACTCCATTAATTGATGCATTAATTGAATTTTATAAAAATTTTAATATTAAATTAGATAATCCAGATAAAAAATTTGGTGATTCATTAGTTCCTGAAGAATTTTATAAAAAAATTTCATTAAATGAACGTTTTCAACATTTAAAATGGGGTCAACAAGAAGATGCAGAAGAATTTTTTGGTTATTTATTAGATGGATTACATGAAGAATTTATTTCAAGTGTTAAATCAATTAAACCAACAGAAACTAAAACTTTAATTGATAGTATTACAACTGAAGATGTTAGACAATCAATTAGACAATCATTAAAACAATTTAGTGATGATGATGATTTTAAATCAAGTAATGAATCAAATGGAGGTATAAACTCTACATCAAATAATTTAACAAGTGATGATGGATGGCATGAAGTTGGTTCAACTAAAAATAAAATTAGTGCAAAAAGAACAGTTGAAGTTAAACCATCACCAATTAGACAATTATTTGGAGGTCAATTTAGAAGTATATTAGATATTCCAAAACAAAGAGAATCACAAAGTATAACATTAGATCCATTTCAACAAATTCAATTGGATATTTCAGATGATTCAATAAATACATTGGAAGATGCTTTTAAAAATATTTCAAATATTGAAGAAATTCCATATAAATCAAATGATGGTTCTGAAGTTATTGCTAAAAAGCAAACATTTATTGATAAATTACCAGAAGTTTTAGTTGTTCATTTAAAAAGATTTTCATTTATTTCCAAATCAAATAATCAATTATATGGACATATTGAAAAAATTCGTAAAAAAATTTCATATAAATCTGAATTAAAAATTCCTGAAGAAGTTATATCACCTTCAACAAGAAAATTTAATTCAATTAATTTAAATTATAAATTAACTGGTATTGTTTATCATCATGGTATAAGTTCAGAAGGTGGACATTATACAGTTGATGTATTAAATCAATCTAAAGATGAATGGATTAGATTTGATGATACAATAATTACAGAATTAAGTTTAGATGATGTTTTAAGTGGAGGAGATGATGATGGAGTTAAAACTGCATATATTTTAATGTATGAAAGAGTTTAATTTAATAAGTTATGAATATGATTTTTATTGATTTTTATTGTTGTTGATTTTTTAAAGAAAAAGTATTGTGTTTTTAAATGTGTTTTATAGAGAATAATGAATAAAATGTATTACATTAAATTACATGTAGTTTTTTTCATTAACGTATATTATTATATATAATACATATGCAAATCTTTTTTTATAAGTTTGTCCCAGTGTTAAAATGCAAAAGAGAAAAAACATCACACAAAAAGCAATATAGGAAAATCATTAAAACGAATTAAAATCAAATCAAAATCAAAACATAAACATAAACACAGATCTCTCTCTCTTCTTATAAGCATAGCTCTTATATCACACTCTCTCACTCTCTTCTTATAAGCATAGCTCTTATATCACTCACATCTCTTATAAGCACAGCTCTTTTTTTTCATTATAATTTTCTAAATTCATTCAAAACGGGATAAATAGCTTCAAAAGCTTGATAAATTTCTTCACGTTGTTTTGCACCAGTTAAAACAATTTTACCCGATACGAAAATCAACAAGACAATTTTAGGTTTAACCATTCTATAAATTAAACCTGGAAATAATTCAGGTTCATAAGAAGAAAAGGGACCATGACTAAAAGCTAAACCTTCTAATCTAATTGGGAATTTAACATCACATGAACCAACAATATTTTGAATTTTAAAATCTGTGAATTTTGCATTAAAACCTAATTTTTGAATAATTCTTGCATATTTTCTTGAAGCTAATTTTGAATCATCTTCAGATTTTGCACCTGTAACAACCATTTTCCCTGATGCAAAAATTAAAGCAGTAGTTTTAGGTTCTCTAATACGCATAATAACAGCAGCAAATCTCTTGGGATTATATTCAGCATTACGAGCATGAAGGGCAATAGTCTTCAAATCTAAACGACAATCTAAATTAACAGTTGCAACAATATTTTGTAAAGTTGGTACAATACCTGAAGTTGTTGAATCTTCATCATCATTATTATTTGGTTCATTAACTAAATCTTTTGAATCACCTTCTGATTGACCTTGTGATTGTAAATCTTGAGATGCAGTTGGATAACCAAATGAATTTGATGAAGTAAATAATTTTGCATCAGCAGCAGTTTGTGGAGTTTTAAAAGTATCCATTGTTGGTTAAAGAAATAAAGGTATAGTGTATATGATATTTATTGGATGATGGTAATAAAACTCTATAAAAGTGTATAAAAAGAAGTAACAATTCAATGTCTCCTTTAGTATTAAAATTCAATAGTTAAATTTGTATTGAATATTGAAATATTTATTGAATGTGGCCCAAACAAACAATTTGATTTTTCAATTTTCAGTGTTTTCCAAAATAAAAAAAAAGTGGGAAAATTGATTGTTTAAATAGTTTTTCAAGAATTCGCGAACAAGTATAGATAAGATTTGAGACATAAAGTAGTATTAATTAGGGAGTTGATTGGAATAAGTGGTGGTTTATTTGATTATTTGATTATGGATTAGTTAGTAGCTACTCTATGTGTTTTTGTAATTCTAATGGTGTTAATAATTATAGTCTTTGTGTTGTATTGTCGTGTATTATGTGACACAATTTGATCAACACCGGGTAAATTTTTGATTATTTTCGCGTTTTTAATTAATTTTAATTTTCGTGTATTGAAATTGAAATTCAAATTAATAAAATTCAAATTAACCGCTGAGTTTTAAAAACATTGATTTTGTTGGCGGCTAATTATAAAATGAGTGGCAATTATTACAACAATGGATATCAATACAATCAACAGAATTATCAAGAAGGATATCAATATAATCAAGATCAATACAACAATGGGTATAATAATGGGTATCAAGAGGTAAATTATAATAATGGTTATCAAGATCAGTACCAGGGTTTTAATGATCAATACAATGGTCAATTCCAAGGCTATAATGATTTCAATCAATATCAATCAATACCACAACCAATTCCTCAAAATTATCAACCTCATCTAATTCAACCAATTCAAACTTCATCTCAAAATTATCAAGATCAATATCAACAAGATCAATATAGTACTACGCTTCAACAACAATATCAACAACAATACCAATATCCATCTCAATTTGATCAAATTCCACAACCAATTCCACCAGTGATATCTCAACCAGTGCAACCAGTGCGACCAGTGCAACCAGTGCAACCAGCACAACCAATACAGAATCACCCTGTCCAACCTATTCATCAATCACCAGTTGTTCAACCAGTACCGCCTGTTCAACCAGTACCTATCCAACAACAAGCGCCACCTCAACAATATCAACATCAACAAGTACCACAACATGTACCACAACATGTATCACAACAAGCTCCAGAGGTTCCACCTGCTCCAGTGCAACAAGTTCCAAAAGCACCTGAAGTTCCAGTTCAACAACCTCAACAGATTCCTTCGGTCCCTGTCTCTTCAATCCCACCTATTCCTCGTTCAAAGCCTATCCCTCAACCAGTGGCTCCAAAACAACAATATCAATCATCTCCACAAAAAAAAACCCATAAATCACCAATCAAAATAATGAAACCAAAATCACCAATTAAACAAAAATCACCAATTAAACCATCATCAAAATCACCAACAAAGACATCATCTCAACAATTACAAGAAAAACTTCAAAAACATTCATCTTCACAACCCAATAAACTTGAATCAACACCTTCTAAACCAATATTCAATTCTAGTAAACAAAATACTCCAGATCAATCATTAAAATCTGAACCAAATTTCGAAATAATACCAAATAATCATTATAATGATACAATTGAACAATTAAGTCAACAGGATTTTCAAGATTCAAAATTACAATTAAAAGGTGATTCAAAATTTAGTGATTTTTTAGAAAATCCAGGTTCAAATGTTGTATTATTTTTCCAAATTGCAAATGAATTAAATTTACATGCAGATGAAAATTTAAACAAGATTCAAAACAAGAGAAATTTACAAGAATTTTATACTTTAAAACAAATTTCAATATCAAGTTATGAAAAAATTTTAAATTATAAACCAAAAGTTTCTAAAAATTATCAAATTAAATGTCATTTAAAATTAGGTGAAATTTATTCAAATTTATCTAAAATTAATAATAATGGTGAAGATGATCAAGAATCTCCATTAATTAAAGCAGGTTATCATTTCGATCAAGTTTTATTACTTTGTGATCAAGATAATTTATATGAAAAATTAATCACTCAAACTAAAATTATTAATTTATTAATTGAAACAAATCAATTTAAACAAGCTTTAAAATTATGTAATAATCTTTTTGAATATGTTAATTTTATTGATTCCATATATTTAATTTATTTAAAATTTAAAATTTTAATTAAATTTGATCCAAAGCAAAGTTTACCATTTTTACAATCAATGTTGGATCGTTTTAACAAACTTCCAAATATACCTGATACATATAATGAAGGATTATTATTATTAAAATTAAATGAAATTACATTTGCAATTCAACAAGGTATTAAACCTATAACTGATGTTAAAAATTTAAAATCAAACAACAAATTAAATTCAATTCATATTGAATTTATTCAAATCTTGAACAAAATTACAAATAAACAAATAAATGATGATATTGAAATTGATTTTAAAACTTTAAGTTCAAATATTTCCAATTTACCCAAAGCACAGAATAATAAAATTCAATATAATTTACCATTCCAAGGTAAACTCATCACAATTTCAGATCAATTACCAATTTATAAATTAAACATATTAATTTGTTTAATGTATGGAATTTCATTATTAAATTCAACACATTTGAAAAGAAAATCTTTAACCTTATTTGAAAAATCAATTAAATTAATTGATGAAGAATTAAACCAAATAAATCATTCATTAATTTCAATTAATGAAAACATTAAAGCAAAGTTTAATGAATTAAATCATTTAAAAGCTTTAGTTAATTTTTTCAAAATTTTAGAAAATTCAATTATTGGTCCAATTGATGATGAATTATTAAAAAATTTTAAAAATTCAATAAATTTATTATCTAAAGATTTATATCCAAATTTTGAATTGAAAATTATTTATTCAATGGCTTTAAAATTTCAATTAAATGGTGATTTAAATATATCAAAAAATTTCTATAAAAAATTGATCAACAAATTTGAATCTGAAGAAACTTCAAATACTAAAAATTCAAATGAAATTTATATTTTTTCCATTATAAATTATCTTTTATTAATTGAATCAAGTATTCATTATTATACAAGATCTTTACAAAATGATTTAATTCCAAATTTAACTCAAGAAAGATTAATCATATTAAATAAATTAGATGAAATTATTAATTTTAAAAATTCAAATTTAAAATCTAAAGAATTAATTGAATTAACTTTGATTTTCATAAAATTAATTTATAATTATGAAAATTTATCCAAAATTGAAATTAATGAAAAAATTTCTTTAATTTTAAAAAATTTTGAAAATTTAAAAAAATTCCCATTATTATGTTCAATTTTATTATATATAAAATCTGATACATTAAATAGTAATTCTGATCAAAAGCAAAAATCTTCACAAACTTCATTTAATTTAGCAAAATTAGGTTATTCACCAATATTAAGATATTTATCAGGTTTATTAAATTCTCAAAATGCAACAATTGCAAGAAATTTTCAACAAGCTGAAATTCAAAATTTAAAATTAATTAAAATTAAAAAAAACATTGAAAATTCAAATTCAATTAATTTAAATTATTTGAATGAAAAAATTAATGATTTAGATTTTAATGAATCTCAAAAAATTATTGATTCAATTTAATCAATTATTTTAATCAATAGAATGTGTATATGGCTATGTAATGTATATTATGAATAATGACTTGAATATCAAAATTTAAAACTTATATCTAGATCATGTACTACATTCATGACTGTACAGCTATCAAATAATAATCTATATTATATATAATGTTTAAACGCTATATGGAAACCAAATTTATATAAATATAATGTACTATAAAAAACCACATCTGTATATGATACATTAGAAATGAATTTAAAAAAGATATAAGAATATAATGAATCAATTTGAATTCTTAAAAGAATTTGTTGAATTTGTTGAATTTGTTTTTTTCAATCTATGAGCCATTATAGCAGCTTCAGATCTTTGACTTTGTTCTGAATTTTTAATATGACCACGATCATCTAATTCAACTGAACCAGCACTTTCAAAAAGTGAAACTTGACCAACTAGCAGACCTAAAGTTTCTAAAACTTGATGAGGATCATTTAAATGTGATGTTGCAGATGTTGGTTGTGATGCTGGACCAACTCTAACTGGATAAAATCCAAAATTATTAAAATTTGGATCTTTATTAAAATTTTCTGATGATTCCCAATCTTGTTCGATTGATAATAATTTATTAAACATATCTTCATCTGTTGAATCGTCACCAAGACATAAGATAAAATCTGGTAAATCTTCATGTAAATGATTTTCATTATTAAAAGTTGCACCTGTTTTTTGTGGGAAACCATGTTTTGTTAATGTTAATCTTTTAACAATTTCTCCTTTATTAACGAAATTTGGACGAACTTCAACATTTGCTTTACCAGTCATAACTTCCACTTGATAATCTTTAGCTACAGTAGCTTGTAATTCTTTAACTAATTCTTTTGCTTGAAATTCACCTAATTCAGGATCACTTCTTCTATAATGCCATGTTAATGCAACTTTTTTCTTTTCAATATTTGATCCTGGAGTTTTATCTGTGAAATTATTAAAAATTTCTTCAACTTTTTCTTGCCATGACATATCTGCTTGTGCTGCTAAATTAACCCATTTAGAATTAATATCTTTCATAAAACAACCATGTTCTGCAGATAAACCAATTTTTGGATTATAACCCAGCCATTTTTCTAAAAATGCTTGATCACGACCACTAATAATCCAAATTTGATTTTGAGGATCTTCTGATAATTTATTTAAAATATTAATCAGTCTTGCAGATGGTATAGCTGCAGCTGGATCTTTAACAATTGGAGTTAAAGTACCATCATAATCAAATAAAAATAATCTTCTTTTAGATTTTTTATAATGTTCTAATAATGAAGGACGATTTAAAGTTGGGGTTAATTTTTTTCTATTATCATCATCAATACCTGATAAAAGAGATTTAAGATATTTATTTGTCCAAGATTGAATTGAAACAACATCTTTTGATAAATTTGTTTGTAAATGATTTTTTCTTTGATCATCAAAATTTAAACTTTCATAAATAGTTTTAGCAACTGCAACTGAATCCCATGGATTAACAATTAATGCATCTTTTAATACACTTGCAGTACCACTAAATTCTGATAAAATTAATGGTGAATGATTGTATTTTTGTGCAACAACATATTCTAAAGCTGTAGTGTTCATACCATCTCTAACTGATGTGATTAAACCTAAATCAGCAACTCTTAATAAAGCTAAATATTCAGATTTATCAATTCTCATTTGATAATGATGAACTGGAGTATGATTTAATGAACCAAATTTACCATTAATTTGAGAAATTAATTCAGAAACTTGATTTTCAACTTTTGTTGAATGTAAGACATTTGGTGAAGAAACTTGAATTAAAATAACTTGATCTCTAAATTCAGGATACATTTCCAAGAAAGTTTCAAAAGCTTGTAATTTTTGAACAACACCTCTAACAGAATCTAAACGATCTCTACCAACAATTAGTTTTTTATGACCATATAATTCTTTAATAGCTTTAACTTTATTATCAATTTCATCATTAAAAGCATCATATTCAATTTTGGCAACATCAATACCAATTGGTAAAGAATCAACAGAAACTGTATTACCATAAACACTAATAGAATTTGGTGTAGTTTCAGAACCTAACAGACGTTTACAAGAACTAATAAAATGTCTTGCAAATGAATAATTTTGGAAAGTAACTCTATTTGCACCTAATAAACCATCTAATAATTGTTGTCTTTTAGGTAAAGCACGGAAATATTCACTTGATGGGAATGGGCAATGCATAAAAAATCCAATAATTGCATTTGGTAAACGTTGTCTTAATAATTGAGGTAATAACATTAAATAATAATCATGAATCCAAATAATATCACCTTCTTTATAAGTTTGTAAGATTTTATTTGCATAAGCTTCATTAAATTTAACATAATCATACCACCATTGAGATTCATCTTTACCATCTGAAGCACCACCCATAATATAATGGAAAGCAGGCCATAATACATTTTCAGCATATTTTCTCCATCTTTGTTGATCTTTTCTTAACAACCAAACAGGATGAATTTTATCAGTTTGATTTTCTTTTGAAATTAATTTTTCAATATTTTCTTTATCTTCATTATCAAGATAATAAGAATCATCATCTTGATTAATATCAGTACTTTCAATTCTTAATTCACCAGTCCAAGCGATGAGATGGTTTTCCCATTTGGTTTCTTGATCAAGATAGTTAAAAGATGATAATAAGGCAGAATTACCAGTTAAATGTCTAACTTTCTATATGGTTATTTTGTTAGTATAACGGACATCATATGATTGCTATTATGAGAGAATACTTCAATAACAAGATATACTCAATAATACATCCAATGCTATTTTAATTCTCCCAGTAAATACATATAGATCTTTACTTACCCAATCATCATCAGCGTCTTTTCTATAAATGGTGTTTGGAATGGTGGTGAAGGCATTCAATATTCTACCGCTCACATTCTTATTCTTGTAATCTTCAGGTTTGATGAAGTTTTCGATCTTTGGGTAGACAAACTTTTGCTGGGTATCGTTCGTCATTGTGAGTATCCTTTTGCCTCTGTTTACCTCTGTTTTCCTTGTTTTCCCTTCTTATCTTGGTTGTTGTTGAGGTTGATGTTTTGGATTGTTTTGGTATCAGATGATGATATGCTTCTCCAGAAAGATGCTTCTAGACTTGTAAACACAACTAAACGATTGAGATCTGAACTATTGAAATTTGAAACTCTTTGATCTTAATACCAGCAGGATTCTGTCTATTTATATTCAATCCAATAACAGCAATTAACAAAGCTCAATTTCCTCAGCGGCTGTTGCAGATTTGTTGTTGTCGATTGTTGAAATTGTTAGCAATATTTTAATTACGACGTTGTCATTTTCGATTTCTTAACTATGAATGTTGCGAATGTTTCCGGATTACACGCGCAGTTACCGTTTCGGGAAGTCTAGAATGTTCTGGATATATATTCTAATGGAGATACTACAATAAAGATCTATCATAAATCATGTATTCTATAAATTAATGCTATGTAAATGCTCTGTAAATGCTATTATATGAATATTGTATATATGTTGTAATCATATCAAAAATAAGGTGCACTTGCTGGTATATACTCATCTGAACCTAATTGACTTTCATAAGAATCATCATAATTTAAATTTGTTGAATCTTGTAAAGGTAATCTTAATCTTTTAACATTATTACTTAAATTATTTAAATCAAATTTCCTCTTTCTCATGTTGTTATAGCCCTTTGGTGATGGAATTTGTGATAATTGTGCTATAGGTAATGATTCAGGTTGTGTAGGATATAATTCTTCTAATTCATCTTCAATTTCTTCATATTCTATTGATGTATCTTCAGACATTGGTAATGGTTCATTGGGTATAGTGAATGAGTTTATTTCACATTTTAAAGGTTGATTGTCTTTTAATTCTCTATTGAAAACTTCTTCTTCAAGTTGTTCAATGGAGTCATCATCTTCTTCTTCTTCATTGACATTTACATTGTCTTTGTTTGAAATGTTATCTTCATTTGGGTCATTATTATTAGTTCTTATTGTCAAGCTTTCATCATCATCATTTGTTTCTTCTTGACCATTATCATCATTATCATCAATAACTGCATTCCCGCCATTTTCTTCATTCACTTTTTCATTCAGTACAGTAATTGTATCATCTTTTTGTGAAGAAGTATCCATTACACGTTCTGGGACTTCATTTTCATTATCTTCTGGTTCAATAGTTTCATCGGCATCTTCACCCTTATCACTTCCATCACTGTACAGTTCATTTGTTGTCATTGGATTCACTATAACTCTATCATCTATCTGATTTGAACTATTAATTCCCTTATTATTTATCAGATCATCAGGTAAAATATTTTTAGCTGTACTAATATCATTATGACGGGTTGAAGGTGATGATTCCAACAGAACAATTGGATTTTTATCCATATATGTAGTTCTTAGCTCATCGACTTCCTCCTCTTCTTCATCTTCTTCATCATCCGTGCCAAAATCACCTTCATCTAATGTAAATGAATTTGAAACATTTGAAGAAATTGGATCATTTTTACCAACTTCAATAATACCATTTAAAGTTTCTTGAAATTTTATAACTTTAGGGATTAAGTTTGAACTTCTTTGTAATCTATTTTGTTTAAAATGAACAAAAATTGCAGTAGAATTTAATGATGATGATGAAGTAACCCAATCTCTATATAACATTAATCTTGATTTGAAATATGATGACCAAATTGGATGATCACCTAAAGGCGATACTAAAATTTGTTGATATAATCTTTTTGGTTTAGGTTTTGGTGTTAATGGACCTATGAAACTTTGTGAACTTCTCATCTCTTGATGTTGTTGTTGAGTATTAGATATTGGATCTTCTTTAGTTTCAACAAATGACATATTTAAAGTTGTAGAAGAATTAAATATTGTACATATACAATTATTTATAGCACAATAAGTTGATAATAATTTGAAAATGTTTTGAATTGCTTTGTTTTTCTTTTGTTCTTGTAATTGATTCTTACCATTTAAATTTTCAAATTGATTAAAACATCTTGATATTAAACTTGCAAAATCATCAATAATTATTAATCCATATTTATTGGGTTTCAGATTTAATGATTGTATGAATATAAATAATGCACTTATTGAATCAAGCCGTATATGATTTAAATTTGATAATAGGTTTTCATTATCGATACCAAGATAATTTTTAATTGTATCAATAGGTATACATTGTAATGAACTAATCCAAAGCACATGTTTCTCTTCAATTAATGAATTTTTAACAAATTGTGATGATAAACTTGATTTTCCTGATCCTTGAATCCCACAAATTTCAAATATTTGTCCAGGATATAATCCACCTTCTAACATTTCATCAAATGCTTGAATCCCAGTACTCAAAGGTTTAATTGAAGGTGAATCATTCAATAATTGTGATAATGGTTGGGAGGGAAGCCGATGTACTTGAGATGCCATTCTTGTGATATCCTATGACACAAATGCAATATAGTACAATCTATGAATATTTAAAGAACCAGCTGGGTTGAATGCTTTTTGTTTGACTTTTTTGGTGATATCTATTCATTGTTTACTTTTCAAAAACGCGTTTAAGATTTTTTTTTATCTATATGAAAACAATCGCGACTACAAAACTTCAAATAACATAATCTCATTGCCAAAATATTATAAGCTATTAATACACACAAAAGAAGTTTCCATAAAAAATTCATAAGAAATAGTCCGTAGCAGGTTTTTTAGAAGGTATAGCACTTGCATCTTGTAACACAGCTTCAAAAATTTTATAATCTCTATTCAAATTATCATCAATTGTTAAAACAGCAGCTACATTACCACATCTATAACAATAATTAGGTGCAGACCATACTGTAACTAATCCACCATTGAACATTTCTTTATAACCTTCCATAACCAATTGATGAGCTCTTGCAATTAATGATATATTATTCTTATATAAGAATTGATCAACTTCATTTTTACCAAATAAGTAACCAGCACCTCTTGGACTTATTGACCATCTTTTAACATTATCAGGGTCAGACCATAATAAATCACACATTGCTCCCTCATGAGGTACTTCTTGTTTCCTATCAATCAATTTAATTTGATTTATACCTTCAATATCTGGTGATAATCCACCATGAACACAAAAAACACCACCTTCACCACCAACTAATGCACCTAATGCTAAATAATCAAACACTTCACAACAATATCTCCATACATTTGCAGATCCATATTTCCTTATACATTCATCATAAAATCCATAAACTGTTGTAATTTGTCTTGATTCATGATTACCTCTAATTAAAGTAACTCTATCTGGATATCTAACTTTTAAACAAAGTAATAATAAAAAACTTTCTAATGAATAAAACCCTCTATCAACAAAATCTCCTAAAAATAAATAACGTGCATTGGGACAATCTCCACTTGATTTAAATAAAGTTAATAAATCATGTAATTGACCATGAATATCACCACATATCGTTACTGGAGTATCAACAATTTGAATGTTTGCCTCTTTGATTAATAATTCTTGGGCTTTGATACATAATTCATGAACATCTTGTTCTGAAATGTGTTTACATTCTTTTAACAATTGAATGGCTTTATCAAGATCTAACATTTGACTTATAAATTCATTTGATTAATAAAAAAAGATGTGATGTGATGAGATGAGCTTTGGGAGAAAATAACAATGATTCTATAATGCTTTCTTTGAAACTTGTAGGGTGAGTAAACCAATAACCTGACCAATAAAATCAACTAATGTATAACAATTCAAGTAAAAACTTAATTCAATTATCTCATCAAAAGTGAAATATTTCAAATTCCACCATAGTTAAGCAATTGTTTATTATGGGTTTTTTTTACGTGTGCGCGTATTTCTTCAGGGTAACGCTCTGAATTACCGCCATTGTTAAGGGCAGAAACTTTTCACTTTTCATGTATAAGCATATAAGCGTTCTTGATCTTTTAATATTCAATTCTACAAATTCATAACTTCTATAATTTATATTATAAATATGTTCTATTATACATGTCTTTAAAAGGAATATCAAGTGCAAGTTCAAATGAACCAATGATCGTTAAATAATATCGTTAAATGCGTTTATATCATAATAATTGTGTGATTGAGATTGTTTGTGTTGTGTTGTATATCTTTGTATTGTTGTTTATGGTGATCTAATCACGTTTGAATTGTGGTAAACGAATACCATTGGCAACAATATATGAGTTTTCTTTATTAGCTAACCCAGCAAATGCATTATACCAAGCTAATAAAGCAGTAATAAGACCAAAAATACCACCAGCTTTTGTACATGAAGTACTTTGAACAAATTTACCAACTGATAACATTAAGAAAGTTATAGTTAAAGAAAGAAATAAACCAAAAAATGCAACTGTTGATTTTAAAGTACATAAAGTAACACCAGCAGTGAAAATTGTCCAACCTAATAAATAAAATCCAACTGCATTTTCTAATTCAATTTCAGATTCATAAGCATCTAAAATTCCAAACCATGGAATATAAATAGCACCAAAACTTAACCAAAATCCACCATAAGAACTTAAACAAGTACCACCAAAAACATTACCTAATGCAATTTCCCACATACCTGCAGTTAATTGAACAAGACCACCATAAAACATTGCTAAACAAACAACAATATTTGGAACTTGAACAGATCTTGCTTGACAATTAATTAATGATAAAACAAAAGTAGTTAAAGCAAAAGCACTTAAACCTAATGGAGCAGGATTTGCAAATTTATATGGAGATGGTAATGAATTACCAGGAGTTAATGAACCACCAAAAGCAGCTAACATATCAGATTTTAAAAATTTTTTACCATCTAAATGAATAAATTCATTTGCAGTACCTGATGTTGTTATACTATATAATAAATCTGAACCTTGATTCTTGGAATAATTTGTATTATAAGTTCTTGATTGTGAATTTACAGAAATTGGATTATTTTCATAATAACGATCATGATCATAATTTTCTGAATCATCACTAAGATGAGAGATTTGAGCTTCTAAATCATTTTGTTGTTCTTTAATAGCCATTGTGATGTGATATGATCTATTATATGATTGCTATTATATATATATCTATGATTGTTTATATGTTGAATGACAAAGAGTTTATATATGTCCGATGTATTAAAAGTATTGTAATGAGGATATTGATGGGTATAAATAATAAAAGTTAAAGTTAATGGCACCCATAAATAAACTTTGAATCATTTCTTAAACTCTTAAACTCTAAACTCCTTTTCGCATATTATTGTTGCATTTCTATTTGACATGTTTAATGTTTGAGTCAGGGAAAAATTGGAAAAAATTCTGATTCTTCATACATGTTTTATGCAATTGTTTACGTACATAAAGGTTTTTGCTAGGCTCCCTTCACCTGATTTGGTAAAAATTCGTGGAGTCCTTTGAGAAATAAGACTCTTGTGCACTTGTGCACTTGTGCATCAAATACTTAAACAGTAACGCCATAGATATCAATTATTTTCTACCCCTTTCTATACAAACCCTTTGTTCTTATTTGCCTAGTTTTCAAACAATTATCGTTTTTGCTTTTCGGGATTGCAAAAAAAACTTGTGAAATGCGAGATGCAATTGAAAAAAAAAATAAATGTGATTTTAATCAATAAATCAGACAACAACTTTGACTACAACTAGCTACACAAGTAACCTGGTAGTTGGGTATATATAGTACGAGTGCTTTAAGACTAACCTTAGTCTGTCCATCACCTATGTCTTCACCTTCAACTTCACCTTCAACATGGTATGTTATCCCAGTTGATTCCACCAAATTTCCACTTGATTTCCACAAGTTTGGCGAGATCTTCATATTGCATACACCGATAATTTGTAGCCTTTCCAAACTCAGCCTTACACCTGTTTTCCGGAGGAACGTATCAAGGGTTTATCCTAGAGTGTGGGTTTGGTGATTGTAGTTGAATAAAGTTGTTTGATTCAAAGAGGATCTCTTGATGTTTAAATAGTTGCAAAGGATGTGTTAATTCCCACTTCATAGGCTCCGATTTGGTATATCATAAGCTTCTTGTGGGTTAAGTATGTACAAATTCACCACTTTAAAAGACTGGCCCCACTTTCCCAATCCCACTGGTCTACGATTTGGTGAAGTTTGTCAAGTTTTCAAGTTGTTCAATTGCAAATGGCTGAACGAATGGCTGAACAAAAAGAAATTTGTGGTGCAGATTTGCAGATTTCACGTTCGGCTGAAGTAAAATTTTGCTAGAGCCGTTCAACGGTTGCATTTAGGAAAACTTTAAAGTGGTGGTGGACCTCAAGTGATCATAGTTTATGACGATAGGAGTACTATGTGGTAAGTTATGGTTAGTTATACACATTCTATCATTATCAACATGCTCTATCGATTAGTATTCTGTGTTTTTTCCCATGAGAATTAACTTGATTTCCACCTTTCCAACTTATTTTTTACTCAAGAGTTTGAATTCATTGGCAAGATTCCACGTTGTGATTCGCCAACAGTTTAATTAAATTCACAAATCTGAAGACTTTAGGGACTTCAATGGAGACTTTGAAGACTGTTGACCTTTGGGACTTGTACCACTTATAGCTATTAAGATAGGCGTAAAGAAGCACAGAGCAGAATGTAGTAAAACTAGACTTAAAGTTAACACTTGATTGGTCTAATTTGATACAGAATGTAGTAATTGTTGTAACAGTAACGAATAAAGATAATTCATTTAGTAATATACAAATATATAAAAACAGAAAGAGGATTTGGACTCTTTAATAGTAAAATGGAATAAAACAATAAGATTGAGCAAGAACGTGGATTGACATGTGAAAGGTGTAATAATTGGCGGTGGTGAATTGGTTTTGTAACATGTGAAAGTTGTAGTAAGTGATGGTAATGAACTGGATTGTTAACATGTGTAAATATAAGTGATGGTAATGAAGTGGTTTGGTAACATGTGCAAATATAATGTCATGTGATGGAGCATGTGATAGTATATGTAGTACAGACTCCGAATTTTGAATTTGAGGGTCTACGTAGTATTATGTATTCGATCACCAATTTTAAACTTTCATACCAGGAATTATATAATACAAATAAATTTGAGATTTAAAGATTTTAAGATCAACTTGAAAACTGTGGTTTTAGAGTGAAGGAGAGATTCATGCAGTTCTAAACTCCTTTTTCATAGTTGATGTTTTAAATCATTTTACTGGTTGAGTTGATGTCGTAGTTGTTACTCTTGCTTATATTGAAGTTAGAAAATATGTATTAATATTCATAAAATTTTGCAAAACTAAACAGCTACCTAGTTGTTTTTCATTAGGGCATTCGATTTCTTGTTGTAATTTCTTTTCTCTTTAAAATTTTTGACTATTATCAAATATCTAATATATATCATGGAAAATTCGACTAGAAAATTATTGATCCTGAATTAGAATCCTGAAATTATCAGTCAAATCCCCTTGAATGATCACCAACCAAGAGCTTCTTATTTCTCATTGGCCTTTTGATATTCCAAAATTTGAGAAACAGAATCAATAATAGTCTTTTCTAATGGAATCCATTTTCCCAATCCAGACCATTCTAAAGATTTACTTGAATCATAAAACCAATGATTTTTAGCAACATGTTCCTCAGCACCTTCAGGTTTCCCCTTTGCAATTTTTAAATCTTTAAAATTCTTATTAATTACATTTAATAATGTTTGTCCATTAAACGCACCATTAACTGGGAATAATCTTTTACCTTTCAAATTTTGGTCTTCTAATGGTAAAACATGTAATAATGCAACATCACGAACATCAGTGGCTAAACCTAATGGAGTATCAAAAAAATGTTCATCTGATGGATCAGTTTTCAATAATTTATTAATAGTTTCAGCTGATGTATTTAAAGTTGGATTAATTAAAACATCTTCAAATTTTTGTGGACCAAGAACAAATGGTGGATTAACAGTAGTTAATTCATAAGAAACTTTATTTTCAGAAATATATTTTCTTGCTAATTGTTCAGCTGCCTTTTAGGAAACGGTATATGCCTTATTATCATTATCAACATCTTCCCAATTCATTGGGTTCCAAGTTTCTTCAGTATGAATAAATGAAGAATCACCTAATTTATGACGATGAACAATAGCGGCAAAACTTGAAGTGATAACAACATTTTCCACTTTTGAACCAAATTTATCAATTGCAGTTAAAATATTTTCAGTTCCTTTTGTTGCTGGAACAAGATATGTTGTTTTCAAAGAATCTTTATCAACACCATAAAAAAATGGTGAAGCTGCATGAATAACTTTGGTAATTTCTGGATGTTTCTCCAAGACATGATCAAATGCATTTGGAATTGAAATATCTTCAACAATTTCAAATGATAAATCACCAGATGGTTTCTCATTTTGGAAATTTTTTATAATTTTATCAGCTTTTGATTGTGATCTAACTGTACCAATAACTTTATAACCTTTTGATAATAAAACATCAATGATGTGTAAGGCAATAAACCCAGAAGCTCCTGTTAATAACACTGTTGTGGTCATGATTCTTATTGATAATTCTCTTTAATTGAATAGAACTAGATATTCTCTTGATGTTTATTTCTTTGAATTGTTCTTCTTTTCAATGGGGATATTATTTGATTTTTATACGCATCTGAACCCTGAATTGAATTTGGTGATATTTCCCCTTTTGGTATAAATTATTCGCTTATCAGTGGTATCGATATTAACAATCAAATTTGAGAAATGTTGGAAATCATCAACGAACTTCGAAGAGCTTATGAGTGGATCAATTATCTTAAAGACGTATAAGCGTTAAGTTCAAAAAATCATAAACCATGAATTGTATATTGAAGGTTGTTCTTTTGTTGTAAACGCGTTTGTTGCGATAAATCAAGATAGACTCGTCCTCTGCTTATTAAGCTCTACGTAATCAAATTTTCATGTTGTGACTGTTCCTCGAAAATCTTTTAGTATAATCTTGATTCTTCACTTAGTATATATAACTTCTTTAGTATTCATCAGTTATTTTCATGCCATCGGGTGTTATATTGCAACCTAGGAATTGGAATGATTTTTTTTTTTGATTCTGACATCATTATATTATATGGATAATCCAAAGGATTGGGAACACATTGTGATTGAGCATGTCAATTTATCACAATTCCATCCATAGAGGTTTAATCCATTATTGAATCAATAAGGCCTTAACGATTTAGATTGAAAGTTTCTTCATACACTGATAAACTCTACAATATCTTCATCTAAAGACAGTTATCGATCTGTTAAACCATTTTTATTCAGTATCAATAATTAACTATACTTTAAATAAATGTTATTAGTTGGTAATTCAAACCTGTAGAGGGATAAAAGTATCAAATTAGTGATTATGTACTACAATAATATATTTTGTTTAATTCATGATGATATGCATTTATGCTATAAAAAGTTCATTATATAATTAATTAATTGGTATTCATAAAAATAAATCCATCTAGGATTTTAATGCAAAGGTTTATTGTTTCAAATTAGTTTTTAAGTTTAATTTAAGCAACAGAGTCAACAGTAGCTTTGATTTTGATGGGAACAACAGCATCATAAATATTTGGTGAATGTGGAGCCATAACACCAATTTGAAATGATTCTTTTGAATAGTTGTATGGATCGTTGGTACCTTTAACAGCAAAGAATGTGTTTGAACCATTACCAGTTAAGTAACCGTTTTCAACAGCCCATTTGGTGTTGTCATAAGATGGAGATGTTTGTAAAGTGTGGAAACCTGAACCACCTTCTTGAATAGTGAAGAATGCTTCATAAGTTTGGTTGTCAGCAATTTCAACATTTTTGGAAATGACACCAGTTTTGTAATCAAAATCAAATGATTCTGAACCTTCACCAGCAAAGAAATAGTTGATAGCAGCACCTTCATGGATTGATGATAAACCTTTGTTGTTAACTTCTTGGTTGTCAGATTCGATGTTGAATCTGATTGAGCTTTGGATGGCAGCAGCAGAAGCACCAGTTAAAGCAACAGCAGTGGCTAATAAAGTTGAGAATTGCATTTTTGTTATTTGTGTTGTATTGTAAGTCTTGTAGTTGTAATTGATTGATTCAATTGATGATGATTAAAACAAGATTAAAATGTTGAATAAAACTAGGATTTCAAGCTTCCTTTATACTTTTTCGACACTTTAAAAATAGAAACTAGTTACACCATAAACAAATTTCTAAACGTAATGATGATTGTTTGCATTTTGTATTTACTATTTTGAGATTTGGAAGTACCTCTTTTCTTTTGCTGACCCTTCCACGAGGATCGTCGATCAGCGGTGAAGTTTCCAGAAAAATAGATTCAAGATTGACAAAAATAGATCGGACCGTTAAAACTTAAGAGATATACTGATTGTGAATCAGTCACAAATTACGAGGTTAATCTACAAGATGGTTCATTGAGTAATATACATATTAAATCATTACTATACAGGTACTTTAATTTTAAAAGTATAACAATTATCTCTGCCCCCGATTGTACCTGAAAATTCCGCAAAAAACCTTAATTTTTGACATAGAATAAAAAAGTTTCTATTTTAAGGTTTAGCATGAAAAAATAATCCCGTGCAGACTCCGACTTTACGTCATTTTCTTTAAAATGAAGATGACCGTAGTAACTTTTTAACCATGGTTCAGGGTCCAAAGTTCAAACTTGTTCAACAATACAACAATATGCCTATGATGGTTACATGCGTAAAGGAAAAGTGACCCAGGGTATTATGACTTTTTATTCAGGATGAAAATCAGGTCATTTAGTGGGGGAGAAGTCTGAAAACTGAAAACTGAAGTAACGAGTAACAAGTTTGAACTCTGAGTCTATCAGGATTCAGCAGTATTGTTAAACAATAATTGTTTCAATATATAGTGATGTTACATGATAGTGAATTTATGACTGCTTTATAAAACCAAAATTAAAGAAGTTAAATCCCTTGAAAATCGAGATTTTTACTATCATACATCATACACTAAAGTACTTCTGCACATAGTTCATAGCTCTGAATCCTGATCTGTTGAATAAGACAGGAATACAACGCTTTTCTTACGAGTATGTCCATTATAGGCTATGAAAGAAATTGCAAGTATACTTCCTTCTTTTCATGTGATTCATTAAGCCGTGGTAAACTGTCGATGGCATTTAAAGTAAGTAAATATTATGCAATAAATAATATAGTGTATCTGAGAAACTGAAAAGCTTTAATTCCAAACAATTAGAAGATATTATGATGAACCTGAAGTAGATTCTAGATGTCTATTGAGTGGTTAATCGGCACGTTTTATTAGTTATTAATGATGGTTTAGCTACTATAATATTGTGTGTTTTTTTCAAACGTATGATTTATTTTACTTATGCTATGTTATATAAAAATTAAAATTATTGAGTCATTATAAATGTTTCTTATTATAAAATGTGGTATATTTGTTCATAAAGTAATCCCATTCAAAGGATTATGATGCAAATCATGATTCTGATCTAGTGTATAAGCTTATTTTAAGCAACAGAGTCAACTGTAGCTTTGATCTTGATTGGAACAACAGCATCATAAATATTTGGTGAATGTGGAGCCATGACACCAATTTGGAATGATTCTTTTGAGTAGTTGTATGGATCGTTGGTACCTTTGACAGCAAAGAAGGTGTCTGAGCCATTACCAGTTAAGTAACCGTTTTCAACGGCCCATTTGGTGTTGTCATATGATGGAGATGTTTGTAAAGTATGGAAACCTGAACCACCTTCTTGGATAGTGAAGAATTCTTCATAACTTTGGTTATCAGCAATTTCAACTTTTTTGGAAATGACACCAGTTTTGTAATCAAAATCGAATGATTCTGAACCTTCACCAGCAAAGAAGTAGTTGATAGCAGCACCTTCATGAATAGATGATAAACCTTTGTTGTTAACTTCTTGATTTTCAGATTCGATGTTGAATCTGATTGAGCTTTGGATGGCAGCAGCAGAAGCCCCAGTTAAAGCAACAGCAGTAGCTAATAAAGTTGAGAATTGCATTTTTGTTATTTGTGTTATATTATTTGACTTGTAGTTGTAATTGATTGATTCAATTGATGATGATTAAAACAAGTTCTAAACGTTGAATAAAACTAGGAATTCAAGCTTCCTTTATAGTTTTCTGATGTGTTATAAATAGAAAGTCAAGCACAAGGATATTATGGAATTAAATGTGTTATATCATTAGAAGCTAAGAAGTATAAGAAGTTGTAACTTGTAAAGTTGTACTACCCCATTTTTTGTTTATGTTTTTTGTTTATGTTTTTTGTATAAGTATCGAAGATCATTGATCATCGGTACCTGAAATTACTTCCAGAAAACATCGGCCTAAAAATAGGGCAAATCGTGAAGATTTAATTGAGAAACTTGGATATCATAAAACGATACAACAAGCTTGAAGAGATCAACCAGGTCAATATTTGATCCATTGTTTCTTTCAAAATGCCTTCAAATATCTGGTGTCACTTTACTGTTACGTTATTACTAACTGATACAAATTAAATAAAACATTGTTGAGCTTGAAAATTCGGTACTGCACGGGCTTAAAATTTAAATCTGGTACGTATTTAAGTTTCTATTTTTAAGCTTATAAAAGTTGAAGATGATGTCATTTTGTAATTAAAAGAATAGATATTAGAGATGCTAGGATACATTTCAAACCTTTTGAATTCATTCCTTTAAATCACTCAGTAGTACAAAAAGATTTTAAAAATACACTCATTGAGAGAATCTATCAAGAAATGCAATATCAATAGTTATTCAATTTGGCTTCTCACTTAAATCTATGAAGACATTCCTTAGAGATAAAGTAAATAGAATTATGGAAGTTAAAAGGCTATGAAAAACAACTCATTACCTTCACTAAATCAAACATCTCAAACAATGTATCTCAGCTCATCTAAACATCTCAAATCTAGTATCTCAAATCTCAAATCAATCTCTCAAATCAATCTCTCAAATCAATCTCTCAAACATCTCAAATCAATGGTCTCAAATCAAACATCTCAAATTAAAGATCTCAACTCATTCAATCATCTCAAATCGATGATTTTAAATCTCAAACCAAACCTCTCAAATCAAATATCTCAACTCATTTTAATTATCTCAAAAAGGGAGTTTATGAAGAACCTTTTTAGCTACAACTCACATATTGCGCTACATCTTATAATCACAAGCAAACCAAGAAATAATTGAAAGTTTCAGAACCTTACATACAATCATTAGATTTACGTCCCATTGTATTGGAAAGCTGATATCAATAATATTCAGCGAGAATAAGCTCACTTTTAATTCATACGGCTAAAATGTGGAAGTCTACAAAGTGTATAGTTGTAAAATTATTGATCAATATATATTATAATTTAAATAAATTAGTTTTAAATTTCACGAGTGCTATGAAATATTAGATGGTATAAATAAATATATAGATAAATTAATAGGAAAGCTCTTTACCATCATAATCATAAAATTTACCATTTTGCTCTTTTGACAAATTAGTGATTGTTTTTAATTGTTGTTTTGCACTTTCTTCAGGAGTTAAAGTTTCAAAATTTTTCAACACTTCAAGAACATTTGGTTGGTTTTCCTCAAAATAAGATATTGCTGTGTTAAACATATCAGTGGAAACAGCACCTGGATTCAACGAAATAACAGTGAAACCTTCAGATTCTAATTCAAAGCTGAATTCCTTAACAGCATAGTTCAAAGCTGCTTTTGATTGACCATAGGCAGATGTACTAAATGGGATATAATCATTAATAGAACCTGCTGAACTGGAAACGAAAGCAATATGTTTTGTTTGAGATTTTTGTAAATATTTGTAAAGAGCTTTAACCAAGAGGATTGGACCAACAGCATTGACATTAAAATGATTGATGAATCTTTCTTTTGGTGTTTCTAACAAAGGTTTATAAGAATGTTGAATACCAGCATTTGAAATCAAGACATCAATACCATTTGAAGCAATATTTTTCAATTGTTCATCTAATTGATCAAAAGATTCTTCATCAGCAACATCAAGTTTAACGATGTGAACTTTAGAGTTTGATTTAGATAATTGTTGCAAGTCAGAAGCAGAAGCAGGATCACGAGCTGTTGCTATAACAGTGTTTGAAGGAATTGATGATAACTGCTTGGCGAATTCATAACCAATACCACGATTGGCACCTGAGATAAAATAAACTTTTCCAGACATATTATTGCTTGTAGTTAATTAAAATTTAATTGTTCAATAGTTCAATTGTTCAATTGTTGATTGATTGATAGTGGATTTAATAATGAGATAAGAATATGATATTGAACAAAAGGACTTATTTATATACATCATGGACTGCAACAAATCGATTTATAAGCATATATGCAAATTTGAAGTTTCAATTATCAATTATAAGCTTAAATTTAAAGTTTGTATATATGGAATATTATTGATCTTATAATTTGTAATTATAGTGTAATATTGCTTTCGGTTTTAATAAAGATGAATTGTTAAATCCGGCATTAATTTATAAGCATATTATATTAATATTATTAATATTATACTAGCACTACATCACAAAGAATAAACAATAAACAATAAACAATAAACAATAAACTTCAAGTAAGCTTTAAAGTTCGTTGATTGTGGATTACAAATTGCATGCGAAGTACTGTAAAAATATATATAAAGTAGCAGCTGACAGCTAGCAGCTAGACGTATATAACTACTTATATCATAATAGCTTAAATAGCAGCTGGCAGAGGTATTAATAATTAAATATATTAATATATTAATGATTCTATTATAACTTTTATATTATTTTTAAAATCTATACACCGTACACCATATTACCATATGATTGTACCATAATTAAGCAGCCAGGCATACAACTTACACAAACGTCAACAAGATACCAACTAGTAAGTAGTTATGAAGTATAGGTTAACGAAATATATGTATATAATCTAAAGTTTTAAGTCAATTCAAATTATTTAGTTATATTTCAGCTTATAGTAATAAATATGTCATCAATGTAATGATAATGTACTTTTTGTAGGAATGATAATGTACTTCTTGCGTACGTCTATACGATTTTTAAAACCGAGAAAATCCGGAGGATTTAAGCTTTCAACCTAATAAATTTAAGTTAAATCATAACGACAAATTAATAAGTAAACAGTAACGTTCTATTGCTTCATAACACTTCATAAATCCTTCTCTATTTACTCGTATTAGTTTTTTAGCTAAATTCCAAGTTTTATTTAAATATTATTTTGGAAGATAATTGAAAGTTTTAATTTCAAAGTTAAAATAAAATTTCGGACATTGATAAATAATTTGAAATCTTTTTTTTGAAAAAAAAATACCTTTTAAATGTCATTATTTTACGCTAATTGAAGATAATAGTAAGCCTCACTTCTATAGAAACTAACTTCTCTTGCTATTAACAATCAGTGTATTAATTATACTCAATTTAAATCATAATTAGCCTTTGATTATATAATCAAACTGGTGGGAATATATATCGGTGTTTAATTTTTGTGCCAAATTTCAATATATAAATCACTAGTATTTCAAAGCTAAAAGTATAGTGTATAATTACTGAAGAGCATGCATTGAAGCTTGAGAAAAAGTACACTATGTTCATGTTGTATCTGCTAAAAATGCTTTAAAGTCCGGTGTTGATGATGTTGAATTACACCGTGAAGACACCGTGAAGACAGTTATATATAAGTGATCAATTATTGGATCCAAATTAAAATAAAAGAATTGATGAGTACCAATTACCAAAACTATTGGTGTAATTGAATTTGATCTTAAGTTTGATCCATAGATAATTGGTAGCGTGCTTAGAGAGTATTTTTGAAGAACATTTTGATAGTTTATTAAATTAGTTCAAATTTCACTTCTGCCTATAAAACCATACAAAGCACCAGGTAAAATAACCTTAAACAAACAGCTTCGAATCTCCCACATGGACCTGATGTTGGAATATTTGATTGAAGATTCATTTTATATACTTGAACTTATTTTCAAATCACTTGTATTTTCCTGGGGAATCAAATTATACCCACACCGGTCATAATGCCAAACATAGTAATAGACTAAAAAACTGTGGATCTTTCCATCAAAATTTAAAACTGGTGATATAAGGTTATGTGACTATTAACAGCATCCACGATCTTGTGGAAGGGAGACTTCAGACTCGTTTAGAGGACTATGGCTCAGAAGCTTAAGTCAGATACCATAGTATCCAGTTCTTTCTGTGGTATAAAAAGCTGTTATCATGCTGGTTTTAGTACGGTTATATTATATATTTATATCACCATCAAAAGATTATCAGCATGTCCGTCGAAGCTAGCACACAGCAAACCCAGCAAGTAAAGAGCCATAATCCACTACTTCTCAATATTGATGTATCCAAAAAAGTTAGAGGAGGATTTGATGAGAGTCTTGTTGAAGAATTACCATCAACTACAAGAGCTCGTTTTGAAAGACATGGAGTTGATTTAAGTAAAGGATATCCTGAAAAACCACCATCTGATCAGATTCCTTTATACGTTGATGATGCTTTCAAAATAAGGGACAAACCTCAGGAATATATTCCAAGAGGTAAATTTGCTGATCGCTCCAAAAAGGCATTGTTTAGTAAAGCTAAAGAATTTAAACATCTTACTAAATATATTGGAACTGAAATTGTTGGTGTTCAATTATCTGATTTGAATGAACAAGAATTAGATGAATTAGCTTTATTAATTGCTGAAAGGGTTGTTGTGTTTTTTAAAGATCAAGATCTTTCACCACAGAAACAATTAGAACTTGGTGCATTTTTTGGTAATGTTGAAATCCATCCACAATTTCAACATGTTCCAGGATTACCAGGTACTTCAGTTATTTGGGATGCTCATTTCAAAAAAAATGGATTCAAAAAGACCTTTAAAACTGCTAAAACAGGTACTTCAAATTGGCATGCTGATTTAACTCATGAATTACAACCTCCATCAGTCACACATTTACATTTGGATGCTATCCCTTCAATTGGAGGTGATACTAATTGGTCTTCAGGTTATGCAGCTTATGATAAATTGAGTCCAGCTTTCCAGAAATTCTTAGAAGGTAAAGTTGTTACACAAAAATCTATGCATGGTTATTTAGATAGAAATGATCCATTAGGAGGTCCTAAACATGTTATTAGAGAACAACCAATTATAAGAACAAATCCAATCACAGGTTGGAAATCGTTATTTGTTTCAAATGGTGCTTCAGTACAATTAAAGGTTTAGAACCTGATGAATCTGATTTGATTCTTGAATATTTGAATAGTGTTTATTCCAAGAATTTAGATATTCAAGTTAGATTTAATTGGCATTCTGATACTGGTTCAAATCTTGGAACTTCTGCACTTTGGGATAATAGAATTGGACAACATAATGCAACATGGGATTATGAAGATGAAGATCGACATGGAACAAGAGTTTCTTCATTAGCTGAGATTCCATATTTTGATCCAAATTCAAAATCACAAAGAGAATCTTTAGGTTTATAAATGAATTTTTTTACATAATTTGGTTTCCAATTTATTTAATTATATGTTCATTTTATTTAACTATTTACATTCATATGATTCTAAATTGTAATTAAACTTTTGTATTTTCTAGTTTTGTGATAAATTAACTAAAGATTTTTCATTTGAAGAATTTAACAAGACATCATCAATAAATTTTTCAGCTTTAACTTTACCATGATGAGATAAGATGGCACCAATTATAGCTTTAACAACACCATCAGAAACTTTAATTTCACCTGATTTGGAAGGATCAGTTAATAAAGCATCTCTTTTTTTCCAAAAAATAACATCAGTTAAATTGTTTTTTTTAATGAATGCATATAAAATTTCTGAAGAAGTTATATTTCTAGATGTAAGGGAGCCTAATTGACTTATTGATAATCCATTAATATCTGCATCAACATCTTTACTTTCTTGTTTATGGATTGTATATAAAGAAGCTCTATTTTTTAAGAAATGTGAACCTAAAATTGATAATTTTTCATTGAATGGTTTAATACCATGAGCAAATGATTTATGAGTAAGGATTTGTAATGATAATTCATCAGGTAATTCATATTCTTTACCTAAAAATTCTTTTAAACTTTGTAAATTTTCTTGATTTAATCCATATTTTTTCCCACTTGGAGAATACATATAATCTTCTTCATCACGTACAAGACCACGTACTCTTGGACCTTTGTGTAGATATACGACTGAACGTGATTGTGATATTATGCTAGATGAAGGTCTCAAAGCCCTTTGGGCAAGAGGAACTTGTGTGGTTATTAATTTCCGTATGCTATTCATGATTTTATATTGGTCAAAATGTTTTTGGATCAAGATCTCCACGTCGGTTTCCAGTTCTATGAAGGGGTTTGAAATCCTGGGAAAAAAAGTGATGTATCCTATCAAAGCACAGCTACTTCTCAACCAACAAAACTTTGAACAAAAACCCAATTGTTTTATGCAAAACTTGACAAAGATTCTTTCGTTTCAATTGTTATTTTGTTGATTGGAAAAGTTTTAATTTTTTTTTTCAAAATTGGACAAAAAATTCGAGAAATGCTTATGTCAGCAGTGGGTTTTGATTGTAATATTGTGTTATCTTGATGGTTATTGAAGGTATTGATTTCGTTTGAAAACGAGTGAGTAGTATGAATCTTGATATAATATAATATTTCTTCTTTTTTTATTTTTTTCTAGCTTGATACCTTCAAAATTGACTAAATCCTCCATTTCTCATAGTTAATTTGATATTTTGTGTCTCTTACCGATGGGCTTTTAAAAAAAATTTATTTTAAACTTCTTTATGTCTCGTACAATTTGACATTATAAGTTTAGTAAATAAAGTAGGAAATTAAAGAGTTTACCGAGGAAATATAGTCATGGATATCTTCAGAGTGCTTTCTAGAGGTGCTTCTTTGAAAAAATCAAAAGATATAGTCACAGATTATGCTTTACCATCAGTGAGTATGGATTTTTATTATAATACAGAAAGTATAGAAATTAACAATTTATAGGAAAATCAAAAATCTTCACAAAAAAAGAAAGAACAATCATTAAATAAAGATGTTGAAAAGGAAATAGATTTCTTTAGAACCAAGAAATTCTCAAATTTGGCTAAATCTGAACAAGATTCTCAAAAAGAAGAAGAAATTAATCAAACTCATGCAAAAATTGAAGATGAACATAATGAACCACCACCACCAAAGATTACAAATGAAGATGAAGCTAGATTATTAAGAAAATCTTATAGAGCTAATGTCACAGGGAATGATATCCCATTACCAATCGGTTCATTTGAAGATTTGATTAGTCGTTTTAAACTAGATCAACAATTATTAACAAATTTGATAGATTCTGGTTTTACAGAACCTACTCCAATTCAAAGTGAATCATTACCAATCACATTATTTGATAGAGATGTCCTTGCATGTGCACCAACAGGTTCAGGTAAAACTTTAGCATTTATAATCCCTTTGATTCAGCAATTAATAAATTCCAATAAGCAAAAAAATTCAGGTTTAAGAGGATTAATTATATCACCAACAAAAGAGTTAGCTCAACAAATTTATGAAGAATGTAATAAATTAAGTTCAAAATTACCATTAAAAGTTGCAATTTTATCAAAATCAATAAGTTCAAAATTGAAGAATAAAATCATTAAAAAGGATAAATATGATATAATAATTTCTACTCCATTAAGATTAATCGATCTTGTTAAAAATGAAGCATTAGATTTATCAAAAGTTGAACATTTAATCTTTGATGAAGCTGATAAATTATTTGATAAGAATTTTTTGGAACAAACTGATGATATCTTAACACAATGTAAAAACCCACGTTTAAGAAAATCAATGTTTAGTGCTACAATTCCATCAAATGTTGAAGAAATTGCAAATCAAATCATGCAAAACACTATAAGATTAATCATTGGTCATAAAGAAGCTGCAAATCAACAAATTGAACAAAAATTAACATTTTGTGGTAACGAAGAAGGTAAATTAATTGCAATTAGGCAATTAATTCAAGAAGGTGAATTTAAACCACCAGTTTTAATTTTCTTACAATCTATAACAAGAGCAAAGGCACTTTTCCATGAATTATTATATGATAGATTAAATGTTGATGTTATTCATGCAGAAAGAACCCAAATTCAAAGACAAAAAATCATTGAACGTTTTAGAAAAGGTGAAATTTGGGTATTAATTTGTACAGATGTTTTAGCAAGAGGTATTGATTTTAAAGGTGTTAATCTTGTGATAAATTATGATGTTCCAAATAGTGCACAAGCTTATGTTCATAGAATTGGTAGAACAGGTAGAGGTGGACGTGAAGGTAAAGCTGTTACTTTATATACTAAAGAAGATTCAATTGCAATAAAACCAATTGTAAATGTTATGAAACAAAGTGGTTCAAATTATGATGAATGGTTAGATAATTTAACCAAGATTACTAAAAATGAAAAACAAAATATTAAAAAAGGTCAAATCAAGAGAAAAGATATTAGTACTGTTCCAAAAGTTGTGAAACAAAAGAGAAAACAAAGAGAAGATATGATTAGAGCTTCTAAAAGAAGAAAACAATTGACAAATGGTGAAGAAGGAGAAACAAATAATAATGATTCTGGTTCAGATTCTGAGTAATTAATATAACTTTAATACATTTAATGCATTTTATTAAGTTCTACATGTAGTATAATTTCTTATTAAAACGTGCATATATAAACAGAATATGGACAATAAAATTTTAAATATATAATATGATTAATGAATTATAATCATCAGATCTACTGAATCATTTAATTTAAAAATCATAATTCAATCCTTTTTTTTATCAATGTAGTTTAAAAAAACAACTTTTTGTACTTTTATGGTGTTATTTATAGAGGTTTGTTGTATATCATGTATCATAAAATTTTTTATTTAAATATTCAATAATGAATATCTGGGGAAATAATCTAATGATGAGTTTGAGAACCGAATTGTGGGTAACCAACAATTTGACGACGACCAATGATTTCACCTAATGAAAATAAACCAAGTAATTGAATAGCTAAAGAACCATAGTTTAAAGCTTCATTTTTACCAAAATTTTTAGCAAAAGATAAAACTTCTTTTGGTTTAGTTGATAATTGTAAAACTTGTTTGTATAAGGTTGTGTAAACAGTTTGGAAATCAGCAATTGATGGAGGAGATAATTTTTCTTTTAAATAAACTTGTTTAGCTAATTCACCAGTAACTTTTGACCAATAAACAGCTTTGTTAACATTAGCTGTGATTTTTTCAACAAAACCTTGAGCAGCATTGGTAGCTTTTGAAGCAGTGGAGTTGAAACGGACACCACGGATGAAGGTCTTTTGGACAGAGATGGCTGAACGGGAAAACATTATGAAGTGTAGTCTTGGTGGAATCTGGATCTGGGATACTCTAATATTTCAATAATACTCAATTAAATCAATAATCCCTTTAAAATGAAAAAAAAAATTGGATGGTGAGAAATGAATTCCGACTGATTTTTTCCAAAATTCGCGACTGAATTGAATTCCGGGGATTTTACCAGCCAATTAAATCGCAGTTGTTCCCAAAAGGGTAATTCCGGTGCACGTGAAAGTCGCGTGACACATAGTTAAGTATTGGAATTGGATATTTCAAGGTGATTTGAAGGTGGAAAGTTGTGTTAATGAGTTTATTAAGTGTGGTTTAGTATAGATATGGTGTTTTATAGGTTGTATTCCGTGTTGTTTGTGGTTTTTACCGTGTCTTATTGTTGTGGGTACAAATGAATGTGTCATAATTTCTCGGGATGAAAGACAATAAACTCAGAGAAAGTAGAATGAAACCGTGAAAATTAGACAATATCTGGCTTATTATATACTCAGTATATTGAAAGGATACCCAGTGATTGTTCAGACACCATTTATACCTTTTAAAAACAGATCTTTGTTCCCATTTTCCATAGATTCAACAGTTATAATCTGCGTCGCCTATCGCTAAAAAGTGGCTCCATTAATATTTTTTTTAGATAACCTCAGTTTGGCCAGATAAGTTAAGCTTTATACGCAATTTTTTTGTTCAAGCAACAAATTTAAAGGGGAAAAAGTGTCATTTTAAATATTTAAATCAGTTCAATTCCCTTTTTTATTCACAATGACAAATTGTTCTGAAAGGTATTCATTCCGTCAAAGAGGTTTGGATAATCATATATCAGATACCCCAATACAATCTGTACAACAACAAGTTAAACGCAAACCATTGTTGAATAGATTATTGAACTACAAAATGTCAAGCTCAATTGATGACTATGAGGTCCTAGATGAGAAATTGCCTTTATATCAAAATGAACAACAACATCAAAGAAAACAACAAACAGGATTAAGAAAGTTGAAAGTTGTTAGTAAACTTGCATTATTATTGAGTACTTCAATTGTGGTTTTAAATTACTTATCTTTTACAAATTATAACCCATTACAAGGTTTAAATCCATATGAAAATGAATTCAATATTACTGAATTGAGTGATGCTTACCTTAATGTCCTTCAACATTCAAATTTTGCTGGTGATTGGTTGAAAAAATATACTTCTGAAGCTCATTTAGGGGGTACAAATTATGGATTAGTTGAATTCACTGCTGAGAAATTTGAAGAATTTGGATTTGAATCTAAAATTGATACTGTGAATTCATATATTAATTATCCAGGAACTCAACATTTGAAATTATTAAACTCAAAGGGTAAACTTATTTATCAACCAACTTTAGTTGAAGATGAATTGGAAGAAGATCCAACAACAAGTGGTGAAGGACTTGTCCCTGCATTCCATGGTTATTCTGCAAATGGTAATGTCACAGGTCCAATTGTTTTCGCAAACTATGGTACAAAAGAAGATTTCAGATTATTAGAATCAAAAGGTGTCAGTGTTAAAGATTCAATAGTTATAGTTCGTTATGGTAAAATTTTCAGAGGTTTGAAAGTTAAATTTGCACAAGAAGCTGGTGCAATTGGTGTTATCATTTATTCAGATCCAGCAGATGATTATATTCCTGATGATGTTGAACCATACCCAAAAGGTCCTGGTAGAAATCCTTCAAGTATTCAAAGAGGTTCTGTTCAATTCTTGTCAAGTTTACCAGGTGATCCTTCAAGATTCACTGATAGATCACCTGAAGCTTTAGCCAATTTGAGTACAATCCCTCATATCCCATCATTACCAATCTCCTATAAAGAAGCACAACCAATTTTGATTCAATTGAATGGTCATGGATTAGATTTGGATTTCCATGGTGGTATCAATAATTTTACATATACTACAGGTCCATCAAAAGCTGAATTAAACATCTATAATAACAATACCTATAAATTTACAGATTTATGGAATGTTTTAGGTTATCTTGAAGGTCATGATTCAAATGAAGTCATCATCTTGGGTAATCATAGAGATGCATGGATTAAAGGTGGTGCAGCAGATCCAAATTCAGGTTCTGCAACTATTTTGGAAATTGCTAGAGGTTTAGGTGAATTGAAAAAATTAGGCTGGAAACCACAAAAATCTATATTATTTGCATCATGGGATGGTGAAGAATATGGTTTATTAGGTTCAACTGGATTTGCTGAAAAATTTGCTAAAGAATTGGGTAAAAAAGTTGTTAGTTATATTAATTTAGATGGTGCAGTTAGTGGTAGTCATTTACATATATCTTCATCTCCATTAATTAATCAATTCTTATTGGATATTGCAGATCAAGTTTCTTATCCAAAACAAGCAAATCAAACTTTAAAAAAACATTTTTTGAGTGAACGTAACATTAGTATCTTGGGGTCAGGTTCTGATTATACATCATTTTATGAACATTTAGGTATTCCATCATTTGATTTAGGTTTTGGAGGAGGTAAAGATGATGCAGTTTATCATTATCATTCAAATTATGATTCTTATCATTGGATTAAGACATTTGTTGACCCTGATTTCAAATTACATAATTCTATTGCACAATATATTGGATTATTAATTATTAATTTCTCTGAACAAAAAGTTTTACAAGCTTATAAGGCAAATGATTATTCTAAAGCAATTAATGAATATTTTGATGAATTGGTTAACAAGATTCCAAATGATTGGTTTCATAAATCTGTTGTATTAGAAGATGAAGATGAAGAATTTATTGGTTGTGCTCATCATCGTGGTCATCATGGTCATCATTCTAATTTCACATTATCTTCATTAATCAACTCAACATATCGTGATATTCATGGTTTCAACAGAGTTAGTAAACATCATGATAAATATGCTTCAATTTTACAAAAACAATGGGATGAAGATTATTCTAAATCTAAAAACCCATTTAGAAAAATTATTTTCAATAGAAGAGTTAAAAATGCAAATAATAAATTAAAACATTTAGAAAAAGAATTTCTTTATGAACCTGGATTAAATGGTAGAGATTGGTTTAAACATGTTGTTTTCGCTTCAGGAAGATATACTGGTTATGCAGGTCAAAAATTACCAGGTTTAACTGAAGCTATTGAAGATAAAGATTTTGAACAAACTTCAAGATGGATTGGTATTATTAAGAAATCTATCAAACAAGGTTTAATTAGTTTAGTCTAGATCTACAACTTGTGATTCTTGTCTTTGTTTGACAAATAAATGAAATATATCCACATCTATATTTATATGTAATTTAATGTATTGTATATAAGCTAATAGATCAGCAGTCTAGTTGTTTTAAACAACAGTCTTTAAGAAAGCAACAGTATCTTTACACCATTTAGTTTTTTCAAATTCTTCTTGAGATAATTTTGGAAATTGAATAAATGGTGGGATATGACAACCGTTTGGTTCAATTGAAACATTTTCATCTTTAACACCTAATTTATTTTTAAATTTAACAATTTGATCAGTTAAAACTTCACCATCACCATAATGATAGAAATGTTTTTCAGGTAAAACACCATCCCAATTTTCCAAATATAATGGAGAAACTAAAGGATTTGAACGATCATTTTCAGAATATAATTTCGACCAAGAATCAACACTTTCAAATGAAATATAATCAAATTGTTCCTTTTCCAAGAATGAACCAGTTTTTTTAGCATCTAATTCAACCCAAGGTGACATTAATAGAGCGGCATTTGGTCTAATAGATAATTTTAAGAATTGATTTAATGAATTATGATAAGATTGATACAAGACTAATGAAGCTAAATTAGCACCACATGAATCACCCATAATTATAATATTTTTAAACCCATCTTGTTCAGTTAATTTATGATACACGGTAAAAGTTTCATCAATTGGAGTTGGGAATTGAGTTTCAGGGGTAACATGATAATCAACAACCAAAATTGATAAATCCTCATTTTTCAAAGCTCTATAAGTCTTTAATACAGCCATTAATTGACCCTTTTGAGGTTTTAAAGTGAATCCACCACCATGAACAAAGAATAAAATTGGTGAATCCTTGTTTAAATTCTTAGATTTAACAACCCATCTTGATCTTGAACTATATTGTTCATTACTAACTTCATGGAACCCCTTTTTGGTTTTCAATTCATCTAAAACAGCACCACCATCTCTATCATTAATTAAAGCTTTGAAATCACTAACTTCACCAGATTTAGCCATCCAACGTAACTTATTCATTGCAGAGTTGAAAGTCTTATTTCTGAAAACATAGTTGTATGCAAGAACCAATGGTAATTGAGTCCATTGCTTAAGCCAAAACCACCAAGAAAATCCCATGTTGATTGGATCTTTATTAGTTATTTAATGTTTATGGTTTAGTTTTAGTACAAGATAAGATTTAGTGGGATCTTTTTCAAGTTTATAAGGGAATTTTTTCGCAAGTACAAATGATGTAATGTGTCAAAAGCAACAACGCGGATAAATCAGAACCGATTTGGTATAAGCAATCGGATAAATGAACTGATAAAAAGCCATAAATTAGTGTAAAAGGTAATAAAATGAGGACAATCAGAGTGAAAGTTATACTCAGTATTTCCTGTATGAGGTCTTTATGTCTTTATAGTTCAGTTCAATGGTAACTGATATTATCGCTCTCCGATTGTACTAAAAACCGAAGTACATAAAGTAAGTAACAATATTCATAACTTCATAAATTGTCTATTTAATTCACTTTCTCCTTGTCCTTGTCTTTATCCTCTTCAATCAGACAAATGCTATTAAAATCACACCATTCTTTCAGCATATCATAGTTAATAATCACACCTTGTTCATCTAAAAATTCATTCAATTCTTTATATGGTATAGGTTCAAATGTATAAATTTTTTCATGTAATTTTGTATTAGTTAATATAGTTTCATCTATGATTTTAAAAATTTCAGATTTAACTATATTTTGTGAATTTGTTATATTTTGAGATTGTGATAAAGCCTCAAGGGAATCTTTACCTAGGAAAACATCAATTTCTTGAATTGATTTAATCATTTTTAATCTTGATTTGGCAGGTTTAAGACCATATTGAATGATTTTTCTTTTCAATTCTTCAGTTGGTAATTCTTCTAATGTAGAGTTTAATACTTGTGATTGTGATTGTAAACTATTAGGGATTGTATTCGGTATACTATCATCTTCTTTAATTGGACTTTGATTATGATCTTGATCTTGATCCAAGATTGAATTTATCCTTGACGGACTTGAAAAAGCACCAGGACTTGATGGAACTTGTAATATACTTTTCTTAGGTTTTTTAATAGTTCTTGTAATCTCAATAATTGAAATATCTTGATCCTCGTCATCTGAAGAATCTGGAATTTCAAAAGTATCTCTCTTTGTGGGAATGATTTTAGTTTGATAATTATTAAAAGGTGATGATGATTTTGCCTTGGCTAAACCTTTGAATCTAACTTTTGTTGTACGTTTTTCAAATTCTTCATCTTTAGAATTTTTCATTGGTGAACTTTCTGTTTGTCTTGCTGTACAATATAAACTTTGAGTTTCCATTGAATCTGTTACTTGTGTCCTTAAAGGTGATGATTTAGTTGGTGATAATAAATGAGGAATATTGAAAGATTCTTGTGGTAATAACATTGTTCTTTTCCTCGTAGGTGTTGTTTTATTTGATAAAATCTTTTTAGGTGATTGCATTCTAAAACTTGTTAATTGAGCACTTGGAGCTAATGAAAATTCATGATCATTTTGAGGTATTAAAGGTAATGGTTGTGATGATGTTGGTTGAGTTTCATGTTGAGTTATTATAGGAGAAGATGATTGTATGTATCCATATGATTTTGTAGGAGAAGTTATTGGAGTTTGATTTGATCTTAATTCTTGATCATTAAGTTCATCATTATATTCATTTTCATCCAATCCATTAAAATCAATTTGTGAAGATTTTATACTTTCATATTTTAATTTTTGTGAATTTTTATATTCTTTTTGAGATACTTCTTGTATTTCAGAACTTTCTTGATCTATAATTTTAGAATAATCAGAACTTAGATTTATTATATCATTATTTGAATTTGTAACTGTACTTTCTTTTGACTTGGGTTTGGGTATATCATCTTTGAAAACCAAATCTTGTGTTAATATTGGATTATAACTATAAATATTGAAGTCACTTTCTTTGAAAAGTATTGAATGTTTTGTATCAATTTTGCCATCATCATGGTCATCTTGATGCTCATCTTCACTAATATGATCTCGTGATACATCTATAATGGACCCTATTGGAGACGAACAAAGGACCTCTTCACCATACGTCCCACTTATGCTCATGGTAAACAAAAACAAATCCTTTGATATCCAACTATTCCAGTATAAACTTGTTCTTAAGATCCTTCTATAAATTGAAATACACAATAATAAATTTGTACGCGTTAAAGCTAATAAAATATATTCGCGAGTGTTATGTAAGCGAATTGCTAAATATTATAAAATTTATTCAAGATAAGTGCAACTAGATTTTGAACCACTGAATAGGAGAGTAATTGTTGGATTAGCTGAAGATAGCCATGTTGTTAATTTAACCACTGATTGAAATATATTGGGTTTTCCAGCTCGGGTTAAACTTTCCGTTAACAATAGATCTTGTTCAATCAATTTGGAATTTATTGTACAACGATCCAAATCACAATTCTATGAATAAACAACACTGAATTTTAGATCGTGGATCAAACTTACACAAGATATCCACCGCACTGTGTCTAAGCTTTGAAATAAAGGCTTGAACTTTGTCGGTTGACTTGAATACACATATTTTTTAGATAATTAAAAGTACTTCATTGTAGTATATTACCCATCAAAGCCAACAACCAACAACCAACAACTTCATTAACAATTAAGCCACTCTATTACATATCTAAGGAACCAAACGGATCTATTAACTCGATTAAACTACAGACCTCTTCGATTTAAGTCAATTCATCTATCTAATTATCAACGAGACGAAAAGAATGTGTCAATTTTACTAATAGAAATCAAATCTCGAAATACTGATTACAATTTACTACCCAACGAAAGCCTAGATTTCGTCATATGATCACATAACGAATAACGGATAACCCGTGATATTGACACCCAATTGAATCAGATTCTCAGATTCCTATTACTCATAGGCTTATAATAAGTCATCTCTTAAGTCACTGTACTGCCAATTGACTATTTGCCACCTAATTTCAACCGTTAAAGTTAAAAAGTTTAGTAATGCTTGTTAAATGATTACATATACTAGTGGCTCGTGGCGAAAAATTTCGAAAAAAGTATATAAAGACAAATGTTTCCACTTGACACCTTAACTTTATATTGTAACATCGAAGTCAATTAACTTTTTAATTAACTCAATTCAATTACACAATGTCAGATTTAGTCGGTAAACCATTCCCAGAAGGATTCCACTTCAACTATGTTCCATATGATGAAGCTGATCAAAAAGATCATTTATCATGTAAAATTCCAATTCAATTAAAATTAACACCTGAATATTTTAAAGGTAAAAAAGTTGTCATTACTTCAGCTCCAGGTGCTTTCACTCCAACTTGTACTTTAAGTCATATTCCAGGTTATATTGAAAAAGCTTCAGAATTTGCTTCAAAAGGTGCTCAAGTTATTGTTATTACTCAAGATTCAGCTTTTGTTAACAGTGCTTGGGGTAAATTATTAGGTCAAAAACAACCAATTGAATTTGCCTCTGATTATCAAGCTACTTTCTCTAAATCAATCGGCTGGGTCGTTGATGCTGGTGAAATGGGTACTTTAACTGGTAGATATACCATCATTGTTGATGATGGTAAAGTTGTCTATGCTGAAAAGGAAGCTGGTAAAGATGTTACTGTTAGTGGTGCTGATGCTGCTTTAGCTAAATTATAAAGTCGTCTGGCTTCTTTATGACTTCTTATTACTTTTATACGTTTTGAATGAATGATTTTTTACTTATTAGTTCATGCTTCGTTTCTGTAGAGATTGTTTTATACCCATGTTACACCTTAACTATAGGGGACAAACTTCAACTCGACTCAATGGCATCAAATCAATCGTTTTATTTCAGAAAAAAGGTATAAATATACTAGAAATTCAGTTTACTATCGAATTATCACCTTTCAAGCCCATATTACACTTTTTTTGTCGTTGTTTACTACCATTTTATTCCCATCCTTTATCAAAAGCCATCTTTTTTTCTGTATGGGGGCAAAAAAAAAAGTCAAGGGATCAGAGAATTCGAAAACATCACCAGAAAGAACAACAGAACTCAAACTAAACGCATTCAACCACAATAAATCCGTTACAATATGTCATTTCTATCATTCCATGATGAATCTGCAAAACATTTCGATCCAACAATTCCAAATGTCTTACCACATGGGAAAATGTATAAACTTCAAGTTGGTGATAAATTATTTATATTAAGTGGAGCTTCATTATCATCAGATGCACCATCATATTTTACAAATTATTTCTTAAATAATGATGAAGATAAACCATTATTCTTAGATCGTTCACCTGATGTTTTCAATTATATTTATCAACATTTACAAGGTTATCATGTTGAAATTCCAAATTGTGATGTTTTCACTAAATTATTTTCAGATTCAATTTATTTTAATTTACCAAGATTAAAAGAATTATTACAAAAAGATGATTATTATCATGTTGAAATGATTAATGAACATGTTAAAGTCCCCAAGAAATTATTGTTAACTGAGGGAAATTATCCAAATTTTTTCAGTGTTACTTTTGAAGCTCTATATAGAGATCTTAGTGAATTAATGATTTCTAAGAATTTGATTAGACCTCCACCACAAGCTGCACCAAGATTGAATAGAGATGGTGGATTATTAAAAGATTTAATCAAATTATTACAAGGAATTGATATTCCATTTCAATGTCAAGATCATAAAAGATTGTTAATTAAAGAAGCAAAATATTATAGATTTAATACTATAGTGGAAAAATTAGGTTATGAACATATTTTCCAATCTTTAGATGAAAAAGATAAAGGTAAAGAATATATTGTTGTTGATTTAAATGATATTAATCCTAGAAATTTTGTTAAAAAAGTTGAAGAAAATTTAAGAATTGATGAAGATGAAGATGATGAAGAGAAAAGTCACAAAAGACAAAAAACTGAATCAAATATTTATGAATATCAAAGAAAATATGGAATTGATCCTTATTCAAGAGCCATAATCATCAAGATTGATGAATTAAATGGTGTTGAATTCTTCACTAATAAACCTGAATCAGATGATGGATATACTATATATGGTGCAACATTTCAAAATCAAGTTAGAATTAAATTATTAAAATTTTTGAAAACATTATTTCAACATTCAAAATTATCAAAAATTAATATAAATGGTAGAGAATTTGATTTTGATCAAGTTTTTAGTTTTACAATAATGAATAAAATTATATTTTCAAAAATTGATAATGGAGATGATGATTTTTTTAAATCTAAAGAAGTGGATCTAAGACTATATGATGAAAATAATCAAGTTCAACCAATAAAGTTTACTGAAGGTAATAATAAGGATATCAAATCAATAGATTATTTATTGAAAACTTCATATTGGAAATTAATAATTAAAGAAGAAAATCATGATACACTTGATATAGATTTTGAATTAGTAAAAGCTAAAGCTGTTGAATCTAACAATGCAGAAGTATATAATGCATTCTTAAGATAGATGAATGATGAATTAATGAATCAAATATTAGAAATTTGAAAATATACTAGAAGCAGATTAAATGATTTACTAAGTTGTAGCTGATACGTCTTATATTTTAAAAGTGATGATGTAAACTGTTTCAAAAAGATAAGACAAATAATTCATAGGACATAAACATGACCCATAACTCTTAAGTCCTGGGATATCCTTTGTCTAGTAGTACAACTTCTATCTAACTAAACAAGGTAATTCGAGATAAGAGTGAATAATAATAGCAACGTCTTTAAAGAGTAATCATTAAATACATTGATTATCAATTTGAGCAAAGTACACCTATCTTTCCATACTTAAGGCTTGCTTAAAAATAGTAGTATGATTTTCATGTAATTCATTTGTAAATTGTACTACACATGCTCTAAAGCTGACCCACAAATTTGGCCGCCTTTTATAAATTGGCTGCCTAAGATCCACAATACAAAGCAAAACTTCAAATTATCCGTAATAGTCTAAGCAATTAACATAGTTATTCCATGTGAATAAACTACTTGCACGTTTGTATATACTCCTTTGTCTTGAATCTCTTGTCTCAAGATAGTAATTTCCTAATCAGTCACCCATCATTAGATTAACTCAAGATTAAAATTCAAGAGATTTACTAAAAAGTGGGCGTAGTGAAACGACCTAGACTGAAACTAGTGAAACTCTCATGACTTCAATTGTACATACAATCAAGGCAATGAAATAAGCATTGGCCTGGCCCTTAACTAATAGAATATATACCCGTATATTCCAATTTCCAATGCATTCATCATTCATGTATAGGGTATTAATTATTTTAGCCTATTTTGTCTTTATTTTTTAAAATTATTTCAAAAAACTACTGAATTAGGAAATCTAGAACTTCCAAAACTCGCTTGAAAAAGTTTAAAACCCGTAAAGTCAAACTTTTTCATCAGTGGGAATCCTGGATCCGTTGAAAATTAAGCAGCCAATGGAAAACAAGATTAATAGCTTAATCTGAACAACAGAATTACAAGAGATAATGAAAAACTACAACTTTTATTGTCAAGATAACCTAATAACTATCCATTAAAACATATATTTTACAGAAACAAAAAACTAGGTATCCCGAAATGAAGAATAATAAAATTTTAATATTAACATATTAATTTATAATTTGAAATGATAAAAATATTTGATAAATTGTCTAAAAACCAGTTAACTGACTTATATTGCTTAGAATAATAAAGCAACACCAGCAGCGATAGCAGCAACAGCTGGAACAGCTTTAGCAGCACCGTTAGCTTCTTGAGTAGAAACACCTGGGGTAGTAGCGTTACCGACAGTTGAGGTAACATCAACGTTAGCAGTTGAGGTGGTATCTTTTGGAGCAGCTGAGGTGGTTTTTGGAGCTTGGGATGATGGAGCTGGAGCTTCTGAAGTTGATAATGGACAGTAAGTGGTGTATTCAGTAACAACATTGTCAACAGTTGAAGTAACAACGGTAACACCGGTGGTGACTGGAACTTCAGTACATTTGTTTTCTTCACATGAAGTAACAGTGATGACAGTTGTTTGGTTTGAGTAAACTTCAGCAGTTGAAGTAACGTTAGCGTATTGAGCTGAAGCAACGGCAGCGATAGCTGAAGCACCTAAAACTTTTGAGAATTGCATTGTTGATATAATTGAGCGAGTGTATAAAGTTAGAACAAAGTTGATTTGATAAAGAAAAGAAAAAGAAGTATAAAACTAATTTATAAAAAATGGGATACTTGAATTCTTTTATACACTTTTTTCCCAATTTTTCCAAACATGAAAGATTTTTCATTCAATGTTTACATTTTACTTTAATCACTGCAGTTTGTTTATATTCATGTCTCTTTACTTTTTCTTTTCGCATGTTTAAAACATTTTTTACCCTTCGTGGTGTTCCATGTGCCTACCCTTGCATGATTTGCCCATGGACCAGCAAGACTTTCCGGATTGAGCGAGAATCCTCCCATTTCAAAAAGAGACATTTCCCAAAACAGCGGGACAAGAATTAGAAAACAACCCCTTTGGATCGGAATGTCCTGGACTTTGGACGCTTCACCACCATGAAAATTTATAAAATTTGTATGGGGACATAAGGACAAAAACAATTGCTATTTTAAGATTTACGGAAATCTAGAGGATTTGATTTTCTAGCGTTTGTAATAGAAAATCATCAGTTTATGGAGGGAAAGGAAAGTTTAGTGCACCATATGGTTTATCAATTTATAATCTATTTATACAAACTACGTAGTTTATATATTTTTAGAAAAGGTTTAATGGTTGACTAAATCCAATGAAAGACATCTTAATTATGCCAGATCAAAATCTTAAGTTTTAGGCCTTCCCCCTTTCTAAAATTAATGTTTCATTTTTGTTTTGTAAACAGTCAAAGTTTGGTGGTGGTCACTTGGTGGGCCGCTTATAAAATGACAAGGGATTATGTCATCGCCAGGTATGCGTATTATGTAAGAATCGTAAGAATCGTGTGTTGATCACTGGAATTCTATGAAATTTTTTCCGTTTTCTGTACTTTAACATGAATTTTGATTTTCTATTTTTAGTCATCGTGCTCATTTTTTTACGGTGGGTTGAAAATTGAATTTGTGGGAGAAAGATAAAGGCATCAATCATGTCAAGGGTACAAAGTTCAAGCTAGAAAAAGTGGTTTGATAGAGTGATAAGTGCGTGGTGATTAGTATATAGAATCTTATAGATGTGTATAAGCTCACGTTATACATGGATTAATTAGCTAAATAATCTTATTACTTCGAAAAAAACCTTAGATTACCTTGCTCACATTACGCTTATTTACGGCAACTTTCACGATTTCAAAAGTGTCTGATGTCTGATGAATCATGATTAATCATACAACCAGCTTGAAATCATATGAAATTACCTGTCATATAATTCAAGATCATCAAATTAACGAATGGTATAAACATTAACATAACATGTGTAGTATAACTTGATCTATAGTACCTTGGTTGGTTGTCTTTTAGATCTAAGATGAAAATGCTGGTTTGCTGGTTAAGGAACTAAGCTTCAATGCATTTAGATCTAAATTAAGTTTCTTAGCCTTAGCAGCTTTAGCTTAACTCTTAGCGCGTATACTAAAGTAGAAATTAACCCACCTAAATCAAGTTGGTTCTTTTACTAAAATCAGTAAACTTCATAAGATTAAAGTTGAAAAAGTTAGCGAGTTTGTATAAAGAAGCAGGGGTAATGATATTAGAATCATGGTACTATACTTGGCTAATAAAATTCATAAATCAAGTACACTCTATTGGATAGATGAGTTATGGCTGGTTGTAAAGTACTTGATCAAACTACTTGATGCTTGATCTTGATCCTGATGATTTATTGAACCCCATCATGTCTTAAAATCTTTCTGATCTTTATGATTTCCTTATCAGATTTAATTCTGTATACAGTTTTAAATTTTTGTACTCGTAGATTTTAAATCCCGTGTCCCGACTCCTGAGGGTCCCCGTGCTGAACTTTACGCCACATGTGATCCTTAAACAAGGGTAAATATCAGTACGACTATATACACTTAATCAAAACAAACATATAACTTCAAAGCTCAAAACAAAACAAAACTGTTGTACAAATGGTTGTCAGGGAATAATGATAAATTTTAAGAGCTTTGATGTTTGATGAGTATACTAGAGGAAGAGAGTTGACTCACAATTAAATCGACTATCCTAGGGATTTGAAGACATGATTAGTTTTAGACTGAATCAAATATACTAGACTGAACTTGTACAATTAAAATCAATTTATAATTCTAATCATTAGTGATATTTCTTACAAATCCATCAACTCCATCAAGTAAGCCAGTAAGCCTCATGTTATGATTGGAAACAATGCATCGAAATCAAAACAAACACACAAAAACTTTTCAAAAAAAAAAGCGCGTTTCATTTTGAACATAAACATGGGACAAAATTTTTTTTTCAAAGTACGTGTATACCAAAAACTTTGCATAAAGATCAAAAAAATTAACTTAAAAAGGTTACAAACATGAATAAACATATGTCCTCAAGTACTCCAATCATGTTGTAAGAACTGGCCTTTTGTCCATACACAATTAACTAAACCCTCTAAAACCCGTTAGTTAACTTGGAGTTGTATAGGTTAAAAGTAGAAAGTTATCAAACGATATTAACGCGTTAACTAGTTATGTCTCATGTTTAAACACTTAAAAATCAAAACAATCTAGGATCATAAACATGGACAACATGAAAGCCTTAAAAGACCCTTGGAGCTGTAAACAAATGTCTTTTGCTTATATTTTGATTGTTTGTTGTTTATCATTTTGATGATTACTCGTAATTTTCTATTGTCGGAGTTGGATTAATTTTTATTACCGATCGTACTTTAATGTGTATTGAAATGTGTAATTAACAGCTAAAGGGATAGTCGGTGAATAAATGACAAAGTTTTATAGTAATTATACTATAATGTAGCTTTGAATTTTCTGATTATTTACCATGTTTTTTTGACTTTGTAGCTCTATTAGTTCTTGAATTATTCAAGTTTTTGTGAAATTTTTTTGGGGTCAATTTGATTTATTAATTTTAAAACTTATAATAAAATTTATGACATACATTTTTTTTTTGAAATTTGACACATTTAATTATTTAAAAAAAAGCTTATTTTATAATTGGCTTAAATTAAACTGCACAATTTTTTATTAATATTTAATTAATTATTTTATTGAATTAAATGAGGTTCATAAGTTGTATTTTTTAATTGTTTTTTAAATTCCTCATAGTTAAGACCTTTCTCCGACTTACCATACACTATATGGAAAATGGAGAAATCAAGATAGCTAGAAACATTGGGAGACAACCTATAATATAAGTGGTATCATTAGAATCAGAGGAATGAGTAGTACAATATTAAGTGATTTTATATAATTTGATGTGTAATTAGCTATATATATCATACATTTAATTATGTTTGTTTACATTCTTGAAAATCACCATACATAATAAGATCTAACATGATCTTAACAATAATCAAGATTTGAACAGATCTTAAGAAGTAATATGAAGCACTGTTAATCAAGATGGCTTTTAATTAACGGCTGAAATCCCACTAAATTATGCTGGACTTTTAATCTTTTTTCCTTTTTATTAAGCCATTTCAAGACGTTATTTGAAATTAGTATTGTACAGCCTTCGTTAATGGTTAATCAATTGAAGATTTAAAGAAGAATGTTCAGTTGCGTTAAAGAAGAAGTGGTTTGGAAGTGAAGGATATACTACGTAGAAGTCATCGATTGAGGACATTTTGAATCCTTTTGTTTTATAGATTTCCTAGTACTTTTGGTCTTTATTTGATATGTTTCTTCATGATGTTTATCTTCATGATCTAATAAATAAACAACCATTCATCATTGAAACAAACGAAAACATGGAAACGAGAGCCAAAGAGACAGAGATACAATAACAGACATTAGTATAACCTCTCTCATCAAGACAGTATACATTTCTTCAATAGTTTCAATTCAATTGCTATTCAACCTGTCAATCAACTAATTAAAATTTAGACCATACAGAACTCGTAAACACTAAAAAAAAACCAAAAATCAAGCTAAAAATCCAGGAAAACTTGGGAACATGGTCAAACAAACCATGAGATTTTGATTAAACATATTCCCATCATTCAATTCCCATTACAACACTTTAATAATTGTCAATTTATGAATAAATTCTCCGTTAAATTGCCACTCGCTTACTTCATCAAATAAAAAAAAAACGTCATATAAATTTTTGTTTTTAAAAGTAGCAAAGGCAAAAAAAAACAATCAAAGAAAAAACAAAAATCATCAACAACAAAAGAATATCAACTAAACTATTCAAGAAACAAAAAAGGGTTTGGAGAATATTCAATTTATACAAATATATACTAGTTTTTGGTTTAAGTCTAGCTTTCAGTGTGGTTTTAGTTGTTTCAAGTTCCATTATATTCCAATTGAGTTTTCCTAGTTTTAAATTGGGGGTAAATTTCACGTTCTTTACTATCAAAATATAATACAAAATGTCACAAGAAGAATTCATTCGTACCCAGATATTTGGGACAGTTTTCGAAATTACAAATCGTTATACTGAATTAAATCCTGTTGGAATGGGTGCTTTTGGTTTAGTTTGTTCTGCAAAAGATAAATTAACAAATCAAAGTGTTGCAATTAAAAAAATAATGAAACCTTTTTCTACACCAGTTTTAGCTAAAAGAACTTATAGAGAATTAAAATTATTAAAACATCTTAGACATGAAAATTTAATTACTTTAGAAGATATTTTCTTATCTCCATTAGAAGATATTTATTTTGTTACAGAATTACAAGGTACTGATTTACATAGATTATTAACTTCAAGACCTTTAGAAAAACAATTTATTCAATATTTCTTATATCAAATCATTAGAGGTTTAAAATATGTTCATTCTGCAGGTGTTATACATCGTGATTTAAAACCTTCAAATATTTTAATTAATGAAAATTGTGATTTAAAAATTTGTGATTTTGGTTTAGCAAGAATCCAAGATCCACAAATGACTGGTTATGTATCAACAAGATATTATAGAGCTCCAGAAATTATGTTAACTTGGCAAAAATATGATACTGAAGTTGATATTTGGTCTGCTGGTTGTATATTTGCTGAAATGATTGAAGGTAAACCTTTATTCCCTGGTAAAGATCATGTTCATCAATTTTCAATTATAACTGAATTATTAGGTACACCACCTGATGATGTTATTGATACAATTGCAAGTGAAAACACCCTTAGATTTGTTAAATCATTACCAAAAAGAGAACCAATCCCATTAACTGAACGTTTTAAAAATGTTGAACCTGATGCAGTTGATTTATTAGAAAAAATGTTGGTTTTCGATCCAAAAAAGAGAATTACTGCTGCTGATGTATTAAGTCATCCTTATTTAGCTCCTTATCATGATCCAACTGATGAACCTATTGCTGAAGAAAAATTCGATTGGAGTTTTAATGATGCTGATTTACCTGTTGATACTTGGAGAGTTATGATGTATTCTGAAATTTTAGATTTTCATCAAGTTGATAATAATGCTCATCAATTATAAATTAAAGTAAATTGAAATTTTGAAAGAATAAAAGAAGAATGAAAAGAATGAGATAGTTGTAAGATTGTATTGTAAGTTTAATTTTTTTTTGCTTTATTTATAAAATTTAGATATCTGGTGGTGATGTATGATTATGTTTGTTTTTTATGTATATTTTACAGTTAAAAAGTACGTACGTACTACGTAGTAAATTTATATCTAACAAAATCATATTTATTTTATATTTTTATTATAAACAACAAAACAAAATTATATTTAAATTATCAACATGAATTATATTTTTCATTTATATTTCATCAGCATTAACTAATGAATAAAATATACCATCTTTATTTTTTAATAAATTTTCTGGTGAATCAAATTCTTTAACTTCACCTTTATCTAAAACAATAATTCTATCACTATCCATAATTGTATTTAATCTATGTGCAATAGTTAAAATTGTTCTATTTTTAAATTCTTTTCTAATAGTTTCTTGTAAAACTTTATCAGTTTCAACATCAACTGCTGCAGTTGCTTCATCCAAGATTAAAATTGTTGATGGAATTAATAAAGCTCTTGCTAAACACATCAATTGTCTTTGACCAACTGATAAATTAGATCCACCTTCTTGAACTTTAACTTCTAAACCTTCTTTTGAATCACTCATCTTAATAACATGTTCTTTTAAATGTGATAATTCTAATGCATTCCAAATTTGTTCATCTGTATATTGATTTGTTGGATCAATATTTTCTCTAATTGAACCTTCAAAAACTTGTGAATCTTGTGGTATAATACTTAATTTATGTCTTAAATCTTGTAAGCCAATTTCATTTGTTGGTAATCCATCAATAACAATTTCACCTCCAGCAGCTTCAATAATTCTATAAATAGCTAAAGTTAATGAAGATTTACCTGCACCTGTTCTACCAACAATACCAATTTTTTCTTGTGGTTTTATAGTTAAATTAATATTTTTTAAAATTAAACCTAAATCTTTTCTATATCTTGTTGAATAATCATTAAATTTAATTTCACCTTTTGAAGGCCAATGAGCAGCTGGTCTTGGTTCAATATATTCTGGTGCTTCACTTTCTAATTCACTATATTCTTTAACTCTTTCAACTGAAACAATATTAGTTTCAACTTCAACAGTCATTCTAACAATCCAATTTAATGTTTGTGTAACTTGTAAAGAATATGAAACACTTAACCCAACTAAACCTGCACTAATACCACCAAATTTTAATGTAATAATACTTAAACCTGCAGCACTTAAAATAATAATGGAACCTAAAAATTCTAATCTAACAGCTAACCAACGATTTGCATTAATACTTGGGAAATAAGCACTCATATTATTATCAATTCTTGATTGATTCAAATAGGCGAATCTATTTTGTTGACCAAAACCTCTAATTGTAGTAACACCACCTAAAGTTTCTTGGAAATGTGCATAAATTGGTGATCTTGTAACAGAATCTAATCTTCTTAATTCTCTTGAAGTTTTCAAATAATATTGTTGATAATAAGAATATAAAACCAAGACTGGAATAATAATGAAAATAAATTGCCATGTTGAATAACAAATAACAATAATTGTAAATAAAACTTTAATACTATTGACGAAAAATTGTGAAAAAGTTCTTGCTAAAATTTCATCAATTTTATAAATATCATTTGAAAATCTATTCATAATACGACCAATTGGAGTTGTTTCGAAAAATTGCATTGGTGCTCTTAAAACACTATTAATCATAGCTGAATGTAAAGCTTTAGAACCTTCAATAGAGCAAAAAATCCATAAAGTCATTGTTTGGAATAAAGTAGACAAGGCAGAACTTAAACCTAAGGCAAAATAAATACCTAAATATTTCTTAACATTTGGATTATAACCTAATTTAGAGTTAACTTCTGACCAATGTTTTAACCAAACATTACCCAAGACTGATAAAATCATTGATAAAATAATAAAACAGATAAATAAAACAACATATCTTGGATTACAAGCTTTTGCATATTCAGAATAAATACTCCATTGAACTTTACCTTGTTCACGATGTTCTCTTCTTGTATCTTTAGCATCATCATCAAATCTTAATGGTTTCAAAGTTTGGATACTTGCTCTTCTTAAACTAATCAGATCATTCAGATCACTATCACTTGCATCTTCAGATGATACAACATCTTCAGATTGAATAGTTTCTTCTTTAAATTCAGGTGATGGTTCTCTCTTGTTACCAAATTCTTCAATCAATGCACGTAAAGCACTTTCAGATTTATTACTAATTTCATTATAAGTACCTTGTTCCACAATTGCACCATTTTGTAATAATGTAATAGAATCAGCAATTTGTAAAATTGAAATCTTATTAGTTGCTAAAATCTTAGTTTTACTATGTAATAACCCATTTGGACCCAAGACATGATCAACTAAATGTTTACCAACATGTTCATCAACAGCAGCAAGGACATCATCTAATAAATAAACATCAGCACGGGCATAAACAGCTCTAGCTAATGAGATTCTTGCCTTTTGACCACCAGATAAAGAAATACCCTTTTCACCAACTAAAGTTGAATCACCATCCGTTAAAACTGCAAAATCAAAAGTTAAAGCACAAGCTTTAATTGTCTTATCATAAAATTGTTGATCAAATTTATGACCGAAAACAATATTCTCTTTAACAGTACCATTCATGATCCAAGGAACTTGTGCAACATAAGCAACACTACCATGTAAATTAACAGAACCTTGAACTCTATATAAATCACCAAGAATACTTTGAACTAATGCAGATTTACCTGAACCAACTTTACCAACAATACAAGAAATTTCACCCTTTTTAGCTGTGAAACTAACATTTGATAAGGCAATTTTGTATTCAGGTTTACGTTGCCAAACAAATGTAGCATCAAGAACTTGAACTGCAACTTCACCTTTTTTAGTAGCTTTTGGAAGTCTATTAACAGCATCTGGTTGTAATTCTTCAGATTTTAAAAAGGAACTTAATCTACCAACTGCAACTGAAGCTTCAACAAAAGCGGTAATAGCCATTGGAATAACAGCCAATGGGAATGATAAAAGGTTGAAAAGAGCTAAAGCAGGGAAAACGATATCTGATGATAATGGTTTATCTTGAGTTAAAACATAAACGGCAAAAGTTGAACAAGAAACTAAAAATGGAGCAATATTGAATTGGAAATTTGCAAAAGCTTGTAAAATACCCATTTTTTTCAAATTTTTCAATTCTTTATTATTTCTAACATCATTTAATTTTTCTTTATAAGGAGCTTCCCAACCGTAAAGTTTTAAAGATTTAATGTTATTTAAAATTTCACTAATAACTCTTGTTCTTTCATCTTTATTCTTCATTTGAATTTTTTGTAAAGATTTCAAAGCTCTCATAACAAATGAATTTAATGGAATCATAATAATCATAATGACAACACCACACCACATTGAATTACCAAGTAAGTTATATAAAGAAGTTAAACATAAAATGATTTGGAATGGACCTGACCATAAAATGGAACCAAATTGAGTTAAATCTTGTAATCTTTGAGTATCAACAGACATCAAATTAACAATATCACCAGTGGCTCTATTACCTCTTTCTTCACTTGATAATTCTAAAGATTTTTCATAAATTGTAGCAGTTAATGAAGATTTTAAATTCATACCAACATTGAAAGCATTTAGGAAATATTGATGTAGGAAGGCAGTTTGAATAACAGAAATTGAAAACATACCCAAGACAATCATGAAACCTTTAACTAATGGTTCTGGTAAATCTGAATTATAAGTATTAACAAATTGAATCAAAAATTTCAACATTTGTGGTTGTGAAAATTGTAAAATATCTTGAACAACTTTATACAAGTTACCAATAAGCATTGGAGGACCAAAAGCTTTAATCAAAGCCCAGGCTAATGAAGGATTTGAAGATTTATTTGATAAATCAGTCCAGATTTTACCAAAGAAATTTGAAATATTTCTACTTTCAAAATTATCTGGAATTTTTGGTAAATCTTCTTCAGTTAAAAATTGTTCATGACCTCTTTTCATTAATGGAGTCATCCAAGAAAATGTCAGAACTGAAAAAATATCAGCAACATCAAATGGTGATTTTTCATCAACTAAAGCTTGATATTGAGTTTTAGGTTTAGTTGGTAACCAAGTAACACCAAGAATGAATAATGAATTTATAGCTGAAAATAATACCAAGATGTAATAATGATCAAATTTTTCTCTAACGGATAAATTAATCACTCTCAAAGTATTCAAGATGACGTTAACTAACCAAAATAATAACAATGGACTATTTGTAATTTGGGAATGGATATAATCTAAATAATGTAAATGGAAATCGACAATCAATGCGACAGCTTGTAAAACTGGTTGAATAAAATTAACATCATCATATCTTGTAGCACCAACGTATAAAGCAGTACCAATGGTGATACCAATTTGAAGCAAAACAAGTAATAATCTTGAGTGGAAGATCCATGAGTTAGTTCTAAACCTTACAGATGATTTTTGATAATGTAATTGATAGATTTGCAAAGAACCAACCAAGATGAAGATTAGATTAGAAATTGTGAAAAGACCACCGTTGATGAAACATAGAGTGAAGTCAGCATATTCAGAAAGAGGACCCCAACCTTCTTTACCATGACAGAAATAGTTGAAACTCTCGAGTGTATCGTTTAATTGATTATTTGTGATAACAGTTCCCACAGCATCACCAACACTAGTACCAGCAGTTTCCAGATTTGTGGCGCTTAAGAACTCAAAGTTCTCCTGGTTCATGAACTGGAAGCTCATTTTGTAGCGACTTCTTTAGCAAATAACCTAGAGATGAATAGCTACTATCAAGCGATTGAAAACTAGTGGAACAAATGGCTGAAATGCTTGAAATTCAAAAGTTGTAAAATTCACAGTGTGTTAAATTTTTTGGTTATCTTTATTGTGAAAAGTGCTTTGTAATCTACTTTGGAACAGGTCGGAATTGGGGACCCAAAGTCAGGTGCTAAGCGGGAACCGGAACTCAGTATCGGAGGTAATTCCTAAAGTGGAAGCCGCTTACAAATTAATATAGAGTTTATGGAGTTTATGGAGATTTGATTTTGATTCATATTGATGGATATTGATGATATATACTATGGGAAGATCTATTAGTCAACAAAAAGCTTAATGGATCAAGAAGCCTATCATAGAGTTATAATATGTATACGTCAGATCGACAGAATAGACTGATCTGTATTTGAATAGCTTGATTTACTAATCTCATTCCAAAATAATTTAATTACCATGAAGTTGAATGTAGTGAGTTGTAACCCTAATATCACTTGGTAAAAACATTTATTTGAAGTAATATATATATATATATTGATTACTCTGCGCCAAATAATCAGTATAGTACCAGTAGAAAATTGTTTGAAAAGACAATATAATGGAATAATAATTACTCGAAGTCAAGAGCCATTACCCATTGATTGTAATTGAATATAATTAATTCATTTCAATTCCCAAATGTCTTAACTGGTCACAAATCTTTATAAACCATAGTTTGAATTTTCTTGACATCATAGATTCATATGGACATAGATATTTCTTTTCAAGCAGAAGGGAACCATGGGAATTCCTTAACGTTAATATAAATGAATTGATTTAAGGATTAAGACATTGAAACGAAATCCATTAAGTGTTCATGATGGGTGAAAAACTTCACTGTTATCAATGGAGTTTAGTGATGATAAACAGATCAAAGTCATTAATCCTGCAGAGTAACTGCACAAGATTGATTAATTTGATTATTCCATGGTATCAGGTATCAGGCAATCAGATAATATCGACCAAGTACTATATCCCCACCACACTCACAAGCACTCCAGAGACCATGCTCTCCATACTCCCCATTATCCAAAAATAAACCAAACCTTTGACTTCCTCACCAAAATTGGAAGTTGAGATGAGCTTGAAATTCAAAACCCGAGATTCAAACAACGGTTTTTTGAGCCTCTGTTTTCAAATTTCACACAATTACACGTGATTTTTCAACTCCAAAGCAAAGCACCTTTGAATCAATCAGCATCTGGATAAATGACTTGAGATAAAAATGTAGTATTGATATTCACTTTGGATCTCTCATACTTCTAACAGAAAAACAACCAAGAAAGGTGTTAAGAACAGGTCATTTCTTCCTCGAGTTCTGCATCATATATCATCTGGGTATAAAAGACTGGTATTATACGTATACACAAACAATAATACTTGGATTACAAATATTTAACATATACTCAAATGTTGAGATCAAGTATATATCAATCCTCTAGATTAGAGGCCACTAGAGCTTTAAACAAAATAGTTTCCTCATATTTACAAACTGCTTCTTATTCAACAAGATCATCATCTCAAAGAAAACTACACAACATTTCAAATGATTCAGTTTCAAGTTCAAATCCTGCTATGGATTTCCCATGTCTTGATAAATTACAAGCTAAAACAGATTTATTAAGTTCAAACAACAAGACTATTCCTTCAATCAAAAGTGAAATAGATACAAATCAAGGTCCTGAACCTGTTTATTCAAGAGTTCAATCTGGGTTCCAAAAATATCAAAGTAAAGATCCATTATTTTTAGATTATGGTGGATTTTTACCAAAATTTGAAATTGCTTATGAACAATGGGGTGAATTAAACTCAGATAAATCAAATGCTATTCTTTTACATACTGGTCTTTCAGCTTCATCTCATGCAAAATCTCAACCTGATAATACTAAACCAGGTTGGTGGGAAAATTTCATTGGTCCAGATTTACCATTAGATACAAATAAATATTTTATTGTTTGTACAAATGTTATAGGTGGTTGTTATGGTTCAACTGGTCCTTCATCAATAGATCCTTCTGATAACAAGCATTACGCAACAAGATTCCCAATCTTATCAGTTAATGATATGGTTAGAGCTCAAGAAAGATTAATGAGAGAACAATTTGGTGTTGAAAAATTATATGCAAGTGTTGGTTCTTCAATGGGTGGTATGCAATCTTTAGCTTATGCTCAAGAATTCCCTGATAGTGTTGAAAAAATCATTTCAATTTCTGGTTGTGCAAGATCTCATCCTTATTCAATTGCTATGCGTCATGCTCAAAGACAAGTTTTAATGTCTGATCCAAATTGGAAAAGAGGTTTTTATTATGATTCTATTCCTCCACATGTTGGTATGAAATTATCAAGAGAAATTGCTACAGTTACTTATAGATCAGGTCCAGAATGGGAAATTAGATTTGGAAGAGAAAGAGCAAATCCAGATGTTAAACCTGGGTTATGTCCAGATTTCCTTGTTGAAACTTATTTAGATCATCAAGGTAATAAATTTTCATTAGAATATGATCCTAATTCTTTATTATATATTTCAAAAGCTATGGATCTTTTCGATTTAGGTAAAGCTAATAGAAATGCAGCAGAAAAGAAAAGATTAGAATTCCAAAAAGCATTTGAAGATGAATCTAATTTAGAAATTACAAGTTCAGGTCCTGCATGTTCAACTTCATCAGTTCCAGATGAAAATTATAAAGTTAAACCAAGAACCAAGACAATAACATGGGAAGAATCTGAAAAAGATCTTTTGGATGGATTAAGTAATTTTAGTAATAAAGAAGTTTTAGTTATTGGTGTTAAATCAGATATTTTATTTCCTCATTGGCAACAATTAGAAATTGCAAATAAATTAAAAGAAGGTAATCAAAAAGTTTTCGGTGGTGATGGTTCAAATATTAAACATGTTGAATTAGGTGAAGATATAAGTATGTTTGGTCATGATACTTTCTTATTAGATGTTGAAAATATTGGTGGCCCAGTTAAAAAGTTTTTGAATTAATGATGATATAAATGAATGAATAGAAAACACAGGACACAAAACACAAAAACACAATATGCATAGTTATGATTTTATAGATATTTACTAGTTTCTTTCTTTTTTTTTGGTTTTTAAATTCATCTGTAAATATATAAAAAACAATTGTACGTTAATTTACTACAACTAATTCTATAATAAATTGTAATTCATGATATATTTGATATATTTACAAGTTTTCATATATACATTCTTAAAATCTACGAGCAGTTGGATCTTGTTTAGCAGCACGCATTTGTCTAATAGCTTTCTTTTCAAGACGTTTTTCTTTACGTTTAATTTCTTTTTGTTTTTGAGAATCTCTAACAAGAACTTTATCACCAAACCATTTGAATTCTTGCATATATCTCTTGTCCATATTGAATTCCATATGAACAACATGATCATTTAATCCTAATTTGTTTAAAGTCCAATAATATTTTTCTGGATCATCTTTTTTCAAATATCTTAAAATTTTTTGTCTTTGTTGTACAAGCATTCTCATATATCTTATATTTTTAAAATCTTTGAAATTTTCAACAACATGTTTGAATAAATGATGGATTTTAACTGTAGCAATTGCAGCTTGAACTTCTGATGAACCAGTATCACCATCAAATCTTTGAAATTCTTTTCTAGCTAAATCTGTTTTAAATTTTAAACTTTCAGCAGATGATCTATTTCTCATATTTAAAATTCTGAAAACTGCTTCTCTTTGTTTAATAGCACTTTGTCTAACACTATCACTTGCAAATGATTCTTTAATTGAAGCTTCTTGAGCACCATATAATAATTTTTCAACTTCAGATTTTTCATAACCTCTAGTTAAAACATTTGGTTCTTGAACTTCAGCTTCTAATCTTGTCAAAAATGCATTATTTTTCTTACCCAATACTGGATCTAATTCATTCTTTTTAGCTTCTAATTTTCTTTGTTTTAAAATATTGGTTTCTTTACGTCTATTAGCTCTGAGATAACGTAATGATTTTCTTAATGGTGCTGGACGACCTGCTAAAATAGGTGATGAAGTGCTAAAAGAACGTATGCTTAATTGTTGGAAGGAACGACCAAGTCCTATACTCTTAAGTATAGATCCACTTTGAAACATCTTGATCTTTGTTCTCAGTGAAGTATTAACTTAGCACATTCAATTTTGTTCTTTCATTTCATTAATTTTTCAATACTTTTGTTAAATGTTGAAAATCGTGAAAAAAACAAGATTATGTAATTTCGCGAATTTCGATCAAAATTTAAAATCTCAAAAAAGTAACCCGGTGCTTATGTAACGCACATAAAGTATTATAAGTAACGTATATAATTTAATCGATTATAATTGAGTTTATATGCTACAATTTGTATGAGTTTCAGGTGTATATACTTTGCTATTAAGAATCAGTTATCATTTCCTTCGATCAGTTCCTCAATTGAGTCAAAATCAACCACTTTAGACGAAGTTTTATCTTTAACTTTTCTAGTAACTGTATTGAAACTTTCATCTTGAACCAATTTCAACTTGTGATCTTTTGTTAGCTTGTAAATGTTTTGAAAAATTGTATTACTTTTCAACTCATCAGATTTAACAACATCTTCAGTACCAAATATATAGAATCCTTTTTTAGAAGCTGATAATGCTAATGAAAGTAAATTTTCATCCAAATTATCTGATGTATCATTCAAAGGTAAGATCACAATATCATTTGATTGACCTCTATATTTTGCGATGGTACTTATATTTGTAGCGAGATCACTGAAGATTTCTTTCAACAATGCTTCATGTAATGGATCCAATGCTAAAATCGTTATAATTTCCGGTGAATAGTCTTTTGATATCAAATATCTGGAAAACTTCAATGCATACAATGCACTAGCAACTATTGGACGCTTACCTTCAGATTCTTTTGAGCTAAGTTCTATTAATTTAACTGTTTCTAAAACACCAGCATTTGGTGTTTCAGGATGAGCTGTGGTTGTAATTTTACCAGAATAAAATTCTTCAAGTAATTCAACTATTTCTAGTCTTTTATCATAAACTTGATTAAATTTTATAAGATTAGAACCTTGATTTTTCACTCTATCAAAAAAACTTTGTTTCTCCTCACTCAATGGGATTGTATCACCAACAAGTAAAGCCCTTTTCAATGAATTATTACTCAAAACTAATGGAAATAAAGTCTCGAATTCATCTAATTGTGAAGCATCAGAAATTATTATTGAATCAAACTTTATATTTAATTTTGTAAATTTTTTCAAATATCCTGGATAGGAATCAGCTGAAACCCCAACAACTTTACCATATGTAATCAATAAATGATCAAATATTTCATCTTGATTTTTACTAAGTGATAATGGTGATAACTCTTCAATTTTATGAAATATAGATGAGATAGAAGTATAATGCTTAACAACAGATTTCAACCCTTCAACAAATGACGTGTCATCGACAATGATCGAATCACCAAATTTTGCAAATGGATATGATTCTTTTAAAGTTTTAACAGTTTTATTGCTTTTGATTTCATTTAAAAACTTTTCAAACAATGGTTTCACTTGATGTGTAAAAAATTGTAAAGCTGAAATACCACTATCACCATATAACGGATCAAGACCTAAACTAACAGCTAACTGATCAACTTCTTGTAATAATACACCCAGTGTAGTATTTGCTTTTTGAATACTGTTTTGCTTAGCTTCAGAATCTGTTAGGTTGAAATGTGTATCTACCCCTTCATTAGGTTTATCTAAGGCTTGAAATAATTGGTTCAATGTTCCTCCATTCTTGGATATTATTAGGATTTTTTCATTTGGATAATTTTCAACTAGTGTATTGATTGATGTGTTTATGACTTGTTTCTTACCACTTCCAGAAGGACCTTCAATCAAAGTTAAACCATTAGAGAGTGAGCTTATAAGCGCCTTAGTTTGTTGTTCATTGAATTGTAAGTCTCGATATTTTGATTCAGCTTCAAGTGGTTTCAATACTATTTCATTATCTGTAGTACATATGATAAATGGAGAAGTAAGTGATTCACTATTTTCAGGATCAACTTTTCTTCTTTTAGTATCTTGACCATCAATTGTAACTTTATAACTCGGAAACGATTTCTCAATTGATTCTTTTGTGATTCCATTGTGTAAGAGCCTTACTGATTTCCTCAACTCTAAAGAATCATCAATTTCTCCACCTAAACCTAAAACATGATCATATAACCATTCTGGTAATTGATCTTCAACTCTGTTTATGTTCTCCCATGCCTTATTGAGTTTTTGGTTATACTTTGTTAATTCTTTTGGTAATCTTAAAGCAATTGAAAATGGTTGATCATCTTCATTGGATTGATTTTCTTCTTTATTTATGGAACCTTTGATATCAACTTTCAAATCTGAGGTAGATTTATTATTAATTACGTCTTTGATAACAGCAGTGACAATCTTTGTTACACCTAATTTTTCAAGATCATTACCCTTTGGGAATTTTACCCCAAGTTTAACTAATAAAATAACATCTTCTTGTTTTAGTGAAGTCCAATTTTTAGTAACTTCATTAGAAAATTCATTTAATGATATTTTGATCTTGGCAGAATCTATTGAAGTATTTGAGCTAAATTTAATATCATCTGGAGATAATTTTGAAACATAATTACTTTTTCCCGTAACTTTTTCTTTGCCTTTATCATTTTTCAAAGTTAATCTTGAAATTGTTCTTTCCAAATGACTTTTAATCTCTTTGAACACTTCATCTCTATAAATTATATAATTTCTCAGTAAATAATCACCTTCAGATATGAATTGACCAGTTAATTTAAGACCAGACTGCCTTGTTTTATTGAGAATCGTTTTTTCATTGATGAAACTTCCTAAATTCTCTAAATATGTCTGAGGATTGATGAATGGAGTCAATTGGAAGATAAAAGAATCAATAATTTGATCTTGGCTGTTAACTTTAGGTAATGTGAATCCAAACCCTTTAAATAATTCAGCAAGCTCTTGAGAATCAAGTATACTCAACGAATTTTTAAGCTTTGATCTATCTTCTAAATGTTCATATGTTGCAAATGCTAGATCTTGAAGCTTTTCAGCAAATAAACTATTTGATAAAACTTGAAGTTTCAAATAATTGTCCGAAATTATTTTTTCAATTGTATCTGATGATATAAGTTCACCTGTTAGTTCATCAACTGGGAATTTGAAATAAAATGTATAAGAGTCCAAAATGGATAACAGTTCATCATCATTAATTTGAGAGGAAGTTAACGTAAATAACATATTTTTATGTGCCAATAATGATTTCAAAAACTTTCTTGTTGGGATTTGTGCTAATAAATCTCTTAAAAGTACTAAAACTGATTTGGTATAAATGATTGAATCATTATTTTTAACATCATAGTTTTTCACTGCAACATCGATTGAATTTGAAATCCAGTTGGTCTTTAATGAGTTTCCAACCTTTTCAATCTTTGAAAGCTTATCTAAAGACGCCTTTTGCTTAGAGTATTGTGCATTCAAACCATGTTTGACTAATAAGTCTTCATAATCATCAATATTACCCCATATTAAGATTGATACAAATGGTGCCAATTGTTTCCTTATTCCACTTATATGCAGATTTAAAAATAATGCATTGAAACTTTTCACAATGAGTGTTTTAATTATCAAAGAACCATTATCTTTATGAAATATTTGTAATAATCGAAGTATAAAATCAGGTAAACGATCAGATTCAAGACATTTGAAGTCATCATTATGCTCAAGCTTAGAGACAATACCAGCAGCAACCAACAAAATATGCGAGTCTGTCTTTTCAGAACAGGATGGCCATAGTATGTCTTCAAAAAATGATTTTGGAATGTTCAATGAACTTTGTCTTTTCAAATCTTCAATTATTGTTTTCAAAGCAGCATCTAAAACCTTTTGATTAATCTTTATTTCTCCATTTTTAACGGATGAACTTTTCACCAGAGCATCAATGGCCGTGTCTTTATTCACCATAACTATTCAATAACAACAACAACACCGTTAATTCAACACCTTTCAGAATATTTTCCAAGTTCCCATAGTTAACAAGACGCTTCAATTAATTTGTTTATTATGTCAGAAACGAAAAAAGGAAATCCGGTGGTAAAAAATCACATGACCCGATGGCCCCTCGGAAATATCATGCAAAAAAAAATTTTATTAAATTTCTATATACTCTGCACTTGAATAAATAAGTGAAAATTTAATAAAATTTAAAGATTTATATAACGAAGCTTGAAGCCTAAATCCAGTTCTTCTTGATTTTCTTTATCGTTAAATTTACTCTTTATTATTACCCATTTTAAATCATGAACAGAGGTGGTAACAGAGGTGGCTTCGGTGGCCGTGGTGGTTCCAGAGGTGGTTTTGGTGGAAGAGGTGGTTTTGGTAGACCACCAATTCCTCAAGGTCCTCCAGATACCGTTTTAGAAATGGGTGCTTTCCTTCATCCAGTTGAAGGTGACATCTTATGTCGTTCTATCAATACTAAAATTCCATATTTCAATGCTCCAATATATTTAGAAAATAAAACTCAAATTGGTAAAGTTGATGAAATTTTAGGTCCATTAAATGAAGTTTTCTTTACTATTAAACCAAGTGAAGGTGTTCAAGCTACAAGTTTCAAAGAAGGTGATAAATTCTATATTGGTCCAGATAAACTTCTACCTATTGAAAGATTCTTACCAAAACCAAAAGTTGCAGGTCCACAACCAAAAAAGAAGAAGAGTGCAGGTCGTGGTGGTGCAGGTGGTGCCAGAGGTGGATTTGGTGGCCGTGGTGGCTCTAGAGGTGGCTTCGGTGGCCGTGGTGGATCAAGAGGTGGATTTGGTGGATCAAGAGGTGGTTTCAGTGGTGGCCGTGGTGGATCAAGAGGTGGATTCGGTGGTGGTCGTGGTGGATCAAGAGGTGGATTTGGTGGAAGAGGTAGAGGTCGTTTCTAAATTATTGATTGAAAAAATATATCATCAGCATTTTATTATAATAAATCAGCTGTTTTAAAAATAAAATATAAAAAAGCTGCATTACTCTTCAGAACATAGTTATCATTTTTTTCTCTCTTTATGAGCATCAGTTTTAATGTACAATATAGGATTTTTGAATGAAAAATGATAAAGATTGTAGCGTATATGTACTTTTTATTCATTATAATTATATACAAAAGTGTATGTACAAGATTGTTTGCTATTCTATCATTTCTTATCATCACGTTTACTCAATGGTTGTAATCCATAATTTAATCCACAAGAATCAAATATTGATTTTCTCAATTCATTAAATCCTTGTCTCTTAGGGAATTTCCTATTTGTATCTGAACTAACAAATAATAAATCTGGAGCTAATTTACTATTAAGTATACCACTTTCTTTAATATTTGATTTAACAGTTTTAATATTTTTCAATTTATCAACTTTAGTGAAAACAACTTCATAGGGTATAGCTGCTTCAATCAATACATCTAAAACTTGTTCGTCATAATGGTTAAAACCATCAACAGAACTTATTAAAAGATAACATTTTTGAAGTTCTTTTCTATGCTGTAAATATTCTAATACTTGTTCACCTTGATATGCACGACCTTTAACACCATAACCAGGAGTATCAATAATTCTTAGTCTATCACCTAAATTGAAAGCATTCATAGATTTGGTAAATCCTGCATGTTTTGAAGAATATGCAAAAGTTTCCAATTCTTTTGAATTTGTTTGTGAAACTAAAGCATTTAATAAAGTTGATTTACCAACGTTACATTTCCCCAAGAAAACAACTTCAGGTAACCCAAGCTTAACATCTGGTTTCACAAATCCATTACCAGGTGCTATTTCACTTGATTCAGAAGGAGACTGTTGGGTATTTTTGTCTTCAAAATCTTCATCAAATTCCACAATATCATTTAAAGGCGTTGTTTTAGCCTCTTCTTCAGCTAACCTTTTCTGCTCAATTTCATATCTTTCTCTTTCACCTGGCATGTCTAAGAAATCTTCAGTCATCCAGTCTAATTTGACTTTTGCATTAAAGAAAAAATTACTCAATTTTGAAGTTTCAGCAAGTGTAGGTTCTGTTCTAAATTCTGATCTGTAAACATTATTCAATTTTTCAGCAGTTATCATGGAATCTTTTGCAGCTTGTTTCTTATTCTTTAGCTCAGCTTCCTTTTGTTTCCTTAGAGCTTCTGTAGCTTCTTTTTCAACATTCTTTTGTTTAACATCACCAACAGATTTCTGTATTATTGAAGATAGATCTATAGCTAAATTTGTTCTTGCACAAGAGAAATGACGTATTCTTGTGGGTAGTCTTTTCACAAGCATCTTTCGGTGAATAATATTAACAAGAGGTTTTAAAGTTTTCAAGTGTGAATACAACAACTATTAAGCACCGACGAAGAATAAACAAAACCTCAAAGCTCTATACCTAATAAACGTATAAAAGTTGCAAAATCTATCGTCTTTCTGCCCTTAACAAGAAAAGCTTCCAAAATTGTTCACCGGGTTAAATTCGCGACTATAATTATAATTTGTGAAGCGCGTTTGCGTTTTTGAACAAATCATTGTTTAAAATTCGATTTGATTCGATTGAAATTCTGCAGAAAGTATTGGATTCTAAGGTTATTTCACATTGAATTCAATTGTTTTTTAATTTACTGATTTGATCATGTTTTTGAGCTTGTTGTCTTATGCCGGTATCGTGCTGGGGTTTGTGCTTTTGACACTGTCCATTGCCTCTGGGCTTTTCTACATCAGTGAATTGGTGGAGGAACAATCAGCACCTACAAAAAAATTCTTAACAAGAAGTATTTACACAATCATTGGTATTTATGTACTGTTATGGCTATTTGACGGGTTCCCATTCTGGCTCACATTGTTTTCAATTGTTACATATGTGATATATTTACAAAATTTAAAACATTTCCCATTGATTCAATTGAAAAGTCCCGTTTTCATTGCAAGTTGTATCTTGGTTGTCGTTAATCATTACTTATGGTTTCAACATTTCAGCAATCCAAAGATTCCAGCACCACAATATAGATTGGATCCAAATTATAAAGCACCAAGAATTGCTAGTTTTTCAGAAGTTGCATCATTTTTCGGTATTTGTATTTGGTTTATCCCATTTGGATTATTCGTTTCATTAAGTGCTAGTGATAATATTCTTCCAACAGCTTCAGCTAATTTCAACAGTGGTAATTTCGATGATATTTCAGGCAAATCTAAACGTGGTAAAACTCAAGGTTTGGCTAAAGTTGTTGTTGGTACAGTGAGAGACTGGATATATTCTGTTGCGCGTGCTTTTGGTTACGAATTGGACCCTGATCATGGGAGAATTGTGTAGTTAAAGGAAAATCACACAACTATAGTACACACGCTTATTAAAATAGAACTGATTTGTAGTTTTGTTTCCCAGTGCTCTCTATTGTAAATTTCGTGGTTCTTTGGCTTCTGTCATCATGACCGGTGATCTCGAAAGGCGTCCTTTTGATCTCTGAAACAAAATACGATCGAAAGATCAAAAACATCAACAGGAACAAATAAGCGCCATTGAAAACACACAGGAGTGTTAGGCGGTAATACACACCGAGGGAGATGAAGTTTGAGAATATTTTCTGGACGTCTGATTATATTACAGGGATTCAGACGTTAATTCATACGTTGGAAGAGAGTCGTGATGAAGGGACAGACCAGTTGGATTACTTCAAAAGCTATGTTGATCTACTTGAAATCCAATCCCAGAAGCTAAAAGAAATCAACAAGAATAGAAACAAGAGATTTGTGAAACATCAAGAGATCAAAAGTGATATCAAATCCTCAAAAATAATCCAAAAGTTTGAAGAAACACATCAATCATTAGGATCATTAAAACAGTTGAAACGCGTTCAATTAGAAAACTCTGAAACTGCAAGTGAACTCAAAACAAACACTTCACTAAAGATTCAAAGTGATGTTATACTACGACTTGAAGAGTTCTTAGAGGATTTCAATGATTTTATATCAGACTCCAAGAAAACTTTGAATAATCAATATTTCACATATACAAAATCTACCCAACAAGCTAAAAATACAGATAGACAATTCATTTCCAAATGCAGAGAATTGGAGGATAGTGATGAAAAAGAAAATAAAGATCTTCCTTCATTACCAGAAAAGAAAGAATCATCTCAAGAACCTGTATTGAGTAAATCAAATACTGATACTTCTGTTACTGAAAGTGGTAGTAATGATAAAAGTGAAGAATCTGAAGAGGATGAAGTTTTTGATTTCCCACTTACAATTGGTAATAGTTCATTTGGAAATATTGAAGAATTGAAAAATTTCATGTTGAAATTAACTCAACAAATCCCATTGAAAAGAAGAATGTTTCCAATTCCTGGTATAAACAATGAATATTTTAGTAGTGAATCATTCTCTAAATGGTTAAGATCAAATAAAGAAAATGAAGATTCAAGAAGAAAAATTGAGAAATTTGGTCAAGATTTAATTAATTTAGGCCTGATTAGCAACTGGAATAAATTATCTGCAAATAAATTTATTTCTGATGAAGGTTATTTTGAATTTACTGATTTAGCCAAATATATTGCAAATTTCGATACACAAAAATCAATACCTGAAGTTCAAATAACTCCATCAACATCTCATGATTCCACTGAAACAGTGGCTATCACAAATACTAGCACTAGTACCACCACTTTTTCCAAAGTACCAAAACGTAATGTCTTTGATGGCCTGAAGAAAAGATTAGGTCAAAGTTTGGATGCTGATACCTTAAGACAACACGTTGAAGATGCAAAACAAAAACATATTGAAACAATAAGGAAAAATGAAGAAGATAAAACAATTTTAGAAAACTCAATTCAAGAAATTAGTCATAAAGCTGAAATTTATGAAACTAATAGAATTAAACTTATTTATTTTGTTACAAAGGAATTTAATGAATTAATACATAATGAATCTCAAAAGCAATTCCAATCGTTACAGACGATTAACAATGATTTTGTTTACAATGATGATACATTGAAATATGAAGTTTTACAAAAATCAATTAATCCTTCAGCATCTTGGTATTGGCCAAAGCATGAAATTCAATTTATCGATCATTCTATATCAAAATCACATAATATTATACAAATATTTGGAAATGATCTTGTTAACCAACATGTTGATATCACAGATGAAGATCATAAGACAAAATCAGCTTCAATTTTCATTAAAAATATCATTAAACATTTAGATAATATTGATGACATTGAAACATATTGGGCAAATGAATTGGATATTAAAATTGCTAATGAAGTTAAAAGATTTATTGAAAACTCAATACCACAACTTGAAGAACAATATTCAGAAGATTCAAAACAAGATATTTATTCTTTTGTCATCATTAAAATTGTTGATGATTTATTTAAAAAATTCCCAACTTCATCTATTCTTAATGCCTTGAAGCTTTGGTTATTAGAATTACCAGATAGTGTTATACCTTTCACTTCTTATGATTCTTTAAAATCTGCATATAATGGAAATACTGATCAAGATTCAAAATTAAAAATACTGGGTGCAATTCCAAGACAAAATCTTGCAACTTTATTGGTAATATTGAAACATCTTTCAACCAAGATCAAAACACCAGATCAAATAATTCAAAATGAAAGAGTACCATTATACCATTTATTAATTAGACCTTCACCAAAGTATGTTAGTGCTAATTTTGATGATTTGATTGAATTTGAACCGTTGATTAAAGATCTATTAAATCCAGAATTTCAAGAAAAATTATATGGCAAATTGAATGATTTAGAAATCTCACACATAGAAAGAGAAAAAAGAGTTGAAGAATCAATCAAATCTTTAAAAAATTCTTCAGTAAAACCTCGTCAAGTTTCATCACCATTACCAAAATCCAATTCAAACAATTCATTATCAGTTGATGAAAATGGATTGAGACCATTTAAAACAAGATCTCCAAACCCATCACCAGCTGGTTCACCAAAAACAAATAGAAGTAGAACAAATAGTAGGACATCAAATACAAATATTTTATTACCATCAGTTAAAAGACCTTCAGAAAATTTACACAAGAGAACCTTGTCGAAAAATTTGGAAAAAGATGAAGCTAATTTAAAAATTGAAAAGGCTAGACAATTAGAGAAAAAAGAAGGTCAAGACAAGAAGGAGAAGGAAAATGAAGAAAAAATTGTTATTAATGTAGATTCTGATTAAATTAAGTATGTACTATAATAAAAGACAATTATTGGGATTAATAATGACGTAGTGATTATATAATGATCATCATTATTTGCCTGATCTAAGCCTTTTCAAAGTTGTTTCGAATAAATAATCCATATAATTACCATAAATTTCATCATTTTCACCATCCAACATTTCAAAAGCATTATCTTCAATTTTATAAATTTTATCATTTTGTAAATCTTTAACCACTTTTTCCAAAAAACAAGACCAAGTATCAAACAATACAATACGTTCATCCATATAATCTCTACCCCATACTATAACTTGACCAATTTTACCTTGAGGACCAGGATTAAGATCAATACCTATGCTATTCCCACTCCCATCAGTAGTTAATCCAATCCAGTTATTAGCATCACAGTAAACTGGAGAGACAAAACCTTTTGGATAAGTTTCAAGTTCCATTTCTTCAAAGTCTGGATTTTCATCGACAACTTGTTTCCATACATTCATTTCACGTTTGATTTCATCTAATGATAACATTTCTAGTCCTAAGAATACCCCAATCATGAATTGATTTTGTTCTTCATAAGGCGATTCGCCATTGACTAGTTGTAAATATTTTACAACATCTTTTGGAAGTTTGATATTGTATTCTGATTCAAAATCATTGATTTCTGATGATGGTATACCTTCTTGGAAAATGTTTCTCAAATTTGGGAATTTTTCACCAATGAGTGTCTTGATAGCATTTATGCTTTCTTCAACCTCAGATACCATTGTTGGATTATGAAATTATTAGACAGTACCTAGTTACAGCCCTTCAAAGATTAATAAAAATGCAAAGCATCATTGGAAACCAAACTTTCAACAAGCTATATAGTATATATATATAAAAATATCATGCTTTAACCTTCAAAAGTGAACGAATGCTCGATTATTATTTGCAACAACTCGCATACCCGATAACTTGAAAGCCATCTACCGCGTTCATGACATTTACATCCCAAGAAGAACAACACAAGAAATCAGATACCTAGACCATTAAAAAGTGACATTCTTTATACAACCTACTTATCGAAACAGGCCATTGTTCACGTTTAAATCAAGTGTTGATAATTATAAAGAAAATCCACGTGACTGACACCAAAAATTTCCAGAAAATCGCCAAAATTTCGCGTCCCTCCAAAACAAATTCAAAAAACTTCAATTGAAAACAAAAACATAGACGTATATCAATAACATCATCGAGACAACCACGACAGTTTGGGAATATTAATAGACCGAATAATCATTGTTAAAGATGAAAAGACTGTTTGAAGGTTTCAAGGTTGCCATTATCAAGTCTGCGGACCTTCCAGATGAAGAAGCAGATGCTATTGCCACTATCTTACAAAATCACGGTGTTGAGTATAAAATATTTGGTAATGATTCACCACTTCAACAACTAGATTTGATCGAAGGTGAATACTCTCATATCGCTTCAAACAATATTGATTTTGAATTGTATACTTTCACACAAGAAAATATGATTCCAGTGGTAACTAGTGAATTTTTCCATAAAACTGAAGAACAAAATAAAACACCACCAATTAGACCTTATTCTCCGGACCCAAAACACGTTTTGAAAGATATTCATGTATGTGTTGGCGGATTACCTGTATCTGATAAAGAAGCTATTTATGGGGGTGTTAGAGCTCTTGGTGGATCATTTTCTGAAACCTTGAATAAATTTGTCACACATTTGATTTCAATTGATACAGATGAAGATGCTTGTATTGCAGTATATTCACTTGAAGAATGTCAAATCAAAGTTGTTTTACCAGATTGGATTGATGATTGTTTGAAATTAAGGAAAAGATTAGATGAAACTCCTTATTTATTAGAAGAAGGTGAATCTATTGATGCAAAAGTTGAAAAATTGAAAGAACTTGATATTGTTAGTAAAGATAAAAATCTAATTAAAGCACAAAAAAAGTTTCTTAATAAGAAATCATTTTATCTTGGTGAAGATTTAGAATTAACCAAAAGATCAAGAGATGTTATTAGTTCATTGATTGAAAATTCTGGTGGTGTTATTAATAAGTCATTAACAAACGCACAATGTTATCTCGGGAAATATAGAGAAGGTGAAGAATATAGATCAGCTAGTAGAAAAGGTTTACATGTTGGTAATTTGAATTGGATTTATTGGATGGTTGAACATCAAAAATATATTTCACCTTATAAGAAACTCTTACATTATCCATATGTTAAACATGGTATGCCACAATTGAAGAAATTTGTTATTACATCAACAAATTATTCAGGTGATGTTCGGATTTATGTTAAAAGTTTAGTTGAAGCTTTAGGTGCTGAATTTACCACTTCATTAAAACAAAGAAATACACATTTAATAACAGCTTCAGAAACCGGATCAAAATACAACGCCGCTAAGAAATGGGGTGGTATTGCAGTTGTTAATCATCTATGGTTAGAAGAAACATATGCTGCTTGGGATTTAAAATCAGTTGATAATCCTAGATATTCACACTATCCAAGATCATTGAAAATGAGCGATATTGCTGGTGAAACTCCATTAGATATGCAAGTACTGAAACAATTTTATGAAGATGGGAATTCAGATTTTTCTGCAAATGTTATAGAAGATTCTGAAGCTGAAGATTCTACTGCTGATACTATTTTACCATCAGATGTTCATAGAATTCTGACACCAAAAAATCCAAATGATGATAACATTCTATCAAATAAATCTGAAGAAGATCAAGAATCACCACTTAAAGAAAATGTTGAAACATCTAAAACCCCTTCAAAGGGTAGTAAAAAGAATTCACAAGCTCATGAATCAACACCAAAACCTAAATCAGTTAATGTCTCCAAAATATCACCACCGCCAGTTCCTACAGAAACTCCAGCTGCAAAATCAACAATTTCTAATAATTCTAGCTCAACTACTCCTTTATCTACTACACGTCCATCAAGTGGTCGTAAGGCTAAAGATAAAGCAGCTTTAAAATTACATGAAGATATGGAACAACTGAATTGGTTTCAAAAACATCATAAATCTAAAGATATTCCATTGTTACCAGAGGAAATTGAAGCTAGAAAACGTAAAAGAGCTGAAGAGTTAGCAGAAAAGGAAAAAAGAGAAAGCAGACAATCAAGCAAAGAAAAAGAAGATACACCTGAAAAGGAAGAACCAGTGTCAAAAGTCAAACATGAAGCTTTACCAAAAGCTAAAAAAGCTAAAAAGACACCATCAACTCCATACAATATAATTGCTATTGCAACTGGTTGGGAATTAAATTTTAATAGATCTGATACACAAATCCTAAGTAATCTTGGTATTACATTACATAAAGAATTTAAAAACAACATTAATGCCATCATTGCACCAAAATTCATGAGAACTGAAAAATTTCTTACTGGGTTAAGTTATCAATTAGATTATATTTTATCACCAACTTTCCTTCAAGAAGTATTAATCAAATTTAAAAATGATCCAAATGATGTTAATTCATTACCAGATATTTCCAATTTTAGTATCGATGTTACAAATGCGGATTCTGTAAAAGAATTAACTTCTATATCATTAACAGAATTAATGGATAGATCCAAGAGAAGAATTAATTCATATGATCGAATTTTCCATGATATGTGTTTTAATATAACACCAAAGATTCCAGGTGGTGCAGCTATTGTACAAAAAATATTAAAAGCTCATGGTGCCAATAAGATCAGTATTGTTAAAACTATTAAAGATATGAAAAATTTAAAATCATTAGCTAAAAATCCAGATGGTTCATATATTATGATTTCAAATGAAAAAGGTTTTATTGATAAGTTTAAAACACTGATAGAAGGGGAAGAACAACCAGGAAGAGTCATTGAATGGAACTGGGTGATCAATAGTATCTTCCATATGGAAATAGACAATACAAAGAATGTGCTATATAGTAATTAGTTTTGAAATTAAATTGAAATGAAATGAAGTTATGAATGAATAATTTGTTATCTATTGTGTGACTCGTACCACCTTTCCATTATTTATAAAGTAACCCGGATCGCGAACTGGGAATTCTTAATTCGGTATCTGCTTTTTGATAATCTTGTATGGAGAAACCCTAACTAAAAAGAAACATTTAAAGAGGCAATTTTAATCAATTGTGACATAATTTTGAAAGTAATTAGGATATATTTGGAATAAAATAATAGAGAATTGAAAGATATACAGGATTACACAGGTATAATGTCGGATAGTGAAGTTAAAGACCCAATATTAGGTGCTGAAGAAGTTGAAACGTCTCATAACACAACTGACATATCGGATCAATTGAATGAAACAACATTGAATGAACCAGAAGAAGATCAACTAGAAGATCAAAAACCATCAACAAAGAATAAGAGTAATGAATCTAGTATAGGTGACAAGAAGGAATCTAAGATTGATGTTCAATCATTATATATCAAATCATCAGTTAAACAAGCTCAAAAGGAGAATGATGGGCAAAATGCATATATTTCATATCTTATTGAAACAGAATCAAATAATCCAGTATTTCAAAGCTCAAAGTTCATTGTGAGACGTCGTTTTTCAGATTTTTATTTCCTTTATCAAGTATTATTAGGTGATTTCCCTGCATGTGCTATACCTCCATTACCAGATAAACAAAGATTAGAATATATTAAAGGTGATAGATTTGGTTCAGAATTTACATCAAAAAGAGCAGCTTCATTAAATAGATTTTTAGAAAGAATTTCATTACATCCATTATTGAAAAGATCAAAAATTTATCATATTTTCTTAGAAAGTCATGATTGGAATTCTTATAAAGTTAATTTGAAAATTAAGACAAGTTCTGAACTTGGTGGTGGGAATGAAGGTATATCTGATGTTTTCATGAATGCATTCAAGACAGCAAGCTCACAAAGTAAAGAATTCCAAGAAATTAAGGAAAGATCAGATAAATTAGATGAAAATATTAGTAAAATTGATCGAATTTTCAATAAAATTTTAAAAAGATATAGTGATTTAGAAACAGATTCTTATGATTTTAGTTTACAAATTAAAAAAATTGCAGAATTAGAACCTGAATTAGAAATACCATTTTTAAAATTTAGTGATGGATTAAATTCATTAAGTCTTGGATTTTCAAATTTGAAAAATTTCTTAGATAATGAATATATAATTTCATTAAAAGATCTTGAACATTATATCACATCCATAAAGAATCTTTTAAAATTAAAAGATCAAAAACAAATTGATTATGAAGCATTAACAGATTATTTAAATAAATCAATTACAGATAAAAATAATTTATTAACAGGATCAGGAAGTTCAACAAATTTTTTCACAAATAAATTTGAAGAATTTACAGGAGTTAATCATGAAGTTTCTAAACGTGAAAAATTAAATAAATTAGAAAGAAAAATTGAAAATTTAACTTCAGAAGTTAATAATGCAAAAACTGTTGTGGAATCATTTGAAAAACAAACTGTTCATGAAATTCAATATTTTGAAAATATAAAATCTATTGAATTGAAAAATACTTTAGGTGATTTAGCTGATAATAATATTAAATTTTATAAAGATTTAATTGAAAAATGGAGTACAATTGAAAAAGAATTAAAAGGAGTATAGTATGTTTTTTTATTGTATATAAACTTGGAGTTATAATATAATTGCTATTTACAGCTGTTCTTAATGGTACTATAGACTTCTATAATATATAGATAATACAGAGTAGGACAAATCATTTATTGATATATATCTGTTGTTCATTATACCATACCATCCTATAACCGATTATAAGCGAGAAAGAAATTTAGACTTACATGAATAATACTCATCAATTTAACCAAATATTTGGTTTCTTGTATGCATTCTATACAAGGTCTAATACAAATCTGATTATGTGTAATAATCTTAGTGATTAAGATCTAATGGGAATCTTTCAATCAAGAAAATGTACATAGTTATTATAACTATCCCGTTAACGTCCTTAAATCTATTCAACTTCAAAATCAAATTGAAACATATCACTTATTTTTGATCTTTTGAGGTCATCATGATATTGATTATCATGTATATGGAATTGCAGATATTGGAAATTATTATTTATGTTTTCCTTCTCTTGTTTAATCCAGGTAATGGTTGATTTGACCATTCTATTATATCATCAATATTAATATTTTGAGAATCTAATATATCATTGTTAATTTCATCATCTAAATCTAAATTTTGTTCAAAAGCCCATAACTTATCCACGCCAAAAAAGTTTTTAAAATCCATTTCATTTATATAATTTGACCATATCAATGGAGGGAATTCATCTTTTTTCAAAATTCGATTTTTTTTCTCCTTTGGTACTGGAGCTTTTGTATTTTCATGAGTATAAAAATCTCTTAACAATATGATTGCTTCTTTCCTATAGATCCCAGGATAAGATTTATAATTATTTTCCGAAGTAGTAGAATCTTGATTAATCTTTAAACAACTACCATTCCCACCAAACCTTTCATTACCACAACCAAAATAAACATTACGTATACCAATTTGTTTTAAAGCAGAAGCACACATAACACAAGGTTCCACAGTGACATATAGATCTATTTCTTTGAAAATATCTTGTAAAGCGATACCAGGTGTTGGTGTCATTGATTGTAATTTAGACCAAATAATATTTATACCTCTAAACTCTGCATGTGTTATACCAGAAAGGGAATCATTGGTATTATTCATACCATAACTAATGACTTGATTCTTATAGACAAAGACACAAGCGACGGGGACTTCGTTGTTGTGTAGTGCATTGTTTGCCAGCTTCAAAGCATATTTCATAAAACCCTTGTGTCTCTCCAAGTCTGCCATTGTCTATAATTAGCCTAGTCTGTCTAAGTTTGACACCTCATCTCAGATCTAAAAAGTTTCTCGAAATGCTTATTGTCGCTTTTCTTCGCTTATACCCAAAGAAAAAAACCACCGCGAATCGAATTTTCTAGTAGAAAAAAATCAAAATCTTGAATTTTTCGTGAACAGCGTGTCAGTTTTTTTGGGTTTCGGTTTTTTGGTTTACGTGTACTTTGGTGAAATATTTAAAACGTTGGAAGCGCTCTTTTCATTTCCATCAACAAAACTTTGGACAACAACAACAACAGGAAAAGTTCAAAAGTTCAACAACAAACTACAAAAGTTCAATTGCATCACACAATGTTGAAAGGAAAGAGCTTCATGTTCCCAGCCGCTGTGCTGTTCTACGCTCTATTAGTCGTTATAGCGCCTATGTTTGCCAACAATGGGTTTGCCTTAGCTGAAACTGATAACTCTACTGAAAATTATGGTACTGTGATTGGTATTGATTTAGGTACAACTTATTCATGTGTTGCTGTGATGAAGAATGGTAAAACTGAAATTCTTGCCAATGAACAAGGTAACAGAATCACTCCATCTTATGTCGCTTTCACCAAAGAAGAAAGATTAATTGGTGATGCTGCTAAGAATCAAGCTGCTGCTAACCCTCAAAACACAATTTTCGATATCAAGAGATTGATTGGTTTGAAATATAACGATAAAACCGTTCAAAGAGATATTAAACATTTACCTTATAAAGTTGCCAACAAAAATGGTCAACCAGTTGTTGAAGTTACTTTAGGTGATGAAGAAAAACAATTTACTCCAGAAGAAATCTCTGGTATGATTTTAGGTAAAATGAAATCAATTGCTGAAGATTACTTAGGTAAAAAAGTTACTAATGCAGTTGTTACTGTTCCAGCTTATTTCAACGATGCTCAAAAACAAGCTACTAAAGATGCTGGTACTATTGCTGGTTTAAACGTTTTAAGAATCGTTAATGAACCAACTGCCGCTGCTATTGCCTATGGTTTAGATAAAACTGATGGTGAACATCAAATCATTGTTTATGATTTAGGTGGTGGTACTTTTGATGTTTCATTATTATCTATTGAAAATGGTGTTTTCGAAGTTTTAGCAACTTCAGGTGATACTCATTTAGGTGGTGAAGATTTTGATTTCAGAGTTGTTCGTCATTTGATCAAATTATTCAAAAAGAAACATGGTATTGATGTTACTGATAACCAAAAGGCTATAGCTAAATTAAAACGTGAAGTTGAAAAAGCTAAAAGAACTTTATCATCTCAAATTTCCACAAGAATTGAAATTGATTCATTTGTTGATGGTATTGATTTATCAGAATCTTTAACTAGAGCTAAATTTGAAGAATTAAACATTGAATTATTCAAAAAAACTATTAGACCAGTTGAACAAGTCTTAAAAGATTCTGGTGTTAAAAAGGAAGAAATTGATGATGTTGTCTTAGTTGGTGGTTCTACTCGTATTCCAAAAGTTCAAGAATTATTAGAAGCACATTTCAACGGTAAGAAAGTTTCCAAGAGTATTAACCCAGATGAAGCTGTCGCTTTTGGTGCTGCTGTTCAAGCTGGTGTCTTATCAGGTGAAGAAGGTGTTGATGACATTGTCTTATTAGATGTTAATCCATTAACTTTAGGTATTGAAACCACTGGTGGTGTCATGACTACTTTAATTAAGAGAAACACTGCTATTCCAACTAAAAAATCACAAATTTTCTCCACTGCAGTTGATAATCAACCAACTGTTTTAATTCAAGTTTATGAAGGTGAAAGAGCTATGGCTAAAGATAACAACTTATTAGGTAAATTCGAATTAACAAATATTCCACCTGCACCAAGAGGTGTTCCACAAATTGAAGTTACATTTGGTTTAGATGCTAATGGTTTGATTACTGTTTCAGCCGCTGATAAAGGTACTGGTAAATCTGAATCAATTACAATTAAAAATGATCGTGGTAGATTATCAAAAGATGATATTGATCGTATGGTTGAAGAAGCTGAAAAATTTGCTTCTCAAGATGCTGAATTAAAAGCTAAAATTGAAGCTAAGAATGCATTAGAAAACTATGCAGTTTTATTGAAAAATCAAGCAACTGATGAAAATGCATTAGGTGGTAAATTAGATGAAGATGATAAAGAAACTTTAGTTGATGCAGCAAATGATGTTATCGAATGGTTAGAAGATAACGCAGAAACCGCTACTAAAGAAGAATTTGATGATAAACAAAAATCATTAGAAGCTATTGCTCATCCAATTACTCAAAAATTATATGGTGCTCAACCAGAAGGTGATTTTGAAGATGAAGATGATGATGATTACTTAGATCATGATGAACTATGATCTTTATAAAAATCAACGCTTGCACTTTATTTCACATTTAATGATATCCGAAAATAATTAATTTATAATCATTTTAATTTTGTTATTCATTTTTTACTTCAATTTATATTTGCATTTTTACAAAACTTTTATATAAGAAACAAAAAAAGATTATATATATATAATAACTTAGATCTAATATATTTGATCAAATATATGTTTATAGGTATAAACCAAAACCAGTAGCCAATACCTTTTCCTTATATGCAAAATGCTTCATTATTCATTATTAAGTTTATAACTAACTAAAGTATCAACTTTATGACTATTTGTACTAAAACTTTTAAATTTAACCTTTTCACCATTCTGAATCTCTTTTGAATCAGAATCAATCCATTCACTTGGAACTTTTGCATTTGCATCAGCATAAACTAATACATTAAAAGTATAATCACCAGTTTCTAAAGTTGGTAAAAATGTAACAGATGCAGTAATTTGTCTTATAATTGCCTGGATCTCTTTTTGTATATCTTCTTTAGTTTTCTGTAATGGGATTGTTGAAGTTCCCTTATCCTCTGATTCTTTTGGTGTTGATATTTCTAAATCAAATTGCCATCTTTCAACAACATCACCTGAATCTTTTGATATTATAGCAACGATTAATTTTGAAATTTTATCATGTGAAACCCATCGATGTAATTGATTCATAATTTTCCTAACATATGCTTTGATATCTTCATCATTTGTAATTAACATATTTAAACCATATTTCTTCACAATTTGGAAATCTTCAGGTGGATAAATTCCTCGTTGATATAAGATTGAATTTATACTATATTCAAAGAATTCTGAAACGATTTGAGAGGACCCTCTAAGGGCGACGTTTGATCTTGTTGGTGCTGAGTCTGGTGACATCTGGTGGATGGTATGGATCTCTTGAGATTGAACTGAATTGGATTGATTCTTACTTTTTTGTTGATGTTTTTTGTTTACGTTTTGTTTTTTGTGTATAAACAAATTCAGAAGTGATTTAAGATCTGGTTTGCGGCCACTACTTCACCAGAAGGTTTCGCGAATGGTTTGATTTTGAACAGAATTTGAACGATTTTTGACGTATTTCAAAGAGATTGAAGGAGTTTATTGTGGTACTACCAATCGAATAAGAAGACAGTAGAAGTACACAATGCATAACGTCAAGAGACAACATTTATCAGAACAAGTTAAAAAACAGAGACAATTGAAAGATGCTAATAAGATCAAGAGTTATAAAGCATTACAAAGTCAAGTTCTACAATTGAAAAATGAACAACAATATAATGCAGAAACATTCAAATTAAGCACTGATTTATTATATTTAAATCCAGAATTTTATACAATATGGAATTATAGAAGAGATATCATATCAAATTATTATCAAAAACAACTTTCCAAAGAGGAATTGATTGAATTTTTCAATAAAGAATTAGGATTCATAATGATGAAACTTAAAGAATACCCTAAAGTATATTGGATTTGGAATCATAGAGTCTGGATCTTGGAGAATCATCCACAAGTAGATTGGGAATTTGAATTAGGAATAGTATCAAAATTATTAACTATGGATTCAAGAAATTTCCATGGTTGGCATTATAGAAGATTTATAATATCAAAATTAGAAACATCAACTGGTGAATCATTGGCACTTAGAGAATTTGATTATACTACAGAAAAGATAAATAAAGATTTTAGTAATTTTTCAGCATGGCATAATAGAACAAAATTAATACCAATTTTGTTAAATTCCAAACCAACAACAAGATTTGAATCAAGTTTAGGATTTCTTAAAGAAGAGCTAGGATATTTGAAAAATGCAATGTATACAGATCCTCAAGATCAAAGTGTATGGATCTATCTAAGATGGTTATTAACAAGTGATATTTTCATTAAAACTTTGGATAAAGATACTTACATAGGGATACTAGAAGATGAATTAAAAAATGTTAAAGAATTAAATGAATTAGAAACTGAAGATAATGGGGTTGAAAATAATTGGTGTTTGAAAACAATTGTTACAATTGAAGGATTATTAGATAAAACAAAAAATGAGACTAAGTTCACCGATGAAATTGAAAAATCTTTGATTAGATTGAAAGATATTGATCCATTAAGAAAGAATAGATATACTTATCTTTCTGAAAATTACTTTAAATAAAACAGCAATATACAAAGCTACATTTCACCTTTATCAACAAGCATGTATATATTCAGTACTCTTAATTTTTTGGTATTTCACTATATAATCTTTTTCTTTGATTTCCCAACATATATCTTCTTTCACCAATTGAAAAATCTCTATCATTATAATAATCATCTTTTGTTAACACTGAAACATCTTGTTCTTTTAATCCATTTATATCTTCCATTGGAATTCTAATTTCAACAAATTTATTTTGATAATCTGGATAAATACTTGCTAAATTTGTATAATTATAAGAATTTATATATAATTCCAAAAGATCTAATAATGCTTCATTTATTGAATTTTGAGATGTATGGAAATCTTCAGGCCTTATTTGATCACAATTTTCATCTTTTAATTTTAATGCTAATGTAATACATGCAATTGATATACTTTGTGGTGGGATTTTTAAAGCTAATTCAGTTTGATAAGAATCATAAGCTAATAACCAAGCTAAATAACCCAAATCTTTCGAAATTTTCAAAGTTTTGGATATCTTGATTAATAATTCTTCAACATGAAATAATCTAAAATCAAATGATATAGTTTCTAATAATTTTGATTCTAATGAAAGAATTTTTCTTCGGTATAATTCTAATTGATCTTGAGTTAAAAATGTATTCTTAATTTGATTTGCTATTATTAAAATATCTCTTAATTTTTTGATTGTATCTTCATTTTTACTTGCAATGAATATTGATGTTATTGCAATATCATAATAAATATTGGTATCAAATTTATTGAATAAAAAATATCTTTGATAATAAATCATTGCAGTTTCCAGTGTCTTTGTGGGACTAAACAAAGTATTAGTATATAGTCACACATGAACATCATCAAGAATACTCACAATTTCATTGATACACAAATCTTCATCAAAAAGTTAAATACTTGATTTTTTCGTTGTTCATATACGGTAAAGTTTTCAATAGTTTTCTTCTGAGCATGTTTGATTTGGGATTTTGTCAAAAAAGGTCTCGCCAGTTGAATGGTAGACGTGAGCTGAGCAGTGGATGGTCTGGATACTGAAGTCATCTTTTGGTTTGTAGCAGTTAAAAATGAAGATTAATATTTGGTTAAGAGGTTTCCATGTTTACTTATATTTTATGGCCCTAATTTGAAAACAAAAAATTCGCGACTACAAATTGATAGCATAAGCACAATTTTCAAATTAGCTAAACAAATTCATAAGCTCACCAATTCATATCGAAAGATTTATATAGCAAATTAAATCAGTTATTTTATCTTCAGCAGCTTCGACTTTGTAATCAATCATGAGTAATGTTTCCAAGTTGACTCAAATTTTCTTTTCTCTTATGAATCTCATCAACAATTTCATCAACTGAAAAACAATTTGTTTCATTGTCCAACTGTAACTTTTTATCTGAATTTTTTGATTTCCTTTTTGGATTTGAAGTCATCTGAATATATTGCATGTAATTTGATATCAACGAGCACATTATCGCCTTAAGATTCAAACCAAAATTGTTCATCGAAGTTAAGTCACCATTGAGATCCAAAATTTCATGATCGTTTGTTAAAATAAAGCCTTCAATATCAAATGAATGATACTGTCCACCCTCATCATAAGTTCCAGCATTATTTAATGATTCAATGTTGAGATGTTTTGGAATGGAAATAATAATAATGGAGTGCGAATCAGTTAATATATCTATATTTGATTTTGTCTCAATCATTCTACCTATAATTTGATTAATTAGATAAGTATTTTTCTTTGATTCAAACTTTTCTTGAAGATTCAAAGCACTTTCTTCCTTTACCTGATTCAAAAATCCAGCTTTAAGATTTGGAGAGTTGATCTCGATATTTGATATAACTTGTTGTTCCATATCTTGTGAATTTAGATCAGCACAAAACATTGTTAGACATGGATGTAAATCATCATCAATACCAACCACATTTTGGTAATTAAATGAATAATCAATATTACAACCTATTGAATAATCTTTCTGTAGCTGATTGTGATTGTAACAATAATCTAGCAAAATCACAGATGGCGTTATTTTCTTATGAAAAATGTTATTTTGAATCAATATCTCATTATCAGCCTTTAGATAGTGAGAAAAGTAATTATGCTTTGTCATATTAACAAGTATTGTTGTGATAACTTTAGCAGATAAGGACTTATTAGAGTTGTTCAAATTAAATGTTTGCTCTAGTTTTGATAGGACCAATTCCCATCCAGTTTCAACATACTTTAAGATATCATGGGAGTGCTTTCCAGTATTTATTATCAATTTGACACCTTTTTCATTTGATACAGGTTTTGATGAATTGTCTGCAGTGCTTCTGGAATCATTGGTTCCCAAAATTGAAGTTGAATCACCGACAACGTCTGATTGGAATTCAATGAATAAAATCAATTTCCATAAGTTGTTAAATTCATCAAGCGTGAAATCAGTGCGATTTTGTATAATCAATAACATCAATTCATTCCAAGTGTGGTCATACCCAGCTATGGAAATGAATCCAACAGCAGCATCTTGGTCAATATTACTCAATACCAAAGTTTCTAGATCTAGTTTCATATCATGATAATTTTTGGCAATCTCTAATTTGAGTGAATTGAAGATTTTTTCCTTATTGGCGACGAGATGCTTAGCAACTTCAACTAATTTCTGAAGACCAGTAATTGTGAGATCCATTTCTATTACCCCCTAGTTTTAGATAGTGATGATGATATTGTATTATGATCTGTATTAAGTTGATTTGAGCTGATAGTTTGTACTCAATTGCTTGATCGTGAATTAACGGTGAAACTACCAGTTAGTATGTGATGATTAACAACTTTTGATTGTCTTCAAGAAGGATCAAGATGATGGCGGTTAATTAGAATCTAGAATAATCAAATCTTCTAAAAATCCATGTTTGGTTATATGCCTGATTATGTAATACATTGTTGTATATACGATCGCGAGCATATTAAAAGTTCATTGTTAAGAAGAAACAATAAGGAGTTCAATTAGACGTAAGGTTGATTTTCGATATAAAAGATCACTAAATAAGCTACTAGTTAAGTGTGTCTATGATACAATTGTATATTAATTAATTACATGATCTCTATTGAGAAATCAATCTTGAAGTTAATGCTTCTAAATCTTCAATAGTTTCAGGTTGTTCCAATTCCAAAATTTGTGGTTCATCGTCACGTTCACGGCCACCAACTTTATCGTTTTCAAACCATTTAGCCTTCTTAGATGGTGGTTGATCATCAGAATCTTCATCAGAACTTTGATCATCATCATCATCACCCATACCGTAATCTTGATCAATATCACCACTTGGAGCACCCAAATACACAACAGGTTCACCAGATTCTTCATCTGATGAATAATCTTCTTCCATAGCTCTTCTTTCGGCTTCTTGTCTTTTACGTTTTTTTCTAATTTTTTCTGTTTAGCTAATGATTTATCATCTAAATCTCTTTCTTTCATAACTTCAGATTCTTTAGATATAAATTCCTCTTTTTGTGTAGCAGCATCACCAGCTTTACGGAAATCTTCTTCATCTTCAAATTCATATAATTGATGAGCAACACCATCATCATCAAATTTCAATTTTGTTGGATTACCTTTTTCATTTATTGATTGTTTCTTAGATAATGCTCTCTTTGCAGCTCTCTTAGATTCTGGTGCAATTAAATCTGGTAAATCTTCTTCATTTATATCATGATCAGTTCTCTTAACAGCAATGAAATCATCTTCATCATCGTCTTCACCATCATCTTGTTCATCACCTCCTTTACCATGCTTATTAACTTCATTTGTAATATTCAAATAATGTTCAGAAAGAACATTTTGATTCTTACGTTCAAACATACGATCATATTTGGTACGAACTTTCTTAGCTTCTTCTTCATCAAATTCACCATCTTCATTTGCCTTAGACAGAGCTAATAATTGTCTTGATGCATTTTTCAATTCTTTATTCTTTGTACCACCTTTTATCTTAATTTTTGGTGCACCTGGTAAACCTAATGATTTAGCATATTCTTCAACTGGTAATTCTTCAGGTTTGAAAACATCTTTATCCTTCTGTATATAAATAGATTTAACATATGATATGAATGCTTTTTGTCCCAAATATTTCAATTCTGGATCTTTAAAACATAAAGCTTGCATTTGAGATCTTATTGATCTTTTCTTGGCCTGTTTTATATTTAATTTATTTGGTATGATTTTTTTGGATTCTAATCTTTTCAACATACCTTCTTCTTCTGATGGTGTAACCATTAATAAAGATTTCCCAGTTTTACCAAATCTTGCAGCTCTACCAACTCTATGAATATAAGTATCTGCATCTTCTGGTGCATCAACTTGAATAACCCAATCAATTGAAGGGAAATCAATACCTCTAGCAACAACATCTGTTGCGAAAAGACAAACATGTTGAGCTTTGGAAAATTTATAAACAGTTTCAGTTCTTGCAGTTTGTTTTTGTCTACCATGTAATTGCATTAATGAAACACCTGGTTGCATTGTTCTAAAAGTTTCATAAACATAATGAACTTGTTTGGAAGTTGATAAAAAAACAAGAATCTTAGCTTTTAAATGTGTCTTGATAAAACTGAATAGTGTGTCTAATTTTTCTTCTAAATTAACTGTAATATAAGATTGTTGTAAAGATTCTGGTGTAGCAATTTGATCATCAGTTTCTTTAACACCAATGTATTTAGGATTTGTTAATGATAATCTTGCTAAATCAGAAATTGATTTTGATTGAGTTGCACTGAATAATAAAGTTTGTCTTGTTGGTGGTAAATTTGATACAATATCATCTAAAGTTTTCTTAAACCCCATATCCAAAATTCTATCAGCTTCATCTAAGACTAACATTTGTAAATTATTTGTATCCATACCAACAGTTTGATCTAAATGTTGTAAGATTCTACCAGGTGTACCAATCAAGATATTAATCTTGGATAATCTTTCCATTTCAAATTTAACATCTTTACCACCAATAACTAACCCAGCAGAAAATGAATTATGTCTACCAATCTTAACAAGAACTTCATAAATTTGAATAGCTAATTCTCTTGTAGGTGAAATGATTAAAGCACCTAATCCATCTAATTCTGTCCATTTAGCTCTATATAATTTTTCAATAACTGGAATTAAAAATGCTAAAGTTTTACCAGAACCTGTTCTTGCAGCACCAAGAATATCATCACCTTTAAGGGCAGAGGGTATAGATTCCTTTTGAATATCAGTCAATGAAACAAAACTTGATTCAGTTAACCCACTTAAAGTATTGTTACTTATTGGTAAATCTTTAAATTGTGAAATTTTATTTAATTTTGGATCATAATCTTGGATACGTTGTTCAAGATCTTTTAAAGCTTGTTCTTCCCTTTTACGGATCTCTTTACGTTGTTGGGATGTGAGTTTATGTTTCTTAGCCATCTTGTGTCTTGTTTGCTTAGCTAGTTACCACTGAAACCTCTAAGTTTTCCTTCTTTTTAAAATATCTTTTGTACTGGTATAACTTTTGAAGCTCATCGCATCTAAAATTTTTATTTATTTACTCGGGATTATGTAACCAATATAACCAGGGCATTTAACCACCAAAGAAATTAATACTTTCAATTATACTCACATGAACATCAATAACAAATGGGTAAAAGGTCTATCTGAGTGGTATTAAGGAAAGAAGCTATTACGATGTCATCCTCTACAAGTGCTAGAGAAGAGAGACTCAGGTCACACGAGAAAGAATCTAGAGGAAACTGGCCAGAAAAGAACTATAGAGATAGACCTAGTGCACCAAGATATAATAATGATGAATCGAAATATAATAATGATAGAACACAATATAAACCATACAATAGAGATCAAGGTTATGAAAGACCCTATTCAAGGGACCATAAACAAAACCAAGAACAACCACCACAACCACCAAAAGAGAAACCAAATTTTAAACCTTCAGGTCTTTTAGCCAAAGAATCAAATAATATTAAAGGAACACAATTAAAATATACAGAACCTGAAGATTCTATAAATCCAACAGATTCACCAATTTATTATCTTTTCATTTTTAAAAAAAATTCCAAAATTCCACAAGAATATAAACTAAACAATAAGTCATATCATTTAATTGGTAGAGATGAAACCATAGTGGACTTATCAACTGATGATGAATCATGTTCAAAACAACATGCAGTTATACAATTTAGATCAAGACCAATTATAGATGAATATGGATCTCAAGCTGTTCAGATTAAACCGTATCTAATAGATTTGGAATCAAGTAATGGTACTTTCTTGAATAATGAAGAAATACCAACTTCAAGATTTATTGAATTACAAGGTGAAGATACAATTAGATTTGGAGATTCAGAAACTGATCATGTATTAGTTATTGGTGATTGAAATTATTCATTATTACCATTATTATCTTTTCTGAAAAATCTACCAAATTTTTGAAAGTTTTCATTAAATTTACTAACCCCAGCTTCACCATTTAATGCTAATTCTTTTAAACCCTTTTCTAAATTTATATCAGGTCTTTTACCAAATAAATTATCAAATTTTGGTGTTGATGGAATATCAGGGGATGTTATTTTTTGACTATAAGATGATAAAATACCCGACGAAGATGGAATTGTTTGACCATTGGAATGATCTGATTCATTTATCAAGATTTTAGATAATATTGGTGAATTTTCAATTAAATTATCATGTGCTTTTATATGTATCTTGAATAAATCAATAAATTTTAATTGACGATTTTTATCATTGATACCTTTTAATTGTAATATTTTGATAAAATTTGTTATGGATTTATCACCAATTAAGAAAAAATAATTTGAAACTAAACCTTCTTGTGGTGCTTCTTGAGTTAACAAGACTTTTAATATAATTTCTAATCTATTAACCATCTTGTCAACATGTTTTTGATATTGCACAGGGATTTTATAATCAGGTGAATCATTTGATAATTTTGGTAATTTCAAGAACGTTTCTTTCAATACAGAAAGATCTAAAAGCATTTGTTCAGCTGCAATAACTGGAATTGGTTTAGTTTTAATTATACTTGTTAAAAATTGATTTATTGTTAATTCCACAATCTTATCACACAAGTTCCGAACATAAATATCTCTAACCATAGCAGGTAAGATTAATTTCCCATTTGAAACTAAAACATCTTTTAAACTTGTGATATAACGACTTTGATCACCAACATCTTCCATATGAGACCAATTTGTATTTGCCATTTCTCTCCAAGAAAATTCAGATTCTATTTCAATTTTGTTCAGTAGTAAATTAATTGAACTATTAATTAATTTTATAAATGAATCTTTAACTTGATCAAAATTTATACTTGATTTAAAAGGTTCATCAATTATTAAAATTAAACGTTCTTCTAATTGACTTATTGTAGTAGAACAATAATCTGCAGTGTTTAACACTAATGTGATATATTGAATTGATTCATCATTAGTAGCAACATTAGGTAACACAGGTTTCATAATTTTGTTTGAATATTCTAAAGACCATTTTGAAAATAATTTTGATAAATCACGTAATGGAGCCCCAGTGGATAATGTTGAACATTGAGTTAATAAATGACGATAAGCTCTAAATAAATCAGCAGATGATGGTATAACATTTGCCGAATGATCATTATTATCTTGGTCATCTTTTGGTGGTAATTTTGGTGATGATAAAAATTCCAAAAATTTATTATTTAAGAATGTATTTTGATGATCAACCCAAATACCCAAGAATGGTTCAAATGCAGATGATATTGATTGACTGAATTTCGGCTTTAATGGCGAATCGTCCTTGTCATTGAAATTATCAGTTGATGATGCTAATATTTCCTCAGTATCTCTATATTTGAATTTAGCATTCAAGAATTTTTCAAATTCTAAAGTTTCTTGTAAAGAGCTTAACATTAAATCGACATTTGTGTCTTTCCCCGATGTGGCTAAAACTTGTTTAATACTATCTTTGGTATGTTCACAAAATCTTAAAGTTAATTGTTCTTCAACTTTCCAAGAATCAGGGAAGAATAATTGATAATTTTGTTCATAAATTTTTAATAACTTTTTAAAAAATAAAAACCTTCTTGATATATTTTCTAAGGAGCCTGCCTCATCTGAACTTATAAAGATTGATTTAATTTCTTTCAATTGTTGATTACAAAACCAATTAATTAATCTATTATGATGATCATTACCAATTAAATCAAGCATTTCACATGAACTTTTCAATTCTGATGTTTTGATACTATTATCTTTTTCATTTAAAGTATTTTCAAAATCTTGGAAAATTTGATCAGTTATTTGAATTTTCAATTTAGAAACTTTCCTCGTTAAATCAGCTATACTATCTATACTTTTGTAAGATTTGAAATGATCAACCAATTCCCCCACTGCACTTAATAATTGTACAGATTCAGTATATCTTTTCCTTGTTGCAAATTCCTCCAATTGTTCATATGCAGTTAATAACATTTGTAATCTCTTAAGTACAGTCATACTCAGCACCAAATTCTTTTTAGCATCATCTAATTTCTTAATACCAGAAGTCATGTCCGTTATAACATTTTGAGTATTGACACCTAATTTCTTATTCTCATTAATTTCATCAATGATCTTATCCAATTCACCATGGGCTTCTGTAGCATCAAAACGATCATCACTTTCCAAATACTCTTCAAATTCATCATGATGTCTCTGTATATCAGCATCCACTTGTAATTTATAAGAATTGGTGTAATTCATGAAACCTTTTAAATTCTCCAAAGTGGAAGGATCTGGAAGCAATTCCTGGAGATCCTTCAGTGGATCATAGTCAACTGAGTTAATTCCCTCGAGCGTAGTCATACTGAATTACCAACAAGAGGACAACAAGCACACAACCAATCAATCACCAACTATCAATTGTCCACTTTCTGTTCTTCTTCGTCAAACAATGTGTTTACTTTTGAATTCTTGACATTTATGAGGAAGTCGGAACTCAAGTCATGGTCACCTGAGTGCTTTTCAAATCCGACTCACTATTAATTTTTTTTTCGCGTCTTTCAAAACATTTTCAAAAATGTCGAAGAGATCAAATACAGAAAAGTTGCAATCAATATTTGGTATTTGAACCAGGCAGATCTTAAAAGTTTCAAGCGTTGATTGTTTAATAGGAGGTATATCAGAATCACAATGTCTCTTCGTCTTCCTCAAGCCCCAAACGCGGGTCTTTTCAAGCAAGGTTACACATCTCAAAGTAATGCCGATGGTGCTGTCAATAGAAACATCGCTGCGTGCAGAGAAATCACAAATATGGTTTTGTCTTCAATAGGGCCATGTGGTAGAAACAAGGTCATTGTTAACCGTGAGTATTGTGCTTTATGCTGTGTTGTCAATTGGGATCAAAAGATTTGAAATGTTTTAGATCTCAATTGAACTGGTGTATTATATATCTGAACTTGCCACTAACAATCATTCAATATAGATTTACAAAAAGTTTTCATTACAAATGATGCTGCTACAATGTTACATGAATTAGATGTTGTACATCCAGCTGTCAAATTATTAGTCATGGCTTCTGAACAACAAGAATTAGAAATGGGTGATGGTACAAATTTAGTCTTAGTATTAGCTGGTGAATTTTTAAATGTTTCAGAAAAATTATTAACTTTAGGTTTAAATCCAACTGAAATCATTCAAGGTTATCAATTAGCAAGTAAATTTGCCTTACAAACAATTGAAGAATTATCTGTTGGTGAAATTGATGATTTATTATCTGTTGAAAATTTGAAAAAAGTTATTAAACCAGTGATAGCATCAAAACAATATGGTTCAGAAGATTTCATTTCTGATCTTGTTAGTGAAGCTGTTTTAAATGTTTTACCACCAAAAAATACAAAACAATTCAACGTGGATAGTGTTAGAGTTGTTAAAATTATGGGTAGTAGTTTAGAAAATTCTCAAGTTATTAAAGGTATGGTTTTCCCAAATCAACCAGAAGGTCATATTAAAAATTTAAAAACAAGATCAAAAGTTGTTGTTTTCACTTCACCATTTGATATTTCTCAAACTGAAACAAAAGGTACTGTTTTATTACATAATGCACAAGAAATGTTAGATTTTTCCAAAGGTGAAGAAGCTCAATTAGATCAATTAGTTAAAGAAATTTATGATTCAGGTGTTAGAGTTGTTATTGCTGGTTCAGGTGTTGGTGAATTAGCTCAACATTATTTGGATCGTTATGGAATTTTGACATTAAAAGTTTCAAGTAAATTTGATTTAAGAAGAATATGTAGAGTTTGTGGTGCAACTCCATTACCAAGATTAGGTGCTCCAATGCCAGAAGAAATGGGTGATATTGATATTATTGAAACAAAAGAAATTGGTGGTGATAGAGTTACAATTTTCAGACAAGAAGATGATATTACAAGAACTTCAACAATTGTTATTAGAGGTGCTACAAAAAACAGTTTAGATGATATTGAAAGAGCTATTGATGATGGTGTTGCTGCTATTAAAGGTTTAACTCAAGATGGTAGATTATTACCAGGTGCAGGTGCTGTTGAAGCTGAATTAGTACATCGTATCACTCAATATGGTGAAAGAACACCAGGTTTATTACAATTAGCTATAAAACAATATGCTAATGCATTTGAAGTTATTCCAAGAACTTTAGCTGAAACTTCAGGTCTTGATCCAACAGAAGTTTTACCAAGATTATATTCAAAACATAGTACTCCAGAAGGTTTATCATTTGGTATTGATATCGATGGTGATTCTTCAAATGGTGTTAAAGATATTAATGATGAAGGTATTTATGATTTATTCTCTGCTAAAAAATTCGCAATTGCTGCTGCTACAGAAGCTGCTACAACTGTTTTATCTGTTGATCAAATTATTATGGCTAAGAGAGCTGGTGGTCCTCAAGTTCCAAAACAACCAAGACCTGGTAACTGGGATCAAGCTGATTAATTGTAAATAACATGATATTTATATATAATTTGAATTCATGAGTCTTTGATACCTTTTTTTTGAAAAAAATTGATTCTTTGATTTTTGTAGTTTATGGCCATAGTTTGAATTAACATACACAAGTCCGCGACTACAAAGATTAATATTTAATGAGCACTTTTCCATACTTAGCTAATTAACAAACATATAATATAAGCATCTTATATTTAAATATACTTGTATATAAACAAAGATATATCTCTAGCATTAATATAATGTAGCTTTTATTACCTTAATTACTTGTTCGTTAAGAAAATTAGAAATCACCTCCAGTATAAAATTCTTCACCAATCTAATTCATCAAGTAATCTATGGTAACCATTAAGAACAAGCTCCATATTTGAGACATCTGTACTTCTAAAATCATCCGAGTATGGGATTGGTTCAGTGATAGTACATTTATTAAAATCGAAAATTAAAACTTCCTTGGTTTGAGGATTTATTGAAACATTTCTCGCATAAAGATCTTCATGATCAATACCCAATGAGTTTATCAACCTCATTTGTTTAAGACCATCTTTAATGGTGAACCTTGATTGTTTAACTTCATTTTTTGGATGGTTATCGATGAAACTGATTGGTTCCAAACATATAAAGTATTCATTTTGAAGAATAGAACCATCACCTTTTTTTATAAACCCGCTCAATAATAACTTTGGTACATTGATTCTCATTTCATCGTTATCCACTGTATCATTATAACCTCTAATGAGCTCTAAGGCATCACTTTCATTATAAATATGATCTTTACAGCAATTCGCATATGCTTCATCGCGTGCAGTGCGTCCAGGTGAACCCCACCGAATGATTGGGCTGTAATATTCAGTGTTTAAGTAAACTAAATCCCTTGAGATGAATTTGACAATCAAATATTCCCAGTGGTTAGCTTCACTTATTTGTTTCAATAAACTTATTTCATTCTTGGTATTATCACTATCATTATACAAGACCTTTATGAATTCATTGGATTTGATTTTATAGGTTCTAGTACAAAGATTTCTATTCATTGAAAGATCAATAACTTTCTCTTGAGTGTTATCCTTAACACGATCTTGTGAATTCTCAATTGGTAATGATAAATTTGGAGATTGTGGATTATGAATCTGTATTCTTTGAATTTTATTATAAAGTTGAGTCAAATTGGATCTTCTTGTTTCAATTTCCTCACCAATGCTTCCTAGTTGTCTTGCCTTACCTGTACTTGAAGTGCTCGGAATATATTCCATGTGATTCAAGATCAAGGAGCATAAAATTGATTTATGGGTCAAACCAGAATCGTTCAGAGTAACGAAATCACCTCTTAAATCAAAAAGATTTCCATCACTTAACATAAACCCTTCTATATCGAATGAAAAATACTGTACATCTTTTTCGAAATTTCCTTTAAATCTATCTAAGGTTTGGAAATTGAAATTTAGTGGAATGGTAATGATGATAGTGGTGTACGAATCAGTTAAAATGCCTATGGTTGATTTTGCAACAAACATTTGTGATATAATTTCATTTAAATAGATATTTCTCTTTGATTTAAATCTTTCCTCAAGGTCCATGTCATCTATTACCTCCAACTCTTTCAAAAATTCAGCTTTAAGATTTGGACATTTGATTTCGATATTTGAAATTGTTTGTTCAGATTTCATTGCGTTTAAATTCAAGTCAGCACAAAATAATCTCAATCTTGGAACGATAGATTCAGCATTTCCATTAGATGATACATTATATTGTACCAGATTAACAGTCTTACAGCCTATTGAATAATCTCTCTCTTGCTGATTGTGATTATAACAATAATCTATCAATATCACAGATGGAATTATCTCTTTATGGTAAATTGAATCTTGAATCAATATCTTGAGTTGTTTAAAAGCTTCTGATCCTTCATTAGCTCCTTGATATTGAAAATATGAATGAAAATTTATCATATTTATAAACAATGTTGAAATCAATTTTGCCGACTTCTTTTTGTTATTGTTTTGAGTGTTGAATGTCTCCTCTAATTTGGAAAGCACCATTTTCCAGCCTGATTCGACATAATTTAGTACATCAACATAATTTCCGTTCGAATTTATGACTAATTTGGCGTTTTCGTCATGTAATGTAGCACTTGATGACTTGTTAGCACTTTCAGACTTCGTTAAAAATGAACCCTTGACAGATGATTGAGTTTCAACATATAAAATCAATTTCCAAAGATTGTTAAATTCATCAATGCTAAAATCAGCTTGATTTTGTATAATCAGCAGCATTAATTCATTCCACATGTAGTGATTTTTAACTTTAGACATTAATACAAAATCAGCACGTTGATTAATGTTACTTAATACCAAATGTTCGAAATCTAGTTCCATCTCAGGATAACTTTTACCAGTCTCTAACTTGAGTTTTTTGAAGATTCTTTCTTTGTTGGTGGTAAGAATCTCAAAAATATCAAGACATTTTTGATAGTCAATACTTGTGGGATCCATTTCTTGTATCCCCTAATATACGATGGTATAAAAGTCTCTGGTTGTCTTGTATGTAAATAATATCTTCTTCTTTTGAAGTTTTGAAGCTGCTTATTACTTTCTGATTACGTCATACAATATTTATGTCAAAATTTTAAAAACCCGAAATTCTGTCATTTTTTTAAAAATTTTTTTATATGCATATGAGTATTAAATATTAATGATATCTGATATTTAACAAGTCTTTGAGAAAGAGGAAGATCCATCAGACTAGTGATAATTTTCAAGTTTACTGCTTATCATGGGTACCAAAGTTAGAGGTAGAAGAGCTCAAAAAGAGCAAAAATCAAAAGATGCTGCTGAAGAACAAGAATTAAAAGTTTATAAAGAAAGTTCATCATTAAACAATGAAGAATCTAATGAAGATTCTAAACCAATTAATGAACCAAACACCTTCTTCGGTTTAGTTGATACTACAGAACTTGACTATTTCAAACAAGCTGAAGCTACTTTAAACGCAGATGCTTTTGAAAATGAAGCTGATAGAGCTGGTTTTGTTGAAAGTGTATTAGAAGAAAGTAAAGGTAAAGAATTAAAATTAGTTACAAATCAAATTTGTTCCAAATTAATTGAAAGACTAATCTTACATTCTACAGATGAACAATTAAAACGTCTTTTTAAGGCATTTGAAGGTCATTTTCTTTCTTTAATCTATCATAAATATTCATCACATTGTGTGGAGACTTTATTAGTGAGGACTGCAGCTTTAATTGAAAAAGAATTATTAAATCCAGTTTCAAATTTTGCAAATGAAGACAATTATGTTACAATGGAAAATTTATTTTTATTCTTTTTAAATGAAATTAAATCAAATTTAAAAGAAATGATAATTCATCAATATGCTTCACATACTTTAAGATTAATTATCTTGATAATTTCAGGTAAAGAATTACCATCAACCACAATGTCAAATTCAACTTTAAGAAGTAAAAAATCTAAAATTGCAAGAAAAATGATTGAAATTAAAGATAATCAAGATTTTGATAGAGCTTTCCAAATCCCATCATCATTTAAAGATGAATTGAAAGGTCTCTTGGATAGTATAAGATCCAAACTTGATAGAAAGACCGCAAGAGAATATGCAATTCATAAAGTTGCCTCCCCGGTATTACAATTATTAATTCAGGTTGAAGGTATTGTTGATAGAGATAGACAAATTTGGCATTTAATTTTCTTAAAAGATGATGAAGAATCAGATTCAACAGAATCAGCATTTGTGGAATATTTATTATCAGATCCTGTTGGTTCACATTTTTTCGAAAATTCTATAAGAGATCAAAGATTAAAATATGTTGAAAGACTATACAGACTATATATGAAGGAAAGAATCTTAAAGTTAGCCAAGAGAGATACAACAGGTAGTTATGTTGTTCAAATTTTATTGAAAAAATTAAAACAAATTGAAGCTAGAGAAATCTTGAATCAATTAATTCCAGAAATGAGTGTTTTAATGAATACAAATTTAGAAATGGGTAAATCTATAATTGATGCATCAACTCAACATAAAGAATACAAAAAACCATTAATCATTGAAGAATTAGTTAAAAAATATAGACCAAATGAAGAATCAAACATCTTGGAAACTATTTTACAATTATCAACATCAACATTAGGTAACACAAGAGATGATTGGCCAACAGCAGAAGAAAGAAGAAGAGCTTTATTTTTGGAAAAATTAATTGAATATGATACAAGTTTTTTAAACTTAACAATTGATAATTTATTAACATTACCAAAAGAAAGATTAATTCAAATGTGTAAACATGGTGTTTTCTCTCATGTTGTGGAAAATGTCTTATTACCAGATGCAGAAATCATCAAGAGAAAAAAATTATTAAATCAATTTATGGAATCTATTGTGGATTTATCATGTAATGCATATGGTTCACATATTGTTGATAAATTATGGGGTTTCACTTTAAAATTAAATATGTACAAGGAAAGAATTGCAGCTGAATTAGTTGGTGAAAAGGAAAAAGTTAAAGAAAGTACATATGGTAGACAAGTTTGGAAAAACTGGTCAATGGAATTATATGTTAGAAAAAGAGGTGATTGGAAATATAAAATTAAAGAAGAAGAATTTTCAAAATTCCCTGAAAAGAAACCTGAAAATCAAGTTAATGCTTCATCAAATGATCATAATAATAAAAGAAAATTTGAAAATGATGAAAGTGCAAATAAGAAACAAAAAGTTAGAGGTCGTAATCGTAAATAGATCACAACTACAATTTAGTTTTGCATTATAACTCATACAATAATATATATTAAAATTTAGCATAAATTTGATTCATAAAAATTGAAATTAATTAAAAAAGATCGTTAAACAATTGGTGTTTTTTTTCATCTTATTGTAGTATAAAACACATCATCAAATTACCATGCTTCAACAGTTCTTCTAACTGGTAAACCTAATAATCTTGCAACTTTATCAAAAGCTTCATCTAAATCATCTTTGGAATAACTTGAAGCATCAACTTTAATGCTTGATTCTTGAACTTTATCAGATTTACCTTCAACAAAAGCTTCAAATTCTCTTTTTTCAGCTTCAGTAGGTGGTAATGCTTCATAAAATCTTGCTAATTGAACCAAATTTGAATCAGAAATTTTAGTGAATTCTTCAACATTCTTTGGATAGATTTCTAATGGAGGTTCTTCACCATCATGGTTTAATTGAGGAGCTAAGATATCTGTAGATTTTTTATGAGAATTGACTAATCTTCTAATTGATCTTTCTTCAATAACATCTAATTGACCTTGTAATTCACCAACTAATTCAACAAGATCTTCATTGGTGGCAAAATCAGTGGTATCCAATTGTGGGATCTTTTTGGAAACTCTTGATGATGAACCTCTAAGACTCTTTGGATCGAAATTATCAATACTTTCTTTTTGAGATTTAACTTGAAGTGATAAAACTTGTTCCCCAGTCTTTGATAACAATTGAGATTGCTTCTTAACTAAAAGAGTTAGATCGTTGACTTGATTGGTCAATTCTTCGACCGTTGGAACTTTTTCTGATGATTTAACTGGTGCTGACATTGTAATGACTTTGTTTGATTGTAAGATCTGTAGTTGATCAAATGAATTGTTTGTGGTTTGTTGTGTAAAAATGTTGATGTGTCTTAAAAGGAGTTCGAAGTTTGTGGCTTTGTAAACATCGGTGTTGCGCGAAACAAAAACATAAAGTGTCAAAATCGTAATTGAGTAATATCGAGAAATCAACAAAAGTATTTGAAATCATGCTTATATAAAGGATACTATCTTCTTTTAGAGACTTTAAGGAGTGTTTACCATTTTTCAGATTGTTTCTACGACAAAAAACCACCGAGTTCATAAGTATTCCTCAGATCATAAAGTCATATACTCAATTTAATTATGAACCACTATTCAAACAACTCATTTTCCTCTTCAAAGACAATTTGATACGCTCTTCCAACGTTTGCATGTAAATCAGTGGCTTGCATTGCTCTACCCTTTTGTCTAAAAGCTTCTCTCGCAGCGACTCTTGTTGCAGTAGAAGCTCCAAAAGCTGCCAATAATGAGATATCTTCCTCTTCAACATCTCCATCATGATCCCACAAGAATGATTTATATGATTCACCCCATGCTGTTAATGTGGCTAATGTACCTGTTAATGTATCACCTTGACCACCAGATCTTCTATCCGAACCTTTTGTATTACTTTCAATGACTTGATCATATTGGGCAATTATATCAACAGCACCTTTTCTCAAAATGGTAACACCACCTAGTAGATTGGATAAATCACTTGCCTCTTGATGTGGGTTCCTGCCATCAAGATCTAAACCTACAGCATCCGCTAATCTTTTGAACTCCACAACGTTTGGTGTTAGTGTAGCTAATTGATATCCATGAACTAAACCAGGTTTCTGTGATAATAAATAAAGACCATCAGCATCAAATATTATAGGAATTTGCTTTTCTTTAAGGTATCCAATGACAATCTCTAAAGTTTTCAACATTAATTCATCTCTACCTAAACCTGGTCCAACAATAGCAACATGTATTCTTGATAATAAAGATTTCACTTTTGGTAATACTTTACTCTCCAGAAATTCATCAATATTTTGTACATGATCAGGAACATTATCTTTCTCATATAGATATGGATGAACCATAAGATCTGGGGTATATGATTTAATCACTGTAGCTGCATTTTTTTCACAAATTATATGGGACAAGTCAGCACCAAAGACAGCAGCAGCATGTGCAGCGAAATAAGGAGCACCAGTATAACTATCTCTGTGGTTAGAATGGATTACAGATATATATGACTCCAATAAACTTACTCTTCACAACCTCCAAACACAACGATTCTTCCAGCTTTTCCAAAGATGTTAATATTCTATTAATCATCATTACTAAAACCTATCGAGACACATACCTTGACCTTTATGGAACTGTGGTAGTAATGGAGGCACCAATTTCTTTGTCAAATTCAGCAAATCCTTCGCAGACTTATTCTTCAATGACATGACTCTTCAATTGACTCTTTAAACCTTTAATTAAACCTAGTTCTCAAGTATTTTCTTAGTAAATCAATGGGTATAAAAGAATGGTTATAAAGGAGCTCGGAATTCATCACTTTTTTGCTGCGAAAACGGTACCTCGGAACTGAAACACCCACCACACTTTTTGCTTTCGAGTATAAAAGAAGCTGAAATTCTTTTAAAAGAGCAATTACTCAAAGTTTTATTGGTTAATACTTGATCCATGTTAAAGAATTGTCAATTACAAACTCATACAATGTCTTCTATCTTCTCAAGATTCGCTTCATCTAGAACCCAATGGGTTCCTTTCGCTGTTGGTGGTGCTGCCGTCGCTGCTTCTTTGTATTACTCAACTACTGCTAGAGCTCCAGTTGCCAATGAAACCCCAGCTGCTTTCAAAGGTGATAACGAATGGGTTGATTTAAAAGTGAGTATTTTGTAAAAGGGATGTATCAATTGGTAAATCCAATTGAGTAATTCAATTGAGTTCTATAGATTCAATTACTAACACGTTCTCTCTAGTTGATCAAATCCGTTGAAATCTCACCAGATACCAGACATTTCTATTTTGCTTTACCTTCAGCTGATCAAGTATCAGGTTTGAAAACTGCTTCAATGTTATTAGGTAAATACGTTACTGAAAAAGGTAACAATGTCATTAGACCATATACCCCAATCTCTGATAATGATCAAAAAGGTCAAATTGAATTTGTTATTAAAAGATATCCAACTGGTAAATTTGGTAACCATCTTTTCTCCTTAAAAGAAAATGATACCGTTACTTTCAAAGGTCCAGTTAGAAAATGGGAATGGACTCCAAATCAATTTGAAAATGTTACTTTAATTGGTGGTGGTTCAGGTATTACTCCATTATGGCAAATCTTACATGAAATTACCAAAAACCCAGAAGAAAAAACAAAAGTTAACTTAGTTTATGGTAATAAAACTCCAGAAGATATCTTATTGAAAAAAGATTTAGATGCTATTGCTGAAAAATTCTCTGACAGAGTCAAAGTTCATTATTTCGTTGATAAGCCAGTTGATGGCTGGAAAGGTGAAACTGGTTTCATCACTAAAGATTGGTTATCAAAGAATGTTCCACATCCAGATAACTCTCACCAAGTCTTTGTCTGTGGTCCTCCACCTTTATACGAAGCCATCTCTGGTAACAAAGTCTCCCCATCTGATCAAGGTGAATTAACCGGTGCTTTAAAAGAATTAGGTTTCACCAAAGACAATGTCTTTAAATTCTAAGCAAATTTAATGATTCAAAAAGAAAAAAACACACAATTGACTAGATGTTAATGATTGTTTGTACTATGATATTATTATACAATATATACGAAATATTCTGATACTTTAAAATTTCATTTGTAGTGAATTTTTCACTTTTTCAATTAATAGTTTTGTATCTCGAAAAAATTATATCGGGCTTTAAAAAGTTAACTTCACCAAACATTTTATATAGTGATACGATAAAGAAGGACTCAAAACTCAATCATAGAACCTATAGCTCACTTGAAAAATGTCACAGACTCTTCGAATCGCAGTGGAAGGATGCTGTCATGGTGAATTAAATCAAATTTACGCTCGTATCAAAGCTTTACCTTATGAAAAATGGCCTGAATTACTTATAATATGTGGTGATTTCCAATCAATAAGAAATGAAACAGATCTCAGTGCAATAGCTGTACCTGATAAATTCAAAAAACTAGGAGATTTCCAAGATTATTATAATGGTTCTAAAAAAGCCCCAATTCCAACAATTTTCGTTGGTGGGAATCATGAAGCTTCAAATTATTTACAAGAATTACCATTTGGTGGTTGGGTAGCTGAAAATATTTATTATTTAGGTAATTCAAATGTCATATGGTTTAAAGGGTTAAGAATTGGTTCTATATCAGGGATTTATAAATACCATGATTTTTATAAACCTCATGATGAAAAGTTTCCATATAATGAAACTTCTAAAAGATCTGTTTATCATGTTCGTTTTGAAGATTTTTTAAAATTAGGTTTAATTCAAAATTTAAATTTAAATTGTTTTATAAGTCATGATTGGCCTGAAGGTATAACTTCAAAAGGTGATGAAAAAGGTTTATTACGTGCCAAACCGTTCTTCAAGAAAGATATTGAAACAAATTCTTTAGGTTCAGTCCCGGCTAAATTGTTATTGAATAAATTAATGCCTAATTGGTGGTTTAGTGCTCATTTACATGTTAAATTTGAAGCAACTGTGGAACATCCATTAAATAATGAATCAAATATTAAAAGAAAGTTGAGTAATTCCTCAGAAGTTGATCATCAAAAGAAAACAAAAATTAATAATGAAGAGATTGACTTGGGAATAGATGAAGTGGAAGGTAATAACGATGAAATATCATTAGATTTAGAAGATGAGAAACCAACTACAAAACAATTAAATGAAATCAAATTAGATCTTGATGATGATGAGATTACAACCCCAATAGAGCAAGAAAAATCATTTGCTAAAGGATTTTCACAAACAAATTTCTTAGCTTTAGATAAATGTTTACCAAGACGTCGATTCCTTGAATATTTAGAAATTCCAATAACAAATGATCATCCACATCATTCGGAGGCAAATTTTTATTATGATCCTGAATTTCTAAAGATAAATAAATGGTTTGAAAATAATTTTAGGAAAACTGAAGTATTTAAAGATCTTAGAATGAGAGATTTTAATCAAAATCTTATTGATCAATTATGGAAAGATATAAATGATGTGAAGATTAATGATGAAAGTTTAGAAATACCCAAGAATTTCAAAGCTACTTTGGAAAATCCTTCAGAACAAACAAAATTATTTAAAGATAAATTCTTATAGGTTAATATAAATCTACATGATCTGAATTATTTTTAATAACGTATGTGCATTTTAAATATATATAAACAGTATAGATTAATCCTTAAACGGTATAAACTATATGAAAAATAAGATAATATAAATATGAATATTGATGATGAGTTTCTTAATGACACTTGAATCAGAATTTGTTTGTAAACTAGATGACATTAATATATATGACTATTTAAACTTTTTATGAATTAAGTGATATGAGTTAAAATAATTATTAAAAGATATAACTAAAGTTAATTAACTATATTAATAAATTGATTATGATGATTTGAAATGAAATGAGTTTTGGAAATTTTTGTTGCATAAAAAGATCTAATAAGATCTAATAGCTGGTGGAACTGATTTACATTCATTTTCATCTAAAGTTTTAGAAATAACATCTCTATAAGCTAAAGTGGTTGGAGCACCACTTTCTTTTTGCCATGATAAAGTATGTTTCATCCAGTTTTCATCATCTCTTGTTGGATAATCTTCTCTAGCATGAGCACCTCTTGATTCTTTTCTAACAACAGCAGATTCAGCAGTTTGAACAGCACAAGTTAACAAGTTTTGTAATTCTAAAGTTTCAACTAAATCTGAATTCCAAATCATTGATCTATCAGTTGTACCAACTTGTGAATAAGTTTTATCAACTCTATTAATACCTTCAACACCATCTTCTAATGATTCTTGAGTTCTGAAAACTGAAACATCTCTTTGCATAGTTTTTTGCATATCTAATCTAATTTCTGCAGTTGATTTTGGACCAGTTGCAGTTCTTGCTTTATCTAAATTAGCAACACTTTCAAAACCTAAATCTTTTGGTAATTCTCTATGTGGTAAACCTGGTTGTAATGAATCAGCAATAGTTAATGAAACAGCTCTACCGAAAACAACTAAATCTAATAATGAATTAGCACCTAATCTATTAGCACCATGAACAGAAACACAAGCAGCTTCACCACAAGCTAATAAACCTGGAACAACTTTATCATTACCATCTTCATCAATGGTGACAACTTCACCATTCCATTTTGTTGGAATACCACCCATATTATAATGAACAGTTGGTAAAATTGGAATTGGTTCTTTTGTAACATCAACACCTGCGAAAATTGCAGCAGTTTCAGAAATACCTGGTAATCTTTCTTTTAAAACTGGTGCAGGGATATGTGATAATTGTAAATGCATATGATCTTTTTCTGGACCAACACCTCTACCAGCTCTAATTTCCATGGTAATAGCTCTTGAAACAACATCTCTTGAAGCTAAATCTTTAGCATGTGGAGCATAACGTTCCATAAAACGTTCACCTTCAGAATTGATTAAATAACCACCTTCACCACGAGCACCTTCAGTAATCAAACAACCTGAACCATAAATACCAGATGGATGGAATTGAATGAATTCTAAATCTTGTAATGGTAAACCAGCTCTTGAAACCATAGCATAACCATCACCGGTACATGTATGAGCTGAAGTACAACTGAAATAAGCTCTACCATAACCACCAGTGGCAATAACGGTTTTATGAGCTCTAAATCTATGTAAAGTACCATCTTCTTCATTATAAGCCATAACACCAACACATTCACCATTATCCATTAAAAGATCCATAGCGAAAAATTCAATAAAGAAATGTGTGTTATGTCTTAAAGCTTGACCATAAAGGGAATGTAAAAGAGCATGACCAGTTCTATCAGCAACGGCACAAGTTCTATAAGCTTGACCACCTTTACCAAATTCTTTTGATTGACCACCAAAAGCTCTTTGATAAATTCTACCTTCTTCAGTTCTTGAAAATGGAACACCATAATGTTCTAATTCAATAATAGATTGAGGAGCTTCTCTAGTCATATAATGGATAGCATCTTGATCACCTAACCAATCTGAACCTTTAACGGTATCATACATATGCCAATGCCAATCATCTTTGTGCATGTTACCTAAAGCAGCGTTAATACCACCTTGAGCAGCAACAGTATGTGATCTAGTTGGGAATAATTTTGAAATACAAGCAGTCTTATAACCAGCATTAGCTAACCCGAAAGCAGCTCTAAGACCAGCACCACCAGCACCAACGACTAAACAATCATATTCATGATCAATGATGTGATATTGGTCAGCAACACCTTTAGCAGCATTTTCACCACTTATATCATCATTAACACTGAAAGCATGTCTTGTGATGGCTGAAGTAGAGAATTGAGCTCTTTTAGTTTGTTGTAGTAATCTTCTACCTGATTGACGTAGAGAGAGCATGTTGTGATGTGTTCTTTTAAATTAATATGGGGATGTTCTATATATTACTAAAACGTTCAATCAAAGTTCTTTTCCAATTAAATTTTTATAGGTAGCAAGTATATCTGGGGTATAACAAAATCAAACAACTCAGGTACCTTAACTTTATGAATTGTAACTGATCTGACGTATCTATGAAGAACCACTTGATGAACTAATAAATCTAAACAATGAACCTTGAACAACAAAAGAAAAATCAAAAGATTAATTAAAAGAATAAGATTTTAATTGAATTGAACTAAAAATTTGATGTCAATAATCATCAACTTTTCAATTTTTCGTGAATCAAAATAAAGTACGCCAAATTACACCGTTCGGTTCCTTTGCGGGTCCGGGATTGAACCAATCACAAACGAGGAATTAGCAAAACTCAAGTCATCGATCCCGGGGAAGACAGGACGGGCGGCTAGGGAGAGGAGCTAGAGGGCGAGACATTGCACTTTAGGCAGAGGTTTTAGACCCATTAGGTAGAGAAGGATTAATCTTAGGCAGAGAATACAGCCAAAGTGAAAACAATTCTCTCCCCGGACGAAGTCAATTGCAGCCTGGACACTGGACAGTAGAAGCGAGACACTGGACAGCGGATAGCATTTAATCTGGTGAGTAATATGGACATATTAGTGGACGCTTGTTAATTGAAGTTGTTAAAGATCGATTAATGTATAAGTAATGAATCAGAAATCATAAAAACATTGGTCCAAATGTCCAAATATCCGGTGTAATTCCTAGCAGATCATGATTCATCTCAATTCTTGTTCACAGTGCACCTTTGTGAATTTATCCGATGGGCCTTTTAAAAAGTTGAAAATATTTAAAAAAAAAATTAATTGAACAGTTGAGGTTTTGACAGATCTTATTTTCAGTTACGAGGGTTTAAAAATCAGCTGATGCATCACATGACTATCCTCGGAACTTTTCAAGATCACTGGTTTTTTGCCCTGGTGCTTATATTGTACGTAAGTAAATTTTTTCTAGTATTCAATGATGATGATGAGATTTTAAAATGTAAACATAGAGGAAATTGATATACGAAGTACATTAGTTTAATAATGTTTATTTTATCAAGATTATCAGACCTTATACGGATTCCACCAGATCAATTCAATAAAGAACCTAAAAAGGCATTATTAAATGAATTACATAAAAAATACTCAAATAAAATTATACAAAATTTAGGTTTTGTTGTATCTGTATGGGATTTAATTAAAATTGATGATGGTTTATTAAAACCTGGTGATGGTGGGAGTTATATCAAATGTATTGTTAGAGTTATTGTATTTAGACCTTTTGTTGGTGAAATTTTAACAGGTTGGATTGATAAATGTACTCCAGATGGTCTAAAAATTAAAATGGCATTTTTTGATGATATATTTATACCGAAAGCAGCATTATTTGAAGGTTGTGAATTTAGTCTTAATGATAATGCATGGATTTGGAATGCTGATGGTGCTCAATTATATCTTGATGTTAATGAAAAAATAAGGTTTAGAGTCGAGCAGGAAATTTTTAGAAATGTTAAACCGAAGGGTCCAACTTCAATAGATGGTACCGTGATAACTAATGATGATGATGAAGATAATGATAATGAAAATGCTGAGAAACCTTCAAGTTATGCAATTTTAGGAAGTTGTCAAGCTGATGGTATGGGTCTAGTTAGTTGGTGGGATTAAATAACATCTACAAATCAATTTTTAAGCATTAATGTACATTATATTTATCATATCAATAAACCTCTTTAAATCAAGATTAATTATATTGCATGTAACGACTTGTTGAACTAAATTTCAAATTACCTTTAATAACTTTATCAACAGCAGCTAAGAAATCTTTTTCAGTTGCAACTTTTCTTCTTTCTCTAATTGCAAACATACCAGCTTCTGTACAAACTGATCTTAATTCTGCACCTGTTGAATTTGGACATAATCTTGAAATTAATTCCCATCTAATATCTCTTTCTACACTCATTGCTTTTGAATGAATTCTAAAAATATTTGCACGACCTTCTAAATCTGGTAAAGAAAATTCAACTTTTCTATCAATTCTACCAGGTCTTAATAATGCAGGATCTAAAGTATTTGGTCTATTTGTAGCAAACATAACTTTAATATTACCTCTTGCATCAAAACCATCCAATTGTGTAATTAATTCCAACATGGTACGTTGAACTTCATTATCACCACCAGCACCATCATCAACTCTTGCACCTCCTACTGCATCAATTTCATCAAAGAATATAATACAAGCTTTTTTAGTTCTTGCCATTTCAAATAATTCTCTAACCATACGAGCACCTTCACCAACATATTTTTGTACTAATTCTGAACCAATAACTCTAATAAATGTTGCATCAGTTCTATTTGCCACAGCTCTTGCACATAAAGTTTTACCAGTACCTGGAGGACCATATAATAATATACCCTTTGGAGGATCAATACCTAATTTAACAAATCTTTCAGGTGATAATAAAGGTAATTCAACAACTTCTCTTAATTTTTCAATTTGTTCTTTACAACCACCAACATCACTATAAGTAACATCTGGTTTATCTTCAACAGTCATCATAGTAACAGAAGGATCAATTTTTGGAGGTAATGGTAATTGAATTTCATATTTTGTACGATCAACACCAACTCTCATAGCTTCTTCAATATCAGTTGGTGAAACTTTTTCACCTAATGCAACAACAAATTTAGCAATCTGTTTAATATTTATAACATATTTTGATTTATCTTCACCTTCATCACTCTTAATAATCTTGGTACATCTAGCAACTTGTAATGGTTGTTCTTGTTCCATTCTTTGTCTATCAGCTGCAACATCCCATAAATGTGGTGGAGCTAAACCTGTATTACTTTCTTTGACACCAATTTTTTCTTTAATTTTACCCTCTAGAGTCTTGATATCTTCTTCAACTTCTTTTATCTTCTTAGCATATGGTGCAACACCCTATAATAAAAGTATTGTTAGTATAGAATTTCTCATAAAATTGGACAATTGATGTTAAATCTTTAATTGCCACCATATATCATTAACACTTACATAAGTACGTAAAACTTGAATATCCCCTTCACTTAAAGGAATAATCTTATCATCTTGTTTTTGTTTGTCTTCCTCCACTGGAGCTCTGTATTTTTCCCAATCTGCTTTTGGTGGCATCTTATTATTATTTGGTTGTAATTGAATTAAATATTAGTTTTGGCACTTGAATTGTGTGCTTTTGATCTTTGTTGATGGTTTTCAAAAATCGAGATTAGAGGCAAAACGAGAATTCGCGAAGAATTATGGAAGATGAATATTGGTATGGGACACAAACATATACGTATTAATGTCAACTAAATCAATTTTGTATTGCCTTTGGTTATTCTACTATCCATGTTTATATCCACATCAGCTATATTATAACGTTTATATACTTTTATATTTTTTTTTCGGTTTTCAAATCGAATCTAAACCCAGTCAGAAATGGTCAAGAATGAAATGTAAATCATAATAACAACACCAAAAATTGTAACCAAGATATCTAATCCTTTTCTAAAATGATTATCACCAGTTGTTGGTAAATGTAACAATGGTGGATAGATATAAATCAATGGGATACATGCAAAACAACCAATGATTGAAACAAATCTATCTAAATCACTTGCACCAGCCCATGAAATTAATGCAGTACCTAAGACAACTAAAATTCTAAAATAATTTTTACGCCATTTAATTTTATCATCAAATTTACCAGATTTTTCAAATAATCCATTTTCTAAAATTCTTATAGCTGGGAATAATTGTAATGGAGTTGATAATAAAATTGCTGTAGCATAAAGAAATTGTGAAATACTAACAAAAATACTATCACTTGGGAAATTTAATAATATAACAGTTTCTGTCTTTGTACCAAATGCAAAATATCCAATTGCACCTATAGTGATGAAAACAACAGTTGCAGTAAACATAACAAAGAATAAAATAGTTGGGAATCTTGATGGTTTTTGCATTGATTCTTGAATTGGAATTAATAATCCAATACCTTCATATGTGAAAATTGCAGTTCCTACAAACACAGTCCAACTATCTGAATTAAATAATTGAACATCTGCAATACCTTCATGAATAACAACAAAACTGCAATAATAATAAACATAAATCAAACCTAAAAAGATGAAAACATCTGCAATAAGCGCTGTACCTGATAACTTATTAATTTTTCTTGTTAATGATAATGGAATAAACACCAAAAGTTGTATGAGAATATAAAATTCCATTGAAAAATGCTTGTCAGCAACCGAGATGAAAAAAGCTTGTAAATTAGTTGCAGTGAAAATAATATAAGCTGCAGCAAATCCAATTTGCGATGCGACGATAGAAAATAAAATTGAAGCTCTCATATGTTTACCATATAATTTCCCACCAATATCACCATAACTTGGAATATTTAATTTTTTCTTAACTTCAATTAATTGATTAAAACACCAGAATGATAAAATTGAAAAAAAAGCTAATGAAGTACTTGCAAATGCCCAACCACCATTTTTATAACCTCTTGGTAAAAATAAAACACCAGTACCAATGAATGCTTTTAATAATAACAAGACAGCTTTTGTTGTTGATGCCTTATGTGGTTCATTTTTTCTTCTTGGTCTTCTTGCTGGTATTAATAAAGATTCTTCATCATGACCTTCGGTATCACTTTCAAATTCATCACCATCACCTTCATCATCGTCGTCTTCTTCATCTCTTAATTCTTCACCTGCGAAATGACCATATAAAGTTAAGAATTCAATGAAATTACTAGTTATAAAAGTTGGAGCATTTCTTTGATGACCATTTGAATTTAAACCTTGTCTTGAAGCTTTTGTGACAAGGAAATTTCTTCTAAACCCACCTGGGATTCTAATATCTGAAACATTAAAATCAGGTTCAGTAATTGAACCATGCACGGAACCTGAGAAAGATTGAGATCTTCTTCTTAATCTTGGATCATTATTTGTATGTTCTCTTTGCCAATTATATAATTCACGACTAATATCACCACCTTGTAATTGTAATGAATCAAAATTTTCAGTTGATCCATTTTTACTTAATGATGGTGCATTATGGGTTGTTTCTCTTGTATGGATTGAACTTGCTGCGTCTGTATCGTTGACTAAATGACGTCCAACGATATCAATAGTTGTTGGATCTGGATTTTGAACATCAATTTCTGGTGGAGGATTTGAATTTGAATTATTAGATTGATGTTGTGGTAAACCATTTTTCAAGAAATTTGCTTTTGTATCAAGAGATGAAGGATTTGAAAATTGATTTGAATTTCTATGTTGTCTTGAAGAAACAGGTCTTTGATCATCATTATATTGATCTAAAATTGAATTATTGTTTTTATATGAAGAAGAAATCATATTTGCTAAGGCACTTGAAGAAGAACGATTTTGAGATCTAGCACTCTTATAAGACGAAGCAATATCAGTCTCTGTATGTTTATCTTCGAACCCACCTTCGATTTTATTAGTTATGGAAGTTGATGGATCACCTTCTTGTTGATCAGGATTTGTGAAAACTGAAGATTTTCTAGTGAAATGTTTTGAACTAAAATCACCAATCTTAAAACTATCTTCATTTTCATGATCTCCATTCTTTTTTAATGAAGCTGATAATGAACCTGATATCTTTACAGGTTTTAAATGATTGTCACTTGGTGAAACCATGGTTGATATTGGAAATTCTGGGGATAGAAACACACAGTTATTTATAGCAAATAATCAGCACGAGTCCAATTGGAATACTTCTTTCTCAAAATAACCAATGATATTAGCTCTATGATTAACCAGCAGTTGTATACAGATCACCAGCACAATACCCTCTGCTTTGAATCCAAGTTCAAGCTATAAGTCGTTGTTTGTTTTGAAATTGATTGTGTTTTTAGTTTTCTTGCAGCGAAAATAAAATTGTTTTCTCGATTTCGATCCACAGTGGTAAAACAATACAACCATGAATAAATGAAATACTTATGATGTCTTTGATCAGTGGAATTATAAGATAGAATGATTTGAAAGTAGATAGATAGTATTATTAGTGTGTTGTTATCTCTAATGGTCTTTCAAAGCACTGGAATACCTTCAATTTCCACTGAGTTCTGGTTCTTTTTGCTTCCTTTGGCATCGATTCACATAGTGCACAATAGACAATGCGATTGGAGATTCATCACCAGTTGGTGGGTATCTACTATACAAGTTTGAATTCTTGGAAATGAATAGATCCATTGTATTCAGACTCTCTTAACCACCGTCAAAATCACCAAAACCACACTCAAACCAACCTCTTATTACCTTATTACCACTGCTTAATGGTTGTGTTTGGTGATCCTCAGTGCTCGCAACCGTTGAAGAGATGAGCTCAAAGGAAAAAAAAAATTTAGACACTTTTCACTCTTAACATGCACGGTCTAACACATCCATTTCATAACCAACTCACACTATAAACCATGTCTACTAGAAAATGGGTGGATAAGAAGAAGGGTAAAACCTATAAGGTCGTCTACAGATCCCATGATGATCCTTTATACCATGATGAAGACGCTTCAGAACATGTTTTAGTTGAAGTTAATAATCCAAAACAAAAAAAAATTAAAACTAAAGCTCAATTAGAAGCTGATTTACAAAATGAATCAAATGAAATAAGGCAAAATGAAGGTGAAGCAGCGTTATATGGTATCACTTTTGATGATTCTAAATATGATTATATGCAACATTTAAAACCAATAGGTACCTCTGGTGAAGGTGTTTTCATTCCAAAGAAAACTGATGAATCTAAGCCAAAGAATAAAGGTATTGTTTTCAATGATGATTTAGAATTACCTGATGAGATGTTTGCATCTAAAACCAAGATTAAAGAAACTTATGAAGATCAACAAAATATACCCGATGAAATTGCTGGTTTCCAACCTGATATGAATCCTGCTTTAAGAGAAATTTTAACTGCTTTAGAAGATGAAGCTTATGTTGAAGAAGATGATGATATTTTCCAAGATTTATTACAAGGTGGTGCTGAAGAAGTTGATGAAAGTGATTTCGAAGAACAATTTGATGAATGGGATATGGATAATTATGAAGATGAATTAGCTCAATATGATGATGAATCTAAATTTACTAAAAATGATGATCAAGGTTGGGAAGCTGATTTTAGAAAATTTAAAGCTGTAAATAAAAATAAAAAAAATGATTGGGATTCAGATGATGAATTTGATGAAGATGAAGAAGATGTTGTTCCAGATTTACCGACTTTTGATAATTCTAAAAATTTAACCAAGAAACAATCAAAACGTAAACAACGTCAAAAAAAAGGTGCAATGACTGATACTTCAAGTTTTTCCATGTCAAGTTCTGCATTATTTAGAAATGAAGGTCTTACATTAATTGATGATAAATTTGAACAAATTTTAAAAGATTATCAAAAAAATGATGAAAGTGATGAAGAAGAAGAAGAAAAACCATTTGATATGCAAACTGAAAGACAAGATTTTGAAGATATGCTTGATGATTTCCTTGATAATCATGAACTTGAAGGTGGTCGTAGAATTGTCAAGAAGAATGAAGAAAGAGATCGTTTGAAAAAAGCTGCTGATAGTGCTTCAAAGGGTAAATTAGCTGCTAAAAGAAAGAAAGAAAGAGCAACAAGAGGGTTTATCTAAAGGTTTTGGTAATTTAAAGATTTGATGTTTGTGTTTTGGGATTATAATATAATATAAATCATTGATATAAAATCAAAAGATAAATTGTAGTTTTAAAATTAAAATAAATATTTCAAAATTCGCGAATTCGTCAATATTAGTGTGTGTCCCATACCATCTCATCTCTAAAAAATTTATTCCAGTAAAGAAAAAAAAATTGAATATTGTGTGAAGAAAATGTAAGGAACAAATAAGATAGATATATATCATAGTTATTCCATTGAATTAATATACTGATAAAATGGCTAAGAAGACACTTGCTGAACAAATTGCTGATTTGCAAAAACCAGCAAACCCAGATTTCGATATTGAAGATGCTGAAAGAGATGATGTATTTAATCATGATGATGAAGAAGGTGCAAGTTTAGATGAAGATGAAGATGATACCAAAAAAACTGAACATTATGTTAAAGTTGGGAAGAGTAAATTACGTGATCATTCTGTTAATTTAAAAGATCAAAAATATACTGGTAAGGCTAGTAGTAGAAAAGATATTTTTGGTGATGATGAAGAATCAAATGATGAACAAGAAGATGATGAAGAAGAAAGTGAAGAAGATGATGAAGATGAAGAAGAAACTGGATCAGAAGATGACACTACAAACTCAAGAAATGGTAATGGATTCATTGATGATGAAGCTGAAGATGATGAAGATGATGACAATGAAAGTGATAGTGGTGTATCGTTAAGAGCTGATTCAGAAGATGAAGATAATTCAGATCAATCAGTTTCTCAATCTGAATCTGAATCTGAACCAGAAACTGATGTTGAAGATGTTACATCCAAAAGAGAAAATTTGAAAAAATTAATGGCTAATGAACGTAAACAAATTTTAAATAGATTATCAACATCAGGTCAATCAGATGCTTTAAAAGGTTATGCAGTTATTTCTCAACAAAAATTATTTGATAGTATCTTAGATTCAAGAATTAAATTACAAAAAGGTTTAACAAGTTCAAATTCATTACCTTTAAGTAATGAAATTTTTGAAGAATTCCAAGAAGATAACACCCAAGAATATTTATCAAAAACTGAAGATTCATTACATAAATTACTTGATAATATAATATCATTAAGAACAAAAATATATAATAAAGAAAAATTAACAAAAGAACCAGTTGCTTTCAAAAAATCCAAGAAAAGATCATTTACTGATTATATTGAAGAAACTGAAAAATTAGATAATATCTTGAATAAATACAGAGGAAATGTCTTGACAAAATGGTCTCATAAAGTTCAATCAGCTTCTGGTGCTACTGCATTAAATGCATCAAAATTCAAAACAATTAATCAAAGTGCAGCTCAACAAGTTGATTTAACATTAATGGACATGGATAGATTAGTCAAGAGAACACGTTTAAATAGAAGAAATATTAAACCATTAGGATTCTCAGAAGAACAAGATGAAGATGAAGATGATGAATATAAAACTTCCAAAACTAAATCAATTGATAGATCATTACAAGAAGATGAAAACATTTTCGATGATGAAGATTTCTATAGAGTTTTATTAAATGATTTAATTGATAAAAAAATCTCAGATTCAAATCCAACAAATGGTCTAACGATTCAATTAACCAAAAGCAAAATTAAGAAAAATGTTGATACAAAAGCATCAAAGGGAAGAAAATTAAAATATACAGTACAAGAACCAATTCAAAATTATGAAGCTCCAAGAGATAAATTTAAATGGAATGATGAACAAATTGATGAATTTTGTGCTGGGTTATTAGGTCAAAGAGTTAACTTCAATGAAGATGATGAAATTAGAGAAAATGATGAAGATGATGAAGAAGATGAAGGTTTAGCTAATGATGATTTGAAGATTTTTGGTTAGAATAGAGAAATCTTTGTCCTCGAATATATTGATTAACTAGGGCTGTAATAATAAATATAATTTGCATAGAGATCTAGTTATTGTAGCTACTGATATTTCGTATTTATTGAAGCTAGCCAAATCATTGGTATATTATACAACTACAAAGGTGTAAAATAATCTGGATCAACTTCTAGTTATTATTTATTAATACATTTCAATACGCTCAAATAATATTATGATTATTCATATGAAGTAACAAATGATGAAACTGTACTATCATCATCAATCAGAACTTCATATTCATCTTCATCTCTATCCAATGCTTCTTTTAAAATTTGATCCCAATTAGATTTATAAACATAAAAAGTTTCACTAATACCCAAGATGAAAACACCCATCATTAAACCTAACCACAATCCAGTAATTTCTAATTCAAAATAAAATGCAAATAAATAAGAAAAAGGTAATGCAACACCATAATATGCAATTATATTTAAATAAGATCCAATTTTTTGACGACCTTGAGATCTTAAAATTCCTGCAGATATAATATTAAAAGTATCACCAAATTGATTAAATGCTAAAATTGGCATAGATTTCACTGATAATCTAATAACTTCATCTTCTGATGTAAATAATAAAGTTAATGGATATTTCAAAGAAGTTATTAATATAAATGATATCAAAGCTGTGAAAGCTGCAACTACATATGCAATTCTAACACTAACTCTTGAAGATCTTTGTGATCCCATACCAACATAAATTGCAACTCTTGTTGAAATAGCACATCCAATGGCAAACGGGAATTGATACCAAAGTGAACCAATGTTTGAAATGATTGTTTGTGCAGCTAATGATTCTGTACCGAAATAACTAGCCATTATAGTTAAAACTTCAAATGATAGATATTCAGATTCAATCATTATAAGCCCTGGAATAGCTAAATTTAACATCGGTTTCCAATGTCTAAATGCTCTTTTGGATAATCCGTTCCAACATTGTTTACCATCAACAAAAGCGACATAAGCTAATAATAAGAATGCCATGATCCAATAAGTTGCAACTAAAGCATATGGAGCACCAATAAATCCCCAATATTTAATGAAAAAATAATTTAATAAAATATTCAAAGGCATACAAAAGAATAAAACATATGTTGAAGCATGAAATATTCTTTGGGATTGTAAAAATCTTTTACCAGTTTCAAAAGCAATAAGACCAGGTGTACCAAAACATAAAATTCTTAAATAAGGTTGAGTTAAATCTAATAAATCAGCTTCTGCAACAACATGTTTCAAAATATGTTTTGACCACCACCATGTACCCATGATTGGTAACAATAGTGTGAAAATCATTGCAGTACATCTTTGGAAATATAATCCAACTTTATGATATTTTCTAGCACCAAAAGCTTGTGAACAAAAAGTATCAAGTGAGGTGGACATACCTTCTATAACAGCCATACCACTAATATTGAACACCAAGACAGCAAGACTAGCTGATCCTAATTCTCTACTACCTAAATGACCAATCATGAATAATGAATTAACAGCTAATAAATATTCAAAAAATGAAGTGACACATAATGGGGTTGCTGAACGAATAATATTAATAACTTCATCTTTAACCGTGACAGGAATTTCATCGTCTTCACTAAATATACTATCTGTATATGAGCTTGGTATGGAAGCTGAACGACCATCAGATTCATAGTGTTCATAAGGATCATCTGTCTCATTTTCAGAAATGTTACTATCTTGATCAGATATGGCTTGCAAGGTTTGTTTATGGCGACCCCTTGGTGCTATTCTTGTAGACCCATAACTTGAACCTGGTTGGGATTGATTCAAACTTGATGACGCTTCCTGTTGAGAACGTAGTAGCCTGGATTGATGGTCTATTGATGAATTACTATTCCTTCTTTGCAGAACCATCTTATCTTATGGGTTATAATCTAAGGGATTGTGATGTGATTTTCAAATGTGGAAATGTCGTGAACTAGTGAAGCAAATGATGGTGTTGATATAACTGGTGGTTTATATATTGAATTACTTGTTTCCATAAACCTTGAGGCAAGATAAATACTGAACAAACTTCTTGAGAAGTGAACTGTTTTTGAAATTAGAAGCTAAATTTAGTTAAAACTTATCAGTAAAATTTGTATGCGCGAACGCCGAAATATCTTGTGAGTCGCGACTATTGTTAAATAACTTTATATGAAATAACTAAATTATATAATTTACATAGCATCATAAATCATTGATATTACTGTCATGTTTCTTACTGTGTATCATTGTTGAGCCCAAATTTGTATATACCTTTTGCTACAACATCAGGTATTCTTTCCCCATTTTTGCTAGTTTCCCAGCGTTTCAAATGCATGTTTATGAGTTGAGCTAACGGTTTCAATTGGTTACCTTCTAGTTCTTTTCTCTTGTAAAACCACCAGAAGAAAAATTCTCTAAGGGTGATTGGAGCTGTAGTGGTATGTTGAAATTCATAATAGTTAAATTTAATATCACCTGAAAGGGTATTCAAAAAGTCCAACTCAATGTATAAATAATCAAATCCATCGGTAACTAAAATATCACCAACACCTAACTGAATTTGACGAATTAAAAAATAGCACAAGAATGTGTTTGCCCGTGTAAAGTCTGGAGAATCCCCAGTGAGCTGATTTTTGACTAATTGATATAATGTTTCAATATCATTTGGTGAAATAATTTCAATTATCCATCTCCTAGCAGCATCTGTAGCACTACCAATGAAAATATCCTGTACCCCAACCTCTCCCAATAAGCTTGATCTCATTACATTATTCCCCAATGGGTGATATTCAAAAAAATCATCTGTTGCTACTGTAAATCTTTCAATCATTCTAAGTGTATCATTGAAAATAAGATTAAATCTTTGAATACAAGGTTGCAAAACTGATTTCAAAATTTTTATAAATTCATTTTTATGCCTTTTATTGTAATTGGACATAGCATTTCCGGTTGAAAAGTTAATGGAATCACATAATGCCTCAGCCAATTTTTGATTTACATGCATACCGATATAACTACTCTCATTTGTGTGCTTATGCATCAAACCAGGAATATCCCCCTTAATTGTTTTTAGTCCATGTTCAATAATAACTTTTAGATCTTCATCATAAAACGAAGAACTTTTAGCAATGTAATTTTGATCAGCATTTGAGTGTCTAAAATTAAGGTAAGGTTCATTATAAAATTTTTCAAATCCTGTTAGATCATCAATATTGTCATCTATAACTACTTCTTTATCTCCTATCTTGGCCTCTGTCAATTTGAGGTAAAACTCGATAAAAGCAGAGCCATTTATCTTTAACAAACTTTCACCTAGCTGATAAGAAAATATACCAGCTTCCAACAAATCAGCTTCAGTTAAATCATCTCTTATTTCAGGGTCAAAGAAGTCTCTCCAGGTTTGGAAATCTTTACTAGGGAACTCAATTGCGTTGTACCCAAAAAGATTTTGGAAACGTTGAGTGAAAAGATCTATGGAGATCTTGTCTGAAGTATAAGCAACCATACTGACGAGCAACGAGCAGTGAGGATTACATTGTTCAATTGTTGAATCCTTCTTCCTTATTTTGGTATTTATATATATGCTGCGCTTAACGATTTAATTCCGCGAATGTACTTGTATTTTTATATTGAACTAACATACTTTTTACGATATAGATGAATGTTAGATTTTTCGAAAGGGTGAACCATAGTTGCTATGTTGGAAGCATTAAGGTCTTCAGAGGATGTGCTGGTATTGAATCCAAAGCCTCAGTTTGTTATCAAGACCAAATTGGCCGAGGATACGGTGAATCCCAAGAGAGTGAAAGGTACCAAAGTCTTTTTAAACATATGTTCAGATGATCAAGTTCCATTACCAGAAGTTGGTTATGATCCACGAGTTATATATCCTATGATTATGGATAATAAATGGGAAATACCCATTGTTACATCTCAAGAAAGAGTTGATAAGGATAAAAAGGGTCAATTAGCTTTTGTTTATGATTGTATTGTTAATACTAAAGCTATAAGATGGATTCAAATGGATAAAGAGTTGAAAGATATATTAGTGGAGTGGAGTTTAGAAAGTGTTGAACTTCGATCAAAGATCTTGTTATCTAGAGATGATATTGCATTACCAAAATTGACTTCAAAAGGTGAAGTACAAGAACTGGAAGTACTTAGATCCGATTTGGACATTAATAGATTGAATAAAGAATTTGAAAGAGTTAGTAATCTTCAAACAGAACCACAGTCTATATTAGAAGCAAGAAGAATAAATGAAGATGAAATTGATGAAGCAAGAGATCAAATTGATATTTTCAACGTTCAGTCTAAACCAATAGATAAAAGTAATGAATCGAGTACAAAACCTTTAATTCAAGAAATTACAAACATGTCAATCCGTTCACCACCAAAACCTAAATCACCAGTTGAAAGACCACAATTGAAATACTCCACAACTATGCATAAGATTGATACGAATGGATATAAACTAAAAATTGAAATCAAATCCCAAAATGATTCATCATTAGATTATGAATTAAATTTAGATACTGAAACAAATACAATAATACTGAAGAACCTTAATCCAAAATTCACAACTAAAAAAGATCTTGAATTACCATTACCACTTATTTTCACAAATCCTGAAATCAAATCATTTTTCGTGCATGAGGATTCTACACTAGTATTATTCATAAAATAGAGAATCTATAATTATTATATATTATGTATTAATGTATGAGATTTTAACTCAACTTTATGCACTACCAGCTAAATTCAAACTTGATTGTGTACTTTCCAATACACTTGGTGGAAATGCCAAATTATCTCTATGAGCAACATATTCAGAATCAGCATAACCCAAAATTTCTTCAATTTGTTGACTATGACATCCTTTAATTTTTTCAATTTCAATAGATGAATAATTGACTCTTGCTCTACCAATTTCAGTTAATGGTTTTGATGTATCTAACTCCCCATTTGATAATCTATGACCGGCCTTAACTGAGACACATTCATGATCATGGAATGTTCCAACGACTTTAATGATCCCCACTGGTAATAATCCAGCTTTATTACTTCTTGTTAGGGCATTATGTGCACCTTGATCTATTATCAATGACCCATGAGATTGTAAGCCGTGCAACATCCAAAATTCTCTGTTTTTGACATGTTTATCTCTACCAATGAATCTTGTATGTAGTGGAACGTTATTTAATTGTAATTCTTTCAATTGTTCAATTTGAATCACATCATTTGATAATTCTTTACCATTATCATCAACATGATCAACATCTTGGTCTTGAATATGTTTCACAATGGACCATAGATTTTCTGGTTTTTGACTCTTCATTATAATGGTTGTTGTTCCTGCTTCAGTAGCTAAATCTGCTGCAATAAGTTTTGTGGTCATACCACCAGTACCAACATCACTACCACCACTTTCAGTATTAACTTTGATATCGTTAACATCCTCCACTATCAGAATTGGTTTAGCATCTGGATTTGTTCTTGGATTATCTGTATATAAACAATCAACATCAGTCATAAGGAATAAATAGTCTGCATTGATTAAAGCTGAAGTTATAGCTGACAATGTATCATTATCACCAAATTTAATTTCTGCAACTGATAAAGTATCATTTTCATTGACAATTGGAACAACACCCATAGCTAATAATTCATTCATTGTATTTTGTGCATTCTTGTATTGAGTCCAATCTGAAATATCATTTCTAGTGATTAAAATTTGTGCAATTCTTTGATCTAATGATCCAAATAACGCATCCCATCTACCAATCAATTTACTTTGTCCAATGGCTGCTAATGCTTGTACTTGAGATAATTTCTTTGGTCTCTTATCTAGACCCATTGTCTTCAATCCAACAGCAATACCACCAGATGAAACAATCACCACTTTATGACCAGCCCTTCTTAATTTAACCACTGTCTCTACGATGAGAGACATTGTAGATAGTTTTGGTTCTTTAGTTTTCTCATCAACTAGAGAGGATGTCCCTAATTTAATGACAATTGTATATGATTTTGGCTTCCCCATGATGGATATGTCTATGATCAAAAACTTTTAGTGAGATAGCACAGTTTCAAAAGCCAGTTCTCAATAGTTTTCTAATGACCCATAATTAATTTGGCTATGACGATTGGATTTTTCATTATCTTGATGACTCGCGGATCTAAAAATCAGAGCCAAACTTTACGATTTGAGGGAAGAAAGACTAATTTAAAGCTGAATTTCTTGAATAAAAACACTCTCTTTACTTAATACTTGTCCAAACTTAGTAAATATCAATTTTCAACTCGAAATTCCCAAAGAATACATCATAAAAGTTGAATTACTTATTGTAATCTGCCAATTTCTACCGTGTCTCGTTGATTTTTTCGAGATTCGTAAGCGATGCTCTTCGAGAAGTGAAAGATTATAAACTTAAAGGCAAAATTATAAAAAGTACCATCTGTTGATTTTTGCTTTTATTACATATTCTCAAGTGGTTTAGCAGACTAAAAAATGTTGAGAGCTTTGAACCAGAAGATCTCTCTTCAAGGGGTCCGCAGAGCATCCACTTACAATCAAACCAAAGCATTACGTCGTTATCCAATAGGTCAGACTGTTCATGGGTTTGAAATTAAAAGAGTATTACCAGTTCCTGAATTATCATTAACTGCTGTTGATTTTGTACATAATAAAACTGGCTCAAATCATTTACATATTGATAGAGATGATCCAAATAGTGTTTTCTCTATTGGGTTCAAAACAAATCCTCCAGATAAGACTGGTGTCCCACATATCTTGGAACATACTACACTTTGTGGATCTTACAAATACCCAGTTAGAGATCCTTTCTTCAAAATGTTGAATAGATCATTAGCTAATTTTATGAATGCAATGACTGGTCATGATTATACTTTCTTCCCATTCTCTACAACAAATGATAAAGATTTTGAAAATTTAAGAAAAGTTTACTTGGACTCCACATTCAATCCATTATTAAAAAAGGAAGATTTTTTCCAAGAAGGTTGGAGATTAGAAAATGAAGTTGTTGATGATAAGACTTCTCCATTGACTTTCAAAGGTGTTGTTTATAATGAAATGAAAGGTCAAGTTTCTAATGCTTCATATTTGTTCTATATCAAATTTCAAGAAGCTTTATACCCAAGTTTAAATAATTCTGGTGGTGATCCAACTAAAATCACAGATTTAACTTATGAAGATTTATTAGACTTCCATCAAACAAATTATCATCCTTCAAATGCCAAAACTTTCACTTATGGTTCATTACCAGTTACTGAAACTTTAGAAGAATTAAATAAAGAATACTTAGTATTTGGTAAAAGAAATGTTAAAAATATTGTTAAACAACCAATCACTTTGAATGAAAACAAAAATATCAGTGTTGAAGGTCCAGTTGATCCAATGGCTCCACCTGAAAAACAATTGAAAGCATCTATAACATGGCCTTGTGGTAATCCTGAAGATGTTTATGAATCATTCTGTTTAAAAATTTTATCAAACTTGTTAACTGATGGTCATTCATCACCTTTATATAAATCATTAATCGAATCAGGTCTTGGTGATGATTTCTCTGTTAATTCAGGTATGGACTCTACAACTGCGGCTAATTTTTTCACAATTGGGTTACAAGGCTTAAAATCTACTGAAGAATTAGAAAAAGCCGTTAATGAAGTCTTGATTAAACATAGCGAGGAAGGTTTTGAAGATAAGAAAATTGAAGCTATTATCCAACAATTAGAATTGAGTAAAAAAGATCAAAAGGCAGAATTTGGTATGAGTTTATTATATTCAATTTTACCAGGTTGGGTTAATAAAGTTGATCCATTTGATGTTTTAGCTTGGGAAGATATGATCGTACAATTCAAACAAGATTATGCTAAAGGTGGATTATTTGAAAACCTTATTAAGAAATATTTCATTGATAAACCTGTTTTCAGATTTGAAATGAAACCAAATGAAAAATATGATGAATTAGTTAAATCTGAAGAAGCACAAAGATTGAAAAACTTAGTTGAAGAATTAGATGAAGAAGACCGTGATATTATCTTTGAACGTGGTCAACATTTAGCTAAACTACAAGGTGCAGAAGAAGATTTAAGCTCATTACCAACATTGAGAGTCAGAGATATTCCAAGAGCTACAGCTGTTAAACCTGTTCAATTTTCAGATGTTTCAGGTAGTGAAGTTCAAAAAAGAATCACAGATACTAATGGATTAACTTATTTCAGAGGTGCTCGTGATGTTAATATTCCTTATGAATTATATCCATATTTATCATTATTTTCAGATGCTTTAACTAATTTAGGTACAGAAACTCAAAGTATGGCAGATATTGAAGATCAAATCAAATTATATACAGGTGGTTTAAGTTCATCAGTCAGTGTTCATTCATCACCAATCGATCAATCTGCAAGAATAAGCTTCAATTTCAATGGTGTTGCATTAAATCAAAACTCTTCACATATTTATGAAATTTGGGAAAACTTATTATTGAATACAAATTTCAACAATAAAGAAAAATTAGCCACTTTAATTAGATTATTATCATCAAATAATATTAGTGGTGTTGCTGAAGGTGGTCACTCATATGCTAGAAACTATGCCGGTGCTTCTGTATCAAGATCAAAAGCTATAAGTGAATCATTGAGTGGTATTGATCAATTACAATTTTTGAATAAATTGAACACATGGATTCAAGATGATACTTTATTCCAAACTAATATTATTGATAAATTGAATGAATTAAAATCTTACTTAGTCAACTCTGATGGATTAAGATTTTCCTTAATCTCTGATAAAGATTCAATTTTAGAAAATGAAAAATTAATCTCATCATTCGTTTCAAAATTACCATCAGCAACTAATAATCAAGGTTTAACCGCTTCATCAACTAATGAATACCCATTAAACGCATCATCTAAATCATTCATCAAATTACCATTCCAAGTTGGTTATGCTTCATCTGTTGTCAATGGTGTTCCATATGTTCATGAAGATGGTGCCAAATTACAAGTTTTAGCCAATTTATTAACTTTCAAGTATTTACATCGTGAAATTCGTGAAAAAGGTGGTGCTTATGGTGGTGGTGCTGCTTATAGTGGATTAGATGGTATTTTCAGTTATTATTCATATAGAGATCCAAAAGCATTACAAAGTCTTGATACTTTTACTAAAGCTGGTCAATTTGCCTTGGATAATAAATGGACTGATCGTGATTTAGAAGAAGCCAAATTAACTATTTTCCAAAGTATTGATGCCCCAGTTAGTATCAAAGCTGAAGGTCAAGCATTATTTAAAGAAGGAGTTACTGATGAAATGAGACAAACAAGAAGAGAACAAATTTTAGATGTTGATATTGAAGATTTACAAGAAGTTGCTGAAAAATATTTAGTCAATGGTAAACCAAGTGTTGCCGTTGTTGGTAACGATCCAGGTGAACAAAAAGACTGGAATACAGTTGATCTTGGAGTCTAATCTAATGGCATTTCTTCAAACTTGTAAATAGTAAAATTCATAATAAATAAGAAAATGTGAACTAATTTTCAGCTTATATGTGTAGTCCCAAATTAAGTAACTTTCCTAATTTGGTATTTTTACAACTGTTTTTTGTCGCGTTTTTTTGTCGATTTTTTTCGTGTTCGTAGCAAACTTTTTGGCGCTTTTTCAAAGAAAAGAACAACAAGATCAAAGCGTCAAAGTTGAACAATTGGAGTTGAATTGATCCAACAAACTTTGCTGTTTATATCCCAAAGATGAAAACTCAATCATTCTTGTTATTTGTGCTCAGTTTAATCACCAGCGTTGTGTCCTTGCACTTTGATTTGGATGCTGCTGAATCTACCAAAACACCATATTGTATACGTGATTTCGTCAGTGAAGGTCAACTAGTGGTTGTAAATATCCATTCATCAGGTTCAATTGGTGATGGTCAACAATTGAGTTTCAACATACATGATAGTGTTGGTAATGAATATCGTAAGAAAAAGGATTTTGCTGGTAATGTTAGAGTAGCATTTACTGCTCATGCTTCAGCTGCTTTTGATGTTTGTTTCCATAATGTTTTACAACATCAAGGTAGAAGATTATCAAGAGAAATTGAAGTTGATATAGAAGCTGGTTCAGCTGCTAGAGATTGGAATGCAATTCAAGCTGCTGAAAAATTAAAACCTGTTGAAGTTGAATTAAGAAAAGTTGAAGAATTAACTAATGAAATTGTTGGTGAACTAGAATATTTAAAAGCAAGAGAAGAAAGATTAAGAGACACAAATGAATCTACAAATAGAAGAGTTAGAAACTTTTCATTTGTTATCATTATTTCATTGATTGCTTTAGGTGCATGGCAAATCAATTATTTGCGTAACTACTTCAGATCAAAACACATTATTTAAGGCAACAAATGTTTTAAAACAAAAAACACAACTCAACTGTATAATATACATCATTTTAAATTATTAAAGAAAACCATGTATTCGTTTCACCAGAAGACTAATAGTTCAATTCTCCTAACTTACCTATAGTATAACAAAAATCAATAAAATTAACATGAACACTTTGTCCTTCAGTTGCTATTGCAACCATATCTAATAATAAAGAATCATTTATACCAGTCTTCACATCATCACTAAGTTCTTTAATGTCTTTGAAATCCAAACTTGTTTTCATATCTGAATTTTTTTGTAAAAGATTCCAATTTTCCAAAATTATATCTTTATGATCTCTAAATAAGATTAATTGATATGATCTGTGTAATAATTTATCAAAATCAATAATATCTGTACCTTCAATAGATAATTGATTTGGTTCGATTCTTTTGTTGCCAATGATGAACTTCTTGGGTATTTTCAAGTCTCTGTAAAAAGATGGTAGATCTTTAACTTTCATATCATCTTCTAAAGAGTATGTAGTGAATGCTTCTAAGATTTCATCTTCAATTTCTGGAGGTATAGATTTAGCTTGTGTGAATTGTTCCAATGTATTTTTGTTCACATAGCTCTTCTTTTTGGCCTTTTAAGTGTTAGTACTATACTAGATACCAAATCACAAGGCAATTTACTCACCATTTCCTCAATCAAATCACCAGTAAACCTTTACAAAACTTTGAAACAAATTGTCCAATAATTGTTCAAATTTATCTGTTTGAATGTAATTAATACTTTATATCTATGATGTTTGAATTCCGACTATGCTGCACGTGACTAGTTCCCGCTTAACTATGGGCAAAGATCACGGGTAACTGCCCTCGGGAATCGGAGTAGTTTGATTTCCACGATTATTTTGAATTGAATAATATCAATAATAAGAAAACAGTGATCAGATTTTGACAAGTTTCTATTTATCAAAAACATCAAATTGAAAGTCATCTCATCATAGAGTTGGTTGTTGGTAAACAGATACTGCAAAGATGAGTGATGATTCTAGAGAGTTTGAACGCGATGAAGCTAATGAAGAGTTACGTGAATTAGAAGATGTTAAGAGAGAAGAAGATGAAGATGCAAGAGAGGAAGCAGAATTACATCCAGATGATGGCGTTGAATCTACATATAACGAAACCAAACCAATTGGTCTAGAAGATCAAGGTAATGATCAAGATAATGATGACCAAGGTGTTTTGGATGAAGATGATGAAGATGAAGACGATGACGATGAAGAAGATGAAGAAGAAGATAGAGTGAGAGGATCTAAAAAAAGACGTGTGCAACGTAATAGGTTCCTTGATGTTGAAGCTGAAGTCAGTGATGATGAAGAAGATGAAGAGGAAGATGATGATGAATTAGCTAAAGAAGGTTTCATTGCTCCAGAACATGGTCAAGAAGATGAAGAGCCTCAATCAAGAGATGATAGATTACATAGACAAGTTGATCGTTCTCATGAGAAGAGTACAGAAGAAGATGCTCAGAAATTAGCTGCTCAATTCAAAGAAAGATATGGTAGAGCCAATAAATATCGTACTGATGATTCAGGTGCTGTTTCTCAAAGATTTTTATTACCATCTATTCATGATCCAAGTATTTGGGCTCTTAGATGTAGACCAGGTAAAGAAAAAGAACTTGTTAAAAAATTATTAAAGAAAAAATTGACATTAGAAGGTAAACCAAATGCTTTGCAAATTTTATCTGTTTTCCAAAGAGATAATTTCACTGGTTATGTTTATGTTGAAGCTGCTAAATTAACTGCTGTTGATCATGCTATTAAAGGTATAAGTGATATTTATGGTAATAATAAAGTTAAAGTTCCGGTTGAAGAATTCCCAGATTTATTAAGAGCAAATAAATCCACTGAAGTTAAGTTAACTCCAGGTGGGTATGTTAGAATTAAAAGAGGTAAATATAAAGGTGATTTAGCTATTATTGATTCTATTGAAGAAAATGGGTTAGAAGTTACATTACAAGTTGTTCCAAGATTGGATTATAAAGGTATGGAACTTGATGAAGAAACTGGTAAACGTAAAAGAGTTACAAGTAAATTTAGACCACCACAAAGATTATTCAGTAGAAAAGAAGCTGTTGAAAATGATCCAACAAATTTAACACAAAGATCAAGTAATACTTTTTCTTATAAAGGTGAAGAATATATCGATGGGTTTTTATTTAAATTATTTAAAGTTCAATTTTTAGAAACTCAAGATGTTCAACCAAGTCTTGAAGAAGTTTCAAAATTCAATACTGGTGATACTGAAGAATTAGATTTATCATCAATCGCACAATCTGTTAAAAATTCATCAACTGTTGTTTTCAGAACTGGTGATAGAGTTCAAGTTTTACAAGGTGAACAAAAAGGTTTGAAAGGTGATGTTATTTCAACTTCTAACGATGTTGTTTTGATTAAACCAATAAGTTTTAGTGGTGGTAATTTAGAATTCCCAACAAATAATTTAAGAAAAATTTTCTCTACAGGTGATCATATTAGTGTTTTAAGAGGTAAACATAACGGCCATACTGGTATTGTCGTTTCTGTTCAAGAAGATCACGTTACTTTCATTTCAGATCAATCACATAAAGATGTTACAGTTTTCGCTAATCATTTAACAAAATCAACAGATACTTCAACTTTAATCGATGGTAAATATGGTTTACATGATCTTGTTAGAATAAATACAACTACAGTTGGTGTTGTGATAAGAGCTGATAAAGATATGTTTACAATTTTAACACAAGATGGTAAAGTTTCAGCTGTTTCACCATCAGCAATTATTTCAAAAGTTGATATTGGTAGAGATCAATCCTTTGCAACTGATTCTACTGGTGAATCAATTAAAAAAGGTGATACTGTTAAAGAAAATCATGGTTTCAAAAGACAAGGTGTGATTTTACATATTTATAGATCTGTTTTATTTATCTATTCAAAAGAAACTACTGAAAATTCAGGTGTTTACGTTAGTGATATCTCAAGTGTTTCAGGTGTTGCATCTAAAAACAATTTTACAGAAAAGGAAGATAAAATTGATTTAACTAAAATGAATCCTAAATTTAAAGCTGGTGGTTCAATGGCTCCACCTCCATTACCAATCAAAGTACAAACAGGTAGAGATAAGACTCTGAATCAAAATGTCAGTATTAGATTAGGTGAATATAAAGGTTATCGTGGTATTGTTAAAGATACAAATGGTGATATCGCAAGAGTTGAATTCCATACAAAGAACAAAATCTTATCTATTTCTAAACATAAATTAGCATTTGTTGATGGTTCAGGTAGACTAATACCCTATGAAGAATTCATTAATCCAAAATACAGAGATTTCTCACAACCATCATCTGGATTCTCAACACCAAGTCACAAAGCACCATCTTATACAAGTGGTGGCTCATCAAGTTGGAGTTCTACTGGATCTAATAATGGTGGTAAAACCCCAGCCTGGTCAAGTTTTGCATCTGGTGGTAAGACTCCAATAGCAGGTGGTAGAACAGCTGTTGGTGCACATGGAGGTGCTGCCTCTGCTTGGGGTGGTGGTGCCGGTGGTGCTTCAGCCTGGGGTGGTGGTGCTGCTTCCGCTTGGGGTGGTGGTGCTGCTGCTGGAGGTGCTAGTGCTTGGGGTGGTGGTGCTCAAAGTGCATGGGGTGGTAATACTGCTGGAGGTGCCAGTGCTTGGGGTGGTGGTGCTCAAAGTAGTCATAGACCTGCTGCTGGTAATGCAAGTGCTTGGGGTGGTGGTGCTCAAAGTGCATGGGGTCAAGGTGGTGCAGAATCTACTCATGGTAATTCAAGTGTATATGGTGGTGGTGGTAGTGCTTGGAATAAAAGAGCACAACATAACAATGGTGGTGCTAGTGCTTATGGTGGTGGTAGTGCTTGGGGTAATAATAGACAACAAGGTTGGAGTGCTGCTACTCCAGGACAAGCTGAGACCCCTGGTGCTTATTCTGCTGAAACTCCAGGTGCTTATCATGATGCTGAAACTCCATATGAAGCTGCTCCAACTCCAGGATATGGTGGAAGTGCTGCTACACCTGGTGGATATCACTCAGATAATGAATAGAATGAATGTTAAAAAAAATTTATTGGAAACTTTTTTTGAATTCAAATTGCCGTTAATGATTTTAAACTTGTATATTATAATTGTACAAATGAGGAACTTTGTATAAAAAATTTGAAAAAATGCTAAAGTCATTTTTAATTATAAATAAAAAGCCTTGTAGTAATTGATTATAATATCGAAAGTTCAAGCTAATGTTATGTTATCGCGAATTTTTTGTAATTGGAGAGTTGGATGTACGTACATAAAAATACTTATAAAATGTATCCCATCAATCATCACTAACATCAATTGTGTCTACCTTATTGATAAATTTTGATCCAGTTTATCTTACTTAAGACTGATATAATGTCTGTCACTGTATGTTTGAAGATCTTGATGAGTTGAATAGTTCAATTTGATTTCAAAAGACAATACTAACAAAATGTTCAGCTTCATACAGATCTCGGTGACATTAAGCTAGAAATTGAATGTGAAGAATGTCCAAAAGCTGCTGAAGTAAGTTCTGTTTAAGCTGCTGATCCAGGAAATAATCTAACAATTGTTTGCAATAGAATTTTTTGGCTCATTGTGCACAAGGAACATATAATGGAACAAAAGTGGTACGAAGTATTAAAGGATTCATGGTACAATTTGGTGATCCAACAAATACAGGTAAAGGTGGTGAATCCATATGGGGTGGCCACTTTGAAGATGAATTCAAAGAAGACTTAAGGCATTCAAAAAGAGTAAGTTAATAACATTTTACAGGGAATTGATAGTCTTACTAACAATTTAACACAGGGGATTTTATCAATGGCTAATACAGGACCAAATTCAAACGGATCACAATTCTTTATAGTAAGTTAACAACTCAGGATTACATTTCAGGCAACTTTAATTCTAACTAATGTCAATAGACGTGTGGCAAACATCCAACATTAGATGGGAAGTATACTGTATTTGGTAAAACATTGAAAGGTTCAGAATCAGATCAAGAATCAACACTTTCAAAACTAGAAAATGTGGAAGTTGATAAAAAGAAAAGACCCAAAGCACCAATATTTATCAAAAGTGTGACGATTCATGCAAACCCATTAGCCAAATAGATGAAATAGTATTGAGTGGTATCCTACTTGTATTTTATTATCTCCCATATTAAATAATGTACATTTTATGTTTCCTAACAATTTTCTTCAATATATATACAAGCTTGTAATTAACCATAATTAACGTTGATTTACTCTAACTCATGCTCTTTTGGACCAATCTAAAGGTTTTCTATCTGCAACTTTTCTCTTTTTAGCTTCTTCAAATATAACATGTCTTTTCGCTTAATGATTGATTTGTTAGTACCTTTAGCTCTTGGACCCATCTTAAAAAAAATATGATGTACTTACCTATTGGATCATAACGGAATTGTGTAACTAATGGAGCACCACGAGCAATGCTGATATGTCTGGCGTAACCTGTTAAAGCAGTTGAGATCAACTTGACTACTGTTTGTTTGGTTTTAGCTTCTGTTTAGAAAAGTTAGTATTGGATCATTTGAAAAAATCAAAACAATATCATGTTTCCTCTTAAACAATATAACAACATACTAGCCATCTTTTATAACGAAATCACAGTTCCTTAAGCTCAAATATTCTTGATGAATTATACCTTTCGACGTTTCTTCGCACTAAATCTCTATGTCAATTTTTGAAAAATATTATATTGAAGTGGTGTTCGGGTTTATAGTTTTCGCGCTTTAGATGAAGATGAAGTACAAAAGTATTCTAATTTAATTTACTTCTATTCTTCATTTCTATTGTCTTTATTATTCAACTGCTTTGCTGATTCTTCATATGGTGGTGGAGCATCTCGACTTTTTAAGTGATATGTTATTCTTCCAGGAACGAAATAGATGTCATTGTGATCGTGTATCGAATTTCTGGGTGTTTCCATTTGTTGTCTCTTTTCTATATATGCTTTCAAATAATTACTAACCCATTCCTCCTTGAAATTCTTACCATACACAACTGTTACTGAGTGAGTATTGTTACTAAACACAGCGAAATTCACATCAATTTCATTCAATATACCACCAAATTTAATGATATTCAACATGACTTCAAAGACTTTTGTGGGAGAACATTTGCTGGGGCTCAATTTAAAACAAACATGACTATCAACAAAACTGTTGTATTCGCTTGGAAAGAATGGTTTTATATTCTCAGCGGAATAATTATAACCATCAGATCTATTTCCTTCTGCACAATCTTCACTCACTGTGATCTCTTTTAAAATCCTTATAATAGCCTGTTTTAGTTTATCATTATCGTCATCAGCTCTAAAATAAAACCCATAAGAACTCTGTGAAATTTTTCCTCTGAAATTTAAAACTTGATCATGTGTAGGAGCTTTAATACCAAACATACTATACTTTGCTGTCATTATTGGTGAAGATCTAGTGAAATCTCTCAAATTATCTTCTTTATCATGTGCATTCATTAATGGTAGAGGATGATCCACAAAGAACACACGTTTATTTAGACGTCTGAGATATTCTGAATCGATATTGATATTTTCCCTATCTTCTCCAATATCAGTAGCTGGAAAAGGCAAATCGCTTGATGGTCTGATATTGTCATCGAAAGTCATTGGTGCCAATTCATGATATGAAATTTCTTCATCTGGGTGGGGGATGGTCATCTTGAATTATTCTAAACTTTGTGATGAAAACTGAGCTAAAGAAGTGTAAATCACAATAGCAGTATGTGAACAATATAAATATATAAGGTTTTTTCCCAAATTCTAGTCTTTTTGATTATATATAAGTGAGAACTATTATATAATTCTCATGGTTCAACTAACCTCTCCGATTATTTCCGAATCAGGACTCAAGAGTCAAGGCTCAATATATGAGAGCTTTTTAGTCAAGTTATAATATGCGACTATATAATTCTATACCTTAAGCTACATCATATACTACTGGTAATAGTCGTTATTTACTACATTAATCTGTTCATAATAACTTAGCGTAGAAATTGAAAGTTTATATTTAGACATGTTTTTATGAGCACATTATGCCCTTCAATCATACGCAGGTGGTGGTGGGTGCACCTCTTTCTCTTCCAAATGATAAGTTGTTTTACCTGGGATAAAGAATACATCTTCTGGTTCGTGTCTTGTAACATTAATGGAAACATCCTGCCTCCATGATTTGAAATACTCACCCAGAACCAGACTAGCACGATCATCATCACATTCTGTACCACAAAGAACAGAAACTGAGTGTGTTTGATTTCTAAACTCCACAAATCTTACATCAAGCTCATCCAATGTACCACCAAACCTTATGATGTTCAACATGATTTCTAAGATTCTTTTGGGACAACATTTACTAGCATGCATCAAAAAGCAAACTTGAGTCTTTATAAAGCTATCGTATCCGTCTGGGAAATATGGTTGAGAACGGTCAGAAACAAAATTGTAATCACCAAGAGATTTGACATTGTTGGATTTTTCACTCTTGGAAATGTCCTCTAAAAGTTTCATTATAGAGGTTTCTAAATTCACCTGATCATTATCCACTCTGAAATAGTAAGCATCAGAACTAGGGAAGACTTCCTCACCTCTCGCAATTTGATCATTGGTAGGTGTTGTGATTGAAAAAAGGTTGAGCTTGGCTCGTTTTCGTGAGTACCTTTTAAATAACAATGGATCTTCCCCTGTACCTAATTTCTTATTGCCACTCGTGTCTGATAAAGGTGATGGACTATCCACGAAGTAAATAGAACTTTTGAATTGCTTTAGCCATGATGGATGTACCATAAGTTTGTATCCAGTTCTTGCCATTTTAGATGAACACCATGATCTTAAATGATAAATCATTGGAGCTATTTCATAGTGTGATATCTCTTTAGTAGATGGTGCTGGTGCCGAATACCTCTCCCTTATAGTTCTAGGCATGATTGTATGTTTATAGTTTAACTTTCTAGTTTTATCAACTGGTAGCTGTAAATGTATAACCTGATTATTATAAATATGACTTGAATCCTGATTTAAACAGCGGCATGCACCATTTTCGTAGTCACTATGGATGAGGGAACCCTTGACTATTTATACTTTATATTTTAATTGCTCAATCAAGGAACTTTACTCTAAAGCTTCTCAACTAAAATCCATTATTTTAAAACTTCTCAGCTAAATCCCTCTAATATAAATATTCACCGAACGATGAAATACATACGTAATGACAAAATTATTCTCAATTGGAGGAATCTGGCAATTAATGAATATACTTTTGAGTACTAGTATATATCTAGTGAGACTAATTAACAATATTTGTTTATAAGTTTGATCATCTAGTTATCTTTTTCACTTAAAATCAGCTACGGCTGATCAGTTGTATTACATAATCAATGGATTACAGCTTACCTAATTCACGACATCTTATATATATAATATACTATTATATATAATTGTACAATAATATATACCAACATAATATACTTCAAACATTTCGACAAAGGAAAATCTCGATCAGTTTGAGACAATTAATTCTACATTAACCGGATCATTGAGCATCTACATTTAATCAATAACAAACATGTGCACTGGTTTTGTAAGACTAGATACCAATATTTATATCAAACAGTCTAGTGTTTCGTGTTTGAAATGCTATTATATAAACTTATATTTGAACATTGAATTAAATCTCTAACAGCATCTATCAGTTTGAATATATTCAGAACAAATGTGGATCTATCTTTGGAAGCGCTGCGAAGGAAGCCGCTATCCTAAGAAATCTTGAAGATGGAAATTCAAATATACCACCATTTCCACAACAAAGACCAGCTTTCGCCTATGAACCAAACAGGGGTGGATCCTGGTACAGCGGTACAGCAAATTTCACCAATCTATTGTCCTCTTTTAATTCTATCAATCTAGAAAATTTAGGAATTTTGGTTTCCACAAACATTATAGGAAAATTAAAATCCGTGAAGGATACCATTATTGAATTTTTTGATGACAACAGCTTTGAAAGAGGCCATTTTAAGCCCTTATTTTATGAATTGCTTTTCATTTTTCTTTTATCTGTTTTTTACCCAGGGGATTATAAGAGATTTATGGGGTATTATTTTTCATATTTCTGTTTAATTACTGCAACATTTAAGTTGTATGTTATTAATAACCCCAACCCCAGATTCAGAAATTCACATCTTGTTCTTTTAAGTATTGCAAGAACTAGCACCCCTATTCTTGTCATCATATATCAAGGTTTGGTTACATGGTTCAGACTATTATTTAATTTCCCATTATAGCTTCACATTTGAAAACCCGTATGATTATATTTTAGGTTGAACGTATAATATTGTCTAGCGTTCATGTGCTCTAGCTTATATAAATATGATCACAGCTAGCTGTAATTATCTCTAAAATTCAAACTCATTTGCACTTATAGTATTTTTCATTGTAGTCCATTACTTAATTTTGTATTAAAACTGTCAGTTTTAGCTTCTAAGATCTTTCTCATAAAGATTTTTTCTTTTTCAGCAGCTTCATCACCAAAATGATTTTCAACCAAATGATCTATTACCTCCCATCCAAATGCATTACTATATTTTCTTCTGACTGCAATATTATTATGAGCATCTGGTTTTAAAGTAACTAATATTTTCCTCCATTCCATATCTTTATGCCAGCTTCTTGCAATTTTTTCCTCAATTGCATTCTTATCTCTCTTTATGAAATTCTTGAATGTACGATGATTTTTCAATAGATTTATTTTACTGGTATAATGTGGTGGTGGGAGATCATCAAAATTGTACCTTTTGTCATGAAAAATGGACGGAGCTCTCTTGTCTGGATTCATCAAATAATCTTGGTTTGGTGGAGGTGATAACATTACATTAGCAGCTGATAAAAAGGTTGAAGCAGCAGGTGGGATATTATAATCATCCATTTCATCATCACCTTTCTGAACATCAATCCATTCTTCTTCTGCTTCTTCATCGTCTTCTTTTGGATTATCATTAGCAACATTGTTTATTTTTTTCTTCTTTGTTTCATTTGGTGATTTTTGTCCAGTTGGTTTATCCTTTGATCTTGTTTGAATACGAACATATTTCTTTATTTTCTTTCTCTTTGAAAGTTTCTTTGGGGAATTTGTGAATAAAACGGTAGATCTTTTGATTAATGAGCTAGTACTTGGTCTACTTGGCTCAGGATTATTTGTTTTACCCACCTGGTTTTTCAAAGATGAACTCGTTTTGGTTGTCTTTTCAGGCTCAATGAATTTGGGTTTCCTTAGATTTGTATCACTAACATTAACATGTTCTTCATTTGGATCAATATTACTAGCTGTAACATAAGATAAATCTGTATCTGTTTTTTCTAATTTGGGTTTAGATTTTTGTAGTTCCATATCATCATTGGCATATTCTGGAATTTCACCCACTGAACCTTTTTTAACATGTTGTCCTCTTTGTTCTTCCATTTGTCCAATAGTTTCTTCTTCAAATTTCTTCTTTAATTTATTAATATCACCTAAACCTTTCCAATCAAGATATAACAATGCAGAAGTTCTTAAAGGTACAATACCATCATTGATTGCATTTGCATAAACAGTTCTATTTTGGAAAGATTCAAAAGTTTCATGTGCCATATCTAAAATCACTTCTAAGATTGGTTTTGAGGTTAATTTCCTATTAATTTCAATATCTTCTTTATCTGTTTCTTTATTATTACGTTTTTTTATCAATGATGGGAATCTATGGCTTAATGTCAAATCACGACCTGTTCTACCTAAGGCACCAATATCTAAAGCTAATGAAATTGCAATCGGAAACTCAGATAATATACCCAGAAATGGACCTGCAAGATTGACAAAATTTATTGGTTGAATATTTTTGAAAAAATCCGGTCTTGATATTACAATATATGCAATAGCATAAGCTTGAACAGGACCACCAAGTGAATGACCCACGAATGATATTCTATCAATTCTATATTTTGAATTATCACAAAGATCTAAAACAAATTTTGCAACTCTTTTACCTAAGAACCTTATACCTTTCTCAGATTTACCAACATTACCATCGTACCCTCTAACTATAACGTTTGACTTATCTGCAGCTTTAGTGACTTTTTCGATTTTTTCCTTAATGTATAACATATCAGCACCAACATTTGAAAAAATACCATGCGTTATTACCACGAGATGTACTGGAGCATCTGGTAATCTTGGTGGTTTAGTCCATAATTCTTTAGTATCTTGTACTTGTACAGAAATCACAGAGTCATAATCCTCCGGGGGTTTAGTATCTTGTCCAACTTTCCTCAATAATTTATAATCATAACCAATCATAAAATCATAATGAAGTATAAACTTTGTAGTCATTGCTAATTGTGAAACAACATCAATTGTCCATTGATAAACCCCATTTTCAACAAAACTATTGTCATTTATCCTTAGTTTAGCTTTAAATGATTGTCCTGGTTTAATATCATTATTGAATTCTATAGGTTCATCAAAGTTTTGCTTATGATCAAAATTATATGGTGTAACATCAATATAAAATGAAAAGGGACCAGTGAAATAAATTGGTCTAAAAAATTGAAATTCAACATTTCGTACTCTTATCCATAAATATTTTCCACCTTCATCTTCCTCTATCATGGAATGAACAGTCTTGGTATCATATTGTACTATGAATCTATTTATTTGTCCAATTGATAATTGACCTTGATGTCTATATAGCAAATTTCCTTCCACAAGACGACCATTTAATAGATTACTTGACTTGTCACCGGATGATGATGTTGGGCTTGTTGGCTCACTTGAAGAGCTAAAACTTGAAAAAGTTGTTCCAAGTCTCCATTTACTTGGTTCCATTATTTGAGGAATAGTAATTTCATTTGATTTGACCCTTTGATAAAGTTTTCAGGTATTAACTATTGATGACCGGGATGTCTTGTGATTGTAATGGTATAGTGGTATAGTTGCTGTGGATTATAGGTTCTTAATAAACGGTGAAATTTTAATAAATGAGCTTGTGTATCTTTCAAAATGACGTTCTCCCTTGGATATTTATTAGCACAGACCTCTTTATGGTTGTTGCAGTAGAATGCTCGGTTGATGAGTATAAAACATTCCAAAACAATATACCAGATTTCCGATTTCCGATGCCAATTACCATACTTTCTTTATAGGATCGTCGCGACCTGTACCGCATAATACTGCAAATGGCTGCGAGCATGCGAGGGGTCCTGAGTCCCAACAACTCCAATGGCACTATATAAGAGCTTGTAATACTGTCATAAAATCATCATATTCCTCATTCCCTCTAGTCACTATACTATAACCACTAAATCCACCTTTCAATGGCCTTATTCTAGCCTATTCTGATAACACTAATTTCGGTTCGCGCACCGTATTTTCCTCTCAAAAGGTTCGCGCTTTTTCGTTCTGTTTGGTTTTTGATATGGGCTTTAGAAAATCAACTTCACAGCGGTTAATAAAATCAAAGAGAAGGTTCACGATTTCACTTCAGATTATACGGTTTCAACGAGGAAGTGCACTGCTGTGTGTGTTCATATAGAGAGACTATGGGCAGTGAGATTGAAGCGTCGAAGATACTGACAAATTTTGTCAAATTGGTGAGTTTCTAGAGGTTTTAACCAGATTACTATGCTTCTCAGTACTAACAAAATTGAATATTAGGCAAATACGCCAGAAATTAAATACACCGTTTTCACACCACAAAGTGGACAGGACCAATCCATATTGAATGCTGAGATTGCACTACGGAAGAACAATCCAAAGATTTTAGCAGTGTTGTTTTCAAAAGAACTTTGGACTTTTAGTATAACCACCCAAGATCCACCATCTCCAGATGAGAAATTTGGGCTCAATTCTTCACAAACTAAAACTTTCCTTTCATCAAGTATCTATGGATCATCTGAAAAGAATCCATCATCATTATTACCATTGACATATGTGACTTTTTTGAAAGCATTGAGAAAATTGCTAATTGTTAATCTTTCATATAGAGGTGAAATAATACCCTTTGGTAATGCAGGTATTTTACCAGATTATAAACTACTTCAATTGGAACCAAAATTAGCAGATTGTGGTGATTTGTTACTATCAATAACTTCAAGAAATCATAATTTCATAAGGTTGAGTGAAATTTCAGATATCAACAGTACTACTAAAAAAATTGATGAAGAATATGCAACTTATCTAGCTCCATCTGGTATACGAGCTTATTTGGCTAATGGAAACATCAAAGATTCAATAACTACCAACCCAAGTAATCAGGATAGTATACTTGATACACTATTTGCACTTCATAGTATCAAATTGGATCCTGGTTCTATAACATGGATAAAAATGATTCCTAATTTAGGACATTTAAATGCAATCACTTCACAAATTTCAGATTATTTGAAACCAGTTGCAAATAGTAAATATTTGGTATGGCCTTTAGAATTATGTTTTTCACAAAAATCAAATCAACTTTCAAATCATACAAAAGATAGATTATCACAATTAAATCAAGATCCATTTTCATTAATTGATGATTTTGCAAACCTTCGAGCAACTTCAAATGTTAAAACACCTTCAAATATCCCAACTGCAAATAATACACCAGTAAATCATACTGAAAGTCCAGCAACAACTTCAGATGCATTTAACCTACAAAGGGCACAATCAGATGAATTGAAACTCCAAAAAAGTACATCGCCTCCACAAGCACATCAACAACAACAACAACAATCACAATCAGCAGATATAAATGATTCAACTAATGAAGGTCAACAAGATAACTGGAGTGATTTAGATGATGATCTTTTTGGTGATGGTGACGGTGATGGTGTTACAGATGCAGATTTCAATTTCTTTGATAATGACGGTGAAGAAGATCCATTAGCTGATGATAAACTGGAACAAGAATTGGATCAAGTCTTGGAAGAAACAAATAATGGATTAGATATTGATAGTGATGAAGGTGAATTGGATAAAAAAGATGAACACATCACATCTGAAGATCCAGAAATATTAGAAAACAAATTTGATATACCCATTGAAGAAATGACATTACCAACTTCACCATTGTATACAGATCCTGGTGCTCCAGAACCTGTTCAATCTCCAAAGGCTGCAAGAAAAAGAAGTATTTTTTCGCCATTAAATTTCAATCCAATAATAAGGTCAAGTGTTGATAATAAATATGCCACTGGTGGTAAATTTTTCGTATCAAATGTTGAAACCCCAAAAGGTGAAGATGGAACACCTCCAATAATACCAAGTAATGCAATTGATGATGATGATGACGAAGACGAAGATGATGATGATGACGAAGACGAAGATGATGACGATGTTGAGGAAGATGAAGATGAAGAAAGTGAAGATGATGATAAAATGGAAGATGATTCATCTGTAACCTTAAAGCATAGTATTGATGAAGATGGTAATCAACTACTCGATACTGGTACAAACAATACTAGCTCAATGGTTTCACCAGGTGATGGAATCCCATTGATAAAAGATTCGAAATTAAACTCTGCAGAACCAGAATTTAAAAAACTAAAATTAGAATCAACACCAGTCATATCACTAGATGATAATGATCCTTCAAAAGACAATAGAATACCATCACCAGGTGTCGGTGGTGTTAATGGATCACCGAATTGCATTCCATTCCTGCTTCGTGCCATTCCATTACATTCAATCCCATCAAAATTTTATTCAGATTCACCAAAGATTCGAAGAGAAGAAATTTCAAAACTCATTGATACGTTATTAAATCAAATTGTTTGGGATAATAATAGTTTAATTGAATCTATACCCAAAATTGAAACTAATAATGAAGAATTTCCTCAAAGTATTCATAGAGCATTAGCACAAACTTTCCCTGATATTCATGAGGCAAATTTAGCTGAATTATCTGGTATTAACGAAGCTCAATTGAAGGATTATAATCACCATCATCATGAATCAAATTTACAGGCTGAATCACCTTTATCTTCTTTCAAAAATCCAGAATATGTCCTAAGTTCAACAACACCTGGTAATGATTCATTGGATTTCCCTGCTTCTCCAGCTTTAACCAAAGATAATGAAACTAAATTGATTGATGATAAAATATTTTTTCAAATACCTGAGCCTAAATTAAATGTTAAACGTTTAAATCAAATTATCAAAACCAATTCAAGTGCTTTATTTTTATGGAACTCGATGAGTTTTTCACCTCCATCAATACAAAAAGATTTTAGAACTTTAATATTATCACCCAATACAATAATGAATGAATCATTAACATTTATAAATGACATTGGTGAAATTTATGAAAAATCACAATTGGGTCATGTTGAAAGAATAAATTTTGGGATTTTTAATAATAGTGTTGTTTCAGTTGATTATAATGATGATAAATTTGAAGAAAATGCAATTAGTATATCAAAATCATTAAATGAACAGTGGGTAAAAGGTTCAAACTATAAAAATGTTGTTATATTCCTTATTGATTTCAAACAGGATTTGAATTCAGTTATAAATTTATGTAAAATATTCCAAAGCATGAAGGAAAAAATGTTATCATTACCAAATAATAGATCATTACCAATCAATGTTATACTGAAAATCATACCAAGTCATTATATTTCTGAAGGTGGTGCATTTTCAATATTATCAATTAATAAGTTGACAAAACTTAGTCTTTTATTATATAATTCCGTTGGTGATCAAAATGAAACTTTTACATCAATCAGTAAACAATTACCATCCAAAATCAGTTTCCAACTTACAAAAGATCAAGTATCTGATAAGATTCTAAGTCAAGATACGTTCATACATTTGGCATATGGTAGATCTATTGATAAAGAATGGTGTGCAGCTGCATGGACAGATCAAGTTGGTGGATTAAGGAAAACTAAAGCATGGCATTCACCAAGTACAGTTAAAAATTCATTGGAAACAGTTACAAATGAAATTTGGGATATTACTGTTAAGTTATCACGAAAAATGGCTGGGAAAAAATACTTAGTTTTAACAAGAATTGATGGTATGATTCCTGATGATGAATTATTACAATGGAAAAGATTATCATCAAGTTTTAGAGAATTATCACTGATTGTTGTTTCTGTTAATGAAGATTCACAATTATTATTATCATTATATGATCCATCTTATCCATTTGATAAATTGTTTAGTCAAGAACCATCATTTGCACAAGCTGGTTCTGTTAAATTGGAAGCTGCTAATACCGTGGGGTCATCAACTGGATTAACACCATCTACAATTTTCACTCCACAAGCTGTTAATAGTCCAGACTTATTTACTTTATCTTCAAGACCGGCAACTCAAGATTCTCCATCAGATTTCAGGATTAATCCGGATGATTCAAATACAGTTGTTAATATTGCTGATAAATTTCATGCTTTAATTTTGAACAATCCAAATACATTAGCAAACTCACCAACAAGATTAAGTATCAAGACTGGATTCTTGATTAAACCATTACCAAATAGTGAAAATAAACTTGCATCTTTTGAAGTCAATGTATTAAGTTGTCCTGGAACTTTATCAATTTCTGAATTCATGGAAGATTTATTAACTCAATATAGAAATCTTGCCACTATTGGTGAATTATTTGGTGTTGTTGGTTCTGAAAAATCATGGATTCCATGGCATATAGCCGCTGTTGAGAAAAGTTTAGGTTGTTTATTACATATTTGTGTTGAGAAAGAATAATCAATAACTACGCTGCATATTTATTTAGACATTAGTAATTACATTATATGATGTTGTTATCCAATTAAAGATTATACTGTAGCTTTATAGTTTTAGTCAATCCAAATAAATCATTATCAATATCTAAATCATTGACTCTAACACTTTCTAGAACTTTTCTTCTTTTAGCTTCTCCAGTTTCACTCCATTCTATTATGAGTTTCTTCTTGATTTTTGAATGGCCTATATATCCTGAACAGTCAGTATATAAATTAATCAATAAATATAGAGCAAGATTTAATTTAGAATAATCTTCAACCATCTTTCTAGCACCACTTTCGTTTTGATCATAATATTTCTTTTCATAGGTAACATTGGTTAAAAACATTTCCAAGATATCAGGGTTTTGATCATAAATCCAAGTAGGATCTGGTAAATTGAAAATAAAAGTATTAATTTGAACAAGAAAATCAAAAATAATATCAAGTAATAATTGTAATCTCCAATCTTCTTTAATTTCTTCTTTTTCCAGAATGAAAAATAATCTGAAATCAGAGTATGAACATTTGAGTAAATTTTCTGTTACATTTCTTGCTAAATCCCTTAAAGACCATCTATGTTGTTTTGTAGCATGTTCTAAATCAGAATGATAAATAGCTTTTGCAGTTAAATGATATAATCTTTTTCTAAATTTCATACTACCCCATGAGAATTCACCCTCTTGATGAACTGATTCACCAATTGGTTTTACCAAGAACACTGATTTAGCTTTTTGTAATTCATTAACAAATATTGGCTTAATACCAGATTTACTATTTGTGAAAATATGTTCAGCAACTTTATGAATTGGATAATAACCAGCTCTCACATGAAATTGATAAATTAAAGTGTTTTTGAAAAGTGCAGGTTCTCCATTTTCATCATCTTCATTGTTAGTCTTTCTAGTGATGAATTGATCAAGATCAATTTCAATAATATCAAATATCAATTCTAATATTGGTTTCCAAACGTTCCAAGCTTCAAGGTTTAAATTATCCTTAGTTGATGAACATTGTAACGCCCATGCAACTGCGTTCCAAAAACCATCACCTTGTAATGCGATATCAAATCTTTCATTTCTTAAAATGTAATATGATTTTCTATCCAGACTTCCTTCACCTTCACTTTCAGATTCTGATTCGTCTTCAGCAGCTGATGGTTTTAATCTATCAAAATTTCTTTCAAGTAACTTTTTCTGAGGTGACCAATCTGTAGAATTCACCATCATGCTATCAGAATCTGATCCTTTCTTATCAAATTCATCCAATTCTTCTGCAGTTTTCTCTTTATATGCCTTCTGTATTGATCTTGGTCTTAAAAATCTACCTTTATCTGACCTAATAAGCTTTAGTGAGCCAATCAACTGCTCTTGTGTATGAATGATATCTTCTTGATCATACTTCACTCCTCCAAAATTTGATTTTTCATCTTTCACATCCTCATCAAGTTCTTTCACTATGTTTACTAGTCTTCTTAATATATTTATAGCTCTTACACTGACTGGTTGTTGTGATAATGGTTTTTCAAAATTCTTGCGTATTAACCCAGCGTTATTGTATTCCCCCAAAGTAGCTAATGTAAATAGACAATTGATAACAAAAGGTGAAGGGCAATTCAATGTTGGCGCGTTGTTGAATAAAGTTGATTCGAGAAAGAAAAGCAACTTGTCATATTGTTTGACATTGATGAAAGTTCGCAGAAGCTCTTCCTGTTTCTGTGCTAGTAAAGAGAGTGGCCTAGCGCCCTGTGTAGTCATTTTTTAACGGTTTGAATGAAACAACGACTTCAATGGCTTTAGTATACCATGTACACGCTCAAATTTATTTTCTTATGTGACGCGAAGTTTAGTCGTCTGATTTCGCGACGAGATGATAAAAAATAAGTCTAGATTTTACATGGCCTCTCAAAACAATTAGCACCATGGCTCAATTTGGAATTATGCTTCTGGAAAAGATGTAAAGTTCTTCATAAATATAATGATATATAGTCCTATTCTGGTCCAGTCTAAATTTACTAAGAATTTATACGAAAAATAATGATCTAATGCAATCCATTTATATATGTTCGGAGATAATCATTATTCCCGATTGATTATATAATCACTTATTAATACAGATTTAATATAGTTCACATTATTATGGTTTATATCGATTAATATTATATATTTTGCTAGCTATTTTAGCTTAGTTTGACTAATTATTTGTTACTATTATAAAATATAATGGCAAAAATAAGAAAAAAATTTATTTAGTTTTTGCTACTCACAATCTTGAGATAGATTTAAAATTTATGAGGTTGATAATTTATCTTTAATTTTAAAATTCCAGAAAGTTATTCCATTTTAAATCAGTATAAGCTAATTAGCATGAATTTCTATATATTACAGTGTATAAAAAACTCAGAATAGAGAAAATTGTGACACTTTTTAGTGGATTTATGCCTTTTTTTAAGATTAGCTAGTTAAATTTTATAAACCCCGGCAGATCCGATATATAGAATATCAAATAATCTACCATGCCAACTAGCTGTGAGCTAAGAGTAGCTAGCTTTGAGAAATCAGCACATAGTTGATGTGGGTTAACATGACTCATGAAACTAAAGATACACATGTTTAAATTTAAGTTAAAGCAGCTAATTGCTTCAGCTGCTTGATATTTCTGAAATCTAGATGTTCATGTAATGTTTCTTCCCATATAAATTATATTGTGTATGTGGTTGAGCGAAGGTATACAAGTTTTACTGAAGTATATGCATGAGTAATATGCTGAAATTCCAGTGAATACTTTTGGAACTATTACATTGTGCTTCGAAAATTACTCAAAGACAGAAAGTATCATACGTAAGTATTACATGTAGAAACTCTACGATCACTCGAGATACAATATTAATATAAGTAAGAGTTGAGTTTATATATTGGATCTAGCTGATAGCTGCACAGTCCCTAATACCCACGTTTGGAAGTGGATGAAAAATATATACAAAGCTCATGCTAGTCACGATTAAGAATATGTCTCAAGGTGATAATTAGTTATTCAAGTCACACTCTATAGTAAAGATCAAATAGCAAATCAAGTGTTATGATTATCAAATATTTGAAGTTTTTTTCAATAAATTATACTACAATTGTAATATAAGTTGCTTTTCTAAATTCTTGTATTCTCTATCAGATTCTAGATAGTGATCTATAATTTCTAAATAATGTACAAAATGTTAAACATGATCAACAAGACGACGTATAATACATTTGAATTGAATATGTCTATTTCAATTTTTCAGTTTGACCTGATAATAAAGTGAAACTTGGAGCTTGTAATTTAGAAGTACCTTTTAAGAAATCTAATTCCATAACAAAGTTGAATTCTATTAAGTTAGCACCAACTTCTTGGACTAGTTGACCGGCAGCAGCGGCTGAACCACCAGTAGCAATGATATCATCAACAATGACAACGTTTGAACCTTCTGGGATGGCTTCAGCTTGTAATTCGAAAACATCTTCACCGTATTCTTTAACATATGTGGCTTTAATAACTTTACCTGGTAATTTACCTGCTTTTCTAACTGGAACGAAACCAGCACCAACTTCTAAAGCAAGAGCTGGACCGAATAAGAAACCTCTTGATTCTAAACCGACAATGTAATCAATTTGAGTGTTTGGGAAAGTAGCTTCTAAATGTAATCTGAAAGCTTTAACTAATTTTTTGAATAAATCTGGTGATCTAAAGATTGGTAAGAAATCTTCAAATAAGATACCTTCACTAGGAAAGTTTGGGTATTGATGTAAGGCTGTTTTCAATTCAGCAGCTAATTGTGCGATTTCAGTGGACATTGTACTTGATATAATAACCTAAAAATATGTAAATATTCAAAAGTTTCAAATGTTCTTATGTGAATTTCGGAATTTTTTATTTTTCCCTTGACAACGTTTTCGAAAATTTTCACAAGGAAATTTTATGTGCCAAAAAAAAAAGAAGCTTTAAAATCCGTTATGGACACTTTTGTATACGCTTAAAGATTCCATAAAACAATGACAATTTATTTTTTCTAATAATACAACGTGCAAATAATATACAAATAAGTTTCACTTTGAAATCCACATCATTCATCTCAAGTTGGATGGAGGAGATCTGTTTCTGCGGATTCCCTTCTTGTAATAATCTTCATTCAAGAGTTCAAGAACTTCGGAAACATAATAAACACCACCTCTATCTGTCCAACTAACAGATCCGTTTTCCAAGGGGAAACATTCAACTTTCAGATAATTCATCTTGTTTTCTAAATCATTACCATCAATCACATAACCTGCTGGAACAAGACTTTTCAAACTAATGATTTTAGTACCAGGTTTTAAATTTCTAAATAATTTCATAACTTCTTTGTTTAAATCTGGTGAAAATAAGAAATTGTTAACCAAGATAACATCACATCTATTAACGACTTCTTCAACTGCTTCATTTGCAACAAAACTTTGCTTATTGAAAAAACCAGTCTTACCAGGCTTAATACCAAAAAATTTACACCTTTTCTTGAAAACTTCATGTTGTAAATCAGCTAATTCACTTGCATTATCCATGATTTCACAACCATAACTTTCACAACCATATTCTAAAGCAGCTTGAATAGTAACATTACCAACACCTGAACCAAGATCAATAAATGTAGATTTTGAAGATAATCCAACTTGATCGAAAACTTTTGAAAGAAAATTTGGTAATAATTCACCATAAACATAATTTGAGAAAGCTTCATATTTTTTCAACTTTTGAACAGATGGTGAAACAGATCTTGAATACATTTGATTTAATAATTCATGTAAAAATGCCCTTGAAATAGTCTTCTTAGCTTTTAAATGTTTGTTGAATCCATCTTCTTCATGGATTTTATTAACTAGTTCATTATATTCATTTATAGCATCCAAAATCTTTTTCTCATCACTTTCTTCCATACCTTTTGATAATTTCCCAACAATTGATTCATAAGGTTTTTCAGGATTATAAATTTTTAATTTATGATCATCTGGGAAATAAGTAATTGAAAATAATTCCATTAATCTTCCAATTTCTTCTAATGGATCTAGTTCAAAATCCTTAGATTCTAACAAAAAATATTCTTCTTGTAATTTAGGGAAAACAACAGATTGTAGATTAATATTTTGAGGTTTAACATTTTTAATTTCTTTATATTTCTTCAAATATTCTTGGATAACAACAGATGCATGATCAAATGGTAATGATTCAGTTTCTTTAGTTTTATCATCATGAACATCTTGTATGAAGAAACCATCCCGTATTGGGATTTCAACGTCTTTTTTACGTACTTCTGGTAAAAAGGGTCTATAACCATCGATCCATACTGGTTTTTCTTTCTTCTTAATCGAGGAAGTTGAATCAGGATCAGGAGTTGAAGTTGATGATGGTGTAACTTTACGTTTTTTCAATTTAGTCAATTCTTTTAAACGTTTATCTTCAAAAGCTTTTCTTTTTTCAGCTTTTATTCTTTCTTCTTCTTTTCTTTGTTCTCTTTTTTTAGCCAATTCTTCTTGTCTTTTAATTTTTTCCAATCTTTCTTGTTCCTTTTCTTGTTCTTTTCTAATTCTTTCAGCTTCAGCTCTTTCAGCTCTTTTCTTAGCTCTAATTTCCTCTTTACGAGCTTCTTCTTCTCTCTGTTGAACAATATATGGATCTTCCTTTTTTGGTCTTGTTCCACGTCTACCATTTGCAAGTCTACCAACTCTTATACCACGTTCATCATCTTGTTCATCAAAAGAGGAATACCATTTACCAACTTCCAGTAATCTTTCAAGTTGTGTCATTTTTTTATTCTTCCAACTACCTCTGATATCTTCAACTTCTGGTGTACCGTTACCAGCAGAGCTAGGTAAAGTGGACAAAGATGAATCACTAGCAGTATCATCATTTGTTAAGCTCGTGGATGAGCTATCATCCTTTTGTTTACTTCTTCTAGTCATTAAACTTATGACACGCTCCTGACACCAAAATTACCCAAACCAAAAAGCAGAAAAAAACCTTCCAATTGATCAATCACCAGCCTAAGCATACAAGCACCACCTATAATCACCAGTCTGGTTACAATAAGTAAAGGTTGTTGGGTTTGTTTACAATACACCAATCCGAACATTTTTCAAAACGTTAACTTTACGCATCATGATTTCAAAAAGTATACGCGATCTAGGATTTCTGGCCAAACCAAGGACATACCCAAATGAGCTGCTAAAATTTAATGAAATTGGGAGAATAAAGAGCTATTACCTGGACTTTGAGTCGCTATGGTTTCAGATTTGTACTCAAAGTACTTTGCTTAACAGCTAGTTCCAAAAAACTACGAAAAAGAACCGATAATTGGTCATCTATATTACTTTTTATGGTATTCTATACTGTTCCCATCAACTAATGACCAATCAATAGGATCTTCTCCTTGCTCTATCAACCATTCATTGGCCTTTATATAATGATTAGCTTCGAAATAACCCCTTCTAGCACTCAAAGGACTTGGATGTACAGAAGTTAATACATGGATTTTGTCTTTATTGATCTTAATATTTGTTATTCTTTTTTGAGCTGGTGTCCCCCATAATAATAAAACAATTTTCCTATCATTTGATATGGCTTTTTTCAATACAACTTCGGTAAATTGTTCCCAACCTTTTTTAGCATGTGAATTTGCTTCATGAGCTTTCACTGTAAGACAAGCATTTAACATTAATACCCCACGATCAGCCCATTTAGTTAAATCTCCTGAACTTGTACCTGTGGGTATTTGGAAATCTGGATAATCAATTTTCAATGCTTTATACATGTTTTTCAAAGATGGTGGAGGAGGTGTTGGTGATTTAACTGAAAATGCTAATCCATGAGCTTGATTATGATTATGATATGGATCTTGACCTAATATTATAACTTTCACTTTATTTAATGGTGTCAATCTTGACCATGAATAAATATCATTTTCAGGTGGGAAGATTGTATGTTTGGCGGTTTTCTGTGTTATTAGGAATTTTTTCAATGAAAGAAAATATGGTTTTAAAAATTCATCAGATAATACTTCAAACCATGAATCTTCAATTGTATTGATCTCTAATGATAATAAATGTTTTTGTTCTTCAGTTAATTTTGTAATGAATTTTTTTTTGAAATCCGATAATTTATCATCATCAAATGTAATTTCTGGAACAGGGGAATTCTCAGGCTCCTCAGTCTTCTCTTCAGTCTTCTCTTTAGTTTTCTCTTCTCTTACAATCTTTGTCTTTTCAGTTGATGATGACTTTTGGAAAAAATCAGTTATAGATTTCTTTCCACCAATTTTAGGCTTTTTAACCGCGTTTTCGAGCTCTTTCTCAGCAGATCTCTTCTCTATAACTTCCTGTGTCATTGCAACCTTAGATCACCTTTCCAATATCAACTCCTAATGCACTTCTTCAATAATTCATCCACTTTGTATTTTTTTTTTCGCGTCAGGTATAAAAGATTTAAGCGTATACAAAAAGTCGGAATTGATAAGGATCATTCGCGCTTTTTGTTTTTTTGTACGTATTTCAGAAAATACAGATGGTCGGATCTCGGCCCCATTCCAAAATTAAGACTGATAACAACAGAAAATAGACAACTTTAAAATCAAACTCAAATCAACTGAGAATTTGAAAGTTTTTATGATTAAATTGTTGGGCTGGTTCATTAAAGTTTATATTTATTGAGATAAGAATTGTTTGTTAGGCTTACTCAAGTTTTAATTGCTGATTCCATTCAATCAGAGACCAAGAGAGCAAAGAATCAAGAAGGCGTCGTTTAGACTGTGCATTGTTAATATCTAGAATTATATTTGATTTTTCATAAGGTAAAAGTTTTGCAAGGTATACTTATATTATATGCTATATTCAATCTTAATCAACATTGTTTTACAAGATTAACTCCAAAAAGATCAAATCAGGATTCAAAAACATAAGGTATTTAAGATCATTATTACTAGCAATGCCTGGTAATAAAAATGGAAGACCAACATCTCCAATAAAATCAAATCCAGGTTCATTACGACGTAAAAACTCAAGAATTCTTGGTCAACCATCACAATCATCATTATATTCATCATATACTAAAGATCGAGAAGAATTGAAACCAAAAGTTACAGAAGAACAAACATCAACACCGATAACTGATACACCTACAGATACAACTACAGATACAACTACAGATACACCAACATCCACACCTAACCCAGAGACAAATACAACACAGAGCAGGGGAAAAAATTGGTCAATTTGGCCTAGAAGAAGTATTTATACATCAGATGATTCAAGACCTACTAGTAAGCAATCTGCTACAATTAATAATGATACATCAGCTGCATCTATAAAATCAGAAAAATCTTCAAAAAGTACTGTACAAGAAACACAACAACAACAGCAAGCTGAAGAAACTAATAGCTCTACACCAACACCAACACCAACTCCAAATATTGAAGTACCAGATGAATCTAAGATAAGTAGAAGTCCAACTAAAGAAGTTGAAAGAAACTGGATGAGTTGGAGAAAGCCATCGTTAACATCATTGAAAAAAGCAGCAGCTACAGAATCTGATACTGAATTATCAACATCACAACCAAAAGCTATTGAGACTAAAGATTCAAATAATTCATCTAAAACCAAAGATGATTTTATAGATCCAAATTTGAAAAAAAATGAACGTACATCATCATGGTCATTTTGGAATTCATCAAATTCAGAATTAAAATCTAAAACTTCAAATGTTTTATTATCTTCCGAAGATGCAGTATTATTTGAATCTAATGAAGCAACAGAAAATGATAAACAAAAAGCTATAGCATCCAAAAAATTATCATCAAAACCTCATATTCCAAATCAAGTTGTTCCAGTTTTTGAAACATTACCTTATTATTCAACAACAACAAGTGTTATAAATAATTTTAATAATTTAAAATATCAATTTGGCTTCAAAGTTGAAGATCCAAAACATCTTTATAGACTTTCATCAAGATCTAATAATGATATTAAAAAAGTTTTAATTATTGGAGTTCATGGATTTTTCCCTACAAAAGTATTAAGACCATTAATTGGAGAACCAACAGGTACATCAATTAAATTTGCAAAAGAAGCAGAAAAATCAATTCTTAGATGGGCAGAACGTGAAAATTTAAATATTTCAATTCAAAAAATTGCATTAGAGAAAGAAGGTAAAATTTTTGATAGAGTGGAATTTTTTTATAATGTTATGAAAAAATGGGAAAAAGATATTCAAACTGCAGATTATATTTATATTGCGGCACATTCACAAGGTTCACCAGTTTCAATTTTATTATTATCAAGATTAATCGAAGATGGAATCATTGATTTAAATAAGACCAAAAAAATTAGTTTATTAGCAATGGCTGGTATTAATAATGGACCATTTTATGGAGTTGATCAAAAATTATTTGTTCGAGCTTATTCAACAATTGAAAATGATTCATTAATGGAATTATTTCAATTTCAAAATTTCAATTCAGTTCATTCTAAAGATTTTATTGATAGTTTGAAAAATATTGTTAATAATAATGTTAAAATCACATTTATTGGTTCAATAAATGATCAATTGGTCCCATTATATTCTTCAACTTGTTTACATGTTCGACATCCAAATTTATTTAGAGCTACATATATTGATGGAAGTTCACAAACACCAAATTTTGTCTCCAAGGCAGTTTCATTATCAAATCATTTACATAATATAGGTAAAAGTGATCATGGAGTTATAAAAGAAATTAGTAATTCATTAGCAGGTCCATTAACAGGAGGAGGTCATTCCAAGATTTATAATGATCCACAAGTTTATGATTTAGCATTAAATTTTTCATTATATACAAATGATTTAAAATATCAGATTCCATTACATTTTAAACCTTATTCTATTGAAACATTAGGTATGAATCCTTATCATTTACCTTGGTGTATGAGAGGATTATTATTTGAAACTAAAATTCATATACCAAATGGTGATGAAGAAATTGATGAATTATTTAAAGAATTTGAAAATTGGAAACCTGAAACTAAACAATTAAAAGATATGAAATATAGATTAAATGGGATTAAAAGTAAGTTGTGAATAATGATATTGATATACACATTTTTATTTATTTTTAGATTTATCATGTACATTCCAATGCAAAATTTCCAATCGATTGTTTATGCAAAGGCTATAAATTCTTATCTATGTACAATCCATTTACATTACGGTACACGGGAAGAATCAAGCGTAGACAGAGCCTCCCCCTAGCCTTCCTTCCCCTTAGACAGAGTGCTCCCCTAACTCCTTAGACAGAACTCCCAGCCTCAATCCCCCCTTCCCTTTTAAAATATTGGAGTTCTAGACAGAGCCAGCTGGGAACAGTGCAGGTAAGCTCGGCCCAAGCACCTAGACTCCTAGGCAGAGTGCTTAGTCAGCAGCCTTCTGGAAAGTCTTGTCAAAAAAAAAAGATCAACAAATTGAGAAAAAACCTTCAAAAGAACAAACAGACAGGCAGAAGACCAGAAGACCAGACAGGCTCAACACAACAGAGCCAAAAACAGGAACAAGAAGACAGACAGTTGATACTTCAGACACACTGGACCAAGAGACAAAGCCCAGACGTTCAATTGATAAACTTTCCTTTGAGCTCACAATATCTCCCCATTATTAAGACCCTTGAAAAACACATCAACATCAACAACATCGATTGATATATCATGGGGAATAGTTCATCCAAACAGAAAAATGACTCTTTGAAAGCGTACCCACAATTCCAACGAAGCGATACACAGAACTCTACAAAATCTTCACGGTCCCTAAGATCAAGAAGGTCCATGTCCAGAGATTCTGATGCTTCTTCGTTTAAAACAGCAACTGATTCTCCATCTTTAATGCCACATTCACCATTGGTATCTAGAAAGAATTCTTCCACTACAATCCATCAACAATTGAATCAATCTTCAAATAACAATCAAAATAATTACAAATCAAATAGTTTTTCATCAGATCTTCCAGCTTTGAATGTCACGTCTCCAGATGGGAATTATACAAATGTTCAATTGCCACCTTCAATGGTTCATGTCGAACCAAGACAACCAATCTTGAGAAACAACAGTGACGCTGTAGAGGACTTGTTGAGGGCTCAACAGGAACATAAACAGCAGCAGCAGCAAGATGGCTCTGTGAATAATAGTGATTCTGGTGTCAATGATCAAGATGGAAATAGTGTGAATCCAGGACAAAATATTTCAAATGAATCACAACAAAACAACAATGAAAACAATAATGATAACAATAACTCAAACAACTCAAATAACCAATCAGATAATTCATTATCTATAAATGCTAATATACCGAATCATGTTGGTGATTCTTCAGATATACCCAATACTCCAAGTAGTAAAAAAAATTCATTTTCAAATTATTCAACTCCATTTCAATCACTAATAAATCCAACAAATAATGTATTACAAGTAAATGGAAATCAAATAGATATTGAAGAATTAATTCAAAGATTATTAGATGCAGGTTATTCTGGGAAAAGAACTAAAAATATATGTTTAAAAAATTCAGAAATTGCAACAATTTGTTCAAAAGCTAGAGAAATTTTCTTAAGTCAACCAACTTTATTAGAATTATCACCACCTGTTAAAATTGTTGGTGATGTTCATGGTCAATTTGGTGATTTAATTAGAATGTTTACCAAATGTGGGTTCCCACCTGCTGCAAATTATTTATTTTTAGGTGATTATGTTGATAGAGGTAAACAATCACTTGAAACTATATTATTATTATTATGTTATAAAATTAAATATCCAGAAAATTTTTTCCTTTTAAGAGGTAATCATGAATGTGCAAATGTTACAAGAGTTTATGGATTTTATGATGAATGTAAACGTCGTTCAAATATTAAAACTTGGAAATTATTTATTGATACTTTTAATACATTACCATTAGCTGCAATTGTGGCAGGTAAAATTTTTTGTGTTCATGGTGGACTTTCACCAGTTTTAAATTCAATGGATGAAATTAGAAATGTTAATAGACCAACTGATGTTCCAGATTTTGGTTTAATTAATGATTTATTATGGTCAGATCCAACAGATGCATTAAATGAATGGGAAGATAATGAACGAGGTGTTTCATATTGTTTTAATAAAGTTGCTATAAATAAATTTTTACAAAGATTTGGATTTGATCTTGTTTGTCGTGCTCATATGGTTGTTGAAGATGGTTATGAATTTTTTAATGATCGTTCATTAGTCACTGTATTTAGTGCCCCAAATTATTGTGGAGAATTTGATAATTGGGGTGCAGTTATGAGTGTTTCTGAAGAATTATTATGTAGTTTTGAATTATTAGATCCTTTAGATTCTGTTGCTTTAAAACAAGTTATGAAAAAGGGGAAACATGAAAGAAGAATTGCAAATTTAACTGCTTCACAATCAAATAGTAATCATGGAAGTTTTAATCATGGAAGTTTCTTATCATCAAATAATAACAATAATAATAATCAAAACAACTCAACTGCTAATAATGCAATTACTGCATCATCATGAATACTTAAAAAATCAAGATCAAATTTATAAAATTTTATTCATTTCTACAAATTCATTAAACTTTGAATAATCAATATCAAATGAATTCTTTTTCATTTCCTATACATATACAAAATTCAAACATTTATTTCAATTTATTCTTGCTTTTATTAGTACAATTGTCATTAAATTATTGATATATCAAAAAATATCAAAAATCACATATATATTTATTTCAAATCAATTTTCAAATCAATTTTTCAAATTTATGTTTCAAATTTATTATGATTTCTCAAACTTTTTATTGTTTATAATTTCTACTTCTTTTCTTCCTTTTTTTGTTTGATTTTTTATCTTTTTTAATGCGTTTATGTCAATTTTAAATAACAAAACATATATGATCATTTGGAATGTGATCAATTCAATTACTTATAAATATAATTTTAATCAATATCAATTTTATGTAATTAAACCAAAAAAAAACCCCAAAAAAAAAGAGTTCAACAAAGCTTAGATGTTTATATATAACAAATCAAATAGATGTTGTAAAGTAAAAACTCATGTAGCCGTTAAATATCCCCAATCTTTATCATTTCTTTGGTAAATATCCATCATAAAGTACTTTATTAACATCAGTAATTCTTAAATCATAAACTCCATTAGTATCTTCCCAACCAAATTCATCTAAATTTGATTCAATAACAGAATCATCATCAACAATCGTACATAAATTTCCTAAACTTGGTGTTTCAATTTCAATATTCCACATTTGTAAAGCAATATAAATATAAAGCATAGTCATTAATATTGTACAACTTAGTGAAAGACTCCACCATCTCGAAGGGTAATAATAAATACCAATTTGATTTAAATAAAATTTTGGTGTAAATGTCCAAATTAACCAAATTATATGAATTGCAGTTATGGTTAAATATAAGGCAAATCCTCGATACTCGGTTAATGGAGTGACTTGATTTGATATAGTAACATCTGATTCTCTTGCAAGAATATCAGTTAATTTATAATTTATTGAAGTTTGAGGTTTTTGATAAACTATATCTTCATATTCAAAATATTGTTTTGTTGTTGTGTTTGTTGATTTATTTGAATTGGGATTTTTACTAGTTTCATTTGATAAATTTTGTAAAGTTGATGTTGATTTTGATGCTTGTTTGTTTGATAATAATTTCAGCTTTTGAACATTAGGATTCATAATACAACCATTGACTTAAAATGATCACTGTTAAGGATTCATAGTACAAGTTTATACATCTTCTTCTCATATTGAAATAGTGTCAAAAATCAAAACAGATGGTGTCCGGATGTCATCAAGAACATATAATCTACAATTTTAATAATACATAAAAGTATAAATTATTGAATATTCTTGTGTTTTCTTTGCAATATTAATATATTAAAAAACTGTTCATTAGCTTATATTATAAATAAAGTTCCTTTTTGATAAAGTCATAGTTATTCATTTTGGTGGTTTGATTAGCATTCTTCATGTTTAATTTGGTTTGATATGATTAGCTTGTTGTATTATCTTTTGATTTATTATTAAAAGTTCGACTTAAATTATGAAATTGACCTCTACCACGACCTCTACCACGACCTCTAAACCCACCACGATTTCCTCTTGTTGATGGACGTTCAATTGGTGTTTTAGTATCAGATGATGATTCTTCTTGTTTTGTATTAGGTTTAGTAGTATTACCATTTGTTTTTAAAATTGGTTCAGTTGGTGGATTACTTGGTGATTTGGAATTTGATTTAGAATTTGATTTAGGTTTCTCATCTTTATCAGATTTTACAATTGGTTCAACAGGTTCCACAGGCTTCACTGTTTCCACAGTTTCAACAGATGTTTTTCTCGATCCACCTCTACCACCTCTTCCACCTCTACCTCTTCCACCTCTACCACGAGAACCACCTCTTGCAGCACCTTTGATTTTTATAGTGGAGAATTCACCTTCAGATACTAATTGATCATTTAAATCAATGATATTATCTTCTTTATCTTCAATCTCTTTTGCATCTTTCTCCACTTTTTCAACTTTTTCAACTTGTTTATCTTCTTTATCTTTTTGATCTTTATCATTATTTTTCTTTCTAATTAATGATTTATTTTGATAAATTTTCCTACCTTGATGATTTGTATAAGTTTCAGGTTTTATAATTGAAGGATCATCAGGACTTAAATATTCTTTATGTTTCTTCTTGGTACTATTATTATCAATTTTTGAGTCTGATATATCAACTTTTGAAGGTTTTGATTTTATTACATCAGATTTTTTCTTTTGTTGAGGTTTAAGTTCTTTATCATTATTCTCTGTAGGTACTTCATTTTCTTTTATCTTTTCTTTTGGTTTATTTTCATTTTCATCTTCTTTTTCAATTTTTTGTTTATCCTCCACTGGTTGTTGTTGTTGTTGTTGTGAGGGTATATCTTTTTCCTTTTGAGTAATACTTTCTCTTCTAACAAATCTTCCACCTTCAGGTTGTTTTGAAGAATTATTTTTCCTTTTCAATAAAACTTTTGGTTTTGGTTTTAAATATTTTTCTTCTTGTTTTGTTTCTTTTGATTCATTAGATTTGAAAACATCTATTGATACTGGAGTTGGTATTTTTGGTATTTCAGATTCATTCTGTTTAATCTTCCATGCAGTTATTTCAGGTTGGAGTGCAGGTTTTAATTCTTTTTTTCTAGGTGAAGCTGGTTGACTTAATTTTAAATGTGAATGTGTAGATTGTGGAGTAGAATTTTTACTATGAGTTTCATTAACTTGTTGTGGTTGTGGTTTTGATTCTTGTTTAACTTCCTCTATTTGTTCCTCTTCATGACCTAAAGTTTTAAAAGTAGTTTTATTAATTTCTAAATCATGTAATTTTTTTTCAATTTCCAATTGTTTTGAAAGAGTATCAACAGGTTTTGCACTACCAAAAGGATTTGATTTTTTTGGAGTTGGAGCAGGTTTTGGTTCCATTAATGGTGGTAATTCCACTGGAGGTTGAGGTTTTGGTTGATGTAATTGAGGTTTTTGATGGATTAATTCAGGTGATTTACTATAAAATCTTGATTGACGTGGTGGATATCCACCATTTGTATAATTATTTTTTTTCTCCATTGAAATTGATGGATCATCAGATTCAGATAATTTTTGATTTAAATCATTATAAGTTTGGAAATCACCAAAATTCCCAATATTTACTTGAATTTTTCCGTATAAAGGTCCCAAATATAAATCATTCCATCTCAAGACTTTTTCAAAATCTTTTAAATCATTTAATTCAATAAATGAAACTTTTTTATTTTTATTAATAATTAAGTCCAAATCATTCTGAAAACTTAATTTATCATGATTAAATTCCCAAAATATTTTAAATTTTAAAAATTTCATAAATCTTGATTGAAATAAATCTTGAATATGTTCAGAACCAAAATGATTAGGAATATTTGTAAATTTAACAATAAATGGAGGAGATTTTGGATAATTTAAATGACCATGATTTTGATTTGATGCAAACGTTTGATGAGAATTACTTTGATAATTTAAATAATCTTCATGATAATGATTATGATGATTATTTTGTATAATTGGTACACTAATTGAACTTAAATCAACTTCATCATCTGCCCAATTCTTACCACCACCCAGGGCTGTAAAACGGTGTTAGCATAGATCAATCTAGAATTGTAGTTGTTATACTCACTTGCATCAGCATAAAATTCTTGTAAAGATAGTTTTTTCTTACTTGCTAATAAATTCCATTGTTAATATAAAATGTTGTTGCGATATTAGCACATCAAATACATACCCATTCTTTGTAGTTCAATTCAATTCAATTCAGTTCAGCGATAGTGATATGTTAATCTTGTGATATCTTTACCCAGTGAGAGATATAACCTTTATTTGTGATAGATTTGTGATTGACTGAATATGTTTTAGTTGTATTTCACTACAAATTACAATGGAATCTTTTGAATTTGGTGTCAGCTTTAATTAATTTAAATTTACAAAGAGTGTGGTAGACTTCCTAATTGGGTAATGAAAGTGTGAAGAGTGTTGTATTATATATACTATGGAATTATATAACAATAGAAAACATGGAAATCAAATTGAATGTCATGAGATGACACTGTGACAGTGTTTTAATTGTATTTTAATAGCTGTTCAACTTGTTATTATATAATTGTTTATTTCTGTCTATTAATTATCCGGTATTAATACTCTTTGATTACTCCGAGTTGAATACAATATTATACAACGCGATTGACTATGAAATAACTAAGATACTTTTGCAATAAACTGGTTCTTTTGTATTCAATTGCTATCTCAACTATTCATACTTGAGCATCATATTCACATTAATCACTTGTTTCTTATACCTTCTATTACTAAGTTGATGTCTTCTTTGTCTTCTTCTACTTTGTATTTGTTTTCCTTTCATGTACGACGCGGTTTGGAAAGTTTTGAAAACCCGTATCAACTTGCATGAATATTTACAAATTTTTACCTCCTTTAACATTTTACTAGTCAATCAAAGGTACTTTTAGTCTTCATCCCTTCGGTAATTCTAATCATTATGTATAGCACCACTTCTATTTAGTATTCTATTTCTATTTTAGTATTAAAAATTAACCAAATTTGTATGAAAGCCATCGCGTACATGCATTAAATACATAAAACTTTTATATGGAGAAAGTCATTACACTGTGCATAGAAAAAGGGTTGAAATAAAGATGAGGTTCGATACCGTGTATTTATATTTATTAACCAATATTCCACTTTTCTGAACCATAAACTTAAACTGAACCATAAACACGTTAATACTTAATACCCATAAACTACTTAATACCAATAAACATATACCACAATGATGGGTTTTTTCAAATCACATAATTCAAAGAAAAGTATACAATCAATAAATTCAGATGATTTAACAAATCTTGATCCACCACAATTAAATCATTTACCAATTTTAAAACCAAGAAATAGTCATGATTCATTTATATCTCAAGTTAATCAAATGAATTTAATAACTGAAACAAATGGTGAAACTTTCCAATCAAATACAAAAAGACCTCAACAACCAAGTGACGATTTCACAGTTAATAATATAACTTTGGTTAGTAATGGATTAAAAGGTGAACAAGAACGTAATTTAATTTTAGAACAACAAGTTAAAATGTTATCACATCAAGCTGCAATGGCATTAGATAAATTATCTGAATCAAATAAAGAAAATGAAATATTACAAAAAGAGTTGAAAGAATTGAAAACAAAGCAAAACAAATTTTCAATAATTAGAAGAAAATCTTCAACTTTATCAAATAGTACTAATAGTACTATGGGGAATTCTGTATTTAGTCATTCAGCTAAAACATTTGGTGGTTCAAGATCTAAGAATAGTTCTATTTCTTCAATACAAACTAATATTGATCAATTAAAACATTCAAATGATGAATTTTTGGATCAAATTAATCATAATCATGAAAAAGAATTAAATATTTTACAATTGGAAATTATAAATTTAAAGAATGAATTGATTAATAAAGATTCTGATATTGAAGAATTAAAACAAGAACAATTAAATTTACAAGAAATCATTCAATCATTAAAAAAGGAGAATAAATCTATATTATCAAAATTAAAATTCCAAAAACAAAAAAGTTGTGTTGAATTAGAATATTATCAAAATCAATTAACAATTTTAAATAATCATATATCATCAAAGAAATCACGTACATTGGAATTATCTCATAAATTACAACTTTATAACCAAACAAAGTTAGGAATTGATAATACAAAGATGATCTTGAGCTTATAAACTATACAAATACAATAATAACGAATGTAATGAATGGACTTTGATATAATATAAATTAAATTGTAGTTTATATACATTACATAATCTTCACGTGACTTTCGCGAGTCATTTTTTTGTTATCTTTTTTTTAATTTTTTGATTTTTTTTTCCTTTTTTCAATGTAAACGAAAAAAAGAATTTTAAACTTTTTTATAAGCACGCGATAATATAGACTATTAAGAAGCCACAGTTAATTGATAAAGATATTTGTTTGATAGTTTTTACTTTGTGTGCTTTGGTATTTGATATTGGATATTTGTTTGTGATTTTATTTGTATTATTTGTGATTATATTGACTACTTTCGTTTTCCTTATCAAAAGTTGATCCCGGGTTCAAATATTTGGCATAAAGGTAGATATCGTTTAAAAGATATATGAATCAAGATTTATAAAGATCAACAAGGAATTATAGAACTATAGAGAGATAAAGAATTCATCAATAAAGAATCAAATACAACACATCATGACAGATTTAACTCATAGAAGAAAAAGATGGACCCTAGGTCTAATAATGTTATCAATTGTAATATTTTCATGGGTATTATCATCATTCTTAATAAGTGATATATTTGAAAAAGATCTTTATAGGAAACCTTTTTTCATAACATATATTAATACTGCAACTTTTACATTTTATCTTATACCATACTTGAAGAAAATTTTGAAAAATTATTATAGAAATGGTTCTTTACATTATAAAGAAATTGAACAAGAATTCCTAAATTCAATAAATTCTTCAGATGATGAAGAAATTTCACTTAATAGTGAAAATGAATATTCTTCTAAATTATCATTAAATGATACAATCAAATTAAGTGCTCAATTTTGTATCGTTTGGTATTTAGCTAATCTTTCAACAAATGCATCATTAAGTTATACAAGTGTTGGTTCTCAAACAATTTTATCATCAACTTCTTCATTTTTCACTTTAATTATTGGTGCTTTAGTTAAGACTGAAAGCTTCAGTAATATTAAAGTTTGGGGTCTTATAATATCATTCATTGGTGTTATAATAATTACCAAAACTGATAGTGATTCAGTTTCACATGAATTAGAAAGAACTCCTCTAAGTATATTGATTGGGAATTCATTAGCTTTAATCGGGGCATTACTTTATGGGATTTATACAACATTATTAAAATATAAGATTAAAGATGAATCAAGAATTAATATGAAAGTATTTTTTGGATTTGTTGGAGTTTTCAATTTATTTTTCCTTTGGCCATCATTAATAATTTTCCACTTGACTGGGATTGAAAAATTTGAATTACCAAGTGGGACTGAAGTCATTGTTATAATATTAATAAATTGTTTAATTACATTTATTTCTGATTTTTGTTGGGTTAAAGCAATGTTATTAACTTCTCCATTAATTGTTACCGTGGGACTTTCTACAACTATACCATTAGCAATGATTGGTGATTTAATATTTAAAAATGAAAAAATTACATTTTTATATATTATTGGTGCTCTAATGATTGGGATTTCATTTTTTGTTATTAATAGAGATGCAGAAAATGAAAAACATATTGAGTAATTAGTCATTCATATATAGCATTTTTGTTTTCTGGTTTCTTTTTGCATTCAATTGGGTTTTTTTGTATTTATTTATATAGAGGGATATAAACATACATGGCATTATTTATAATAAAAACTTGTAATTTCTATAACTTCTATACAATTTATAACCATTTTGTTAATTGATATGGATAACCAGGATCTTTAACTAAGAAAATTTTTGTTAAATAATTGAATATATAAAAGACACCAAATGAAAACACTAAAGTTAAAGAATTTTTAATAACATCATCATTAATCTTTGGAATATATGAAGTTAGTCCAACAATTAATCCACCTAATGATAAATAAATCCCTGTTATAACAAATGTCTCCAATCCAAATTGCCAATGTTGTCCACCACTAAAATACATGATATGACCTTTATCATCTTTAGCAATTAATGGGATACCTCTTATCACGGTAAACATATATCCACTAACCAATATAGTTGTTATTAAAACAACAATAAATCTAATAATAATTGATTTATTAACTTTATTTAATATCTTCTTCTTTAGGATTAAAACTGAAAAAAAAGTTGCAAAAAAATATAAAGCAAATGAAGAAATTTCAAAATCTGGTTGTATTATAATCTTAGTATTTGAAATTTTTGTTATAAAACTTGCAAAATCTAATGGATCATTTAGGGCAGATTCACTTATTGTATAAGGGAAATGAGGACTTGTAACATTATAATTTGGATCTTTTGTAGGAGGGAAAACCCATAATTTTGGAACTTCTTTTAAACCAAGGTCTCTGAAAACTTGTTCAGTAGTTTCAAATTCCACAATTGTGAAAAAAACATCATTAGATTCAGGATTTGTTGAATGAAAAGATTTTGAAACTAATTTATATTGTGGATCAAATTTTTTACATGTATCACATCCAAATTTTTCAGATGTTGTTGTGAATAAAACTGAAAGATAATAATCTCGATCTCCTGTTATGATCTGATGGAAATTATCATTGTTTAAATATATGATTCCTTGGTCTGTTTTCAATGTATTTAATGATTCTGATGATAATGCACAAAACACGGTTTGAATGAATACCGTTAATATTAATAAGAATTGAGATCTGTTCATCTTGAGCTGCAACCTAGAAACCAATAACCTTGAGACCGATTACACAACCAACAACCAACACCAATTATCAACAATCAGTTCGTTGATATGAAAGTAATACTTCAATTCAAAATCGTGTTCATGTTCAAAATTGTTTACTTTAAAACTTTCGAGATGCCAAATATCAAAAATTCCCATATCGGGGAAATTCCGGTGGTATGAAATAATGCTTAAAACTTGAGATTTCATGGGTTTTAATTGGATTTTTTTGGTTTAAAAGAGTACTATAGTGAAATTTTATATAATAATTCATTTCAAACCACTTTCAAAGTCATAAACTTCTTTTTTCCTGGTTGAATTTGAGCAAGTGTATAACATTTTCCTATATAGTAATTGAAATACCCCCGGTTTGTGCACGCTCTTTGTTTACCTTTTTGAATTTTTTTATTTTGATTTTGAAATTGAAAGAAATTTGTTTGACAAAAGGAATACACTTTTAAGGGGGATTGTTGGTTCTTTATATCAATTAGAAGTGTTAATCATGGATTACGGTGTGCTATCAGGGTTTGTTCAATACCAACAGGCGAAATCTGCAGTGGAATCGGTCATCAATAAGGAAATTAGTCGTCGTTCTTTAGTTCAAAATGCTATATTATTGAAAACTGTCCTAAGTCAACAATTACAATTGGAATCAAATGTTCAAAAAGAATCTAAAGATCAATCTTCAATAAAGCAAGATTTATCTAAATTACAACATGAAAAAAAATTATTAGAAAATAAAATTAATATGTTAAATTCTGAAATTGAAACATGGAAAAAAAAATCTTCAAATCAATCAACATTACAAAAAGAAACAATGAGTTTGAAAACTCAATTAACAAGACTGAATAATCAGTTAAATGAATCAAGAAACGAATTGGGAAAAGTTAAACAACAATTTGTTACTCAAAAAGCGGTTCTTGAATCTAAATTAGAAAATGCTAAAAAAAATATTAAAAATCTTAAAGATAAAAAACCACCTGTTTCATCACCTTCTAAACAACCAAGTTCAATTCTGTCACCAGTTAAATCTAAAACCCTGAATAATACAAATAATAATCATGAAAAATTAGGTTTGAAAAAACCATTGATTTCAAATATTTCAGTTTCTCCATTTTTAAATAAAAATACCAAAAATAAATCACCATCTAAACTTCCAACTTCTCGATTACAAAACAATAATGATAATTTCCAATCACCAGCACCATTAAATGGTCAAAATTTACTGGCAACTTCAACACCAGGTAATTTCATATCACCATTGAAAAATCAAAAATCAAAAAAATCAAGTGGATTAAAAAATTTAATCTCACCAAGTAAACCACCAACAAATGAATCATCAGATTCTAAAAAAACTAAAAAACCTTCATTATTTGATGATGATGATGAAGATGATGATGATTTATTTGGCACTTCTATAAAGAAATTTGATAACAAGAATTCTGGCACAAATGAAAAGGAAAATGAAAAGCAAAATGAAGATCAAATTGAAAAGGAGAAAGAACCTGAAACAGAAGAACCTAAAAAAGGTGGAAGAAGAAAAAGAAAAATTGGTCCAAAGGCAATAGTTGAAGATGAAATTGATGAAGAACAAAAATTTAGTCCTTTGAAGAAAGTTAAATTATTGGATAAAATTGGTGGTATAAGTCCATTGAAACAAAGAAAACAAGAAAGAAATCTGTTTAAAGTCTGATAAAACAAACAAATAAAGAAATAAATACCCTAGATATGTGAATGAACCGTATAAATTGTCAAAATTTTGTAGTTTTGTATTGTTTTGTAATTGTGATGATATGCGCGAAATTTATCACCATAAACAAAAACAAACATTTGAACTTTTGACTTTTGACATATATCAAATTGTCACAAAAGTTAATCAATTTCATACCATAAACCAATAGAGTTCCAAAAATGGACCGCAATACCAAAGTCATAAGGTCAACAGACTATGATGCTCTCTCATGTCGTATCTCAGCTCATAAAAAACAATACATCCAAGATGAATATCTTCAACATATAATACATGGTTTTGAAAAATTTTTAAAATATGAATATAAATTATCATCAAGAAGAATTTTGAATTCAATTATTAATAGTGTTAAATTACCAATTATTAATAGAGGGACTTATATACGGACTAGATCAATTGATTTGATAATTGAGAAGTTCTTGGAGAAATTTGAAAGTGATGATGTTCAAATTATTAATCTTGGTGCTGGTTCTGATACAAGACCTTTTAAATATTTACCAACAAATGAACAGATAAGCTGGGTTGAATTTGATTTTAAAGATTCTACAAAATTGAAAAATGCTACTATAGTGACTGATCCTATATTATCTAAGAAAATTGGGATTAAACCAATTTCTGATATAGAAAATTTAGATAATTTTTATAATGGATTAAATGATTCATTAATTTCAGATAGGTATAAATTAATTGCAATTGATTTAAGAGATATTAAAACTCTCCAAGACATACTAAATCAATTTTTAAATAAAGATAAACCAACTTTGATAATATCAGAATGTATGTTATGTTATACAGAATCTTTAAATTCCACTGAAATATTACAAACTTTGAAATCATTTTTCACAAAAACTTCAATAGTTATTTATGATCCAATTGGTGGTGATGATAATTTTGGTAATGTTATGATTGAAAATTTAAAAATAAGAAATATTTCCATGCCATCATTATTAGAATTTAATACATTGGATAAATATTCACAAAGATTGAAAGACTTGGGATTTCAAGATGTTAAAATTGATAATTTAAATAATATTATGAATAATTGGATTAATGATGATGAAAAAAGAAGAATTTCAAAATTAGAATTCTTGGATGAATTAGAAGAATTGAATTTATTATTAGAACATTATTGTTTAATCTTAACTACTTGTGGGTTTGATTGGTCTGAATTTGATTTAGAATTCACCCAATGAAAATTAGAAAAATAAATCATATGCATCATTAATATATACCCTATTTGTTCATCTAAACATCAGCCCATCTCTTTCACCCTGATGTCTCCATTGACCACTTGGATTCGTACCACTTTCTAATTGATATAATCTCCAAGCTTCTCGTATATGTTCAGGTTGTAAAGGACCATTTTCATTAACTTTTTTCAAATCTAATTTTTTTAATTCATTTTTAATAATTTCAATTTCTTTTTTAACTTTTTCCATTTCTTCCACTGTTATACCATTTCTCTTGGTTTCTTTATATTCTTTTTTCAATTGATTATAAAGTTCTCTTTTTTCATTTAATTTATTTATATAATTTGCCTTATCATATCGAAGTTTTATATTTCTAGCTTTTTCAATAATCTCACCCATAAATACTTTAGAAACACCACTCAATACAATAGCAACATTATTTGATACACTTTGATTCAACACGGTATTTGCAATTTTTTTAACACCACCTCTATTAACTGTTGTTCTTCTATAATATTCATATCTTGACATTTGATCACGATCTAAATGATCCATTAATAATCGAAGTCTTTCTTCTTCATCTAATTCTTCTTCAGGTTCTTCAGGGATATCTTCTTCTTCTAGTGTGACTTTTTTACCATTTAAAACACTTTCAAAAATCTTTCTATTTATAAATTCTGATTCTTCATCTAATAAATCACTAAATAATTCTTCAACTTCAGATTCATCTTGTGAAGAGTTTAAATCTGAACCATTATCATTCTCATCCATTGGGACATCTGATAGTTGTAAGTCTTCATCTTCTTCTAAATTAGACATCTTTGAAAACAATTCAATCCAATCTGGTTTATATACTTTTCTTTGGATGATTGACGTCTTTGATGTTTATAGTATTCTAAGCGCTTTTAATTAAAAAACAATTGGGAAATTTTCGCGGAAAAGAAATCTGTTATTGAACCGTTTTGATGACAGACGTATAAACTACAAATTATTTTAAAAAGAAGGACAAAATATCAAATAATTCATTATTTTATACAAGTTTGACTGGAATCATGGTCTTGCGTATCTAAATAGCTTAATTTCCGAGATAATTCTGAAAATACCCAAGAAACAAACGATAGAAAGTGGTCCTAATAAAGGTAAATATACTGCAACTTTATGTTCTTGTGGGAAAAATGATTGTTGAACCATTTCTCTATCAAAAAATGCTAATTCACTATACTCAAGCATTTTATTTGACTCTATTAATGCCCTATCCCAATCTTTATCATAGTTTGCACTCTTGATAGTATTTTCTCTAGCTTTTAATGCATTTTGAACATTTTTTAAAACTGTTTTAGGAATTGACATATTTGGTAATGATTTAGATAATTTTAATAATGAACTTAATGAATCTGTTCCTCTAATTAAATTTGTGAAAATTGAATAAACTTTAATGGCATCTAATCTAATTTGTAAAGTTTTTGGATGTTTTGGTAAACCTAATAAAGTTATTAATTCAGATGTAAATTTTTCAAAAATTGGACGTAATTCATGTTCATTTAAAACTGAATTTGGTTTTAATGATTCCTTTTGTAAAATTAATGACCCCCATTGTGGGAATAAAAATGCATTTTTGGAAGAATCAAATTCAAAATTTAATGGTGAAACTGATTTAGATGGATAATATAAGACAAAATTTAATGTTGGATAATTAAAATTATTTGATGAAATATCCCATTCTGAAAAATCCACAATTGTAGAAAGATCTTTTAAAGTTATAGCATTTGAACTATTAACTAAGTTCAATTCTGTAAAATACTTAATTTCTGAATCAATAGTAAAATTAACATAATTTTGAAATGTTTCCACAATTGGTTGGAAAAAAATATCTAAAGCTTCATTAATTTTCCAATCAACTAAATCTCCATCACCAGTTAATAATTTAAAAGATAAATGAACTTTTGGTGAATAATTAATTGCCTTATTATTTTTTTGTTGATTCTTAATTTTGAAGAATTCCAATTCTGAATTGAAAATATGATAAAGAACAGTTTGAGTTATGAAATAAGGTAAATCATTATTCTTGATACTTGATAATGTATAATATAATACAGTTAATCTTGTTGATGGATCAACTGCAATACCTTCACCATCACCAATTTCTAGTTCTAATATATAATCATCTGGGCCTGGTTCATCAAATCTTAAAGTAACATTCCAATCCACAATCAATTGTTCATTTGGATCTTGATTCATTTTGAAAATTTCATGATCAATTTGTATTTGAGTTGATTCTGCGAGGTCTGGGAAATATAATCCATCATTAATCTTAACGAAAACCTCACGATGGATCTTTAAATCAATATTTTGATTTGCCTGTAGCATATTGATGAAATTGGAGGGCAATGGAGCTCTATAAATCTCTGTTAACTTCATCCATAATGGGAACCCAATCAAGAAGTATAATGCTAATATTGACAGCACGACATATCGCCTCGTTGATAATGATTCTCTGGTTTCTGAGTGGATAATCTGCTTGACTCTTTCAGCCTTGTCCAGCACCGCTGGTCTCTCTACTTCTTCATTCATTCTTTAATCGATCCTTTTTTGGAAATCTGACTGTCCTGTGTTTCTTACTTTTCCATTGTTTTTGCTTTTGACATTTCAATTATTTGTAAACACGAAAAATCAGAAAAATCTGCCATTTTTGAAAGTGTCGTTTGAAATTTTTTGTTATAAACTTTTTGCGATGACTTTTTGGAAAATTCAAGCCATTTTATTTGGAATTTTGAACTGAGATTTCAGGTTGTTTAAGTTGGATATGGACGAGTCATTGGACGCTGTTTCAAGAGAACAGACTTATGTGCACACCGTGTACAACGAGATCGCATCGCACTTCTCTCAAACCAGATATAAAGTGAGTCCGAGATGATCGAGATATGGATAACAAAATGATAAAATTTTGACTAACTAGATTATGTATTTAGCCATGGCCTATTGTGGAACAGTTTTTGAAAGATAGAAAATCAGGTAGTATAGGGCTAGATGTCGGATGTGGTAATGGGAAATATTTAGGTGTCAATAAAGATGTTTTCATGGTTGGAAGTGATAGATCTGATGGTCTTATTTCATGTGCTAAAGAATTTGGTCATGAAGTTATGGTTAGTGATGGGTTAAGTCTACCACATCCAAACAATAGATTTGTAAGTCAAATTGTGTACTTGCTGTCAACAAATCATTACTAACGTGTTCTTTTAGGATTTTGCAATCAGTATAGCTGTTATTCATCATTTTTCCACTCCAGAAAGACGTACACAAGCTATCGAACATATTTTATCAAAACTAAAAAGTGGAGGTGAAGCTCTAATATATGTATGGGCTTTGGAACAAGAAAAATCAAGAAGAGGTTATAAAGAAGGTGATCCACAAGATGTTTTAGTTCCATGGGTTTTACAGAAAAAAGAACCTAAAAAGGAAAAGAAAACTAAAAAGGAAAAAAGAGCTGAAAGGGAAAGATTAGCTCAAGAACAAGCCAATGGTGGTGAAGAAGTTCAAAATGAAAATGCAGAAGAATCAAAACCTGAAGAAAAACCTGAAGAACCAGATACAAAATTTAGATATTATCATTTATACAAGAAAGGTGAATTAGAAGAGAATGCCGAAGCTGCAGGTGGATCTATTGTATATAACGGTTATGAAAGAGATAATTGGTACGCTGTGATCAGAAAGTCATAGAAAATTCAATAAACAATGAAAATAACGAAATATTTTAAGCATTTGTAGCTGAAATATGATGAACCTCTAACTCGAATCACGGATATTTGAGCCTCGCACGATCTTTTTTAAAAATTGCCCCAGAATTTCTTCACCACTTTTTCCTTCAAAGATAAAAAGTAGGAATCTCAAATCTTGACGTTAATGAATCCAATCCTATATATTAGGTAGTTATCTCTTTTCAAAATGTTCAGACTAAAGATCGTACCACCCATTCGTCGCTTTTGTTCAAGCTCTATACGATATCAGATAATCAATCAGGCAAATAAGCAAACAATCTCCTTATCAACAACATCAACAACATCAACATCAAAGACTCCAAATCACACAACCCCAAAACTTGAATTGAATAAATTGGCCCAGATATGTGCACAAGTCATCAAAATCACAGGTCCTATTTCGTTATCGGCTTTCATGAGACTATGTTTAACACATCCAGAATTAGGGTATTATACCACTAGAGATCCACTTGGTGCTAAAGGTGATTTTGTTACATCACCAGAAATCTCTCAAATGTTTGGTGAAATGATTGGAATATGGTTATTTACAGTTTGGAATTCACAAAAGAAACCTAAAGAGATAAATTTAATTGAATTTGGTCCTGGTAAAGGTACTTTAACTTTTGATGTTATTAAAAGTTTTTCTAAATTGGTTCAAACATTAAAACATGAAGAATTGAAACTGAATATCATTTTGGTTGAAACATCACCAATATTAAAACAAGTTCAACATAATCTATTATCTGGTAAGGATTTAGATACTTCAAAAGAGTTTTGGGAAGCTCCACATAAATGGAATGGTAAAATAACTTGGGTTGATACAGAAAAGGATTTATGGGAGGTTACTCAACAACAAGAGGCAAATTATATCTTAGCACATGAATTTTATGATGCATTACCAGTAAGTCAATTCAAGAAAACTGAACATGGTTGGAGAGAATATATGGTTGATCATAATGAAGATGATGGTACTTTTTTCTTGGGTTTAAATTCACAAAGAACTCCATCATCTGCAATTCCTGAAACAAATCCAAGATATTCATCTCAAAATCTTGATTCTATTGTCGAGATCTCATCTGAATTACACTCATACACTAGTGAAATTGTGAAGTTATTAGATCGAAATAAAGCTCAAAATGGTGCCGCATTAATTGTGGATTATGGACCAGATTTAGAAATTCCAGGAATGACATTACGTGGTATTAAAAATCATGAATTTAAGAGTCCATTTGAAGATCTAGGTGAAGTCGATTTATCAGTTGATGTTGATTTTGGTGCTATAAAAGAATCTGCAACTTCAGATCCAAGTTGTCAAATTGATGTTTTCGGTCCTGTACAGCAAGGTGATTGGCTTCATCAATTGGGTATACAATTCAGAGCTGAACAATTGTATAATAAGGCTAAAAATGATGAAGAACGTGAAATTATAAAGACTGGTTATCATAGACTTGTTGAAAAAGATGATAAATCTATGGGTCACATCTATAAATTTATGGCTTTGTTACCAAAAGGTGGACCAATTCCTGTTGGATTTGGTGGTGGTGTTGAGGAATAAACTCATCCATTGTGTACTTCAACTTATTTATTCTTCAACTGTTTTAGAGTTCTGAAGTGGTTAAACTTATTTATAAACTAATATTAAAATACTCTATACACAACTATATTCATAGAATGCATTCGCGTAAATTTTATACTTAATTTGATTTTTTGGCAACACGAACTTTTGACTTTACAATATTTACAAACAAATCAAAACATGTCATCTCAATTAGAAACAAATGTCTTCAAATGGTGTGGATTCACTAAAAGTTTGCTTTGGCTTTTGAGCCTTTCATGATATGGTATCCTCAAAATGATTTGCTAAAGCTGTTAAACATCTTTTTTTTAGTGGGTGGTTGATTAATCCTATTGTTCTTCCCAATATGGAAATTACGAATGTAACTCAAAACTAAATGATGAAGAATCAAATGAATCTTGAACCTCATTTCAATATGAAGATTGGAATATGATATAAGTTCTTATTTTCCACAATGTTATATATCTTATCATGGGTTTGAAACCAATTTGAAACTATACATTCATATTATCTGTGGAGATTATGACATCTGTGAAGGCATTTAATCAAGATTTATTAGTACCATTTACATATTCTGGTAGAAGTCACAAGTTGATTGTTTTACCAAATGGTATTTTAACATTATTGATCTCTGATCCAACTGAAGATTTGGCTTCTGCTGCTCTTTGTGTTGCTGCTGGTGCTCATAATGATCCCGATGAGATTCCAGGTTTGGCTCATTTCTGTGAACATTTAATACTTTTAGGTTCAAAAGAATTCCCAAATCCAAGTGAATTTCATGATTCTTTATCAAAATCTGGAGGTAGAAGAAATGCATTTACCACTGGTGAACAAACTTGTTATTTTTTTGAAACACCATCAGATTCAACTTGGAAAAATAAAGAAGGTTTAGAAGAGCCAGTTTTCAATCATTTATTAAAAGTCTTTGCTAGCTCTTTAAGATCGCCATCTTTTTCTGAAAGTGCTTTTGAAAAAGAAATTTATGCTGTTGATAATGAACATAATGCTAATAAAAGCTCTGCTGGTAGATTGATGTATCATGGTCTAAGACTCATGGCAAATGAAAACCATCCATTTCATAGATTTGCTACAGGTAACTATTTCAGTTTGAATGATCTACCTAAAATTGAAAAAATGAAGGTGAGAGAACATCTATTCAGTTATTACCACGATAACTACGTTGCTGATAAAATGACATTGGTAATTAGAGGTTCACAATCAATCAATTTATTACAAAAATTAGCATTATCCAATTTTGGCGATATTTCTACATTTGAAGAACGTCAACAATCCAAAAAATCCAAAATGAAATTGTTTTCTAGTAAAAATAAAGAAAGTGTACCAGTGAAAATACCACAAAGAATTGAAGAATTTGATATATCTTCATGTTGGAAATATGAAACTTCTGCTTTCACATTCAATGAAAGTAATAGTTGTATTTTGATTAAGAAAGATCAAACCCCAACTTTACGTCTTTCTTTCCCAGTTCATTTTGACTCATCAGATCCATTAATTTCTAAACAAGTTTCAGTATTTGAAAATGCTTGGTCAAATATAGTTGGTGATGAAAGTGAAGGTTCATTAGATTCATGCCTTAAGCAAAAAGATATCATAACCAGTTTAAGTGGGTTCATTCAACATATTTCTCGTGGTGATGATGTTTTAATCATTGAAATTAAATTAACCAATACAGGTGCTAAAAAAATTCCAGAAGTTCTTGACATATTATTTAATCAATATATTCCAAAAGTCTTTAGTGACGAAACAACTTTGGGGAGATACCTTTCAGAAATGGAATCTATTGATCTTTTAAACTATTTGCATAAAGATTCAACAAAATCACCAATGGACGAGTCCTCTATTTTTTCTCAAACATTACAGAAAAATATCAAAGCATTAGGTACAGAGAATATTTTGAAAGGTTCACCAAATTTTAGTGAAATAAATGAGGGCTACTTTGAATCAACAAGTGGTAAAGAGCAATGGACCAAAAAAGGCTCTATTTTCAAAACATTCATTATGAGATACTTTAAGTTATTGAACTTGAATATTGTCTTTTTAGCTGGCTCTCAATTCATCGAAAAGGCATCAACCTTATTGTCTAGCAATTCAACTTCAACGGATTTCTATTTCAATTATGAATACATTTCAGGAAAACTCAAAATTGAATCCATTCCTAGATCAAAAGATGACATACCTTTTCATATGGTTGATAAAAATATTTTCATTCCTCAAAACGCATTACAACTTTCCCATTTGAAACAAAATTTAAAGGAAGCGTCCATAAAGGCTTCGCAATCATCATTAGGTTATAATACAAAAAACTCATGGTCTTCATCAAAGGCAAAACTTGTTAAGAAGACTGATAAATTAGAAGTATGGACTAAATCTGAATCTTCATTATCATTTCATTCTCGTTTAGTGGTATCATTTGATGTGTTATGTAACTCATTGGATTCTTCTGTTGAAAATACTATGCATATTGAAATTTTAGCTGAAGTTTTAAAGATCAAACTTGAAAGAAAGTTATATGGTGCTGAATTGTTGGATTATACATGGGAAGTATTTGCATCTTCCAAAGGTGACTCTAGAATTGGTTTTACAATCAGTGGATTCAAAGATGGTGTTAAAACTATTGTTGAAACTTTTGTTCAAGAACTTAAAGACTTATTCAAAGACCCAACCATCAACAGCGATTATTTTAGAAAATCAAGAGTTTCTGTAAGATCAAGATATAGGGAACTTACTGAAGCTTCATCATTCGTTTTAGCAAGTACTGGTCTTTTAGTGGTCATGGAAGAAAATATTTGGAGTCTGGAAGATAGACTTGATGCTTTAGATGATATTGATGCTCAAAGTTTCAAAGAATTTGTGTTAAGACTTGGTGAAGGTAATAAATATTTGAAATTATTTTCTCAAGGTGAAACTGATTGTGCTGAAGAATTAACTGGCTCTTTGGACAAGCTTCTTAGAAGTACCACAACTCAAAAAATCACAAGTAAAGAACCTTCAACTGTTCTTTTGGCTCCAGGAACTTCATATCATATTGAAAGATTGTCTTCAGTCGATGACCCAATGAACTCTATTGCTTTTTTCATACAAACAGGTCCAAGAGGAGATGCTTTTACCGAAAAAGTGAACAAATTGGTATCTTATCTGATGTCATTTAACCTTGTTCCTGATTTAAGAGATAAACGACAATTAGGTTATGTTGTTTTAGGTGGACAAAGGATTCTCAGAACTACAATAGGTATCCACGTCACAATAATGAGTGTTGGTTTCACACCACAGTATCTTGAACAACAGATTGATGGTTATTTGGCTAATTGGGAAGCAGAATTGGACAAACTAAGTGAAGCAGAGTTCAAGTCTGAAATTATTGATCCATTTTTAAAGAATTACAAACAGACATTAGATTCATCAAGTGGGCCTGAAAGTCTTACAGCTGATTTACAAGCCAGTGTTGGTAGCTCTAATGCATCTGATGGTATTGAATTTTTAAGAAGTCATAAAAAGATCAAGGATTTAATATTCATGGGTGCTTATTCTGCGGATGATGAAGCTGAAGATAAACAATTTTTCAATTCTCTAAAGAAAAGTGATTTTATTGGCTTTTTCAAACAAAGAATATCACCAAATTCCAAAACTAGAGCTCAATTATCCGTCATGTTGAAAAGTCAAATGTCTGCTGGTGATATTCAGCAACAAATGATGAGATTGCAACTAGAAGCTTTCTTGAAAATGCATGGCTTAAGAATATCCAGTGCTACATTAAAAGAAATTGTGGAAAGTACTAAAGGAAGCTCTGTTAGTTTATTGAAAGAATTATTCAAGTACTTTATGTCACAAGGTGAAAGTTTCAAGTTATGTACTGTTGTATTGAAAGAAGTTGTTAAGCAAACTATGGAAGGGGTAAAGTCTTATAAAAATACTTCTAGTTCTTCATCACAATCAGCTACAAGTTCTGAGTTAATTCCAAGTAAAGAAATCACAGATATAACACAATTTCAAAAAAGTAACAAAATATTTTATAGAGATTAATAAATGAACGAATGAATGCGTTTATTTTGTTAGATCATGTAGTTTTCTTTATGTATTATATAGTAACATTACTTGAATTTTCAAGTATAGCGTTATATAACTCATACATGCCATCAAATTCATGACATGGGTATGCAGCTTTTATAATCAATTCTAAAGTTTGTAAATAATGTTTTAAGAACATTTCATTGTAAGTACCAACATCAATACCTTTTATCCATCCATTGGCCAAAGGATAGAAAAATTTAGAAGCAATCTTACTAAAGTTATTTGGTTTGGTTTTTTCGACAGGTTTTGTCAATTTTTTAGAAACTCTTTGAACTTTACCTTGTCCAATAAATTGTTCATTATTATCATCTTTGATCTCTTCAAACCTTGGTGGTTTATCTTCAACTTCTTGTACCATAGGTTTTGAATGACGTTGTTCAATCTTTCTTGTTGGAAAATCTGTTTCGACTTTTTCAATGAAATCATCTTCAAACCCTCTTAATTCTCTAGCTGAAAGTGAAATTGAGCTTAATATTATCATTCTTTGTTGAATTGAATAATCACCAGTAAATAAAAGATTCATTATATGAGTTATAACTTTAGTATTAGTCACTATTATACTGACCAACGCATTGATCTTCAATTGTTCAAAATTTGGCTCGTCAAATTTGTTCAGCAACCCAATTATTAAACTTGCCAATTCTTCACTATAAAATTCAAGTTCCAATTTGAATGTTGCCTTTTGTCTGACTAATTTCACGGTATGTGATAATAATGGAGTCAAATGATTTACCTTTTCATCATTGAAATTTTTGATTAAATCTTTCAAAAACAACGTATCAATACCATTTTGTTCCTCTTCATCATCTTCAGATTCAGATTCATCGTCACTATCTTTTTCAGTAGTAACTTTTTGTGAACTTATTGATAAATTTTGCATTGATTTACCAATCAATAAATCTGTAAAGTCAATTTTTGAATTTAAATTTGGTTTTTTGTAAGGCTCTATTACTATTTCATCAGTTATATCAAATTTTATTTCACCATTTGTAACTTTTTTGGCAATGATTAAACCCAAATTTCTATTATCGTGGTCATTATTTGAAATTCTGGATGTGATGGCATTAAGAAATGATTTATCCCTTGATATTTGAGTTCTATTCTCTGGGGAAATATAGTTCAGCAAGATCAAGATTTCTTTGGTCATTGACTCTTGATATTCAAATTGTGTATTTTTGATGTATTGCTCATTACCCCAAATATCCAGGAGTTCGGTCATTTGTGTTTGGGGGTCTGCTATTAGAGATGATACAGCTTGTTGTAATTCAATATTTGGTAATTCTGCAACATTTTTGATGATGTAACTCTCAAATTTGGATATGTTGAAACGACTGAGTATTTTAGTAATTGTGTCTCTATTGTCTATACTGATTTTGGTTTCTAAATAAGGTATTAAAGATTTCAATATGAATGATTTTTGTTGTATTTGTGACATTTTTGAATAGATCTCAGATAGTAGCTCAAAATTACTCCCCGTTAAGAAGTTTTCAAAAAGTATATCTTTTGCCTCTAGTGGATGTATTGACAAATATGGATTGATGAAACCAGAAATATCATGATTACCAAGTCTTGCTGTCTCTATAAGTTGTTTAACGACAAGTTCAAGGTATTTTGTCAATTCAAGCTCACCTTCAAACGTTTGAAATATCTTACTTCCAACAAATAAGGCTTTAGTTTGTGATTCTTCTTCTTTTTTCTTATGGCATGAGCTCAATGTATTTGATAATAGGGTTGGATCAACAAGTAGATTTTTCATAAATTTCAAATATATGTCATTTTTCGTTAATTTGTAATGATTCAGCAAGTTTGAAATACCAATTGTGCAGTAGAATACACGTTGTAGTAAATGTCGTACTTGACTTTTGAGACTCTGATATACTATTATAATATGTTGAAGTAATGTGTTTATGAATTGAAGTTGTTGTTGAAGTGTATGTTCATTGATCAAATATTCTTGAAGTATCTTTTCAATCTCTTCAGCTGAAGGACTGTTCTTGAGTACCTTTATTTGTTCTTCCATGTTTGAGTTTGATTATACCAGGACGATTAAGTAATTGAAGAGCATTAACACAAAAATTTTAACAATATTCAAAAGAAAACAATGAGATTGACAATTGAAATATATCTATACAATTTCTAACAAAGAACTGAAAAAAATATTGACACGAAAATCTGCCAAAAAAAACAAAAAATAAAGTCTCCCGGGTGTGAGTCGAACACACGATCTCAAGATGTCTTGATTCCATTACAGTCTTGCGCCTTAAACCAACTTGGCGACCGAGAGTTGTTTTTGATTTGGATTTCTGCTGAATGGCTATGATTTGCCAGTAATTTTGTGACAAAACAGGAAAATTTCCCGATTTGGGAGTTGAACCTATTTATTTCAATCATCAATAAAATGGCTAATTTATAAAACTTTTAGCTTTCAAGTACAGTCATGATTTCATCTTCAGTAGAGTTTGATGCCTAATAGCTTAAATTACTGAAATTTGAAGTTCATGAAAATTTGAATTTTTTTATTCATTCAAATTTTGAATTAAAAATAAAATTTACTTGGTCAATCTTTATTCTGAACCATAATTTTTTGAATTTTAATTTCGTAGCTTAAAAGTCTGTCTAAATATTTTAATGATCTAGTTTTACTTGAAAGATAATATCTTGGCCATTAAATTAACATCAAGTCTTTCATAAACATCAATTATTGTACAATATAATAATATCATATACCGATTATATAAGCATATTCACTATGACCGATCAGATTTCGGAGATACTTTATAATCAATTATCAGATCATTTTACCTACAAGATATTACAACTTAAGTTGCAACTATGAGGTTGTATAAATACTCTCCTGGTATAATATAGTGTATTTGAAAGCACTTTGCTGTAACAAATCACATTCAACGATGTCTTTGATTAAGCGACGTCAATTTATCACCGTGATTACCTAAGCTACCGCAGGCATTACCCTCCAGAAAATGTGCCTAGCTTAAAATCTCTGATGATAATATGTACGTTTTGAATACCATCATGTATAGCCCTTTGATAAACATTCATAAAGCTCCCATTGAGTCTAAAGCTACATTTAATATTCAAACAGTCAGGGTAAACTTACTAGTGAGGGCTATTCTAAAAGAAGGAGATGTCCTTTTTCAATACAATTAGGGAAAGAGCTTCTTCTCTTTCAATATTTGATAAAGCGAATGTTCCCAAAAAACCGTCAAAAGATGAATTGTTCAGAGAGGAATTCAAGCTACCTGATGATGAAACAATCATAGATGAAACAGCTGCAGAGATGCTTGTTGTATCCAAGGAAGATTCAAACCAAAATAACGCATCAAATAACTTTTCTTCAAATGAAAATCAGCTATCAAATCATTCCAATTTCGTCTTTTCCGGGAAGCTATATTTAACAAAACATTATATTGTATTTCGTGATTCTTTTGATCGCAAGAGCTGTGTTATAGTACTGAATTTATCTACAGTGAAGAAAGTGGAAAGAATACCATCAAGAGCATATGTTTTCGCTCTTTCAATCGTTACAAATTGTGATATTAAACTATTGATTCAATTCATTGGAATACGTTCAAGATCAGAAGAATTCTCTTACAAATTGAAGACATGTTTGAGAGATAATGTATCAAATACCAAGAAAATTGATCCATTCTTGGAATCTTTATATTCAGAATTCATCGTAAAGAAAAATGAGCCTGGCGCTGATAAATCTGCTATACATTCACCAGATGGTGGTCTTGGTCAACTTTTCAAGTATCCTGGTGATCCTAAAAAATTGAGAGATAAATCCAAATTGAGACTTTGGTATGATTATTTTAGACGTTATGGTAGAAACTTGAGTATAGCTCGTCAAAAAATGTTTTACAAATTATTGAGAGTTGGTTTACCAAATAGATTAAGAGGTGAAATATGGGAGTTAACAAGTGGTGCAATGTATTTAAGATACCAAAACTTAGGAATTTATGAAAAATTACTTAAAGATAATGAAGGTACCTCATCAATTGCTATTGATGAAATTGAAAAAGATTTGAATCGTTCCTTACCTGAATATTCAGCTTATCAATCAGAGGAAGGTATTGGAAGACTTCGTAGAGTCTTAACCGCATATTCATGGAAAAACCCAGATGTTGGTTATTGTCAAGCTATGAATATTGTTGCCGCTGCTCTTTTAATTTTTCAAACAGAAGAACAAGCTTTTTGGACATTATCAGTTTTAATTGAAAAGTTTGTTCCAGGTTATTATTCTAAGACTATGTATGGTACCCTATTAGATCAAAAGGTTTTTGAATCCCTTGTTGAAAAGACCATGCCAATTTTGTGGACCCATATAACGAAATATGACATTCAATTATCTGTCGTATCGCTACCTTGGTTCTTATCATTATTTCTGAATTCAATGCCATTGGTTTTTGCATTCCGTATTATTGATGTGTTCTTCTTACATGGTCCAAAGGCATTATTTCAAGTAGCTTTAGCAATTTTAAGAATCAATGGTGAAGAGTTATTAGAAATTGACGATGATGGTACATTTATCTCAGTATTGAAGGATTATTTTTCACAACTTGATGATTCTGCACATCCAAATTCAAAAGATCCAAAATTTAGACAATTAACCAAGTTTCAAGAATTGTTAATTGTTGCATTCAAAGAATTTTCAAACATTACAGATGAAATGATTAATCAAGAACGTAATAAACATAAACCAAGTATTTTACAAAACATTGAAACTTTTATTAAGAGAAGTCAACTAAGAAATCTACCAAGAACTCCAAATCTTTCAAAAGAACATATCTCAAACATTTATGATAGATTTTATAATTGTATTCAAAGTCATAAGGCAAGTCTTGGTGTTGGATCATCCTCTATGGAGTTCAAAACTTATCAACAATTTATGAATGGTTTTTGTGATTGGGCATTGCCAGAAGAAGAATATGATTCACACCCTGAAGATTTCCTTCATAGACTATTTAGAAACTGGGATAAAGACTCTAAGGGCGTGTTATCGCTAACTGATGTTGTGGTTGGTTTAGATAAACTAGTTAACAAAAATCTTATGGAATCAATTTCATATTTTTTTGAAATTTATGATTATAATAATAAAGGTGAGGTTGATAGAGAAGGAATTTTACAAATTTCAGAAGGCTTGCTATACATTACAAAACCATTACAAGATGGTAAAGTATTTGATTTCTTGACCAAAAAATCAATTGAAAATTATATTGCTGATAAAATTGTTGAAAAACAAAATGAAACAAATGATGAAGTTATCTTGTTACCTTCAGAAGTAAATATTGATCAAGAAATTTTCCAAAGAGAACAAGGGGAACGTTACTTATCAGCCGCTAGTGATTTCATCCAAAGAGCTTTTGAATATGCTCAACCTGCTGAAGTTCCAGAATTAATTGAAATTGATGATAAGAAAGACTTGGAAAAGATAAAGGCAAATGCCGCACTTGATCCAAATCATCCATTAACATTAAATCTTGCAACTTTCCGTATGGTTATACTTGCTGATGAATCTTATGAATTGTTATTTTCAGAAACCTTATCATCATCCATTCATCTTGATAGATCAACAAATATTTCAGATAAGGGTGGTATTTTACGTGATATGTTTGATGGATTATTAGCTGATGGTAGAAGAGTTGCTAATCAAGTCCGTCGTAGAATGGATTCATCTGCTACCTCAAGCTCTAATAACCATGATAGTTCCAGTATCAAATCCAAACCAGGTAATGCTTCATTGATTGAAGAAGAAGATGAAGACGATTTCGGAGCTGATGCCACAAGTAATGATTATGGTGATTTATTAGAGAATGCGGAGATTCAAGCACTTGGTGATGTTCCAGTAAGCAATAATGTAAAGAAAGATGATAGAGAAAATGAATTAAAAGTGCTACATGGTGAGATGACTGAAATCGAAAAAGGTTTACAGAACCAAAGTATATCAAAAGATAAAAATCTGATTGAATTTGAGAACTAACGACATATATGGCAAATAAATGTGTATAAATTATAAATTGCGCTACATATATTGGAAATACAGCACGTAAAACAAGTATTAAAATAATGATTTCTTTAAAATCACAAATATACGAAACAGTCTTTTTCTTCATAACTATACATATTCTAAAACGTTATCTTTATAGTTCAAATAGCTTTATATTATATTACAACGATTGGAATTGAGAATCGAATCAAGATCTTCCAAACAATTTCTTTAATTTTCCACCAAATTTACTCTTCTTCTTTTCTTTTTCCAAGTTAGCTTCTGCTTTTTTCAAATGTTCATTAAATAATTCTTCTTTATCAGCTTCACTGAAATAACGTGTATTTCTCTTTTCTGGTAAAGACTTGGCTGGCGATGGGTTACCTTGAACTGCACTATTACTTGAACTTCTCAAAGTAAATTGACTCTTTGTATTTCTTAATGTTGGATTATTTGGAGGAGGTGCAAAATCGTGTGACAATTTATTTGATTTACCTTGTTTTGGATTTCTCAATGTTGGAACAATATCATCATCATCATCTGAATCATTGAATCTTGATTTGAATCCACTGAATCCATTTCCATTTCCATTTGATTGATGATGTTGAGGTGGTGTTTGAGCATGTGTAGGTTGAGTTTTAGTTGGGGTGTGTTGTTGTTGTTGAGCTGCTTGTTGTCTATAAAATCCTAGTTGAGATTCAACATTGGCATGTTGGTTGATTGATGGATCTCTTAAGGATCTTTTCTTGAAAGCTGCATTACGCTCTTGTGGTCTTTCTTTCTCGAAACTTGAAGTTCTATTCAATTGAGGTGGCTTTGGAGGTTCAGCTTTTTTCATAGCAGCATTCAAAGCAGCAGCGTTTGAATGTAATTTTTGTTGAGAAGGCCCTTGATTTTGTTGATTTTGATGAGCAATTTGTGAGTTTCTAAAACTTTTTTGAGATCCAATAACTTGTGATTGTGGTCTTTGGCCTTGGACTGGAGCTTGAGGTCTACCAAATTGCTTATTAGTAGATGTGTTTGATTGTGGAACTGCAACTGAGTTTGGACGCTTTTGGGCATGTCCCGGGATAGAACCCTTTTGTTGTGGACGTTGCTGGTTAAAAGGTTGTCTTTGCTGTGGAGGTTGTGGGAACTGAGAATGTCTTTGACCATTGAATTGTTGTTGATTTTGTTGTTGAGGAGGATGTGATCTCAATGTACCTTTAAATCCATTACCAGATGGAGGCTCTTGTTTTAGTGATTGTCTTGATGAATTTGATCTTGTTAAGTTTGTAGCCGGTAAATTTGACGAAGAAATAGCATTTAATCTTGTATTTTCTGCAGTTGTTAGTGACAAATAAGCTGCATTTGCAGGACTTGAAGAGTTATTATTATCTTGTAAATTGATTGTAGATCCAGACTTGCTCTTCAATGCTGACTTTCTTGGTGAAATTGAATTTGGTGATCTCTTTGTTGATCTTGCAGGTATTTGTAAGTCATTGCCAGGAGTACCTGAAATATCAGAATTCAAAACACCTTCGTCATTCAACTCATTTGAGTATAAAGAGCTGCCAGCGGTATCAACGGAGTTTGATTGAGACAAGCCATTAGCAGCTGGGAATTCACTAGAATCTTGTTCTTGGTTACCATTGACTGTTAGAGATGGAATAGTTGGGCGTAATTGTTGAGCCATGGAATGGACATTTGGATCTTGATGGGGGTCCTTTTCAGTTTGAATATCAAAGTCACTATCATCTGCTGTAGTATATGATGATTGTGCTGGTGTGATAGTATCAGTTGATTTTGCAGTAGATGGTGGGTCAACATCAGTGTATTGATCTAAGACTTCATTTTCAATGTCTGAATTTTCAGTTGGCGTGTCAACTGGGACTGCAATAAAATGATGTGGCTCATCACCAGATTGTTCAAAGGTTTGTAGTTCAGGTTCAGTAGTTGTGATTGTTTCTTTGATGTCTCTGATTTCACTTGGGGCTGGTGAAGATCTAACTTCAGTTTCTGGCTCCAATTTGGCACTCAACAAATTTTGAGCAGCACTTTGTTCCGAATTCAAGTCTTTTTCAATTTTTGATTCATCTTGTTCCTTTTCTAATTTCAAATTACTCAAGTCATCAGCTACCAAAGTTTCTGGTTGTACTTCTTCTTCTTCTTGAATAAAAGTCAAATTCTGTGGTTGTTGTTCTTGTTGTTGTTGAACTTGTTGTTCAAATGGTTGAGCTTGTGGTGTTGAATCAAATCTAGCATTTCCATAAGTATCATGACTTGAAGAAGGATGTAATGGAACATTTTGTTCAAAATCATCACCAATTTCCTCATCAGCTTCTCTTAAAGGCTCATTTATTATTGCTCTTTTGTTTTGTGAATTTGTATATAGTGAATTATTTGATTGATATGATCTTAAACTTCCTCTATCAGAATAATTTTTGGTTAATGATGATGGTCTTTTAGGTTTTCCTTTTGGTTTTTCTTCTTCAGCTGGTACTTCTACTGTAATTAGACCATAAGGACCAGGGATATGTTTTTTGATCATTCTTGGACCAGATTGTTGAGGAACTTGACTTGATCTTTTTTGTTTCAATTTTTGATTATAAACAGACCCTGATGTCAAAGATTGAGTTCTTGAAGGTGGATTACCATGATTTTGTTGTTGGAACTGTGAAGGTGGACCTTGTAATCCTAATAAACTACCTGACCTTGAAACTGGTCTTCCTCCAACAAGACTTGATGATCTTTGGAAACTTGACGATTTTTGTAAACTATTTGATCTTGGAATTGGTGTACCTGTTTTCAAAGCATTTCCAATAGCCGAAGCAGCAGCCAGTGCATTGGAATTAACACCATTCTGTGGTTGCTAATGAAAGAATGTTAGTAGTCTTGATGTGAAATACTGAAGCGGAAGCTCCTTGCATGTAAACAATGTGTCAAAAATACATACACCAAAACCACTTTGAATAGAAGCAGCTGGATCACGACTTTTCCTTCTTGATGAAAACATAAGGTTAGAAAAACGCTTTTAATTAGTTCTATTTTGATATATTGGTTTTCAATTGAAATATTCTGGCTTTTATGTTTCTATAGTTGATGAATGTCTATAATTAGGCGCCCAAATGTAGGAAACAGCAACAAAGGGATAAATTGAAACCGCAAATGTTCTCAATTGATACGATAACGATTGAATGAAAAAATTGATAGCTCTCAATGTCAACTTAGGATTTAGCGCTTTTCAACAACTTTCCCTGTACTTTTGCAATGAGATTTTGGTGGATTGAACCAGTTTTGTTTACCTGTTGAACTTGAGTTACAATTTACTCTCAATTTTTGGTATAACCTGAAATTTGTGGAAATAAGGGTGCTGAAAGTTACACAGAGAGGTTTTCACGTACGCAGAGGCTCTGGAGCTGAGATCGGCGTGAATGTGCGTAGGTGGGAGGAGAAAGATACTAGGAAATTTCATGGCTGGCAGTTTCAGAGGGAACCCTTGTGTAAATGTCAGTCTAGCACCGCCAATTCAAACGAAGATCAAAAAAACGTCACCAAGATTTAGACTCAACTTTTGAAGTCTCCTAATGCAGAAGTTACTAGGGTGACAACTATTGTCAGAATTAATTTGTTAGTTTAACTATATGTTGATTAAGGAATAGAGTTTAGAAGGCAAATAAACTCGAGGACCCATATAATGGAAAATTGGTCACGTAAAGAGTATTGAGCTAATATCATGATATAGAGTGATTTAGTGTATGCAAAAAATGTGGGATGCACTCGTTAGAGTATCCTAGACGAAACCTACTATAATGAGTTCGTATAAATATAGTACACAAACTTCCGAAGCTGTTTCACCCCAATTATAGAATTGCTATATATAATCAGTTAACTATCAGCCAGTGCTATAGACAATCAAATAATTTGATTTTAGATTTGAAAAATTTGTTTGTGTTTATTATGCCAATAGCATGACGCTCTAGTTCCTATAGTCCTAATATACCATTTGAAATTATGTTGACATTTCATCAACTGCCACAAATTTATTCAAAAGATCTTATAATATGAGTTGAAACGTTGAAATTACCTTCAGGTAATTTTCATTTGTATATAGATGACTTTATTAACTAAATATGTGGTTAGTTGGTAATATTGGGCAAACTAAAATTAGAGTTATAATATTTAAAATCTGTTATTTCAAGCTCTATATGCTAAACCGATAATATAGCTGATTGATTGGATTAACTGTTTTAATTATAATATTGGATAATGAGCTAATATATTATTATATGTTTTCTAGATCATCTAAATCACCTTACCAGCTATATCAATTATTATATTGAGGTAACGTTTGAAACCTATTCATGCGCAGTTCATGTCAGTAGTTAGTACGTTGTATTAATTCTGAGGTGGTCTATAATGAAGTAGTTCATGGAGATGATATTTATCACTCATCTCTTTATGGAAATTTGAAGATCAAGTCTTATCTATTTAAGATTTGAGAATAATGCACTGCGGGCCTAGATGTGATTTTGAAGATATTTCAATTCATACAATTTAATTTAAACAATATACCTGTAGAACAAGATAGCGATATTATCGAACACTTAAATTGTACCATCGATGATAAATTATATTATGGGTTAAGTACAATAGAGACGGGATATAATACTTACATACCGAACTCTTTGAAGCGCTATACTTCAAAATTGGAAATGGGCGGGCGCGTTCTTCTCAAATAGCTAGCAGTACTTTAGAGTCTGTAGCGGTAGCCATAGGTAACGTTAAACTTCTTATAATATTAGAACAATATTTTTAATCTGACGACCAAGTTGAATCGTACAGTGTACTATTGTTAGAACTCAAAACCCATAATTGATAACGTCGGAACTTGGGATATAAATTCTTACAGCTTTTAAATTGACACAAAAGCTAGAATTGGCCTTAATCAACGGTTAAATGACCCAGTTGTACTTAACTATTGAGTTCTGAGCTAGCTATGTGAAAGTGTAAATTGTAACTTTAAAGAGAGATTTTGACGGTTTCTATTCTATACAAAAAGCTTCTAGAATATTGTTGATATTTCTCGTGAATTTGATTGAAACAGCCGAGGAATAAAGTCGTTATTTCATAGGTATACAACCTTCTGCTGCAGTGATGATTATATTTTGTATCAGGCCTTGCAACCAGTTCAACTGTCTCCCTAGATTATTATTGAATCTTGTTCCAAAAGCACACTGGGTTAATTAGAAAGCGAAATTAGAGGTGATACCTAACATCTTAAACACATCTGCAAGTTTTGTTAGATTAATCGCCTATTCACATTCACGTAAGATCCAGACATGTTACCTCAGCTGTCCTTCGAGTATCTCAAGCTGGTTTGTTCTGAGTAATTCGAACTGCTAAATTGATAAAACATCCCCCTTCAATTTAATACTAACCACATATAAGTGTGCACGGAGTACGGAGCCCTTCGATCCACAAACACACCACTATATATGTAAACAACGTCTTAACGGTTCATTATAATTAATGATATCCAATTTATCTATATATATATAACTTATCACTCAGAAAATATCCAAGTACTAGCACCATAAGCAGCTTAAAATTTGAAATATGCATAGATCTTTCGATAGAACGATAGAATACAACAATTTAAATACCCGTGTTCTTCTCAAACTTCTTTGGCATGTATGACATGCAATACATGTACACGATTGTACATATTTTGGGCTTTCCACTTCGGCCTAACATCTTTTGTTTCACCTTAAATCTTGATTTATTACTTTTGTTTCAAACTTATCTTCTGTAAGTCTTCATAAATGCATGTATGTTGGAGCCATTCAAAACCTTATTAAACCCGAAGTGTAGTACCATTAGAGGTTGTAGTGAAAATTCAAATTTGTTTTTCAGGATTTTGACAGAGTTCTGCCATTTTGGTGGCCGTACCGGATATTTGTACTATAAATTTCTCCACGTAGACAAAAAGTATTTTTCTAGGTGAGTTTGAAAAAAGACACCAACTAGTAAAATCAAGGTGGTATTTTAAATTCGTTATATCTTGCTCAAAACTTATGGAAAAAGTCTCAAAATTGCTGAAATACAAAATATTTATTACAATAAACAGTACTGTCAAATTAGATTAACAAATAATTTTTACTTTGATAGATCTTTAGCTTCATATATCAAATCTTCAAAAAGAGTACAAAATTTGTATCTTTTTTGAGTTTTTGTCCGCGTTTTTTTGCAGAATTAAATCCGAATTTCTTATTGACACGGGAGACAAAATTTAGGAATTTTGTAAATTTTTACAAAATTTTGGTGCGAATTGTTACAAAATTTGTTTTTCACTGCAACCTCTATTGATTCTTAAAGGTTGAAAGATCAACCAGACCAGGCGCTAAACCTTCGAACACAGATATTCACGACAGATGACTCAAGGAGCTACAACTAGAGAGCAGGCTCCAGAGAGCAGGTGCTCTCTTTTGGCTTGGCGAGAATCAATATCTAATTTTATTTCAAGTCGATGTTTAAGTATATAGATAAAGAATCTTAATTATAAGCTTTTTCCCATATGTTGAAGTAAGTTGTAACTTGTATAACGTTTACTACATTTTAACAATTAGTGCTAGCTAACTCACACAGCTTAGATCCACATTTGATATATATTGAACGATCAGATAGCCCCATATACATCACATAATTCCATGAGAAGCTTTTTTAGCTCTTGCGTTTACATTTAGGAACGTTAAGAATGTGATCTGCTTATTAGCTGCTTATACTTGAGCCAGTTAAACTTATACCACAGTCACAAAATTTTATCCATTTTTTACTTTTTTACCATAGTTTATAATAAGAAGTTGGTGCATATATCTATTCATAAACTGGGTTCATGCTTCATGACCTGGCGTATGTCAGTCATAATGCCAAATCTTATATATACTGGTCTGATATAACTCAACGAACTATCTAGTTATACTATAAGTTCTTGGCGTTTGAGCTGAGGAAGTATGTACTGTCAATTAAAATCTGTGTTCTAGAAACATTTCATGGGATTAGCTAGAAGCGTTATAACTCACTTGGATTGATCTAAGGATCATTTGTATATTGAGGAATTTTATGTCAAGTCTAGTTGTAATATACGAACATCTAGCCACCTCTAAAGAAGTTGACCCAGAAAAGCTTCAACATATGCTAATATTTTATACAAGATTCTCGATACTATATGATTTTCATTCATGTTTTCGTGTACTCAATCAATAAATATACAAGAGACAAACCATATACTTAAAATATTTAGGTTATTATACATCTTCTATTATGTAGCTCAAAGACGTTTCTGGAATCTGAGTTTGTTTCAAATCGTACAGTCTCAGACAGTGTGAAGCCAAAAGGCACATCCATATTAAGACTATAGAAACTGTCTCTCAGCCGTATACATTAATTTTTTTATTGTACCTGATCGTAAAATTATTAGCTAAATTAGTTGAAAATACTAAGTTTAATTAGCGGTTAAATGAACTTAATTAATGAACCAATTAATCTTTTTCAATAATATTGATTTGGTCTTGCTACTTGAACCAATCTTTAAAGTTTAAAGTCAGATCAGAGTCATAGACTAATTGTCAAAATAATATTTAATTTTTGATCATGATTGATTACAGATCATGTTTTCATATGTATGAAGGGTAAAAGTGGTGAACATTAATGAACAAATTGTATATGGATCAAAAAACATCTGATCTAGTATATTAAACGGCGCATGGGCTCTTTGCTATAAGCGTACAACTTGCAGATACTACTGAATCGAGACAGTTACAGAATTAAACTGAATGTGTATGGTCATATGGTCATACTATTGGTCTCAAAATGGTATCATTCTACTGCCGTTATATTTATTAATACATGAAAATAATCTTTGGAGCACTATGATTCCTGAAAAGGTATGGTTTATAAATTATGAAGATTAAGACCCACATACATTTACAAAAAGCTGCACACCTCATGATTATC